TTCCTCTGATTGAAGCCTGTGATCTTCTTCATCCCTGACCAGACGTCTCTGATGTTGTTCCTCTGTAGGTTGTTCTCCAGCTTCTTCCTGTATGCCTCCTTGATGTCTCTGATCTTGATCTTCAGTTGCTTCTGTATACTCCTCAGTAATTCCCTTTCTCCCTCCTTGAAGGCTCTTTTTTTCTCATTTAGCAGATTCTTCAGTTCACTGGTGATCCAGGGTTTGTTATGATCGATGGAAGAGATGGTTTGAATTTCCTCTTTCTCTGTCTCCATTTTGCTCCCGCTTCTTGCGTTTTAGCTCATTTGGGATTTGTGGCTTCAGTTGAGGTATTATTTCAGCCTTCCCAATGTTAATCAGCTGCTCCCTGGTTAGTCAGCCGGTTCACCCTAAAACCAGACTGAAATTTCTCTAGGACATGTTGGCGGTTGATAGAATCATTAAGTTGTATTAAAACAAGCTTCTCTAAAATTTTGCTTAAAAATGGTAAGTTGGATACCGGTCAAAAATTGTTAAAGTCATTAAAATCTAAATTGCTCTTCTTCAACAGGGGTCTGACCACCGCCCGTTTAAAAGCAGCAGGAAAGACCCCCGTCTGAAGCGAACAGTTCATCAAAGTTAAAATCTCATCTCTAAATGAGTCATAAATTGTTTAAAAAACCTTGTGGGAATAGGGTCCAGAACACATGTGGTGGGCCTCACTGAGGAGAAAACTTTATCAATGATCTCAGCTTCAACCAAGACAAAACTGTCCAGTGTTTCCTCAGGTAGACACACACTCTCAGATTGATCGGGAGCAGCATGACATTGGGAGGATAAAATGTTACATCTGATGGTGTCTACCTTCCCTCTGAAGTGGGCTGCAAACTCCTCACAGAGAGCATCCGAGGGGGTTTTCTGGAGAAAACTAAATTCACAACCCAAAATATTTGTAATTGTGGAAAACAGAATTTTGGGATTATTTTTTTGGCCAATCAATCAATCAATCACTACTTTATTAAGCCCAGAGGGAAATTAGAGATGATTTTAGAAAAGTAATTATTTCTGGAAATTCTAACTGCTTTGTTGTATGATTTTAATAATTCAGTGCATGTTTGTTCATTAATTGTGTTCTTATATTTCCTCCATTTTCTCTCCGCTGCCCTGCAAGATCTTTTCAACATTTTTAAGTTTTCATTGTTCCAAGGGGAAGCCGGTTTTGCTGTAGCTTTTTAATTTTAGGTGGAGCGAGCAGATCCAGAGTAGATTTAAGTCTACTGTTAAAATCATTGAAGATAAAATCACAGGGGCATTTAAATTAATAGGAGTGATCTTTTTAAAAGTTTCCAGAAAACCAGCAGCCACTTCAGGGGTTAGATGGCGTTTCATTACAGTTCTCACAGAGGTCTCCTGCTGAATTATGCTTGTGATGTTAAAAAACACACAGAAATGATCTGAGATCACTAAATCCACGACAGACGACACACCGGTGGACAGACCATACGTGATGACCAAGTCCAGGGTGTGTCCCGTGTCGTGGGTTGGTTGTGCAACATGTTGTGTAAAATCCATATAACGCAAAATGTTCAAAAATTCAGTGATAAAAGGGTCTGCAGGGTCATCCATGTGTAAATTAAAATCACCAGCTAAAATAATACTATCAAAAGAATTGTGCAGAATTGATAAAAACTCGGAAAATTCCTGTATAAAAAGTGCACTGTGCCTCGGAGGCCTATAAAGAGTAACATATAAAATCTGAAGATCGCTAAAAATGGCTGCACTGTAGTCGAAAGTGGTGAAGTTGTCAAATAAAACAAGTTTTGCAAAAAGTGTAGATGAGCTTATAAAAGCAGTTGCGCCTCCCTTTTTTCCATTTCTTATTGAATAAGTAAAATTAAAGTTTGGTGGGGAGGCCTCTGTGAGAACAGCAGGAGCATCTGAACTCAACCATGTTTCTGTCAAAAATACACATTTAAGGTGAGTATCTAAAATTAGGTCATTTATTAAAAAAAAAGTTTTGTTCAGCAGCAGGGGCGGCGTTAGGCCCGGCTACTTGGGCTGAAGCCCCGGATGTTTCATGAAAAGCCCCGGATCTAAATCGCGGAAGTAACATGCAGTACCAAAGTCCAACAGAGAGGGAGCAGCTGGCAGTAGTTTGTATACAGCCTGCCAGAGCCTCCACCACTGCAGAAGAAGCCCTTCAGCAGCCGGCTTCTTCTGCAGTCTCTGTCTGAAACACATGAGTGAAGATGGACATAAGGACGTTTTTTCGACAAAAAGTACAACGACAGAACCCCAGCTTTGATGAGACTGGTGTTGACTCAGGTTTGTGAGTCTTATTTGAAAATATTTGTTGTGCTGCTGGTTTGCCTAAAGTTAGCTTACTATCAGGTAAAGTTGTTGGAGAAAGAAAGGGAATATTTACTATCATCTCACACTAAACACTCTTAATATGTAGCTTCAGATTAAAAATTATGTGGTACAAGACATGTATGATGTTGACTAGTGCGTGTCACGTGTGTGTGTGTGTGTGCGCGCGTTTGTGTGTTAAGCCCCGGATCTTCTTCAGTCCTAAATCCGCCCCTGTTCAGCAGAGAGCGAACATTTAAAAGAGCCATATAGATAGTAGCTAAAGATGGAGTGACTGTGTGATTTACTGGGGGTGAGATTCTTGACAACTGTTTAAGATTATTATGATTAGACCGGTTAGTTTTATGTTTATGTGATCGCTCTCTGCTGATGACAGGTATGTGAGAGGTGTGCAAGGGTCCAAGTCCGATATGTGAGTTACTGTTAAAATCATAACTGGGTTCATAGGTTCCTGGACCAGTGGGACATCATGATGTGGGGGCAGGAGGTTGGGGCGTGGGGGCAGCTGGGGGTGGTGTGGTGGGTAGAGGTGGTCGTGGGCAGGCCAGGCTCATTTTAAGTGTGTGGGTCCCCTGAATAGACCGTACCAGGAAGGCTCAGGAGTGTGACCCCCCTGTAGTTGGAACACACCCTGCGGTCCCCCTTTTTAAATAAGGGGACCACCACCCCGGTCTGCCAGTCCAGTGGGACTGCCCCGATGTCCACTCGATAATGCAGAGCCGCGTCAGCCAACACAGCCCCACAACATCCAGAGCCTTAAGGAACTCTGGGCAGATCTCATCCACCCCTTGAGCCTTGCCACAGAGGAGCTTTTTAACCACCTCAGTGACCTCAGCACCAGAGATATGAGAGGCCAACCCAAAGTCCCCAGACTCTGCTTCCTCACTGGAAGACGTGTCGGTGGGACTGAGGAGGTCTTCGAAGTATTCTGCCCACTGATCCACAACGTCCCGAGTAGAGGTCAGCAGCACACCATCCCTACCTGGAGGAAGGACTCTAGCTCACAGATCTTTTTGTTTGTATTTTCCAGAAAAAAAACTAATTATGATACTAACTTGTTTTACTGTTGTACAACAGGCCAGTCCAGTTTGGCATCCTCTCCTATTTCTTGCCCATCTTCATTCTTCTTTTTTAAGCTCCTTGTTCCTTCCTCCATAATTTAATCTGGAGAGCTATTTTTTCTACCATTGAAACACAACCCTCACCTTGACTTTCCTTCAGGTCTATAAACCAACTACAGTAAACCTCTAGACCCATTTACACTCACCTTGGGGTTTGGAGACTAAGAGGAATGAACATTAGCAACTGTCCAACACAACCCCTCATCTGTAATCTGAACCCAAAATTGGTTGTTTACTGGTTCTGTTGGGAGCAGTGGTTGAAAATCCTAACAGCTGTGGGGGGAAGAAGCTGTGATGCAACAACTGCAGAAATGACAGCGCAAATTTCCCATTTATAAGCTGGCTGCTGATTTTGGCCTGCAGAGGACCTGACACTGTCTCCTAGATGCTCAAATGGTGAGAAAACTGACTTAATTTACTAAAATAGGTTTAGTAACAAGACCACAACTATGATAACCTCACTGTCACACCATGACAGTTTGTCTCATGCTCTGATCCCACCCTTTTCCTCCAGCATCAATAACTCAACTTCCTCATCATCCTGACTCATTTGTTTCAGTTTATCTGTTAATTTAAATCTGAAGTGATCCAAAAACAAGGTCCAGAACAAATCCAGCCTCATCCTTCATCTCTTAGCCATACCTAACTTTATCCATTCATCTCGTCTCCGGTATAAACCCCGATCCTCCTTCACCAACAAACACAAGACTCCATCTATTTTTAAACGTAGTGCACCGCTTTGATCTATGGGAGCTGTTTTAATTGTGTTGTGGAATAAACTTGGTTCTGTGGTTAGTTAAAGTGAACTCTAGTGAACAGCTGGGGGGTGGGGAGGCATGTCAGCAGCTCGAATAACAAACAGTTCCTGTTCCTTGAAAGTTTTTCCTTCCGTTTTGTGAACTTGTCATTCAAAAGTCTGAAAATGCTCATTTGTTAGATTTGACACTGACAGAAAACTTTTTAACAATTTTGATTCTGAAAGGTTCTGTTCTTTGGAGATTAGCATCAGTCTCATTTTCTTATGAACCAGAACCTTGTTGCACCATAACTCTAGACCGCGGGGGTCACAGCATTTCTAGAATGACGACGTTTGTCTCCCCAGTATGGCTGTAGATGTAGGTCGTCATGTTTTTACTGTTTATTTTTGGACAGCGCACAAGAAAAAAACATCACCGTAAAATAATTTTTAGGTCAAACTGAATCCCTTATTTGTGGAATTTAGAACTATTAACAAAAAAAAAGATGTCCCGTGTCGTGGGAAGATTGGACACTGCTGCATTTATTCATCCATCTCACAGATCAAAGGTTTGAATTTGGGCCGTGCAGATATTTCTGTTTCACATTCGATTAATGAAAAATAGCACAATCGAGCTAGGAAATCTATGAAGGTAAGAGCTGATACTGGAACCCACAGCCAGTAAAGATGATTACACTTACCAGCAAGCCTACCTGTTCAGGCCGGACTGACAGTTGCTGAACTGGTTTATCCTGCAGGACGACTGACAAATGACACCAGTAACATTTCAAAAGTTCTTTTCCCCATTTTTATTTTTAGTCATATTAAAAATGTTCAAATCCAGATACACAAAATAATGTTTTATGTTTATGTTTTTGAAAGAAATGCCAAAGTTTGTTTTAAAGAAAGGAGTCATAACATCTGAACAGAGGAGGTTACAGATTTAACTGATAACTTTACATCAGACTGCTTTAATATTTTACACACATTCAAATTCCACAGAAACAACCTGCGCTGACTCCACAGCATTTAATAAACAACAGGTGCTGGGTAAGCTAACCTAGCATTGTTGTTTTGTTTTCTGTCTTTATGCTGACCTGGACTAATTCAGCAGGTGAGACATTAGCTTTGTTTTTGAGATCCAAATATGACACTGATTCAGTTCATATGTGGTTGTTTGTTTGTTAGGACATTTGTTTTGAACAGACCTATTCGCTAACGTTTGGTCTGGGTGATTAAAATGAGAGATGATGCATGTACAAAAATACAAAAGGGAAGAGAGTTCACTCAAACAAAATCACTTCCAGAACCAAGACTATACATCTGAAAAAAGCAAAGAACCAGGAAAAGTAAAAAAGATTCCACACCACTCATAAGTAGTTATTTAATCCTCGTAGTGCTAACTGGTTATGTACGCTGTGCCGTCAGGTTAAACCATAAGATGTGTTGCAAACAGAGCAGAAAGGGCGGTGAGGGCCAGGGTGAGCCCGGAGGTCCCAGGCAGGCCTGGTGCCGAGTTGCACAGGTCGGTGTTACAGCAGGTCTTGGTCATTTTGTAAACGGTGATGTTACTGCTGAAAGAGAAGTTTTCTTCTGAAGTCATGTTGCACTTAGCAACTGCAAGACAGCCCTTCATTTTGATGTCCATGAAGCCAGCTATGAAAGGACAGCACCAACATGGCATCAGTGTATAGTTAGCAGTTTCTACATCAACATAATTAATATGTTCATGTATTATATGGACTACCACATGAGCCTAAAGTGACAAATGGTAGCAAAGACATTAGTTTACACAAATGTGAAAACTAAAAAGTCCTTCCAGTCTGACTTCAGGGTGAGGGACTTTAGGAATGCTGCTGGTGTCTCTGAGTGTAACTGTTGTATAAGCTGAGCAGCTCACCTGCTTTCCCAATCCCACTGAAGCATTGTTCTCCGCTGCTACACGTGGTCTTTGTTGTGAAGCACAGGTCCCACAAGCCGATTTTGCATTGGTAGCAATCTAGAGCTTGACCTAATTGATTCAAAACAAAATAGAGGGAGTTAGGGGGAGTTGTGGGTCAAATGGAACAAGGAAGAAGAAAAATACGGTTTGACAACATGTTTCACATCCCTGTTGGAAGAGAAAACGTTAGACTTAAATCCATTGAACTGTTGGATAATAAATCGACTTTCAGATCTTTATCTTAGCCGTCTGTGTTTACTAATGAAGAACCTTGTGGTAAGTAATCAGATAAAACGTGTAAATAACTGTTAGTTCTGCCACATCAACCTATAGCCCCCCAAAGCCCTTTACCCTGCTGATCATCCTGGTTTTTTGTCAGTTTTTAATGTTGTAACACCAAACAATTAGTAAATGGCACAAAAACATTTTATCCATGCAGACGATATAATTCCAGTTTTATTGTGTGTAGCAGAGGTTTTCCCACACATCATGAAGAAAAAAAACTTTTGAGAGAAGTTTGAAGCTTTCACCCAGGTGTCTCTGAAGGCTGCAGGTAACAGCAGCGTGTTAAAAGTAACCCTAACCAACCGAGCATGTTCACACGATAAACCAGAGATATCAAAACTATCAAACTGGGGGTTGTTTCAAAGTATAAAAACTGGTAATTAAAACCTGCTGCTTAGCAAATCTAATGAGTGAAATGTAACCTGGTGAGTAAACAGTGAAGCGCATTTTCTGGTAAATGGTTTACTTCCAGAAGAAGAAGAAGAAGAAGAAGAAGAAAAGATATTTTCTATAGCACCTCTCAAGATAAAAATCACGAGGTGCTTCACAAAAATAAAAAATGTAAAATATAAAAAAGAAGTTAGAAAATGATTAAAAATATTTTTCAAATGAGCAAAAAAATAGACAACTGTGATTAAAAAATGTAAAGAAAGAGAGAGAGAGAATAGGAAAGAGGGAAATCAGTGGATCCTGAGGAAGGTGGGATAGGTGGGGAGAGGGTGATGAAGGTCCATCCTGAACAAGTGAGTCTTCAGCTGCCTTTTAAAGGAGACCACTGAGTCCACCGATCTCAGGCTCAGGGGGAGAGAGTTCCAGAGTCTGGGGGCCACAGCAGCTTCAGCAGGTGTTTGTTCTGGTTACCATCCTCCAGAACTGGTTAGGCCAACATATTTGATGACATTCATCACTAAGCCCCGAGGCAGAGTCAGACACTGAGGATGTGACTTTGCATAAACATTGAAACTCCTCGTAAACCTGTCGCTCTGGTTTGAAGGCCAGCATCTTGTGATTGCTTTTGTTGTGGAACGTGATGAATCATCAAGCTAAAGAAACAGAATGTTCCTTTTGTTAGACAGACTGTTTGATTTTCTTTTTAACTTTACTGCAGGACATGTTCAGATCCTCGTCAACAGCTGACTTAAAGAAGAAACCCTAATTCCAAATAAAGCATTTGTTTAATCCTAATCTGACTACAAATCAACAGTCCAGTCACCTAATCCAGTTTTTCTCTGCTGTATCAGGAAATCCCGACCTGTAAAGGTCACAGGTTACAGCTAGACATCACCTTTGGTAGGATTATTATAACATGTTGACTGAGTCAGGAGTTTAATATAAAAACAACTTTAATAAAAATGTTGTCTCAATGGGAAACTCAATGTGCTCTCTGTTCCTTATCTCTCCCTCCCACCTGTTTGTCTGCAGCTGGTTGATGCGCCGCAGTGGCAGCTCCCATTGGAGGCTTCAGGATCCCGCCCAACCCCGCCTCCCCATCGGACTCTGATGTTTGTATCTGTGCTGTTTGTGCTTATATGTTTGAGGAGTGTTTTTTTTTTTTGTATAATAGAGTTACTCCCCACTGGGTCTAACTCTACTATGCCTTTTTTTTTTACCTTACCCCCAATTATCCTCATGTAACACCCTTTTCGTCTATCTATTAAGGTAGCGCGACTCATGTTGCGAACGACCGCAGTCACCAATTCTTGTCATGTGTCTTACCCATGTATGTCTGATCTTTGAATTGTGTGCACTGAAACTCAATTTCCTTTCTCTGTATGTCCTGCACATGTGGTAGAAATGACAATAAACGACTTTGACTTGACTTTGACTTGTCTCTTCTTTTAAGTGACTATCAGTTAAATCTAAATAAAGTTTGTGAAATGAAACAATTTAAGGCTGATTTAAAGGTTTTTACTTAAATGTCTCATATTTAAAAGGTTTCATCGTTTGTCCTTTTATTTTAAATATGATGCTTTGACATCTGTGTGTCTAAAACAACTTACGTTTTTATACTATCCTAATAAATAATCTCCCAGATTTTAATATTTAGGTGGCTAAACTTGTTTACAGAAGGACTAAAACCAACTGAAGTAAGTAAAAGCAGCATGGAGTCGTCGGAGGAGGACCCTGGTACGTATGAGCTATTGAACATTTGTTTTTCAAAGCTAAGTTTTAGATCAGTTTCATCTGCTTAAGTTTGAAGAAAACAAAAGAAATGAGCAAAGTCTCAACATAAATCTAATTTTATAATTAGTCACACTGGATGGAGGCAATGGCGTTACGTGATGCAGACGCATTTTTCCTAAACAATCATGTGCTTTTAGGAGTTCTCATCAGGCCTGAGTGAAAAACAAACACTTATGCTTATGCCACGGTTCCATATCAGCAAGTGAACATACTTTAACTAAATACATTTGAACTAAAATCTTATATGAATGACAAGTGATTAGAATAAGCTAATTATTTTGTATAGTTTGCGTTTTTTAAGTACAGTAAAGCACGGCTCCACACCCTCTGCTTCAGGGTTTCGGCTACACCCAAACATTTCATCCTCGAAGCAAAAAGATGCTCTTAGTTACATTTGTTTTAAAGGCTTAACTAAACCAGATTCTGGTCAATTTTATTTTCTCAAAACTTAGAAGAGCCCATATTTAATAAGGTAAGTCATAAGGTACTAGACTGGATCTGAGGTGGGTTTTATCTCATACTGAAGAGGCTGAAACGTTGGGCTAAGCTTAAGAGCTTTGTGGTTTTTTGTTCACATGGCCGCGCCTAAACACGTCATCCCTGAGAAATGCAGTCAGACGAGTTAAGGGGGGAACTCCAGCCAGAACCCGTCCTGATGCTCTAGACCCTTTGAACTTTAGATTTTATAGAAGGAGACTTTTACTGAAGATGGGGTTTATTTCACCACTACTGGACTATTTTCTACAGGAATTAAATCTCTCTCTCTCTCTCTCTCTCTCTCTCTCTCTCTCTCTCTCTCTCTCACTCACTCACACACACACACACACACGCACACACACACTGTTCTCAGAAATTATTCCATATCTCCTGTCTTCCAGTAGCGTTCCTTCTGCTGGGTGATGAGTCACGTACCCTCCAGTCTTACCGGAGCTGCTGCTCCACATATTTGGGATTTCTATGTTATCTCTGTTCTTTACACGTATTTCCCTCCTTCTGTATGCTGTAGCAGCAAAGACAATTAAAAAGGCTGTTCTATTATTTATGACTTGGTACATCACATCCAGCTTGATGTATGTGCAGAGATTCATCTGGATAAACATTTTACATAATTATTCATCTATTAGGCATTTTTCATTTCCAGATATTTAATATTTAAACTCACTTTTTGGCCAAATTGAACTGAACAGTTACTTTATAAGATTTAAGCTTTTATCCCATTTAATGTTCATTATTCAGTACTTTAATTGTGGTTTGATGCTGCTAATAACAAATGTGGTGCATTAAAGCTGAACATTTCCACCTGTTTATAACCTCTATAATTAGCTAAAAGACACCAATAATATTTATTTCCCTAATAAATTAGTTTTTTTAAATGAATAATGTTTATTTTCAGGGAACACAGCGGCAGCCACAGACCTAAACTAGAAACATGACATTTTTAAAAATAAAATTCAAGGACTATTATTGTTCCAGTTTCATTTTTCACCTAAACCCCACAGGGGGGTCCCAACCACAGATATGTACTGTACGTGTGTGTTTATATACATATCTATGGTCCCAACACCACCTTAGATCCCACTCAGCTGTTTTGACTCCATGGAGACCATCTGAGGCGTGGCACCAAGCTAACAAAACTTCCCAGACCATACTGCCCCCTGCTGTTCAATACCATGAGCTGCATGTTTCCACTTCCCACAATCAAAACTGTACCTATAAAAAGTAATGTTTTTAAAGCTTGGGGAGCAAAATGTGCTTTTTGTTCTATTCTCATGTCGACATGTTTCCTGTGTTTTTCCCTAAAGTGAATCAGAATGGGGGAGTCTGATGGGAGTAAAAAGAACTACAATTTAGTCCATTTTCCAGCTGACTTGAAAGCATAAATGCAGTGTCTGCGTTTGTAGTTCTGTCCTACACAACAACCAGTTTGACCAGTTACAGAACTGGAGTATATAAATGATAAATAAAATAAATGACACGCACTTGTATAGCGCCTCTCAGAGTGAGTACTCCAGAGCGCTTTACACTACAGTGTATCATTCATCCATCCACACACACATTCACACACTGATGGTGATGAGCTACGATGTAGCCACAGCTGCCCTGGGGCGCACTGACAGAGGCGAGGCTGCCGAGTACAGGCGCCACCGATCCCTCCGACCACCACCAGCAGGCAAGGTGGGTTAAGTGTCTTGCCCAAGGACACAACAGCAGAATTCTCTGTCCGAAGCCGGGACCGAATCTGCAACCTTCTGATTACTGGATAACCCGCTCAACCTGTTGAGCTACTGCTGCCAAGGACATGTTCTATGTTTTACACTCAACTCAGTAAATCAGGCCCGAGGGGCGTGGTGTTTACTAAAATCAGAGTTGGTATTCAAGTTAAACCCTGGGGGATGAGTGTTGTAAGGGGTTTCATGATACTTGTTTCCACTTGCTGTTCTAACAGTCAACATTTCAACATTGGCCCTACAGGGGCGGATCCATGCGACTCCCAGAAGCTTCTAAGAAAGAAACTAGGACCTCCCATAAACTGAAAATCCAAAACTGTCTGAGTTTAAAAGCCCATGAAGGCATTTAGGGTTGATTCCTGCCTCTATGTAAAGCTAAAAGTCAAATCAGTCTCATTTATTTGATGCCCATTTTAAACAACTATAGGTGGGGAATTACATCATTTGTTGCCAATCAAGGCTCAGAAAATGACCCATTTCCTTTAAAGCATTCCTTACCACAATTAGCCATTATTATTTTCTCTCCTCTGTCAGCATTTTCCATCTCCCAACTCTGGAAAAGCTTTTTCATATGGGTTTAAAGTAGCCAACAGCTACACAGACATGAGTTTGTTTGGTTTTCAGGCACATGGTGCTTGGGGAAACCTCTCAGCAGCCTGTAACTTCAGAAAAAAACCTGACCACCTTCTGAGATCACCTTCCTCCACACACGTTCATAAACAGGCTCATCTCTTTGGCTTATTTCTGACCTCGGTGTGTAATTATCTGCACCTGTGACTAATTGTTGACAGAAAAACAAATATAAGAGAACCACCTAACGTATAAGACGATGAGATTATAGTTCCTTCTGCTGAGGGAGTAGTTTGAAACAGGATCTTTAAATCAAAGGTGTGAGGACATTTTAACCGAAACAAGCTGAGCCCCAAACACAATGGAAGCACAAACGGCCACGGTAGAAATTGAATTTAATACTTGGGAAAAAGCTTCAAGGTATACAAGGTGAGGAATTTCTCATGCTGGCATGTTGGAGCATGATTCAGTCATTTAAATACATGTGGAAAAATACTGACAGCTTGGTGGTTCCACAAACAACCTGCCTCACCCCAATCTGTAACAACAGCACAAGCCTGCTGTGCTCAGAAAAGACCAAAAGATTATGATTCACCAAGATTACGCAACACTTCCAACAGTTGGAGGAATAGTTCACTTAGGTTTGTGTGTAATTTATAATTTACCTGGTTTTGATCGCTTTTGGAACAACCTCAGTTTGGAAAAATGCAGTTTACATCCTACAGAACTGATGAGCTAACGACTAGTTTCTGATTTGTTTTTCCATTTCAGCCAAAATAGTTGTGTAAAAAAAACTGATGAGGCGTACATCTTTGACAAATAATAATAGCATAAATCATGATAGCAGAGCAGGGATTAGCTGTTATCTCATCAGTCCTGTAGGACATTAACCATTATTTCTTAATAGAGGAAATGAACTAAAATCACTAAGATATTAATTATGTTAAACTTTTCCACAAAAATATAATTTAAAATGTCAAATATCCATTAAAATTGGGTCCACAAGTTAAAAAAAAGCTAAGCTAGTAATTGGTTGTTTGTTTGATTTGCTCATTAATTATTGGATTTATCAGTGACATAAAAAGCCTAAAATACAGTATGGGGGTAAATCAATGACATTTCCTTGATAACCTTTTTGATTTGTAGACAATCTTTATGACTTTTTTGCTAACTTGATATAAGCTAATTATTTAAATCATTTTATTAGTTTAGTTCAATATAAATTACCAAAAAATTGCCATTTTTAGCAGGGTTTCTACTTTAGCATAAATTATTGTTTCCTGAATTTTAGTTTGTTTTTTAATCAGTTGTAATTACCTCAGCATTGCTACAGACTCAGGCCGGTTTGAATGTTTAATAAAGTATTATAGCATAAGAAATAAGACCAACCTCTTTACTGAATATGGGTGAGCAAACCTGGTCTTTGAAAGCCACTGTGGCTGCATGTTTTCTACATGTCCCTGCTCAGACACACCTGATTGTACACCAAATTGGGATTCTTATTTAAAGTTGTGGTTTACTCGTTTAATCAATACATCTGCAGTGGTCTCTAGTAGGAGCCTTGTAAGTTGTTCTCTGGGGGAAACAAAGCTCAGATGTGCCTGTTTCAGGAACTACAAGTCAGCTGGAGGATAAAGTAGCTTCACATTTTGGACATCTCACCTCTGACTGGCTAACAGCAACGCGACTACCACTTTTGCAACGTTTGCTCTGCAACATTGATGTTTTATCTTTACAAATAACAAGACTGGAAGAGTTCTGCTGTGTGGCGGGGTTACTATTGCTAACAGTTAGCTTCTACAAGTCGAGACATTCTCTGCCGTTTCCTGGATGCTAAACCAACAACAGCCTTCCTCGTCATGGAAGTCACCTAGGTGGTGGAGGAGGTCTCTGTCTGTGCCTCTGAGAGCTTATGCTGAGAATTGTGCTCTATTTGACCAACAGGATGATGATCGAGTAGTTCTTTCCCTCTCTGGATGTCGGACCAGCTGTTGATGGTCGGCAGAAGGACCATGGTTTACTCCTGACCCTAGACATGAATGGATTGGGCCCTTTCCACTATTGTCTGTGGAACCAGCTCTCAAAGAGTCTTTTGCTTCAGACTCTACCCCTAAAAGCAGGTGGAGCTAACCCCTCATCCCAAGAAAATATTCTCTGATTGGATCTTCACAAATGACGTAGGTGCCCTATTTAGCATTTAAAACAGCAAATTTTGTTGGTAGAGGATTTTCAAGTCAGGAGATGGTTTGAAATCAACTTTTATTGCTGTCTTGAAATTCACTTGCTTTGCATTGTAACAAATGGTTGCACAGACAAACAAAAGCTGCCAGCCAGGCAGGAGCAAATGACATAAATGATGGTGAAAAACTCATTTTTGCATATCCACGTCTCCAGTTTTTGCATTTGGGTTGAAACCTTGGAAGGAAACAAGTCTTTAGCTCATTTTGCAAGTCAAAATTAAATGTTTCAGAATTTGTGTTAAGACGTTGATAATAAGGTTTTATGGAAGTCATGTGACATTAAAGTGAATCAGTGTGCAAAACTAAGTCCGCTGTAAAGCATAAACAAATATTACTGCGTTTATACTCGATGGTTTCTATGCCACTACTATTTACTGTATTTCAATGGGAGGTTGAAATTCTTTGTTCTTGCCTGTTTTGATTTGCATCTTGGCTAACAGGGTGGGGCACCTGACCCAGAAAGCCCAAAAATATCATTTTGTTCACCTTAAATTATCCTAAAACAAAATGTTTTAATATTCAACCCATATTTACCAAGTCAGAACCGAGCTGAACTCGACTGGACTTTTATCAAAAACTGTTCAGTCTGGAAACTTACTTCACAACAGTTTAATTAATGTTGAAATTGTAATGTAATAAACATTTATTGTCTTTAAAAGCCTATTTTACGATAATTAAATTATTGGTTATTCTCTTTGTTTCTAATTTAGTCAGTTAGAATGTATTTAACAATGTTGGAACTTCCACATTGTTAGTGAAAGCAAGTTTTAAGGCTTTAAAAGTGTATAAAGTTCATAAAGTCTAAATAAATCACGATTACGCAACATTTTAACATAAAACTATGTGCACTTGTTACTTGGTTTGTTCATTTGGATGCTAGTTGAAGATCAGGTTAGTTTTTACCGAGTAGCAGCGACAGTTTAGGGTCCGTGAACACACCCAGTCAGCACTGTTACTCTTCAGCCTTCATCAATACACACCATATTTAACATCATCGACATAACATACACGTTTGCTTGAAATAAAACGGCTCAGAAAGCGCATACAACACCAATTAACCCGAAAAGCACTAAATATCTGTTCTAATATGAGAAACTATTTGATAAAACTTTTGGAAATTTTTTTTGTCTCAGTTAATAATTAAGAATACTTACCAACGGCAAAGCAGAAAGCGACAGCGAATATAAAAGCGATTCTCTTCATCTTTGAGCGGGGAAAAAAAGACGAAATCAAGGCGACAAACTGAGGAAGGAACAGCGGTTCTCCTGCGTGGAACTGAGACCGTTATGAGCTCAGACCAACTCGCATTTATCGCTTTAACCGCCCACTCACGCGCCACCGTTATCCAATAAGGGCGCGCGCGGCACCCACCCAGGAGCTTTTAAAACGCAGGTGAGAGAGGGCCGCAATCATGGTGGGACATTCCGACGCATTTCTTATTAGGAAAGCGTCATGGAATGATTGTGTTTCTGCTTTTCAAACTCCTCATATCTCAGCAAAAAGAAAAAGACCAAAATAATTCTAATTATTTTAGCGGTCGCTTAAAAAAAGTAAAGCGACCATTTAAATAAACACACACAACACAATACAGTCTTTTTCATATTACATAGGCTCAGTATTTTCATGTATAATCAAAAGTGGCTTTTATTTGTTTTTGTTCTTTTTGTTGTTGTTGTTTTTTGCAAATAAACTTCACAAATAGCCTAAGTCTAGTTTTTTGTGATGAAACAGTTTTAAAAAGCGTGTTAGAGATACTGTACGACCTTAAAGAGCAAGTTACCCCCAAATCAACTTTTTTTTAACTGATTAACTATATAAACGAGTCTCTAATCATGCTGTAGACAAGTGTAGTCAATAATGTGGCACTAAGTGCATCTTAGTTAAAATTTAAATATTCTGCCTAAAACTCAGTGTTGTGCAGTTGTCAGATGGAAACTCTGAACTGTATTTGAATTCAAATCTGCCATCGCTGTTACATTATGATGTACCAGCTAACGTCACATTTATGGGAAATGTCTTCTATTCATGATTATCTTATACTTGACCAGAAGGCCAGATGACTGAGCTGAGACATAGGTGTGTTGGCCGTGCTATTGTAAGAGCCACGCCCATTTTGCCGGGTTTTATTGTGGATTATTTTTCTATGACCAATATGATTTGTGGTCGCAATTGACCATCAGACCTTTTGAGCACCCCAGTTTTATTTCATTTTTATTTATTTATTTATTTATTACAAAAAGGTTAAGGGGTTACAATAAAAGGAAAAAGTCAAAGCCAAAAGAAAAAGACTCACTGGTAGCAGTTCAAACCCCTCATGTAAATGACATGGCATTTTTCTGACCTGATTATAATTAAAGATTGAGCATTCTGTAAGGAAGTGCATATCACCTTTAATTTCTTATTTTTACTACCTAATTTCCAATGGTCAGAAAGGATGAAATTACATCTGCTTTGGTAAAAACTTTAATATAAATATGCATGATTTCATCTGATATATGTTGACATTTATTTGTGAAGCAACGGTGCATATTAATAAACATAAATATTTTAATAGACAAGCTTATAACCAGAGCTGATTTTCATCTCCAGTCACCTGGCAGGCTACTGTCACACACCCAAATAAAAAAAACCTTATAAATGGTCTAAGAAATATCAGCATATGATAAATTACCACACACAAATGTGGTTGTGACTGCAACTAAGAAAACTACCATAGAAACTTTGCAAGCCTCTAAAAAAATGGCCAAGTTTTATCATCTTTTTTTAAGGTTTCTGAGCAGTGGAAGCCATCTTGAATGGGGCCAACCTAAATTTAACTGTAATAAAGAAATAAAATTGGCCCTCACCACCTGTAGATCCTCCAGCAGAGGGCAGTGGACCTGAATCGAACTGTAAAAGGCATGTCCATGATGAAGGCACTAATAGTGATAGTCCATCTGGACACTTTACACACTCTACAAGTGGTTTGATGTGAATCTGAGACGTTTGTCTATTCAGGTATAAACAATAAGGTGTATGGCAACATTTTGAGCTGTATGTAGAATAAAAACAATGAAGCCTCAGGACTTTAGATTTTTGGCATTTCTTGAAAAATCAGAGATTACTAAGTTAATTGATGAACCATCTGAATAAGATCAGGTCTTCTTTACCAGTTTGAAACGCACCACAAAAAATACTGACTGAAATACCAATAATGTGTTTTTATGGCTCAACATGTAACTCGTTTGTTTGATGTGCTTAAATAGTATACTGTTTAAAACTATGGTTGTAGACCAAATTTAAGACACTCTTGTGTATTAATACAGGATTGAGGAAGTGAGGTTTGTGTTGCCATTTCCTTTCATTCTGAGTTTTTTAAATGTGAAATGTCAACTGACTGATGGTTTGGATGTGTCTCGTCCTGCCCAGTTTGTGCTCCAGCACGTCTCTGTGTTTGTTCCTGAGTGTTAGCAAACAGCATTACTGGGGACAAGTAACCAAGAAGTGTTGGATTGTAACAGTTTGGGCACATCGGGCTTAAAAATGAGAGATTGTAGATAAGTTTGCTTATTGAGTGGTTTAATGATTATCCCAAAGAGAAACACTGGTTTTAAAGCAAAGTGGGGGGTGTAAGAGTTATGAGATGGTATCTATAACGCCATAATTATGTAACCAAATGCACTGAGAGCGAAGGAATGTGAAACCAGTGAGAAATGCCTCAGTTGTGTAGCCCACAGATCCTCAGCGTTTCTCATCGCTTGGAAAGAAGGCGTGTGGCAAACAAACTGATCTCTAGTCATCATTCAGAAAAATCAACGGAAAACAACGAGATAGTTTAGTAATTGGATTTCGTTCTTTCTTCCCTTTTTTTTTTGAGAAATGTAAAAACATTCTTTGGTGCTGCATGTGGAGGTCCCATAAATAGATAATTGGAAACTACCAGAGTGTAGTCACAGGGCTGCGTCACGAGGTTTGGTTGACACTAAAATATATAAATTTATTATTGCAACAAGACAGGAATATTCCAGGAAACTTCGAGGTGGGAAGACAAAAGGAGGCTGAAATAACAGGAAGTGACCCAATTAAAATATAAAAAGGAGACCTTTAACCCTCCTGAAGACAGGGGTGTGTCCTGGGGGCGGCCTGGGGTAGCACATGCCACCCTTGGAATCTGACTGGCCACCCCACTGAATTTCCTTTAAATACTTTTCCACAAAAAGCTTGGGGTAAAAAAGAAAAAGCATAACCATCGGTGCCACCCATGCACAAAGAAGTGCACTACCTGGGCCACCCCATTTTAAAAAATCTGGCCACGCCACTGCCTGAAGAGAGGATGGTTGAGAAGCAGGTATGGACTGGGACTAAAAAACAGCCCTGGACTTTGACTAGGCCCGGCCCAAAAGTAATCGGCACGCGGAAATTCCGCAGCAAAAATATGTGGTCAAACCATCAAAATTATAGCAACAGCACTAATGTTGACTATATGTTGTATTAAAAGCTGTTTTACTGGTAAGCTTAATAATTTATGCAGTAATTAAACTTCTTACTGAACAAATAATACCACATCTAAATGAAAATGCAACATTACAAATGTAACTTCTGTATTTAAGATTTTCAAAGTTTGTGAGTATTAACTGTAACACTACTACCAACCTTTTTACGTAAAACCACAACATGTTTCTTATTACCCACTGCATGTGGCCTTTTACAGCTAAAATGTTGAAATTTAGCTGTTATCATAAAATAAAATCGCAACCTAAACATGAATTCCTAACATCAATCCTTGCAAATGTTTCTCCTCTTACATTCCATACTGTAGCAGTTACTAAAGTGGGTTTACTTCCTGTTACCCAGGAGTGCTGAGTGGCATATTTAAGTGGGTGAACCACGAGTGAGAGGGGGATGTCTGTTCACGACCTGGCTCTGACCATTGCTAATAAAGGGAGTATACTGTTCAGTACTGCTGTCATTACTGACTCATGAGCATTTAATTGTCACACTGGTGTCAGAAGTGGGATGTTAAGATGACTTCAGTGAGAGAAATTGAACAGTTTCTGGCTGACCTGGAAATGGGTGGAGATCATGCCTTAACCATCAACCAACCCAGACAACGATGCGGCGGCAAGCAGCCTTTGTCAAGGCATGCTGAAGAGCATTGCCGGAGGGAGGAGTTGTCTATTCCAAGGCAGGTGGATAAGCGATACCTGGTGGAGGCTCCTGCAAGTCAGGGTCGACCAGATGGAGCCAGCGCTGCCCGTGGACAGCTTTTTTCAAGGCTGGAAAGAACACTCACTGCCTCTCAAATAGCGGCGTCGACACCTCAAGCTGAGGGCAGGGTTTCTACAGCGGCAATTCTGCACCCGACAGCCCTGCCCAAGCTTCCCCATTACAATGGGGAAACTGAGGTCGATGGCTACCTCATCCAAGTGGACTTGGCGGCTGAACTATGTGGTTGCTCACCGGAGGCGACGGCGTTGCAGGTTTCTCTGAGCCTGGAAGGTGGTGCACTCCAGGTATTGTCTGACCTGAGACCAGGGGAACGTCAACATTGGCCGCTGGTCCAGGATCTATGCTGAGCATGCGAGGGAACAGTTGGTCACTTGTCGTCGACGGGATGGTGAGACTCTTGGTTCCTATGCTGCGGATATCATGCTCCTGACTCGACAAGGATACCCTGATTTGGAGAAAGGAGTTCAAGAAAAACTGGCTCTACAAGGCTTCACTAGAGGACTCCGGCCTATCAGCCTTCGTGAACACATTTGTTTTAACTGCTCTGACAGTTGGTCAATGGTCCTGAACCATGGCAGAACGAGTGGAGCCCATGCTGGGGGCCAGGAATGACAGCCATGGGACAAGGGTGTATGTAGCTCAAGCTGGCTTGGAGAGTGACGAGGAGGAGGACTACCTGAGAAACACTTCTGTGGGACCCTCACAGCCACCGGGTCGACGGCAGCGACGACGACGTGCTGGGGCAGAGTGCTTTCGGTGTGGAGAACTAGGTCACCTTGCTCGGAACTGCCCGGCTCCAGCTCCACATGAGAGAGAACTACCACCTCATTTAAACTAAGTGGCGGTGAAATTGAAGGGGACCTACCTCCGCAACCAAAGGACACCCCTATTTCTAAGACTGTATTGAGGTCGGGCCAGCTTGGCGGACCGCAAGGATTATATGTGGACATTAAACTCAATGGCAGTCCCCTTCGGGCCCTCATGGATACAGGCTCCACTGTTTCCCTAGTCCGACCCAATACATTGCCTGACTCTGGAATATCGAGGCATGGTGGCTGGATCCCAACGAGGAGGTGTGTCACCACAGCCACCAGGGAACTTCCCAGGATGAAAGGCAACCAGATCCTCAATGTGGAGGTGGATGGGGAGAGTCACGTTCATTTGTTCTGGCTGGCTGACATCCAAGACCCCTGTATTGTTGGAAACACCATTAACATTGCTGCAGCTACGCTCTCAATGGCCCAAAGAACTATTCTGCTCCACTATCATGGTGGGGAGGAAGGTCAGCAGGCGAGGGCACCGGCAGGGATGGAGGCCTCCAACCAGGTATTACTGCACTCAAGTGACACCCCGCCAAAAACCGAGCTGCCTTCCAGCGAGACTGAACATGCAGTTCAAGAACTGTTCCAATGCAGCTGCCAAGGACTAATCAAGGAGCAGAGTGAACAGCTACAAGGTCTGCTGGAGGACTTTATGGATATTTTTGCTGCCAGGAATAGAGTGGTCCCGCACCAGCCTGGTCCAGCATGACATCGACACTGGTGGGGCAGTACCCATCCACCTGCGTACCCATCGTTTGCCTTTGTCAAGGCGGGCTGCGGCGAAACAGAAGATTAAAGAGATGCTGGAGGCTGATGTGATGGAGCCATCAAACAGCCCCTGGGCAGCACCGGTGGTCCTGGTGGGAAAGAAGGACAAAGACTGGAGGTTCTCCGTGGATTATCGGCGGCTAAATGAAGTCACCTGGAAAGAATACTATCCTCTTCCACAGATTGATGGCACCATTGACTGTGTTGCAGGGTCAGACTAGTTCAGCACACTAGACCTTCGCAGTGGCTACTGGCAAGTGGAGCTGGCCCAAGAAGCCTACCCTAATTCACCATCGGGCAGGGACTGTGGCAGTTTCAAGTAATGCCATTTGGTTTCTGCAATGCGTCAGCCACATTCGAGTGCCTGATGGAAAAGGTGCTGGACCAGGTTCCGCGAACCTGCTGTGTCGTCTACTTGGACGATCTCCTGGTACATGCACCCAGCTTTACAGCTGCCCTGGCAAACCTCAAGGAGGTGTTTGAGGCTATCCGCAGGGCCGGCCTACAACTCCACCCCCAGAAGTGTCACCTGTTCCGTCGAGAGACCACCTTCCTGGGCCACATCGTCAGCGCGGCTGGGGTATCGACGGACCCAGACAAGGTCAAGGCGGTGCAAGATTGGCCAGAGCCACGTGACGTTGGTGAGTTACGTAGCTTCCTGGGGTTGGCCTCCTACTACCGAAGATTTATTAAAGACTTTGCCACCATCGTTAGCCCCCTGCATGCACTGACGGAAGGGGCCGACATTCCACTGGGATGAAGACTGTGCCGCTGCATTTGCAACACTCAGGGCTAAACTTGTCGAGGCCCCAGTGTTGCGCTACCCCGATCCAAACTTGCCCTTCATTGTGGACACTGATACCAGTAACAGAGGAATTGGGGTGGTTCTTTCCCAGGAAGGGAAGGACGGTGAGCGGGCGATTGCCTATTACAGCCGCACCCTCAGCCGACCGGAAAGGAACTATTGTGTCAGAACGCCAAAGAGATCACGGATACAAGCGGCCGAAATGAGTTTTCTCCGAAGAGTGGCTGGGCTCTCCCTTAGAGATAGGGCAAGAAGCTCGGTCATTCAGGAGGGGCTCGGAGTAGACCCGCTGCTCCTCCACATCGAGAGGAGCCAGTTGAAGTGGCTCGGGCATCTGGTCAGGATGCCTCCTGGACGCCTCCCTTGTGAGGTTGTCCGGGCACATCCAACCGGGAGGAGACCTAAAGGTAAACCCAGGACACGGTGGAGGGACTATGTCTCTCACCTGGCCAGGGAACGCCTTAGGATTCCCCCGGAGGAGCTAGCCCAAGTGGCTGGGGAGAGGGAAGTCTGGGCCTCTCGACTTAGGCTACTGCCCCCGCAACCCGGCTCCGGATAAGCGGATGAAAATGGATGGATGGACATTTGTTTGCATCTGGTCCATATTAGAACTGGTCCAGCTCATAAACCACTGTATTTACTTATCAGATCTAGATTATTCTACTAATAGACAAATCAAATAAAAGCTTCACAAAACACAAACTATATGTTGATGCTGCTGCTGTTGGTGTAAAAAGTCTGGTTCAGGCTTAAAGTGTCGTGGGTTTTAAGCCGGACCAGTTCCAGTGGGATCCAAATGCAAAACAGTACTGAAAACAAGGGCTGGACAATATAGTAAAAAAGCATATTGGTAAGAAAAAAAAATCAGTTTGATCTATATCAGTTATGGATAATTAGGGAGGGGAGGGTTTGGTGAAAGAGCATGCCTGAGTCTGTGTTTTTGATTGGTTGGGAGTAAGTATCGACTATTATTAGGCTACACGATAAGCTATACCACCGATTATGTTCATAACTTTCATGGAAAGGATTTCTAGGCGCAGCCAAGGTGTTGAGGGGATCTGATTTGGTGGCCTAAGGATTGAATCTCTGCTTTTTGCAGATGGTGTGGTCCTGTTGGCTTCATCAGAACGTGAACTCCAGCTCTTATTGGAGCGGTTCGCAGCCGAGTGTGAAGCAGCTGGGATGAGAATCAGCTCCTCTAAATACGAGATTGACAGGCGGATTGGTGCTACGTCTGCAGTGTTGCGGGCATTGTCTGTCGTGGTGAAGAGAGAGCTGAGTCAGAAGGCAAAGCTCTTGATTTACCGGTCAATCTATGTTCCAACCCTCACCTATGGTCATGAGCTTTTGGTAGTGACCGAAAGAATGAGATCGCGGATACAAGCGGCCAAATTTAGTTTTCTTCACAGGGTGGCTGGGCTCTCCCTTAGAGATAGGGTGAGAAGCTCGGTCATCCGGGAGGGGCTCAGAGTAGATCTGCTACTGCTCCTCCACATCGAGAGAAGCCAGTTGAGGTGGCTCGAGCATCTGCTTAGGATGCCTTCTGGACGCCTCCCTGGTGAGGTTTTCCGGGTAAGTCCAACCAGGAGAAGGCCTAAAGGAAGACCCAGGACACGCTGGAGGGACTATGTCTCACGGCTGGCCAGGGAATGCCTTGGGATTCCCCCGGAGGAACTGGTCCAAGTGGCTGGGGAGAGGGAAGTCTGGGTCTCCCTGTTTAGGCTACTGCCCCCGCGACCAGACCTTGGATAAGCGGCCGAAAATGGATCAATGGATGATAGGCTATAATAGAAAAAAGGTAAGAAGCTTTGTATTGCCCCATTTTTTTTCTATTGCGCTGTACGTCTATCGATTGATATATATGGTATTGAATTATTGTCCAGCCCTACTGAAAACTCTTAACTTTCAAAAATGAAATAAATGTTTCACAAACTAAGTTTTAATGATTCTTATGTTAGTGTAGGATATTCTAACCCAGGGTTGAAAAGTAGAACAGATTAAAAATGCTCAGGTTGCGTTTGCCCGTTACGGAACGATCATATTTCAGCGAATCAGAATCTAAAACAGTGAAACTAACTTCAGCTTTATCTCCGAGTTCCACCATTAACACCAAGGACAGTTCCCTATATTCATCACAAAGCTCATCGTACACTTTGGGAGTCAGCTGATGAAGCCAAAACTGAGCTTCTTCTTCCGCTTTTTGCTTTAACCGACCACTGTTGATCACCGCGCAGTAATGCAGGCATGCGGCCCAGCTGAAGCTGCATCGTGCTGTGACCTGTCTGCACAGCTCGAGGGCTCTGACAGTTTCTAAAGTTCTCAGAGAAACTGAAATAAATATAATTAACTGTTGAGATTACTCTGAAAGCATCCTGGTAAAACAGGTTTAGCGTTCTCGTTAAATCAGTGGCTAGAATGATGCAAAATTATACAGTAACTGAATAAAAACATCGTTTCAAACTTTTCTTCTGTTTAACGTTGGATTTTATTTCTGATTTAAACCATAAAAAAACTGACTTTTGCATCAGGTTGCACCTTTAAAAACACCACTCTATCATTTAGTGTGGTTCTGATCGCTTGCTATTGACTCCATGTTGGAGTTAAACCCATTCGACAGCAAAATGTTGCATCTGGGGCGTGGCAGAGCAGAGGCTTGAGATTTCACATGACTGGAGCAGTCAGCCAGAAGTCACAGAGTCAAATGTCGATGTTTCACCTTAGATCCAGGTCCGTTTGACCATTTCTGTAAAGTGAAGGTTTCGTTTAAAGTGTTTAGAGAATAAAGAAGGTGGAACTGGTCTGGGAGTTGGAGGTTATTCTTGGTCATAAGAGGAAACTCCTCCTCCTTTCCCTTCTGGAAAAAACGAAGCCACATGAGGAAAACACAGAGGTGGAGTAACTCTTGCATGAGTCAGACGAGAAGAAGCCATATTCTAGTGTCTTAAGGTGTTTTCTGAGTGTCTAGAGCGTGCACAGTTACCCATTTGTTCTATTTTTAAGATCTAAAATAACTCAATTAGATCTCCGTGACGATGACCTCAGATGCATTACGGAGATCTTGTGATTCGTGTCATTTTAACAGTCGCTTGCTCGTCATTGTGGTTTCTGAAGGATCATGAGATGTCCCTGCAGCCGCACCCAAAAACCCAACCACCACTCAAGATCCAAGAAGTATCGCAGATCCAAAACACACACCGTAAAAATGCTGCAACAGGCCGATTTGTGGTCAGATACTTTTGTTTTCCACTAAACACAAGAAATAAAAAAAGAATCTGAAAAGAAAACAGAAGTTTATTGAGTTTCCGAATCCTGCTCACCCGCCCACAGTCGCACAAACATAACAACAAACAAACGTCATCAGTCAAATCAGGACACGTAAAATACCTTGTGCATTGTGAAAACTAAAAAACTGCTGCAGTCACAGGAGGAGGGCTGCCGAGAGTCCCCTGCTGTTTTCAGACAGCAAAAACAGGCAGCAGGAGGAGAGTCTGTCCGTCTCTGAAGCTGAACATAAATAATGACGTGGAGGGGTCGGATCAGTGCAGCGATGGAGGGAGATCAAGGGTTCAGATTGTCTTTGGGCCTCATTCTCAACAGCAATAGTTTGACTTTTGTTCGAAAAACAAATCCTGGAAATGTTCAGGTGACACAAATCATCAACAAACAAACAACATAGAGGTTTCATCTGCTCAAACTACAAAACAAAACACTAGTCTCGTTCAGAAAGGAAAATCTGTTTAAGAAGCTGGATGGTGTTTTCCCAGGATCCCACCCAAACATGAGACTGATGCTGCCTTGTTCTCTCTGACTAATGCAGCGTTGGAGCTCTAATAAATACTTTAGACATCGTCATGGAAATATCTTTTAGTTTATGACTAAAAAGATCAAAAACTCTCAATAACCTGAGATCAAATCACCTTAAAAGCTGTGATTATTGTCATTTCCCCCTTTTAAACCCCCGAATATCATTAAAAACAAAATAAATCTGTTATATAACGAGGTAACGAATCGGGGTGTAACACCTCTTTAACTAGATGTTGGAGGCCATTTGGTCAGAAGCGACGAACAACTCCAAAATAGCTGTTTATATTTGTCTTTGAGAGAGAAACACACACAAGCCAGTCTCGGAACTTTGTTGACTCTGTTGCCTAGCAACAGCAAACTGATAAACAAAGCAGATAAAATAAACGACCAGTAGTCATTAATGAGTTAAAAGACGGAATCTGATGGGTCAAACTATTCCTGAGGGGAAGCGGACGCTCCTGGGGGCGGGACGAGGCGTTTTCAGGTTATTTTTAGATATTTCAGAAACAGACACATGCACAGGTGGCTGGAGCATCCACACAGGTATTTTACAATTGCTAGACGATTCGGAAATTCCTATTTGGCTTCTACTCGGCATCCTCTTAACAATCGAAGCTCTTTAAGGCAAATTTAACACAAAAAAAAACCACTCTGTGCAACTGCCTCACGAGACGCCGGACACACCAAAGGTTACTAGTGACGGGACAAAAAATAATAATAATAAACACACACACCAGCCAGCGGCATCCATACTGTCTCTGTGAGAGCTGGCCGGAGCGTTCATGCACGGGGAGAGGATCCAAAGACGGAGGGTTTACCACCACCTTTCACCAAACGCTGCCAAATACAGAACGATCGCCGAGCCGGGGGTGTAACGGACTCACGCGCTGCACCGTGAACCGTCCGTGTGAATATAAAAACCCTTTTAGTGCCTTCCAGTTGAATCACGCTCCTCTCGTGAGCCTGTTTTGTTCAGATTTCTGTTTTTGGCACGGTTGATTCAGTATGGTAAACCTAGTGTGTGTATGTGTGTGTGTGTGTGTGTGGCCGCGTTTGTGTAATTTTTTTCTCTTCGAGTTTCACTCACACTTTAATCTTTACACTTTTTCCATAGGCGCTAATCTAAATCAAACCAATACAGTCTTCACGGGAGGGGGGAGGGGACGTCTGACGAGCGGAGAAACAATCAGGTGACCCCTCTCCTTCTGACTCTAGCGGATGGCCTTGACAGGGCTCTTGAAGCTGGAGGCGGCCTGCAGCTGCAGCTGGTACGCCATGGGGTGGATCTTGAACCCGTACAGCCTGGAGGAATAAGACCGTGACAGATGTCAGTGGTTGTTTTAGGAAGCATTTATGCTGGGTGGATAAATCAAACAGTAAACCATGATGGGCAAAGAAAAATAAATGAATGTGTTTACAGTTGGGAGGGATGAGTTTGCTTTCAGGGAGCAGCGACGTGCGATGGCCCCTCCCAGATCGTTTAGGAGACTCACTGTTCCGACTAGGGCTGCTCAATTAATCCAATTTTAATCCCAATTACGATCTGAGTTTTGAACGATTATAAAAACAAAACAAGCCGATTATTTGCTCCTCCCACTTGCGCTGCCCTGAGTTGCAAATGAAGCGCTCCTCCCACAGTGTTGCCAACTTAGCGACTTTGTCGCTATTTCCAACAGCTTTTCAGACCCCCTTCTTGACTTTTTAAATCTTAAAAGTACCTAGCGAACACCTCAGAAACATCTCTGGTGACCCTTAGCTACTTTCTGGATAACTGTCGTCGACGTTTCCTGCAGGTTAGCTAAACACACCGCCTGCGCTCCGGACCGTTCTTCACAACATTAGGAAAGGGAATGATGCAGTGATGTGTCAGTCGCTAAAGAAACGGCTCTCGGAGCCGGCTCCATGTTGGATTAACCAGAGTGAGTGACACACACACCGCACCTGCGGACTCCTGAGCCGCAAAAAATGGCTAAATGTGAGCACGCTAAACACACGTACAGCTTGCCCTGATTGCTGTGAGACCGGGTTGGGGTGTGTGTGTGCAGCTGTGGTTGGGACAATTATTACATTAAATGATGGACCTGTAAATAGTTTATAAATAAGGTAGAAATAAGTTCCTCACGCTGATAAATAATAACTAATCTCTCTGAGGACACGGTGTTAGTGCACTCTCCTACAGCACCTTGACACGACTAAATAAATGTTATGCAACATTTTGTGAACATCAATTTATTTGCAAGATATTGGTATTTGGGTCTGTACTGGTTAGACTTACATGAGTTAAACCAAGGTCTATAGCCCTTGGGTCATAAACTATGAGCTCTAAGTATATTGGTCTTTTTATACTGGGAATCAGGAGTTTTTTTAGTGATCATCTTGTTTCTTATTTAAATTTGTCCTGATTGTGCCCTGAGCAATTTTATGACAGAATAAAAACAAATAAAATCGACAAATTGAAAAATCGTCTTAAATAATCGAGATCTCAATTTCAGTCACAACAATCATGATTATTGTTTTTGCCATAATCGAGCAGCCCTAGTTCCGACACTAAATAGTTTCACAGGTGTCATTCCGTTATCACCTGTTGAGTTTGAATTTAATGCAGCCAACACCCAAAACGGCAGATTATTAAATCATTTAACTATTAATGCTAGAATTATCTTCAACATCAACATGAATCCGAGAGGAACCACACCTATTTTTATTTATTTATTCACCATTGTCAGGAGCAGATTTATAATAACGACAAAACAAAACATATCAAACTTTGTGGATTTTTGCAAAACGAGCAGCATCTGGATAAAAAAGTCCCGCCTCTCTACTTTTACCAGGTGCGTTAGCGGCGTGTTAAGGCATAAGGAGTGTGTGATCACACAATCGGAGGAATAAGACGAGATCATCTTTAATATCTCTGTGGTAACCATGGAAGGAGAAGCCGGTGTCATTTAGCTAGTTGTGATTCTAGAGGTCGATGTTTACAAACACACCGATGTGCTCCTCAAAAGATGCAGGGAGCAAAAAAGCCCTTCAATCACAGGTAAAGACGTAATGTTTACATAGTTGATGAATTGCATATTGGCATTCATCTTTTATTTTGAAATTTTCCAGATTCTTTACACTGACGCCATGTTTGATTTCCCGTTTAGCCCGATGTTGTTTGCGGAGCTTGATGCACTCTGGAAGGGTGTCACATCAAAAATAGAACCCAAGCTATCTTTAGGGGCTTAAGGCGTAATACCTTTATCAGCCTCTAGATGGTGCCATCAGAGAAAAATAGTCCAGATTTCTGCTTTAAATAAAAGGTAAAAAATAAATATGTTTAAAAACAATAAAGAAATAAAAAACTATTTTCCCACTAAACTGATTCCAGAGCTCGTGTAACAGCGCGACATTCTTGGCTGGACTAAAAGAAGCTAAAGGAGACCAAAGAAGATGCTCTGATCATGTTTAAATTCTCTTAAGTTCGTTTCGATTTTACTCTCCTTGATTCAAGAAAAATTTCTAATTTCAGCGTGAATGAGAAGGCAGATTAGCAAGAGCTGGTTGCTGCTGCAGTTTTTAACACCTCCTGATCAGAGATCGATTGGTGACCCTTACACAATGACAAACCCTGTGATCGGTGCAGATAAACTGTCTCCCTACTCTGTGATCGTCTACAGAAGTCCAGAATAAAAGAAAAAAAAAATCCTGGAACCTCTTTGGATCAAAATCAGTAAAATGTCACCAAGTTCTGACTGTTGGTTTGATTTGATTTAGAAATACAAGAAATTAACATTATAGAGATTTACACAAATAAATTAAGTTTCTGTGTCTGTTGCACTCACCGTGGGACAAACTGATTGGCGGGCCTCTTGGGTCTGTACTCTGGGTGGACCATGAACAGCATGTGGGGGAAACCGGTACCAAAATAGGCTCCATCTGTGTGGTGGTGCCTGGAGGACTTGGGTGTGTAGACGTCCATACATTTGGGGCAGTAGAGCTTCACCATGGCTTCTCCTGGGATGTCTGACAGGCCTGTAGATGTAGAAGGGAAGTGAGGGATCAGAGGTTGAAGGAACTGAGCCAGATCCAGACACTCCTGCACATACTTTCTGCATCCATGGAAATTCATAGATCTTTGATTTCTTGCAAGCAACAAACTTCTTACCAAAACAAACTAAAATCCAGCAACTCCCCAGCATCTTTTGACTCACCGATAGGAAGCATGGGCTGATTCTCACAATAAACACGAGGACAGTATCCAAAATCTCCCTGCTGGTATTTTTCCAGCTGAAATGATTTGAGAAGGGATAACAAAGAGTTCACTTTAAAAGAGATGGATATATCAGGCAAGACGACGTTTGTCAGAATGATTAAAGTAAATAGAGATAAATACTTTTAAAACGCCACTAGAGCAGCTGATTTGGGACCTACCATCTGTGCGATGCCCCGGTTAGTGAGGATGTAGCGCGCGTGGATGAGGCCGTACAGCATCTCAGCTGCCTGCTCGATCAGATCGCTCTGGTTGGGATTGTCCTCCAGCTCTTCATCTGAAGGTGGAAACCAAAATAATGACAAAGCAGAAGCTTATATCAGTTTCCATTATTTCTGACATTAAAAAAGATGCAAAACTGTATCAAAAGGACAGATTCAGTGTTTCCACCAAGGGATTCTTCCAGCTGTGGTGGGGGTGGGGGGTTATGACACGTCTCACCTTTATGTTAATATTGTTTTATTTGATGCACTCCACTTTGAACTGCACCAATCCAGCAACTGCTGCATTTTAATAACTAGTATTAAAGGTGAATACACCAATATTTGCACAAAAATAATTTTTGTTTTAAACTCTCAGTGACACACTTTGCAGGGGGGGGGGTTGGCATTTAATTTTTCTTGGCGCCTGGAAAAACATCTCTTTTTGCCCCCCTTTATTTGACTTTCTGCCCCCTTTATTTTGGTCCAAGATCATTACTGGGCTGGCCCTGTTAAACACGTTCTACACCCCTGCTTAGTAGACTTAATGAAGTATTTTTAAGCCAGTATAAAAATGACTGAAACACAAATTTAAATATTTGGCATTATTGACCAATATCTTTGATTTATTTGTTAAGAACATCAAGATGCATTACAGTGAACATTATAATAAAGTACATGTTTCTAGTGCAGAGAGGAGACACCCCATAGAAGCACTGATTTGATCTCATTTCAGAGAAAAATAGAACAGGTCAGATGCACCTAATAAATAAAATTACTAACATAAACTCAGGAATCTGTTTCTTTGTGTCATTATTCTGGTGCTGAAAGCATCACTAATGTGGATCAAAGGAGATACACAGATGAATGCACCTTATTATTTGGAAATGAGTGGGTGTGGTTTACATCAATACATTATTTTAAATCTGAAATTGATATGGATTGATCAGAAGTTGCTTTGTGTGTGTTTATTTGAAAACTATTTACAGAACAGCCTCAGAATTGAGATTAAATATTTTGGATCACAACAGCGATGGTGCAACGGTGGCACAGGAGTTAAGTGCTCGCCCCGTAATCAGAAGGTTGCAGGTTCGAGCCCCGCTCAGTCTGTTGCTGTCGTTGTGTCCTTGGGCAAGACACTTAACCCACGTTGCCTGCTGGTGGTGGTCGGAGGGATCGGTGGCGCCAGTGCTCGGCAGCCTCGCCTCTGTCAGTGCGCCCCAGGGCAGCTGTGGCTACATCGTAGCTCATCACCATCAGTGTGTGAATGTGTGTGTGAATGGATGAATGACTGATTGTGTTGTAAAGCGCCTTGGGGGGTTCCAGGACTCTAGAAGGTGCTATATCAAATACAGGCCATTTCAATAGTAAAGGAACTATTACAGAACAAGTTTTTCAATAAAATCAGAACATTAATATTTAAGTGCATGGATTAATACATCTGAACTCATGCAGTAGTAACTAGGAAATATGAAATATTAACAATATTAACAATATTATTTTAATTTGATCAAACTGATTTTTCCTAACGTTGTTGGCATTTTTCCCCACACACACTTAAACAAGACAATGTTGATTTGTGTGTGTGTGAGAGAGAGAGAGAGTGAGAGATAGAGACATAGGTGGGGGGAGTTCAAATAATTTAAAAAACTCGACCGGAGCGGAGGCAGTGACCGACACATGCACGAGCCGTTTTCAGCTCTGTCTTGTCAAATGCGCCACGTACGTTAAGAAAAAAGTAACTTTAAATATTGAACTGAAAAAGAGGCGAGCTGAAGAAAACCTAGGGAGTTCTGAAGAAACGTGGGCTACAGTGAAGCAAGCACAGAGAGATCCGTAAAGGTTGGTTTATGCTTGACGCGTCCGCGAGGTCCGCACGGCTCCGCGCGGAAAAGTTGCATCATTTTGCGTCATTTTAACAACCACGCCCCTCCACCGCGTCTCCGCACGGCCCAAGATTTCCGCAACGCGCACCTCGGAAAATTTCTAACCACGCGGACGGTCGGACGCGGAAAAACATGGCGGACCGGCACGGCAGAGGTTCGTGAATACAGACATTTGTATGATTCAGCTCTCAGAGATCACCGTGATCAACATGTTGTTAATAATTCTTGGAGAGAAATAGCTCGCACTGTCGGAAAAGACGAGAACGCTGTTAAAAATGCTGAAATACCATGTTGTAAACAGTAATTTCTACTTCTACTATGGTGTAGTGTTAGATGCATGCCGTAGAGCTCCATGCTGCCCCGTTCAGTTTGGGAGAATATTGGCTCACCGCAGAGACGAGCCGCATAAACCATAAAAGCTGCGAGTTGTGAAGCGCGTTCCAGCCGCGAGCCGCATCACTGCGTGGAAAGTGCATGCGTCAAGCATAAACCAAGCTTTACTGTCTGTGTGTGTGCGTGGGCCGGAGCAGAGTTTTGTGTGTAGGGAGGGGCAGGCGCTCCATGTGACTGGCCAATCACAGAGCGTGAAGGCAGTCAGTTACCCAATGAGGACTTTCCTTCAGCACGATTACAGATATTTACGAGTTTTACTCGTTTCATGCTCGTATTCATCAAAAATGCTTTATCCGCAGCTCATCCCTAGCTGTAACCACCCTGCCCTGCCTCCTCCTCCTTGCTGCCTGCCGTAACAAGCAACAACAGAGTAGTTCCCGCTGCTTCTGCGGGAAACAGCGCAAAAAATAAAATAAATTTTTTTTAAAAATCTATAAAAACGGGATCTTGCAAGCGTGGCGCTGGGATTTCAGCCGTGGCGGGCCGCCACAGCTACGTCTATGTAAGGAAAACACAGATAATACAAGGGAAACAACAAAAGAGTCAGTTCAAAGGGAAGAACAGCACACAAATAGCTTGTGCTAAATTAATAAAAAAGACAAACAAAGGAGTTCTGGGATGATCTGAAAGGGTAAAATCCTTTGAAGACATAATAACAAACTTCAAAGAAGAGCAACAAATGACAGATTTGAACACTGTTCCTTTTCATAGTTCCTCATGCAGCACAGAAACTGAGGTGGATGAGGGGTAAAACACACCTGGCTCAAGGTCCAAGATCATATCCAAGGCCTGGCGGTAATGAGGAACCTGCTCATTCAGGCCTGTCAGGTTAAACTTATCCTGGATGTAATCTTCATCCACCTGTTGTTTGAAAATCAAGAGTTATTGGTTTAATAGGAATCAAATCCACGATGGAAATATGGTTTAAGAACACAAATGTTTGAACTGGACAAAGGTTAATTACAGATGTGTCTGTTCGCAGGGCGGTTGTGTGATAAAAGGAAATCCATCTTGGAAATAAAAACCTTTAAATCCACATTTCAAAGCAGGTGTTTAAAGTTTAAAAACAAAAGAGACCTGGGAGACGTACCTCACAAAAAAACTCATTCCCTCTCAGACCACAGAACCAGGAAATCCAGGATACTTCTTCTGAACTACTCATGTCTGGAAATCTACTAATAAGGAAAAAAACAACAGTTTAAAATGCTGCTTTTAAGTTCATTTTAACATTTACAACATCGTTCATAAACGCAGGGGACAGTCAATTCAGCAACATTAAAAAAAACGTGTCTGGAATCATATGCTGCACTTTTACTGTAAATACTTTGTAATTATTATAAAAAACAACTATTATTATAAATAATGCGCCATTAAGGAAACACTTGTTTTCTTAGTCTGGGTACACCAAATATTTAGTTTTTAGTCTGATTAGAACAAAACAGAGAACTAAATAAAAAGTACTCATGAGTATCTAGATTCACCAACTCAAATCTAAAATGGCTAAGCTAATTAGCTAATCCTTACATTCACTTCTGAACAGCTAGTTTAGAATAACAACTAGCTTTTGATTTAAGATCGTGATATATGTTCTTTATAAACGCATCGTGACGACTAAATTGTGCACTAAAACCTGGCACAGAATGTGTGGTGTACAAAAATTTGTAGAGGTTTATGTAGCCAAGGCTAGCTGGCTAAGCTAAAACTGGCTAGCGGCGCATCGTCAGTGTACAGGCCGGGGAGGTCATCCTCCTCTATAGCCCACTCTGACGTCGTGCTTCAACTTCTTACAATATATACGCGTTTATCTGTGATAACTTACCCGGGTTTTGTAACTTTTAGAGATTCCTGAAATATTCGAAAAGGAAGCTGTCTCACAGGTGTAAATAAGATGGACACCCCCTCCCAGTTAACACTGCAGGCTCTTCGTCTTTCCTATGGCACATCTCAGCTCGCTGCTGCCACCTACAGGTCACCCTTGGTGGTGATGGTGAGAGGATGAATATATATATATATATATATATATATATATATATATATATATATATATATATATATATATATATACACCGTGTCCTGTCTGGCTGTGAAGCAAACAGAATTGATGTCTGAATGCTGGTAAGAAGCCTTACAGATTTACTCTCAGGTGGAGCATCAAAGCTTCTGCTTTTAATGTCACGCCTGATACTTAAAACTTTATTGTTATTGTTTTTGAATGGTTTGTAATTCCGACCAGACACGGAGTCAGAGGTGAAAGAGAAAGGAAAAGACAAAAGGTGGGGAGAGAGGGGGCCAGGGGTGGAAGGAGTTCCACAAAAATAAACAATAATGAACAAGAGTCTGCTTCTAGACCTGCAGAAAGAGAAAGAATAGAAAAAAATGGGACACACAACAATACATCAGGAGCAAGCTATCACTGTGTCAACCTGATGATGAAATATAAAATCAACATTGATTAACTGAACAGTGCATTTAGCGGCAATGACAGCCTTAAGACATGTGTTGAACGCTGGGACGTAATTTTGGGGGGGGGGACGGGTGGGACATGTCCCCCCCACTTTTTCAAAAGGCAGTTTTGGTCCCCTGCACTTTTTTCCGTCCAAAAACAATATTACGCTCCATTAAATGGATTTGATTGAGCACTAGGACCGAAACGGAAACCGGTTTCCTATTAGACCCGCCCAAAAGCTAATCTATTGGCTCTGTTGATACTTGCTAACGTATTATTGGCTGTTGCTGCTGTCACTCCAAGTTGTAAACAGTCAGAACGTGCTCACGTTGTTTTGCTAGTTTGGAGCCGCTAGGGAACACCGGTACTGAGTCACATCGTCAACTAGACGCTGTGTAATATCAGAGCTCAGCTCAGCTTCCATTACATAACATTTGAACAACTGTTCGGCAGCATGTCAAGAAAACGAAAAGTGGATATAAGAGACTTCTTTCAAAGTCAAAACGTAAGTTGGAACATGTGACACCCCTGCATTAAGCTCAGACTCACCTCCTCCTTCACAAACATACTCAAAACTAACTTTTACAAACTCATCTCCTCCACATAACTGACTCCTCAGACACAATTTATTCGTATTATTATAATTATTATTTTTTTTATTATTATTACTATTATCATAATTATTATTACTAGTAGTAGTAGTAGAAGTGTAACTTCAAAACTTTTATCATTAACTTTATTGTAAACGTATCTATTCCAATGTATATGTTCACATTAAAAGGCTCTGAAAAATGAACAGTATCATCATCGTCAACAGAGATTTTTTTAAGCTTAATGTCAAAGATGTACACTTTTCATTAGATTTATCTTATTTTTTCCATTTATTTTTTGTGTGTTGAAATGCAACAACTGTTTAAACACTTTTAAGGGAAAACACATATTTAATATGTTTTATACACTCAAATTGGTAATGAATAATTTATACATTATATTAATAATTGTGAATCAGACTAGAACCATCCTGTAAAAATTTCTGTTTGTTCCATTCCAAAATCTCCCACTGTTTATAGTTCATGCATCTTTTTTTCAGGTGACCGACAGAGATGCAGGAGGAGAGACCGGTGAAGGTACAGCAGGGGAGGCTGTAGGAGATGGAGGACGAGAGCCTGGAGGAGATGGAGGACGAGAGCCTGGAGGAGATGGAGCAGAGGCTGGAGGCTCACAGGTGAGGTTGAAATAATGAAGATACGATAGACATAAAATTGATCATTGTGACAAATGTTAGGGTGATGATCATGTGTAAAACATTAGTTCAGCATGTCCTCTAACACAGCAAATGAACAAACGGACAGATCTCAGGAGGGACCGTTTATGTATAAATAATTTTTATACTTTTGACTATAGGCCTGGGAAAGTAACAAATTTTGCTGGACGATATATTGTCCAACAAATTGTTGATGATAAACGATATCATTGTCAACTAGGGCTGGGCGATATGGCAAAAATAGAATATCACGATTTTTCGAATATTTTATCACGATTTCGATTTTATCACGATTTTTTATCCATGAATAGCACAACTTCAATTGCGTATTAAAGAAGAGAAACATTGAATAAATAAACATTTATTCATATTAGGGATAATCAGCACAGTGCTAACACACTTATATTTTAAACTCACACCAGAGATGATAAAAGCCCTGAGAGAAACAATTACAAAAATCAGTTTTTCTCGTTTTTCAAGCAACTTAACATAAATTAATATCGTAAACATATTTAAAGTGCAAACATGTCAATTGCAAACGTATTGTGCAAACATTAACTTGTTCAAAATACTATGTAGCTCCCAGTTGGTCATGTAGTGGATAGTTAAGCTCAAATACGGCTCTGATGTGCGGCTGGACCAGAGATCGCTTGTGGTAGCAAAAAACTGCGCATTCTGAATATTTTCTGCAACAAGTCTCTAAATAAAGTAAAAATTTTCCAGTGCAGATTGGAGACAACCCATAGAAGCACTGATTTGATCTCAATTCACAGAAAAATAGAACAGGTTATGCACCTAATAAATAAAATTACTAACAAACTCAGGAATCTTTCTTTGCTTCACTGTTCTGGTGCTGAAAACATCACTAATGCGGATCAAAGGAGATACACAGATGAATGCACCTCTTATTATTTGGAGACTACATTTACTGCAGCTAGCAGAGGCAGAGATTGTTTCTATTGATACACGGAGTTTACAGAATCATTTTAAATGTTAATAGGGGAAGACTGCAGGAGGGAGCGGTAAAATACAGGGGTCCCAGCAAAAACAAGAAACTACGAGTCTGATGAAACCCGCTGGTTTTCCATCAGGCAGTCACGGGGCAGCTCCAACGACCCAGTGACCGAGCTCAGTCCGGTACCGACACCGGCTCGGCAGAGGGTGGACGAGCCGAGGCGACGTCGTGCTCTGCTTAAGAAGCGGTGTTATTTTCCTGCTTCAGAAGAAGCATCCAATGAGTTTTTACGCTTTCTCCGAGACATGTCACGTCGCTAAGTTGTTAGCGCCGCGCGCTAAGGAAACCCTGCATTCCTCTTCGGAACGAAAACCTCGTTGACGCTCTCAGCCGCGGCCGAAGCCATGTTTGTTCACACACAAGTGAAAACAAGCTGGGCACTAATACATTACTATGACTCACTCTGATTGGTTAAGGGTCAAACAAAGGCGTGTCATTCGCCGGAGTTAAGTTCCCTTTTCATTCAGAGGCAGAATTTCAACAGCAGAGCTGTGAATCGTGATAAAAAGGTCTCTCAAAAATGACAGACCGTCAGATGTGTAGATCGTAAAACGGTCTAAAATCGTCATATCGCCCAGCCCTATTGTCAACATTATCTAGACCAAAATAACCACTAATATAATGTTAATATATCATAATAATGCAAGTACACCCTTTAAAATGCAACAAATAAACCTTCATTTAACATTGGAATGTCCAGAACCAGAACTTCTAAATGAATAAAAATAACAAACAAAAATTAAATAAAAAAAGAATCTCACTCCCTGTTAGAAAATGTTGCACCAAAAACAATAAAAAAGACCCAAAACAATAAATACAATGGCCTATCCATTGTCAACAGCCAAAACTGCACTTCAATAATGATAAGAAATAAAAAATAATAGAGTTGTACATTTTTTAACTTTGATATATATATATATATATTGAGGATGGAAAAATTATTGAGATGGGCATGTGACGTGTCAAGGGGTCTTTACATAACACCCCCACCCCAAATCCGCACAAGCCTGCTGTGTCCCCCCCACTTCTGAAATCAAAATTTCGTCCCTGGTTGAACGTGCCCATGGCCATACTTTTGAGAGCACCATGTGAGCACCTGTGTGTGTACACGCGCTTGTTTATGTAAGGTTTCTCTATAAAAAGCGTCCAATAGAGTGTGATCTGCCCCCCAAAGATGTGTAAGAGACGGGGGGAGCTCCAAATCCCAGAGATCCAGGCGCTGCCCCAGAACACAGGAACCCCAAGGAGACTGCAACCAGAAAGGCCCCCGCCCCCCTCGAGAGGCACAGAGGATCGCCCCGGGGGGCCACAACCAGCAGCCGGCAGAGTCCCGGGAGATATCAGCGGCAAGCCCACAGGCCTGCCCGCAGCCTCCCACCCCCTAGCCGGCCGAGGCCGGGACCCAGCGACCCGGGACCCAGGGGCGACCACCCCCGCCAGGGACCCAGCAGAGCCCAGGGACCCAGACCCCACCAGGCAGCCACCGGGATAGATCAGGCAGACGCCAAAAATCTTAAACCCCCTGACCCGGGAGCCACGAACACTCAGGCAGACCAAGGCACCACACCCCACACCAGGTGTGGCAGGGGGAGGGGAGACGAAGATCTATATCATAAAAAGAAGTCCCAGGAGAGGGGAGGAGTCAAAGGCCCCACCTGACATATACAGTCATACACAAACACAGTCACACACTCCCTCCCTCATGCTCACACATGCACATACAAAGACTTACAAAAATGCACGCCGGACATCCACTCATGCTCCCCATACACACCCTATTCACTCTGGTCCCGGTACTGCTGCACATTGGGAACAACCATCACCGGTTACCAGAGTTTGACCCTTTCTGCTGGGGTGCTGATGAGCAGGCTCCCCCGCCCAACGCTGAGCACAGCAACCCACCACCCCAAATCCCAACCGGACGGCCAGATCTCCCTCCTAGCCTCCAGCCCCAGGAAGCCAAGCAACAACAGAGGTGTGCTAAGACCCCTAGTCTCCCTCCGCCTGCTCCAATATAGTGTTGTGTGTTGATGAGGTGTATTCCATGGCTGCAGTGAGCGGGCAGTGCGGGCATTGTCTGGTCTATGCCAGCTGATGCCACCGCACCACCCCACTTGCACCCACAGCCCTCGGTGTCTAAGTGCAGTTTAAAATTGAAAGTGGGCACCGGCACTCGGGAGGAGGCTGAGATATCCCCCTGCCAAGTGCCGTTGAATGTGCTCACTCCCAAGGCCCTAAGTGTGTGTTTGCGAGGAATGTCGTTGGTGCAAGTGTTTAAAGTGCAAATAAAATTGGGGGGCAGGTTGCCACAGGAATGCGGAAATGGGATCCACCCCCCCAAGGTCCTATGTGCATGTTTGTGTGATGTGAGGGAGCAGGAGAAAAATATGCGGGGATGGGGATGAATGGCTGGTTGGGCTTATATAATACATATGTATATATACACATGTATATATACATATATCTACATACATATATATATACACATATGTATGTGTGTGTGTGTTCAAGCAGACAGCCTACCATTTAATCTTTCTTGGCTTGCATGGGAGCAGCGTTGTTCACTTCTGTCATCTCCATGCTTTTTCTATATGACTCGAGTGCCGGGTCAGTCCAGGTCAGAGATAAAGCCAAGACGCTGTAATGAATCGTTTTGGATCGACTTTTATCTCTGCTGTGTTCTTTGAGTCAATTTGAAACTATCTCAAGCCTGCTTTAGTGAGCAACAAAACTTGTTTGAATTCTTTCTTCCGCTCCACACAAAATGGAAGCTGTCAAATAATAAGACGACCTACAGGTTTTTCTGTTTAAGAGATAAATAAATAAATGTTTTAAGACAATCTCCGATATACCGATTTAGTTTTACTCTTCGTTATCCGATACCGATATTTGGTGGGCTGCCCCACATAGAGAAACAATCGTTTTTGAAACATTACATGTTGAGTTTAAGTTAGGTCCATATTAAACTTTGTCTGGGATCTGCCTTATTTTCACATTTTGAATAAAAGGGGATGTAGCTGAAGAACTTAATGTATAATTTGATGCTATGTAAACATTGCATCATTAAAATAATAAAAAACACATTTTGACGCCAAAATCGGCCGATATCAAACATCCCTAACATCTCCAGTTTTATGGAGTCACGTTTCCCAGGAAAAGTAAACTTCAAGAACGACACACGCATTTACCGTTTCCATTAAATCAAAAGTAGTTTATTTAACTTTGCCTTCTCTGTATAACTTTATTATAAGACACTTCTCTGCTTGTACATTGCTCCCTTGAACTAAAAATTGCAACATTTGTTTGTGGGAATGTAAGTTGGGGCAGACAAAACTTAGATACATACCAATATACATACATGTGTGTATATTATGGTTCCTTTACTAAAAACCTTTAAATGCTAAAAACAGTTTGAACCACTTTGGGTACCTCGGCAATAATGCTGGAAACATAATACAATCTTTGAGAATACACTACTTCTGGTTTTCTTTTTCACATGGGTACATACAATAATGCACACATCGACATTAAGGAGGGATGAAAGACTCTTTGAGCCAGTGTTAAGTGTATAGCTACCAATGTATAAACCAGCAACAGGCAACGCAAGCAGCACCCAGTGGTCTTCTCATGCTAACAGGAAGTCTTAGTGAAACGTAAAAAGTCCAACTTCACTTGCCTGTTGAAGAGATGCTTCAATTACACAAAATAGGTGATTTTTCTCTTTTTTTAGTTTCTTACTGCAGATTCTTCATTTGGATGCTGAACATACACACGGCTGGATGTATACATGAGGATGTATGTAAGAAACAGGATCGTCTTAATTTTATCGGTTAAATCACGTGTGGGCAAACAAGGCAGAAAAAGTGCTTGCCGTTCATGTCGAAACCTCTGGTCCCCCACCCCCGTCCCCGTCCCGAGTTATCACAGACACCGGAAAACACACATCCACACAAGCACGCGCACACACACAAATCAAAAATGCCCTACTCACAACAACCCAGAAACGATCTTCAAACTACTGTCAGTATACAAACAAACCCCAACTTACACTTACAGCAGTGACGGAATCGATGCGGATGAGAAAATCGGATCAGCTCATTTTGGATGCTGCTCTAAGTCTTTTCATGTCGTGTGTGTGTGTCTGTGTGTGTGTGAGAGATGAAATCTACCTTTATCAATAATCCTACATCAATCCAGTACTGTCTCATTCCAGGTTGGTATTATTCGTTGCAAAGTAAAACCTCACAAACCGTGTGAAATGTACAAGGAGACACTTGTCCTGAACTGAAGCTGCTCGTTCCACCGTGTTCTGTAATGGCCGTCCTGTCCTTGGGGGACAGGCGACGAGTCCTTCTTGTTGTGAGGAGTCTCTGCGAGAGCGCCGGGGGTGTGGTTCTCCGCACGCGGCGGCAGAGCGGGGTTTAATAGTGCAACACTGGCTCTGCATGGTGTTGCAGCACGTGTAACTGCCCCCAGAACGTAAAAGGAAAAACATGAAAGCTTTCATACTACAAGGAGTGCTTATTAGAACATATGCAATCATCTACAGAAGCATAAACAATTAAACGTTAGATCCTGATCGCCACGTTTTATTAAAGAATTATTCCTTTTCCTCCTGACGCTTTAATTTGAGGAAGAAGGAAAAACAAATACATTCCCATAAAAACAGGGGTACAAAAAAAACAGCCGTCACACCAACAACACAGTCTGTAAGGGGTAAACAAAACTCAGGGAGGAAGTAAAACTCAAGTCCTCGGGATTTCTGCACTCTGCAGGTAAGGATTATGCTACGATGAGGCCAGAAATACCTTCCTTTCTACAAAACCCTAAACGAAATGTCAGAGCAGGTCAACGATTTGGGGAAACTCAAATAAAATCACACCGTCCACCTGAGCGAGCAGCAAAGATGTTAACGATAAAAGTAACGGAAGTGTAGGAGAGTGCTGAGCAGCAGTACTTCTCACGGTGACCACACAAACGTTACTAAAGACCAACGGGGAGGAGGAGTTGGTAACAACGTGACCCGATTTGGGTTTGGGGGAGATTTGGGGATAGGAGCTGAAACTCAAATCGCAAATAAAAAAGAGAAGCGTTAAAAAAAAGGAAAAGTTTAGTTGTTAAAAGATGACGCTTCGCTCTTTCTGCTTGTGAGGGAAGTGCTGCTGAATGTCACCCAAGGCCGGAGTGTGGCAGAAACACACGCGTTTGTAGAAAAGTGAGCCCAATCCAAGCAGATTACCTGATTTAATCCCATTTCAGCATTTTGCATGTTTATGAGGTGTGGGTTCTGTGCTTGAATTGAAAGTGTGTTAAAGTCCTCGGTTATCACAACGTGCAATTTCACAGCACCACCACATGCCTGTCGGACTCAGCTGGGGGGAGGGGCTATGAGTATTTTTTAAAAGATGCACAAACGAAAGCAGAGCAAGAGAGACCAGAGAAATTTACAATAGCGGACAATGCAAAGAATAACGAGGTGGGGCAGCTCAGGTGAATATAAATACCATCTGGATATACAACACAACGCACTAATGTGTTAAAGAAGCCGTGGAATAATCTGAGGGATTAGGACGTAATTGGGCGGGGTTTAATGGGAAGTGAGGTCATTTCTTTTTACTCCCATCACTTCCTGTTCTTGGGTGATGGCCAGTTGCCGCGCTTCTCCCCCCGGTTGCCTCCTCCATTTGCAGGTCCACCAGCGCCACCACCAGGTGGGCCACGAGGACCTCTGCCTCCCCCTCCTCCGGTGTTGACCCTCCGGTTCTGTCGCTCCATCCCAGGACGCTGGCTCGAAAAGCTTCTTTTATTCGCAGACGGCTCTTTTCCCGCAATTTCTCGATCAATCAGACCTCCTCCTCCACCGCTGCCCCCTCCTCTCCCCGTGTGGTGGTGGTGATGGTGAGAGGTGTAGGACTTCCCACCTCCTCCTCCTCCACCCTCCCTATCTCTGAACTCTGTGAAGTCGCTGCTCTCAGAGGCGGTCTCCCACTCCTCGTTTGCCTGGTCAGAGTTCTGATTGGTGAAGTCTGGAGATTTCGCTCCATGACTGTGTTGGGGGTGTGGGTGGGTCGAACCAGCACTGCCCTGGTTGTAGTGATGGTGGTGGCTGTTGGCATTGTTTAGGTGCCCCCCACCACTGTTACTGTTGGTAGTTATTGTGGCGCTGTGGTTGGCATTTGGGGCATTTCCTGTGATGGGAGAAGGGGCAGGGGCGCCATTACTATCCTGAACAGAATTCAGAGAAGGAGACAATGGTCTTCCTCCCCCGATGACCCCCACTCCTCCGTTGATGCGGGCAGCATTCTCTCGCTCTTTCAGCCTTCGGAAGCGGGGGGGCTTGTCCTGCTGGTGCTGAGAGCGCCCATGGCGCCGACGTCTAGGCGGTCTTTCAAACCCGCCAGGGGGGAGCCCTCGGTTTGCAGGATGTGGGGGGGTGTTGGGTCCTCCAGTGTTTGGTGCAGGGTTGGCTGGAGCTTGTTGAGTCATCACCCCTCCGTTTTCAGTGGTGCTCAGTGTTGCAGGAGTGGTGGCAGGTGCAGGTGGTGGCGGGGGGTTGGTCCCCTGGTTTTGGGTTTGACCTCCATCAGACACCTTGTCCTTTTTCTCTCCTGGATTTCCGCCTCGACCCAAATCTTTGGGTCCAGATGTGTAAGAATGACTTGGTTGTTTTCGTCCTGAGGCCAACGATTTGGCAGATACACCATGGGGGCCTGAGCTAGGTCCAACCCGGTGTCCCCCACCTGTTCCTCCAATGCTGCCACTATTCCTGTAGATGTTTCCTCCTCCTCCACCACCTCCTCCACCCCTGCCTCTCCTAGAGGGTACACCTCTGGGGGTGAAGACACGAGCCTGAGAAACTCGAGGTGGAGCACAGGAGATGTTTCCTGCGGCGCCTACATTATGGGAACAGTTCTTGCTGTTGGGTTTTTGGTTGTCATCTTTGTCCGAGTGACCGAGGTCACTCCCACCGCTCTCACTGCCGGTCTCAGAGCCTCGCTCACGCCGTCTCTTGGGGACCTCTTCATACTCTGAGCCCTCACTACGAGTCTCGCTGTGGTTCCTGGCCCTAGCAGGGTTATGCTGGGATCTATCCTGACCATGCCTACCACCAGGACCCTCTCCCTTGGGTTCCTGGTGGTGGTGGCCAACACCAACTGACGAACGGTAGTCCCGACCACTCCTACCTCCCATTCTGCCTCGTCCTCCCCCAGTTGGTCCAGCACTGGCAGTGTAGGTGCCACGGTAACCACGGCCACGCCCGTAGAATTCTCCTCCTCTCCCTCGACCGGCTCTTCCCCCTTTGGGAGGAACTCCAGGGTGGTGGGAGTTGCTGCCTCTTTCAAAGGAGCGGTCTCTGTCCTTCCTGGAGGAGGATACAGAAAACCCCGAAGACGGGGTGTCTACATCCTTGGATCCTCTACCGGAGGGCCGCTCTTTTCCTCCATTCCTCGGTTTGGCTGTTTGGGCCGTTTCATCTTTAGATGGAGCTGAAGTATTCTGGGAGTTGGAAGAGACTTCCTGCTTGATGGAGGAGGGTTGGAGACCATCTTGTTCTTTATCTTTTCCAAAACCCGCTCCTGGTTTTTCCCCTCCATCCATTTCTCCTCCTTCCCTCTTTATTTCCTTTAGCACTGGCTTTTTAATCGGACCAGCCCTCTTGTTTGCATTGCTTCCTCCTGTCTGATTAGAGGTTTTATGGTCAGCTGGAGTATTGTTGGAGTCCTCTCCTCCACGAGAGTGGTTCCCACCTCCTGCATTGTTGGCCCTCCTTCCATGAGAGGTTCCCCCGCCCATGTTGTTGCTTCCAGGCCGTGGGCCCCACTGGGTCTCTGTCTTGTGCTCCCGTCCTCCTCTTTGGTTTGATTTGTGGTGGGGATGCTGCTGTGTCTGATTGTGACCACCGTGTTGAGGAGGAGTTGGGCTGGAGGTGATGGAGGAACGGGGCGCATACGTATGTCCCGTCTTCTCCAGCTTCACATGACTGTTGCTGGCATTTCCACTGCTGCCTCTTTCACCAAGGCTCTGGCCGACTCCAGGTTCAGCCTCCCTCTGAGGTGGATGATGATGTACCAATTTCCCCTCTTCCTTGGTGGAGGAAGAGGAAGAAGAGCAGGAAGATGACAGGGAAGCTTGGTGGAGAGGTGGAGAAGAGTCAGCCTTCTTAGTGGCAGCCTCACCAACCCTGTCACGGCTGTTTTCTGGCTTATGGGAGTTGAGAGGGAACTGGGGCTGCTGAGGGTGGTGGCCAGGATGGTGGTGGAGGTGAGAGTTACCCTCTACATTTGGGAGATCTGCACGTCCGTTACGATCATAGTGAGAATGTTGTGCTCCCCATATCTGAACCTGCTGAGGTCCTCGGGAAGTGCCTTCATCCTGGTGAGAGAAGCCATGAGGCTGGTTTCCTCTATCACCCGACCTCTGCTGCTGCTGCTGATGGGGCGGCATCCTGGTTCCCTGGTCAGGGAAGTTGCTGTAGTTACCTCGTCCACTAATGAGGTGATGAGGGTGGTGGTTGCCTCCCTGGGCGCCCACCTGCGTGCCAACAGGAGGAGGAGTTTGACTGGAGGGTCCTGATGAGGAGCCGGGCTGCTGGACCAGTCCCAAACCTCCCTCCCGTAAGCGGTGAGGAGGAGTGTCACTCCTAAAGGAACACGAAATGTAAACTTTACCCAAAAGTTGCTGCGACAAATCAACAAAATGTGGCTTTAATTTTTTTTACACAGGTTAATGAACTGAAGCAACATAATATGGAAAAAAACTGCTCAACACAATTGAACTTAAATCAGAGTTTTTAACAAACTAATATAAACATCGAATACCTCGGTCCCTTCCCCATGTCATCATCCTCCAACGCCTGCTTCTGCCTCAGAGGAGATGTTAGACCATGGTTCTCTCCGCCCCCAGGGAAGACCTCCGGCCCCCAAGCCAGCTTAGGATCCATTGGGGGGGTCCCGCGATGAGTGTGCCCTGGATGCTGCTGCTGTCTGTCAAAAGGCTCTGAACCGGACCCCCCTGAGTCAGATCGTTCACGACCAATCAGCCCTGCACGGTGGAACCATTCAGTCACAAACAGGTCAAATATACAGAAGCACAGACAGGGTTGTCTTCACTCACCAGATGGGTGCACGCCAGCAGCATAGTAGTCCATAGGTGGAGGGCGACCCTGCATTATACGAGGGTCCATGTAGGGCATCATCACCCACCGGGGGTCAAAGTTCATTGGTAGAGGAGGAGGTCGAACCATGCTGCCAGGTTGATACAATGGTCCACCCTGCTTTGGCCCAGGGCCCGGCTGGGCTGTAGAGCCTGGTGAAGGGGCCTGAGGCTGGGGGGACAGTTGATTTTGTGATGCTTGGCTGTGCTGCTGCTGCTGCCACTGCTGCTGCTTCAGAAGCTGCTCCTAAAGAAGGAGGTGTTAAATGGATCAATAAAACAACCCTAGAAACAAATATGTTTAGCTCTGTTTGAAAGATACGACAGTTGGATCAAATCAGAACCACGAGAGAATAGTCTCAGCCAGGACTGACCTGCTGCTGCCTCTGAAAGCGGGGCGGTAGGGACTTCTGGTACTTGGAGTAACCCTGGCCAGGAGGACCTCCCGCTTGGCGACCTGCTCCTCCACCTGAACTCTCGACCTTGATCGAGTCGACTCCTCTTTCGCCTGCTCGAATGTGAGGACTGCTTACAGTCTCCTCTTTACTCTCCACTGATACAGGGACGTCCAGCGTGGGCTGCTGTGGCTGAGGGACAGCCGGCTGGGAACACGGCTGGACATCTGATCCAATAAAAACGTTTAAAAATTAGACAAACTGGTTACATCAAAGAGTAAAAACAGGAAAAGATGAGACTGTTGCCGTCTCCCATCACATGAAACTCACCAGCGCTGGAGTCGTAGCTGCTGTTGCTGCTAGCTCGTCGACGATCAGTTGCTCCAGGACCGGGCCCTGGCTGCACCACCAGCACTGGAGGCTCTTCTGTATCTACACACGGAGAGGGGGGCTGGCTGACATTAGGGGAGGATGCTGAAATGGATGGACTTGGACTCCCAGCTTTAGCAGCTGTGGAGTTTCCATCAAGGCTGGGGCTCTTGCTGCTGCCCCCAGCTCCCGTGCTGCTGCCGTGCTGCTTCTCATCCAGCCTCTTTAGCTTTTCAGCACAGGCCGCTCGTCTCTCCTCCTCCATCCTGCGTTCCTCTTCCTCACGACGACGACGAGCTCGCTCAACAGCAGCAGATATCTCCGTAGACGACTGTTTCCTTCGCTGACGCCAGGTCTCATCTTCATCTTCCCCCTGGGCCACATGGGCTTGCAGGCCAGGCTTGGGGGCAGAGGTCGGAGCTCCGGCTGCGGGCGGATGCTGGGCAGGAGCCGGTTTCCCTGGCCCAAGAGACGGGCTCTGGTTGTGTGGCCGTTCCTAAAGTGTTGCAGAGCAATAAAGGTTCACCAAAAGGCTCTTTTAAACTGTGTAGATGACAAAGCCGTAATGTCTGAAAACAAAGTTTATGAATGATTCTTTTTAATGATAATAAAACTCAGGAAGAAAAAAAGCGAACCGAAAACTAAAGATGACGATAAAATCCATGAGCGGGGGATGGACTCGTGATCAAAATGAGTTTTCTACAAGGCCCGATTCGGACGACTACCTGTCGGTAAAAGGAGTAAGGCCCCTGTCCGAGGAGGGGCCCAGGTGGGGGGGAGGGCTGCTCCCGGGGACCACCCAATCCAGGCCTGCGCCCCTGTATGCAGGCAGACACGGTTAGCCATGATCCACCAGTAAATATACATAAATATGCACCTGCACACAAATATCCAACCTCAGGGATAAAAATGGAGCTCTGAAACGGTCACTATGGAGATCGGGTCTACTGATGACACCTCAACTCACAATATTTAGTGTTTAACGTGATTCATGACAACTGCCTCCTACAAATAAAGAAAGTTTCTTTTTCTAAAAGAGAATTTCTGATTTAATTAATAACATACGTTCTGTTCATAAATGTAACTTTGTGCAGATTAATAGAAATAACATTTAAAAAATATGCTGAGAACAATAAATGTAATCAAATATTTCTTAGCCCTAATCCCCCCACTAATAATAGATGAAATATGAGTAAAGAGTTTATTTTAATCATTTAAACATATTTAGAGTGTGTCTATATTACAAGACCTGCTGCAGTGTTGAGGATAAAACCGTCCCGATAATAAAAAACATTTTTGTTTGATGAACTCTGAACATCATCACAGCCTACCTGGTAGTTGGGCAGCACTCCCTGGTTTCCCCAGCCGCTGCCTCCCTCCTCGGCCCATCCTGGCTTGCTGGAGGGGGGGTGAGGGACGCCGTCAGCATTAGCGGGAGGGGTTTGACGATTTTCTCCGCCGCTGTCTGAAGCTCGAGGGTGAGAGGCTGCAGTGGAAGCATCTTGAGATCTCTGATGATCACTGAGGATGAGATAAAAAATGTTTTGTTTTTTTTGAAAAACAAACTTAACCACAGATCAAAAATCCGGGTTTCAGAATCTGTGTTAATAACACTACTTTACTATTAAGTTAATGAAAGACTAATTTACTTGTTTCCATACTGGGAGTCCTTCTTGCTCTCAGCTTTCTCCTCGTCTCCTCCTTCCTCTCCTTCGTCATCACTGAACTTCAGCTTGGCAGAGTAGTCAATCTCCTCATGAGCTCCTTCAGAAAGACAGAGTTGAGTTTGTGCCAAGCATCTACAGCATGTATCAGAGCATTCACACCGGCTGCTGAGCTCCGGAAAGTTTGCATGTGGAGTCTATTTTTCTCTGCAAGCCGTACGAGGATTGTCATGAAGTTAAAAGCCCGACAGGAAGTGAGATGCTTCAGCATTAGCAAGTTTTAATGAAATGATTTTCATTTAACATTCTGCTTTAGGAGAATCAACAACACGTTTGACTAAGGGGAGCTCGTGGTAAACGGCTGTGTCTCTGTACCTGCCCAGCCATCGTCTCCATCATGATCCAGCTCATCCAGTTCTTTCAGGTCATCCTGCTTCAGGATGGAGGGTCGTTTCACCGCTTCTCCACCTGAATCGCGGGGGTTAGGACCACTCTGCCCTCGCGAGAACCTGAAAGAAAGTTGAAAAAAATCATAATAAATAATTTAAAAATTCCATAAACAAAAAGCTGAGTTATTCATAAGAAAAGATACGCTGTGATTCAGACAATGTCTTCTGTCCTCCTGATGAGATAAGATACACAAAAAGTGATTTTAGAAATAAACCTACCTTGGAGCTTGCCCCTCCCCAGGTTGAGGGAACCTGTAGGGCCCTTGAAGGCCATAGGGGCCTGGGAAAGGCAGGTAGGGAGGATACATCTAGAGAAATAAAATAAATAAATAAAAACGACAATAAAAACACTCAATCAATACAGAAAGTTTTTTAGCCCCCCAAAAAGAGAGGAAACTTACAAATGGAGGCATGATCCCTCGATATGGAGGAAACCCGGGCCCCACAGGGGGCTGGGGCAGGGGCAGGGCGGGGCTGCCTGCAGGAGGATTTCTAGGTGGTCCTTGGATCTGGGAGTTTGGAGGGGGGATCACAGCTGCCCCATCCATCACCAGAGCTCCACCTGTCCCCACCTCCACAGCCCCCTCCCCAGGCAGGGTGGGTGCCAGGGCTCGGCCCCCACCATCCCGCCAACTTGTTACGTCTAAGGATAGAAAACAAAGATAACGGCAGATAAAGACACAAGCAGGAGAAGAATCATGAGACATCTCAGCTCAAGAAGCACTCACTCTGGGGGCGGAGGCTTGGTCCGGGCCCATACCACTGATCTGCAGTGGCCTGTTCTCTGCCAGCTTTGTCCTGGTCGCCAGCCGACTGCAGCGTGGGAAATTCCTCGCGAGAGAACGGCGACGGTAGGTTTGATCCCCTTCCACCTGCAATTAAAACATTTTAATTAACAATCGACAAACCGTTTAGCCGAAAGAGCGTACAAACAACATTAGACTGACCATCCCCTTGTGTTCCATGTGTAACGCTGGTCTGTGCCCAGGACCTTACCCCTACGGCCTGGGCTGAAGTTGGGGCCGGAGCCTGAGGGGGGGAAACACAGACCAGCTTTAACTCCATTAGAAAATCTTTCTTTGTTCCAAATGGGAGTTTGTCGTACCTCTGAAGTTGGTGGGGTTCTCGGGCAGGTCGGTGCAGGAATCTGTGAAGCCACAGGCTGCTGCGATTCCGGCTGCGGTGCTGACAATGCATCGGTACTGAGACAAAAAATATATACAAACCAGAGAATCACAAAGTCACTTCTTACACCCACATTTCTAAAGAAGCCCACCTTCCCCCATTACCTCTTTGGGTCTGCTGGTTCCTGTTTGCTTGCCCATCCTGTGCCGTCTTTGGGAACAAGCGAGACGTTGGGATCGTTACCTTTGTTCTCTGCCTTCAGACTGGGCAGGTTGGCAGGGGGTGGCATGCGCCGCGCGGAGGCAACTTTACCAAGAGATTGCAGGCCATGGCGGGGGGGAACTGATGTGGGCACAAGAGAGGAGCTCATTAGCACAAGATGGATCACTGAAAACAAACACCTCCAAAATCTACCGGGTCTGGGGACAAGAACGATGACGGGGATCGTGTTTGCTGCTTGCTTAACTGAATATGCAAATCAGATGAGGAGGAGGCCTTAGATTACCAGCTTGAGAGATTAGTCTAAAAAAATTCTAAAAACATTCATAAATAAAAGCAAATTTACATTTTTAAACACTGAATCTTAAAGGTGATGTTGAGGAACCACAGCAATGAGTGAACTTTGTGTGCGTTTGTCTGGGAATGGGAACAGCTGCTGGGTTCTCGTGAAGAGCTGCTGAATAAAACATAATGCAGGGACTCGGCACACAAGTCAAACAGTATTCACAAGTAAGCCTCTGACACAGATCAGGCTGAGAGGCTCCGAGGCTTAGCTGACACGATGAAGCTCAGGACTCAGTCCGCCACCTGCACGTCTCTTCTCCCGACACATCCATATAAAATACTCTGTGTGTGTTTTACTCAGACTTGGTGTGACGGTAAACGTCTCTCAAAGCACAAGTTGATGTAAAGACATTGGACTCCGACAGCCAGAATACTCACCAACAGGCTTTTGTGTTTCAAGGCTCTTTCCTTTGTATGTATCAAACAAGTTGAGGGACGCATACTTGGTTTTGCCTTCCTTCCCCTTTGCAGTTTGCCCAGAGCGCTCTGACATTGCGCTGTCCGCTCATCGAGTATGGTGAGCCCTGAGACTGCGGGAGGACGAGAAAGAGACACAGAGAGATCTGATGCCAGAGATGCTCAGAAGAGTGAAAGTGCTCAAGCTCTGAAAATAACAGAACAAACCAAAATGCAGATGCAGCTGCAGCTGGACAGTCAGTTTAAAATAAAAGCATCACACAGGACGCGTTTCAGTTTTCCTCTCCACTGTCGCTACATACTTGGTTAGTACGGGGATTGCTTTAAAGTCTCTGAGACGTCAGTGACTCGATGCAATCTGCTGGGTTTACTTACATACGAAACTTTCAACTAATTGGAATAATGACCTGAACTCGGTGTACTGATGCGTAGCTTCAACTGGAATGTTTTCTTTGTAAATCGCCTTGAGTTGACTCTTGTTGCTATGTCATCATCTCTAATTATATTATCGGAACATTTTTGGTTACACAGTCAGAGAAAACACTACCTTTCTGATGTAGTAAAACATACCATGGTGAATAAATATAGCTGTGATAGTTTGTTTTAAAACACAGTCGTATTTCAAAAATACTGTCTGTTCGCATCCTCCTACATAAATAAGCTAAATAACTTCATTCTTCTTGTTTTACACAAAACTTTGACCTGATCCAAACTTATTCCTAAACTAAGACCTTATAGGTCAGACTTTAGCACCACACTAACATCAAAACTACACCATGAGTGCAGTGCTCCTCACTTGGAAATGCTGCATTGAAGAAAACAAAAAGCCAAATCACGGTTTCTATGGCAACACAATACAAATTATTTCCATCCACGCCTTACCTCTATAAAAGGTTCAGCACCATGGCAACCCTTAACCTAAACAAATTCTATAGAGCATCAATAAAACACAAGGCACTGGCATCTGCAGGCTTTTGCATGATTGTCTCTAGTTCAGCTGTTGACCCAACTTAACCCGACTCGTTTAAAATAGCCAGAACAGATACTACCGCCATGATGAATAAGGTACATTCATTCACTACAGTAACATACAGAAAACCCATCCAAATGATTCATTAAAGGACCATAATCACAACTAAACCAAAACACCTGAAGCTGTTTTTATTAGTTTACCATTATTAACAATACATTTAGCTGTTTAAACAATTAATAAAACTCCAGTTATACATTTAAACAGTGACATAACATCGTGTGTGTTATGTTCATGCAACACTTAAAGAGCAAGTCACCCCCTACAAGAAACTTACTCTACTCCCACTTCATGTTTTAAAAATGCAACAAATGCTGTTCCCTGGCAGACTGAGAGGGCAGAGCCGCTAACAAATACACACACACAGGCTAGGGCTGGGCGATATGGCAAAAATAGAATATCACGATTTTTCCAATATTTTATCACGATTTCGATTTTATCACGATTTTTTTTATCCATGAATAGCATAACTTCAATTGCGTATTAAAGAAGAGAAACATTGAATAAATAAACATTTATTCATATTAGGGATAATCAACACAGTGCTAACACACTTATATATTAAACTCACACCAGAGATGATAAAAGCCCTGAAACAATTACAAAAATCAGTTTTTCTCGTTTTTCAAGTAACTTAACATAAATTAAAATCGTAAACATATTTAAAGTGCAAACACGTCAATTGCAAACGTACTGTGCAAACATTAACTTGTTCAAAATACTATGTGGCTCCCAGTTGCTCATGTAGTGGATAGTTAAGCTCAAATACGGCTCTGATTGCGGCTGGACCAGAGATCGCTTGTGGTAGCAAATAACTGCGCATTCTGAATATTTTCTGCAACAAGTCTCTAAATAAAGTAAAATTTTCCAGTGCAGATTGGAGACAACCCATAGAAGCACTGATTTGATCTCATTTCAGAGAAAAATAGAACAGGTTAGATGCACCTAATAAATAAAATTACTAACAAACTCAGGAATCTTTCTTTGCTTCACTGTTCTGGTGCTGAAAACATCACTAATGCGGATCAAAGGAGATACACAGATGAATTATTTGGAAATTTATTATTTGGAGACTACATTTACTGCAGCTGGCAGAGGCAGAGATTTTTTTATTGATACACGGAATTTACAGAATAATTTTAAATGTTAATAGGGGAAGACTGCAGGAGGGAGCGGTAAAATACAGGGGGTCCCCAGCAAAAACAAGAAACTTTACGAGTCTGATGAAACCCGCTGGTTTTCCATCAGGCAGTCACGGGGCAGCTCCAACGACCCAGTGACCGAGCTCAGTCCGGCTCGGCAGAGGGTGAACGAGCCGAGGCGACGTCGTGCTCTGCTTAAGAAGAGGTGTTATTTTCCTGCTTCAGAAGAAGCGTCCAACGAGTTTTTACGCTTTCTCCGAGACATGTCACGTCACTAAGTTGTTAGCGCCGCGCGCTAAGGAAACCCTGCGTTCCTCTTCGGAACGAAAACCTCGTTGTCGCTCTCAGCCGCAGCCGAAGCCATGTTTGTTCACACACAGGTGAAAACAAGCGGGGCACTAATATATTACTATGACTCATTCTGATTGGTTAAGGGTCAAACAAAGGCGTGTCATTCGCCTGAGGTAAGTTCCCTTTTCATTCAGAGGCAGAAATTCAACAGCAGAGCTGTGAATCGTGATAAAAAGGTCTCTCAAAAATGACAGACCATCAGATGTGTAGATCGTAAAACGGTCTAAAATCGTCATATCGCCCAGCCCTAACACAGGCTCACAATAATACCAGCTAACGTCATTGTGCACCTCTTAGCTAATAGCGGTGGCAGATTTAAATTCAAATGTAGTGCAGAGTTTTTACCTGACGACTGCGCAACACTGACAGTTTTAGGAAGAATATTTAAATTTGAACTAAGATGCACTAAAGTGCCAAATTATTGACTACACGTGTCTACAGCATGATTAGACACTCATTTATATAGTTCAGCAGCAAAAAAAAAAAAAGTTGATTCGGGGTGACTTGCTCTTTAAATCAAACTTATGTTTATGTTTATGTGCTTAGCAGACGCTTTTACCCAAAGCGACTTACAGTTTATTTTTTATTTTTTTTTTACCTATAGGGCATGTTGTGATCTGTGGGGGAAACCGGAGTACCCGGAGGAAACCCACGCATACATGGGGAGAACACGCAACTCCACGCAGAAAGGCCGCAGCCGAGTTTCGAACCTGCGACCTTCGTGTTGCGAGGCAACAGTGCTAACCACTGCGCCACCATGCAGCCCTTAAGGAACTTCAGGAATATAAACAAAAAAAAAACACAAAAGCAGTGTGGAGATTTCTCAGTTTCTGATATTAAATACAGACACACTGTATAAAAAGTTATTAAATGTGGAAAGCATTTGAGTGCAGCATCATGTTAACTTTTATCTTGTGTTTAATGACACAATAGAGCTCCGGACGTCATGTTGGCAGGCAACAACGGTAAACAAAATGAACGGGATCGACTTGGATTTTACTCCGTCGGGAGTTTACTTCACACTTTAAAACCGAAGAAAATCGTTTTATATAGTCAGAAATTAAATAGACTAAACATCTCCGACCCTTTCCGTGCCCCTGGGATACTTTTTAAAAATGCCAGAAGCTGTCGGAGCAGACCTCTTACCGGATTTGAGATGCCCTGACATTTATCATTTATAAAACTAATTAAACAAAAACACAAATAACATAGATTTGCATGTAAGAAGTTTAAATAGAGTGCTGTGCTGTTTGAATGTATAAACTGAACACCAAGAGAAATCACTAGTTTGATTTTTTTCCGTGAATAAAATATGTCAGGCAGGAGCGTCTCAGGATCTGTCTCGGCGAGACAGATAATAGCAATCCAAAGTGCTTTTTATGTGTGATCTGACAATTGATCAACCATTGCTTAAAAATTAAATCCAGCTTAGCCGGTTAATTGCTGTGATCATAAAACACGTACACGGCAGCACGCAGAAATCCCGAGGCAACGTTTTACGTGATGTTTACTTGTTGCTATGAGTAATAAGACAGAAAAAGCCACGCCAAAATGAGTTTAGGAAGCCCACCAAGAATCGTAATAAAAGCATTTAAAATAAACACCATACACAGTTGAGAAAACGTTGATTTAAGTACCTGATATGAAGCGGTCGCTGCATAAGCAAAAACCTTTACTCTCTGGATCCTACAACTTCATTTTAGCCCGGTCACTAGCGCGTTTTATTGCAATGATCCAACGTTTGCGGCGTTCCGGATCTTGGGGAATCCTGTAGAAGGCTCTTCCCTTTTCTCGTCTGCGTCTGTTCTGGCATCCTGGGGCACAACAGGAATCTACCATATTTCCCGTCTGATTGAGTTTTCTGACAATAACAAATAGCCTAGCTGCGGGCTTCTGCCTGCCAAGATGGCGCCGTTTCAATTTGAACTGTTGCATGCCGGGAGAAGTGACGTCAACTCCCGTAGCTCTATAGATGAAAAATAGATCTCTCGTGAGGTCACTAAATCAAGGGAGAATTGCAACACCACGTGTGATTTCAGAAGTCCACACACACTAATACAGTGAGGAACATAAGTATTTGAACACCTTGCGATTTTGCAAGTTCTCCCACTTAGAAATCACGGAGGGGTCTGAAATTCACATTGTAGGCGCATTCCCACTGTGAGAGACGGAATGCAAAAAAATATATATCAGGAAATCACATTGTATGATTTGTAAAGAATTTATTTGTTTTGCATTTTGCAAGTATTTGAACACCTGACAAAATCAGTATTAATATTTGGTACAGAAACATTTGTTTGCAATTACAGAGATCAAACGTTTCCTGTAGTTCTTGACCAGGTTTGCACATACTGCAACATAGATTTTGGCCCACTCCTCTGCACAGATCTTCTCTAGATCTGTCATGTTCTGGGGCTGGTGCTGAGAAACACGGAGTTTCAGCTCCCTCCAAAGATTTTCGATTGGATTTAGGTCTGGAGACTGGCTAGGCCACTCCAGAACCTTGATATGCTTCTTAAGGAGCCACTCCTTGGTTATCCTGGTCATTGTCATGTTGGAAGACCCAGCCATGACCTATCTTCAATGCTCTGACTGAGGGAAGGAGGTTGTTGCTCAAAATGTCACAATACATGGCCCCATTCATCCTCTCCTTAATACAGTGCAGTTGTCCTGTCCCCTTCGCAGAAAAGCACCCCCAAATCATGATGTTTCCACCCCCATGCTTCACAGTAGGGAAGGTGTTCTTTGGATGCAACTCCTCCTTATTTTTCCTCGAAACACGGCAAGTGAAGTTTAGACCAAAAAGTTCTAATAGGGTCTCTCATCTGACAACATGACTTTCTCACATGCCTCCTCTGGATCATCCAGATGGTCAATGGTAAACTGCAGATGGGCCTGGACATGTGATGACTTGAGCAGGGGAACCTTTCGTGCAATGCGTGATTTGAAACTATGACGGCATAGTGTTCTACCAACAGTGACCTTTGAAACTGTGGTCCCAGCTCTCTTCAAGTCATTGACCAGCTCCTCCCATGTAGTTCTGGGCTGACTCCTCACCTTTCTTATCATCAGTGATACCCCACGAGATGAGATCTTGCATGGAGCCCCAGTCCGAGGGAGACTGACAGTCTTCTTTTGCCTCTTCCATTTTCTGACAATTGCTCCAACAGTTGATCTATTTTCACTAAGCTGCTTGGCAATTTCCCCGTAGCCCTTTCCAGTCTTGAGGAGGTTCACAATTTTGTCTCTGGTTTCTTTTGACAGCTCTTTGGTCTTGCCCATGGTAGTAGTTGGAGTCTGACTGACCGTGGGGTGGATAGGTGTCTTTAAAGAGCTCAGACAGGTGCTAATAATTAAGACTACAAAGTGGAGTACAGGTGGACTTCTTAAAGGCAGAATAACAGGTCTTTGAGAGCCAGAATTCTTGCTGATTGCCAGGTGTTCAAATACGTATGTCCAGCAGTGCAAAACATAAATTCTTTACAAATCATACAATGTGATTTCCTGATTTATTTTTTTTAACATTCTGTCTCTCACAGTGGGAATGCGCCTACAATGTGAATTTCAGACCCCTCCATGATTTCTAAGTGGGAGAACTTGTAAAATTGCAAGGTGTTCAAATACTTATGTTCCTCACTGTAAGCAAGGAGAAAGTCCGTTGCATGTTTTCAAAAAGGTACGTGGTTTATTTTCTATTCTGTGTACATCGGCTACAGGCTTTTAACAGGAAATAGCGTACGTTAACCTGAATGTAAAGTTTCTTTTGAAAGTTTCTGGATGCTTTACACTGCTTTTGTGATTGACTTCCTGTCTGATGTTTCTAATGCAGATGTTATTACTGACATTTAGATTGAATTCTGCAAAAGTACCAGGCTGCCTGAGAATGTGCCTGACTTTAAATCCAGCTTTACAAAGGCCAAATTTCAGCTGATGTATAAAAAAAACGGTATAAATTGGCCCAACAGATCAGTATACCCCTAGACTGCATTTATTTGGTACATTTTAAAACTAGATTAAATTTGGGTGCATGCTTTCTAAGACTGTGGGAACCTCACTAATCTAAGACAAATGTGATGCAAACTACTTTCTCCAGCGAACCAATACTGATAGAATGCAGAAAGCCTGAATTTACTCAAGTCACTGCATAAAGAACACGAAAGTAGTGGTTAATCATAGTGATTATGGAGCAGCAGCACTGCATGTAGCCTCGATAACCCAGAGATTAGGAAATTAGGTCGTGGGATGGCTGTTGGACTGCGTGTTGTGCAGGGATTACCAGGGACAACACTGTAGTAACACTCCACCAGGAGGCCTCACAAAAAGCACCAATAACACTGATAACTGGAACAAATCTGATTGTAGATAACACACTTCTAATGGCATTCGATGTGTTTTATGATAAGCCATTAGGAGAGGTTATTAAAAACGTCCGGTGGAGCAGAATGAGGTTATCTGGGGAAGCATAGGGCCTCGGTGCTCTCGTTGGGAGGGGGACTGCGCTGTTTCATAATACATTTTCCAACACCTTGAGCTCACATTTAGCCGACTGCTCCACAAATCTGCGAGTTTTCGTTCAAGCAGAGCTAACGCAGCTTCATCAAACAACGTCTCTCACTTCTAGCCAGCAAACAGGGTCGGGGTGAAGCAAAATTAAACGGTTTTTATTAAAAGAACAAAACAAAATGGCGCTGGAATAAGAGGCCTATGAGCCCTTAACATTTAGACAAGTAAGAAGTAAAGCTCAACAAACTGCGTTTCACTCACAACGTGTTTAAATAAAAGCCAGTCGAGTTTAATTATGTTTAAAATGGCGTGATACAACGTATCTATTTAACTGTTTAGCAGTTATTCTGACAAGGGGTTTGCTCCTCGCTGATTTTTACGGCGCATGATCCGTCAGAGCAGCGATGGAAAAGGCAGGAAAAGTTGCCGTACTCGGTGCCCTGATGTTTAAATGGAGCAGACCCAGTTTCCTAGCCGAGGCTAATACTAGCTTCAGATTCAGCTAAACGCTAACATATGCTGCGTAGTGTTTGTTCGAAAATATCGAAGGTTATTTGCGAACTCAAAAGCAAGAACACAGACATAGGTGCAACAGTGCATACTAACGTGTGTTTATTCACAAAATATAACAAATAGAATTTAACAGAATAGATTCCAACACAACTCCAAGACAGGCTAAGCTAACAGGCTAGTTGACCACAACGTTGGCTAACAACAACAACCGATACATCCCTTTAGAAAATAACTAAAACGTCTCCACACACAATACAATACAATGCCTGTCGTTCGAGGATAATACGTATATATTCCCGTTAGGTACAAGGTTTGCATATAAATAACGGTAAATTCTCGAGCCACTGACCTGGTCTTGTCCCGACTTGTCTCGACGTTGTATCGCAGAATGAGCTTAGCAAAGGTACACACACGCAGGTCCTTGCTATAACCTGCGCTAACTTTAACGGAGCGACACCGTGTACAGAAAGAATGTATTCGGCTTACTTGCACTCCTTTTGTGGCCCCAAAAAAGATTAAAAATGACAAAAGAAAATAGTTGTGCTGGACTCAATCCGTCTCCTATAGAGCCGCCATCGGCTACTGAGGACTTGGGTGAGATGGGAGCCGTTTGGGACCTCTTCAGAAAACACTCATTCGACTGTTATATTTTTAAAAACGCCACTTTAACTTATTTTTAAAAATAAAATAAAATAAAATTGAATACCTGAACACAGCTTTATATTTCGTAATTTATATGGACTGTGATTGATCCTTTTTGTAAAACAAAGTTGTGATCCAGGGTTGGTTTTTATTACATAACTCTAGTATTGCATTCTAAATATGTGTTTATTTTTAGTTTCCAAATTCTCACTAGAAAAAGCAGGCCTAGACAATACTACGTCACACTTTTTTTATTGATCTCCTCAAACGTTAACTCAAAGACCACACAAACGTCATTGAAATGTTTTATTGTGTGTAAAAAGAAATTTGTCTCCAACCATCTAAAATTATCATTGGGGTGAAAATCCGTCATAAGAATAAGTCACTTTAACCACGGAACATGTTCGATTTATTCATTTAAAAAAAACATGCAATCCTTAAAAATGTGACTAGTCAAATCTAGACTAGCATTCTCTCAAATCTCATCTGAAATTAGATTATGTAGGGTTTGGTAAATTGAGTGCTTTAAGAGTTCAATATATATATATATATATATATATATATATATATATATATATATATATATATATATAGACTCTGGCATCGGAGGGCTGTAGAATACCGTGGCACTGACCCTTCAGTCCAGAGATGTCTTGGGTCACGATAGATGGATGGAACCGCGCGTCTCTGGTGGACTCTTAAGGAGTCTAAACATAATCAGCTCGTTCTGCAGGAACTGTTTGCTTTATCAGCTTCGCAGGTGCAAAAAGGTTTTGACGACGTGTCAAAAGCTTTAGGGGTTAAAGAGGATTTTGCTTCAGGTGGCCGGTCTGAAGCTTTTCTCTAGAACTAAGGGAAAACCCGAGTAATCTGGTTTTAATGTTCTCATGTTATGGTTGTGTAGCCAACCAGAGGCTGACAAGTTTGAGGAATATTACCAAGAATCTCAGAAACACACTTTCTTTGATACTGGAGGCTTTGATCTGGGTAAAGGTTATTTATGTGTCATGGGTTTAACTTTACCTTACTTGTTCTTGTGTGAGTGCAAATGGTTATGACCTTGTCAAGTAAACATGCAATCAATCATTGAGAACAGATTAATGAAACATTTCATTATTTTAATTATCATGAGTAGCAATAAACAAACGTTTATTTAATGATTATCTAGCTTATAAGTTTTAGAAGTTCATATTTAATTTTAAATCTTCTTTCTTCTGTGAAGCAAGGAGTCTTAGATAAAAGGGTGCTCTGTGAGGGACCTTGGAAAGAACAGGATTTCAATGTTATGATTCCAGGATGTCAACAAGCAGTGCAGGATCTTGTGGCTTGTTGGCAGATAGAATATAAAATCCACCTCATAGGATGGAATTAGGTCTGTAGATGACGGATGACCTATAGGTCAATCTGTAGGTGAAAACTGACCATTTGTGGACATTATAATTATATTAATCAGTCTAGTTTTGAAACCAAGTGAACAAGAATCTCTGCAAAGCTTAAAAACTTGAGAAAAATATATAATTTTTAGGGGGAGAAAAATATTTTCTTAATTTTCACAGGAGCCACTGCCAAGATACTAAAAGTTTGGTGTTAGTGTAACGTCACGAAATGGACTGATTTTAAAGAACCCACATGCAGCCAGAGCAAATAACCCTGGCTACTACATGTCTGCTCCTTGTCAGGAGTCTGTGAGTGCACAACTCAGCATTTTAATCAGATGACTTCATCAGCTGAGTGCAGCTTCATCAGATAATAAAGATGAACAGTAGCAGCCAAGGCCCTTCACAAGAGAACTGTTTTAGATAAATCTTTATTCCCAGAAGAAAGAAGATTTAATGTTTTAGTAGTGTTTACAGGATGAGGTCATCATTACACCAGACAGAGAGTAAGGTTAAAATTAAGAACACATGACATAACTAACCTTGTCCCTAGACTCAGAGACTCTGCGTCTCAGAGCGTGTGTTTCTGAGATTCTTGGTAAGTTTGGTAATAGATAACAGCGGGTATATAAACCAGCCGTTCTGCTTTCTTGTCAGTCGGGAGAGAAAGCTGGAGACTGGCCATCTCTTAGCAGATCTCTAGCTCAGAAAGATTTTGACACACTGTCAAAACCTTCAAGCTTTTTGCACCTGCGAAGCTGAACAAGATAGTTTTCCTGCAGAACAAAGCTGACTCAAACTCCTTCAGAGTTATTTTAAGACACATGGTTTCTATCCGTCGTGACCCGAGACACGTCTCTAGGACTGAAAGGAAGGCACCTCGGTACTCTACAGCCCTCCGGTGCCAGCGGTCATCCAACGACTCTGACTTTCGGATCCACCAAGAGGGTGCCTCTACGGTAATGTAGACACACAGATAGTGTCTGTATGCAGTTTGATAAATAACAGCTTATAGCTTATCTGCAAACCAAATTCTTTTATCCAGAACGCACCTCTCTGAAGATACGGAGATTCTGATTCATCATCTCATATTCACATATGGTTTTCAGACACCCATCTTTTAGTTCCATCCGCTGACAGGATAATAGTTTAAACCATTTGTCAAGTCCTAATTGTTTGTAAAATAAATTCTTATTTGTTTGCAAACACTGACTGGTTCTTGAATCATAAACAAAGTGTGAACGATCCCTTAATAATTAAAATAATCCTAGAACCTTCTAATTAATCATCCTAAAACCTAGCAAGGTGATATTCTATAAATAATAGAGTATTACAGCTATTGGTCACAAGTAATGAGAATAGAAATAAACAGCTCTTAGGCAATTTATTTAGCCCACAGTACTCTACTATTTTCCATTACATCAGCTTCATAACTTTATCGATAAACATTGATAACAATCTGCTATAAGCCACAGATGTTTGCTTTGAATGGCCTTCGTAGACGAAGAATTCTGCATTAATACAGTAGTTATATTACAAAATCAGGCAATAATAAAGTGCAGCATCATAATAATATTATTCATGTTATTTTATATAATAATACTAATACTAATAATAATAATAATTATTATTATTACATTAACAAACAGATTTAACTCAGTGTTAATTATGGCACATACATCCTAAAGTCCACAATTTTGTTTTCCCAGCAAAAACAACTCAGGCCAGTTATGTCAGATATCATAAACAGTTATTATTGCTGTAATTTCTAAGGAACTCAAACAAAACAATGAGTTTGTTTCCGGATGAAATATTCTGTAAAAAATTTTTTATCAGCCTCAAAATGCAAATTTTTTGCCAGAAACAAAAAAGTGTTCATTTTAAACTTTAAAATTCTACTAATAAAGCAAAAACAGAGCAGGAATTCTCTTTTTTAAGCACAACAAACTCATCATAATGAATCATGAATAACTTCCTTGTTTTCCTCTAAGTTAACACGGACAGCAAAAAAACCCACTGAATTTATCTGAAAAAGCCATAGAAAACAGAAAAAAGGACTATAGCAGGTAGGTTTTCCATGCACCTGCCTCTAAATAACATATATGATTATTTGGTATGCCTTATTCTTTTATTTTTCATCCAATAAAAAGTAAAACTGGCATTTGCAGCTCCTGTTTTTCATAATTAAAGTGAATTAATAACACATCCCTTGGTAAGAGTTTAAGATGATTGCACAGCTGTGGGGTAAACCAGAAGTTTTTGTCATGGTCTGCGTTCTGCGTCTCCCTCATGTGTCTCCTTGTGTTCTCCATCCCTCTCTAGGTTCCCCTTATGTCTGGTGTTCCTCGTGTCTCGTCTGCATCCCCCCTCATGTGCTCCTTGTGTTCCCCAACCCCTCCAGGTGTCCCTCTAGGATTCCCCTCATGTGTAACCAAGCTTCCAGTGCCCCTTTTTGTCCCCAGCTCCCTCCCAGTCTCCCCTAGTCACCCCTCTGTAGTTTTTCTATAGGTTCAGCTTTTCATTTTATTAGTCTCGTTTAGTGTGTGTTTCCTTCCCCACTTGTTAATTAGTCTCCCTCAGTCCTCAGGTCATTAGTTATTTATTCTTGGGTTCTCCTGTGCCCTTAAGTCTTTTAGATTTATTTATTTAGATTCATAGGTTAGGGTTTATACCCTCTGCTTGGTTTTCCCTTCCCATTTAGGCCCTGTCCACACGTAGCTAGGGATCTGCCAAAACGTAGATATTTTTCTACGTTTTGGCCTGTCATCCACACGAAAACTGAGTTTTTTCTACACAAAAACGGATCTTTTTAAAAACTCCGGCCAAAGTGAAGATCTGCGTTTTCTACGTTTTGGGTATCTGCGTGTGGACAGACAAAACCGGAGTTTTAAGGTCCGTAACGTCACTTTCCGCGACAAAAAAATGCTGACATCACGTGTGCGACCTGTGTTTACACTAGCCAACAGCATGGATGCCCTCAGAGCTGCGCTCGCTTTATCAATTGTCCAAGCGCTTTTTGCTTGTTTGTTTTTGCAAGTGGAATTACTGCTCCTTGCGGAAGACCACAGACGAAGGACGAGGTTAAGAACGGGGGAAGTACTGCCGCCTACAGGTCTGGCATGTCCTTAACAACGTATTTATCCGGGTACGTGTGGACAGAGTTTTTTTTAAAACGAGGTGGTGTGGATGCAAGTTTCTGGAGGGGCGGATATTCGATTAAAAAAAAACGGCTACGTGTGGACTAGGCCTTAGTCAATTGTTCTCACCAGTCTCCTCTCAGTTCTCTCTCCCCACGCACCTGCTTCTCATCTCCCAATCACCGTCCCTGTGTATATAACCCTGTCTGCGTCTCAATGTTTTGTCGGTCCATTGATGTTTCTCAGCCTAATAAAAGGGATTTTACTTTTACAAATCGCTCCTGCCTCGTGTCGTCTGGTGTTCTGCATCTTGGGTCCTAACCTCCTCCTACTCGCATCGTGACAAGTTTTCCTTGTGCATTTTTAAAATACAGAAGGTAAAAATAGAAAAATTAAATAAATGTACATCTAACCTGAGCAGCAGCAGCATTGTGTGGGGTGAAGTCTGGTTCCCAGATTCCTTAATGAGATTAGCATATGTTTGCAAAATGATTCACCTTTACATCTCCTGCTTGGTCGAGTTTAATCTCCTAATCTAACGATGTTTTCAGACAACAGTTTGGTAAAACCAGGATTAAATAATAATCTGGCCTATCAACTGCAAAATCATCATTTTCAATATCTTATTTTAAAGATAAGTTGAGTTTAAAATTCCTGAGAAAGTTGATGAACTAAAAATAAAGTTTTCCCTTTCAGGTTTAAGTCTGAAAGACAAAAGCAGGTTAGGGTCACTCGCTCGCTACCGGCCACCGTAGAGGTGGATCTTAACAAACGAGATGGTCTCCCAATAGCTGCTGTGTCCTTTTTCATAGATGGCAAAGATAAACTTTTTATCTTCCACGGAGCTGCTGTTCAGCGACGTGATGCAGGAGTAACCGCTCGGCCCGTGCCATATCTGCAAGGCTTTCTTTTCCCAAGACGATCCATTCGTTAGCGACCACTGTAGCGTCAGGTTCACTCCTGAGGAGGATAAAGCGGGATCGTTTGTCAAAAAACACAATTGAACCATTCTTAATGCAACCATCTGTTTTATTCTGCCGGTTCTCACTCTGTTTTTCGTTGGAGGGGTTGATGAAGTACAGCACTCCGTTTTTCTGCAGCGCTCCGGCTGCAACGACTGGATCCACCAGATTGTAGTCGAAAAACAGCTCATCCACGGGGAGAGTCAAGCCTCCGTCCAGACTGCGAACCACAATGCGACACCGGCAGTGGTAGTTGTTCTGGTTGCGCACGTTGATCATGATGCTGCCATTCGGCAACTCCACTGGCTGCAGAAACAACAGAGGAAGGCAGAATCAGCTGATCGTCATCCTTGGATGCTGATGTTAGACTAGTTCTACAGGTTTGCACAGAGCAACGTAAGAATAGAGAACACAATAGATTAGATACAATCTTTTAAACTGGAAAATGTGGTTGCAGTATTTATACTTCTCCACTAGAGGATGCAAGGACACAAAGCTCTAAAGAGGAGGGCCAAAATCCTAAGGTTAAAAGTCACTTTGGACCACAAAAATCCAATTTTTTTTATCTTTATAAAAAAAGCAAAATTTTCTCTATGGTGACTTTTATTTGCACTTCTAAAATAATATGCATATTAGTAAAAATATGAACAGAAAGTCTGAAAAGTGCTCCAGAGAGAAACATTCCACCATCAGCAACGCCAGGTCAGCAGAGTGTGGCGGTCTGGGACGGTGTGTGGACCAGAGACCTGGGTCCAGGTTTCCTAAAGGGCGACTGTGCTGTGTTGCTGCTACAGAGGATCAGATTCAGCAGCCTCCTGCTGAAAGTCTATGCCCTGATGTTGAAAGTCAAAAGAAAACTGGAACAGCTCTATATGGATATTTGATAGTGGAGAAGAGTTTGTCTCATGTGTTTTATTGACTTGGACTTTGTCGTGTCCTGTGGAGGGTTTTTAGGAGGGTGGGGGTTCAGGCCCCAACAAATTTTGGTTTATTGTAATCAGAAATGTAATAAAACTGCAGCACAATGTACCTGGCACTCGTCAGGGTTGAAGTCCAAAGCCTTTTTAGGCTGGTTGTAAGGGATGCTCTTCAGCGCTGCTCCGTTGTACCAGTTCTTTCCGTGGTCGTCACTAAGGATGCAAAAAACACCGTCTCCCTCTATCGTCCCATGTCCACAAACTACCAACCTCCCCTTGGCTGGATGGTGTTTCTTCTGTAGCAGAAAACAAAACCAGATACCAAATTTATTGTTTGTTTAGTTTCTTCCAAAAATATATCATATATTGATTAGCAAGATTCAAAAACCTGATTTGTTTGAATTATTTTCTACTAAACATCCTAAAGCTTTGCATCCATCCTTGTTTTCCTGTTTTATTTTAATATAAATGATAATAATTGGTTTTGTGTTGTCTTAAAGATCAAAAATATAATTAAACTAGGGATGCACCGATCAGGTTTTTTGCTGAAGATCACCGATACCGATATCAAAGAATGCTGATCACCGATACCGATCACGTGGATTGGCCAGAAATTTTCTACAACATTATAATGAGTGCTACAAACTACATAATCTGGGAATAAAGGAAATGTAACCTAATCTAAAATGGTCTGTATTAGGGTTGTCACGGTGTGAAAATTTAACCTCACGATTACTGTGACCAAAATTACCACGGTTTTCGGTATTATCGCGGTATTTTTTTTAAACGTGCTACATTTTCACACAATTAAATAAACCCTGTATATCAGGAAAATATTGTCCTCAATTTGTGTCTAAATTTTGCCTAAAATGTGTTATTTTGTAATTATGTTGTTTATTTGTTTACATTTTTCCCCTTTAGTCTTTAAAATACCAATATTTGCCCATAACTTCTTATTTTATGTCTGTTTGATGTCATCATTTAAAAATATTAGATCAGATGATACTCAGTACTCAAGTAGCCTTCTAATCAGATACCCTTTTACCCTTACTTGAGTAATAAACCCTATATCAGGAAAATATTGTCCTCGGTTTGTGTCCTTCCAGTGAGCTTTGCAGATGTGGGAAAATGTCATCAGGCAGTAATCATTGTTAAATTCATAATTATTCTCGGAGAGAGACCAACTCTTATCTGCCCCTGGGAGCCCCGTAATGCATAGCGTCATTTCAACATGGGGGTGTCCGCGACACGGTTTATATGCAGGTAGCGGCGCTGCGGCTGCTTTATATAGCGACTCGTTGCCTTCTCCCTCAACCCAAATCCTCGGATCACGCATTTTAGCTAAAACGCTAACGTTAGCTTGCCTTGCGTTGACTGTAGAGTTGTGGGTGATGGTCACGCAGATGTGTCATGAGATAAGAAGCGTTGCTGCCTTTCACAGACACTTTTTCTGCTCGTGCTGCAAACAGGATAGCCGTCTTCTATCAACTGTCCCTCGGCATTCTTCAAATATCTAAAATATGCCCGTACTTCCGACTTTGTCTTCTTTGAGGGATAATAAATGTCCTCCTGAGCGCTGCCGTCTCCTCCTTTGACCATTATTTCAGCTTTAGCTTCAAGAAAGTTTTGTTGTAAACAAAGCGTGTATGTGCCGCCGGCAACTTCTGCAGATGATACGGTGGCTGGTAAGGGTCACCACGCCCACACCACAGCCACGGTAAACCCACCAAGATAATATAGTTTTTTAAAAACAAGACGGTTATTATTGTCAACTTTTTTTTTTACCGGGGTTTAGCGCTACACTGGTTACCGTGACAACCCTACCTGATCGGTTTGCTTTGATCTATTTTGAAAATTCCGATCAAAACCGATAGGGGCGCTATCGGCCGATTACGATCAAATGCCGATCCATCGGTGCATCCCTAAATTAAACCATTTTGTTTTCATGAAATTACCATAAAAACTAACAGCTGCATTATGAAAAAAGTAACAACAAGATCATATAAGGTGGTTTTTACACATTACAACAGAGTTCCCTCCAACAACGCTCAGTTATGATTTATCAAGTGACATCTTCCACACTAAAGTATCAAAGAGTCTAAAAACCATTCACATATATTGTAATAAACTTAGATAAAAAAGTTTAGGACATTCATTTTTAGAGTTGTAAGAAAAGGCTTAGGTTCTTTAAAGGTGCATGAAGTAAGAATGACATCCGGTGGTCAAATGTGGGTACTGCAGTCCATGAATCAAAACAAACAAGTTTGCTCTGAGCTCTGAGTTATGGATCAGCACTAGAAGATTCTAGATGACAAGTGAAGATGAGTCCTACATTGTAAGTAGATACGTAGATAAATACGTTTCTCATTAGAGCCTACTTTTTTTTCAAATTAACTGTTAGCATTGTTAGCTTACCATTAGCCTCTAAAACAAAAGTTGTTTTACTTTCTTTTGCTTCTGGGCCGCTCCTTTTACTGGCTTCAGATCTGTCGACAACATTGCTGCTTTCCCAGCTTGATTTACAAATGCCGGCGCAGCAGCGTTAGCTCTGCGCAGACTCAGTAACCCTGCTGGCTCTGGGACTGTAAACAAAGGCTACGTCCCTCTTTAGCTTTTTTGAAAGGAGAAAAACTGTCTACCCCCAAGTCGGCTGAGAAGGAAATCTGTTTCCATGTAACCTTCCTTCCAACACGATTGAGACGTTAGACTGTTTAGTGATTATTTCACAGAAAATGTCTTACTTATTGCTTCTTTACACTAAAACCAATAATGGTTAGGGTTAACAGGGGTATCAAAATCAAAGCAGTGTGGCTCAACTTTGCTGACTGACTTTTAAATCAATGAGACAGATAGGGTACTTTGAAGAAGCCGTGCCTCTACCTTGAAACCAAAACTATGCTAGTTCCCACTTCTTAATCTAGATAGCCTCATGAAGGCTCAAGTTGTAGAAAAAAGGAAGTGAGACTTATGCAACCATTATGATCAGCATAGACCAATAGTTTAACAGGGTGCAGCTTTGTGTTTAATGACATGAGGAATCTGCTGTGAAAGATCAGTTTAACACGTGATATGAATGATAAACATGTAAGTTTCTTATGATCTCAAATGGAAACTAGAGCTGTAAAAAGGTCATGTAGGTTAAATTTTAACTTGTTACAGCAAAAAAAGTTAAACTTCTTTCATAAATTATAATTTTCCCACCTGTATACCTAATCCCGGCCCAGGGGCAAATTCTTTAACTCCTAGCTGGACCGACAGGTTTCTGGGCCTGCTCCAGCTGAGGCCGTCATCCAGGCTCTCCACCATCATGGTGCTGGCTGGGCTGCAGTGGTAAAGGTGGAAGCAGAGGGAGTAGATCAGAATTACTGAACCCACATCTTCATCCACCACCACTGAGCCCAGGTTCAGACCATTTGGGTGGGATACATCGTCCACTATGAAGGCGGTTGGGGACCAAGTGTTCCCTAAGAAGGTGGTAAAGGAGGAGAAGATGGAAACCTTTAGCTTGATCCAAAACTGCTCCTAAAAGTAAGCAATGACCATCATAGGTGTCCATTTAAATGGCTTTTGTCGCTAATTTGTGTTCAAAATTTTCTCTCAAACTTTTTAAAAATTCTGCAGAATTTGTCTTCAGTAGGTTTAGAATGAAAACGAATAAAAACTGTAAGTTTGGGTGGGCCTGCCTTTGTCAGTGGACCGTCTCATTGCAAGGAACTTGGCTCCAATGTCACTTGATGAAAACTTCCTGGCCTCAGTGAAGGCCAGCAGGCTTCCTTTGGGGGTAAAAGTGATGAGTGGGATCCTGAAGGTGTTCACTTCCCCCTGAACTCCGCTCACCCACAGCAGCTGTTCCTCGTACACCAGGGGATCAATCTGAACGACAGAAAACAGGTAATCAGGAGTAGGACAGGATAGGCCTACAAAGGCGACGTTCCTGACATGAACATATGTGACTGAAACCAGTTTGGATAGGTGTATCATCTGCAGGCATTAAAATCACGAGGCACTGCATCGGCAGTGGCAGGGACTCCCCCACTGCCGCCGGGCCCGGCGGCGAGTGAGAACTGCCTATCGCACTGCCTAAACACAGCATGACAACTTATGCCATCTCTTTCTTGGTTACGCTGCAGCGTCTTCTATCCAGGCATCATGCAGCAGCAGCACATTTATTGAGCTACAATCTCAGCATCTAGAACCAGGTGAGTAAGTTACTTGTTAGGCTATTTGTAATCAGCAGTAGAAACAGACTTTTTCAAATTAAACGGCTTATCACATATATCGATATGCAAAATTAATTAATTTGAATCCACACCAGACACGTGTTTTTGGCACAATGAGTGCAGCATTGATTTAGCATTGAGAATATTAAATAATCTGAACATACACATCTGAAATTGTCTCCTTAACATGTTATTGTCAATTAGGCTGTAAATTTGTAAAAAAGGATGGACATTAGTTTTTGTGACATTAGTGAGTCATCTTCAAGGCATAAAGGTTCATGCCCTGAAGAAGGTCGTACCGAAACGCGTCGGTGTTTCCTTGTTTAATAAATGAAAACCTCAGAGTGCCTCAGATCACCGGTTCTTCTATCTTATATTCGACGATTTATTTGATGCTGAAGAGCACTTGAGAGTGAGACATACGTTTTTTCAAATATTCCCCATGGATGCTCTCACTTCCACCTGTTTTTGATCATTTTATTCATGTTTTCATAGAACAGATTAAAAAATGATCAATAAAATAAAAAGTCCAGTGACATTAAAAATAATGAAAAGCATCACTGCACATGACTGAGGAATATTGAATGTGAAAGTGGCACTGTTCTTAAGTAATTCATGCATCAGAGGGTTAAGTTGCTTTGTGTGTGTGTGTGTGTGTGTGCGTGTGTGTGTGTGTGTGTGTGCGTGCGTGCGTGCGTTTATTTTCTCACAGAAGAACCCAACACCAGCAGACTCAGTGCTCCAATCCAACAGCCTGAAGAGACATCATCATCAGCTTCAACAGATGTCTGTGAACATGTATGAGCTGCTGGCCCCATGGATCCTGCTGACTGGCCACAGCAGTTGAACAAAATGGAAAGTAGAACTTTCTTTATGATGACACTTTTAATATTTGAGTTTTGCGTTTGATTGCACAGTTTAATGTTGCTTTTGATTTTGCATCCCCCCCCCCCCCCAATGACATTTGCACAACATTTTGAGTTGTTGGTTATTGTAATATTCTCAGCATACTTATCTTTCAAGCTTATATTTATTCTTCAGGCTGTTGACTTTAAAGAGTTGCTGTGTGAATATTTAAAATAAAAAATTAGTAACTACGGAATCACTGTGGAGTGACTTTTTCCAATGTGTGGTGGGTGGACTTGGGTTTGGGTGAGGGACATGCAGGCACGGGGGGGGGGGGGGGGGGTCAAATGGGCACCCTCACCTTGGGCACCAAATTACCCAGAGCCGGCCCTGCGAGGCAGTCTAGTGAGTAAGCAGCTGCAGCAAGTATAACTCAATAATGATCATACCTGGCTCTAGGAGGGTATTAGTGCTTACATTTTAGTATTTTCTTATTTCATCATTAGTTTTTAATATCATTTAAATGCTGAAAAGTAAACCAGATCCTTTCAGGTGATACTGTAAAGCGCGACTCAGGTTGCGAATGACCACAGTCACCAATTCTTCAGAATTGTGTGTACTGAAACTCTATTTTCCCTCTGGGATTAATAAAGTATCTTTGAATTGAATGAATCAGATTCAATTTGTATTTGTTTATTATTTATAACCAGCGGAATGCAGGCCCAACCCATGTCAGAACCTCCATTCATCACTTTCGAACTGTAATTTGACACGAAAAAATATAAATCTGTGCTGATCTTTTTTACAATGCACATTCCCATGGATCACCACTATCATCTGTGACGCCCTCTCGAAACAACACATCGAAACTTTCTGAATTTTTAAATTCATTTTTCTTACTTTGAAAGTTTTTTAATTCACTTTCCACCTTTTTGAACATCCAGTAATCAGACGTAACCAGTGCATGTAATTACCGTAGCTTCAGCGTTTTTATCTTCTATAAATGCAATAAATATCTAATTAAATCAACTAATAATAGCTTCATGTACCTGTGCAGGACTGCCAATACAAACAGACGGTGACAGCAGAAAGAACAGAGCTACTATCCCACTTCCGGTTCCCATTTCGCAAATTTTTAAACTATCTTCTTCACTTCAAAACGATAATAAAATAAAAGAGAAGCAGGATGTCAAAACATTATTAAATAAACTGTAAAAGCTAGCTAACTAACTCGCACACATGATAGAACTATTTATCCGGGTAAGTCACATGATCAAATTGCGTGGTTACGTAACTACCGGTTTCTACCTAAATAAAACAGGAAGTAACTTTTAGTAAAAAGATAAACACATGCACTTAAAAGATTTTTTTTAAGTCGTTCATCGTATGTTTTGGGACATCAAACTCCCTGCTCGAGCATCTGAAGTTTAGAAATTTTTAAATAAAGCAAAAATTGTATCAAATAAATCACTTTACCAGCCTTTGATTTTATTGGGTTGCATAAGTATACTTTTTGATAATTACAGCATTTATTCTTTAATAAGAATTATTCTATCAAACAAAACACAAAAGCACAAAATGAATCAATATATACACAAACCCAAAGAATGACCAACATAAATGAATGACAGACGTAAAGCCTGCCAGCAAAAGCTGAAAAAAGTGCCAATTGTTGAAATAGCTAGAATTTATATATATTATTATTATTGCTGCTTATATTCTCTTCTGTATCTTTAACTAAGCTACGGGCCTAAAAATTGTAAAAGTCTGCAATAGCTGGGCACAACAATCACAAAGTTTGGATCAGCTGTAAAAGGTTTAAAAAACAAAATAAAAGTGGAAGAACACATTTTTAGACTCGAAAAGTGAGCAAAAGTAGCTGGAAAATCACAGTGTAATCTATTTTTTCAGTATATGATTTTAACTGAACACAAAAAGCTTCTTTTATTTTCCTGAGAAAGTCGATGAGTAAAAATTAAACTCCCCTGGTTTCCTTCTCCCTTACTGGTTTGAATCTGAAAGACAAAAACAAACCGGAAAGCTCAACAAGAGTCAGGCTGAACAACCAGAACAAATTTATTTAGATTTGTTTCTAACAACCTGAAATTCTTTACTCTTCAATCACGCTACCGGCCACCGTAGAGGTGGATCTTGACAAATGACACAGTTTCCCAATAGTCCTTGTGTCCTTTTTCATAGACAACAAAAATGTACTTCTCATCTTCTACCGAGCCACTGTTCAGCGTTGTTATGCAGGAGTACGCACTTGGTCCTTCCCATATCTGGAACACTTCATTTTCCCATGATAACCCATTCGTTAAAGACCACTGTAACGTCAGATTCACTCCTGAGGGGTGGAGCAAGTTAGTTTGTTTATTCTGTCCTTTTGTTGTACACATTTTACAGACATTCTTTAAGTACGGAAGCCTATTGCTGTCAGTGCAAGAAAAAAATAATAAAGGAGCCGTATCACATGACATGAATGCTTGTCTTTATTATGGGATACTAAAACCTGTTACTGTGAGACAGTGTTTAATAACTCATAATAATGAGAATGCTCGTAACAGTAAAAGATAGACATCTCGTAGGATGTTTGAATCACCTCCAAGAGGAACGGAGGGAGAACATTCAGTCAGCGGGAGTCCTTTTATGCCTTTTAAGAAGCTGGAATTTGTCAGTAACCTTTTATTTTGAAATTGCAATGCTTAAATGAAACCTCTTTTGACACAAAAAGCCATTGTTCTGCAGTTTTCCTCCTTTAACTTAGGCTGAAAATCAAAAACTGGAATAACCGACTCATTCATTCATATTAGAACATGCCAACATATATCACCATTTCACCATTACAACCTTTCTTGTTACTACGAGATAGTAAACATGCTAATACGAGAAACATTCTCATTACAACCAATTTAATAGGTTGTTATAAAATTGAAAGTTTTCCGTTAAAACAAGATTTATATCAAGTAATATGAAACGTTCTTGGTCTTACGGTACATTTAGCCTTTATTTTTTTCTTGCACTGGTAGAAATAGGCTTCCGGTATTATTGCAATGCCCCACAATAAATATGTGTTCTTACTATGTTGATTATTGGAGGGGTTGGTGAAGTACAGCACTCCATTTTTTTGCAGAGCTCCAGCTGCAACGACTGGATCCACCAGTTTGTAGTCAAAATACAGCTCATCCACAGGGAGAGTCAACCCTCCGTCCAGACTTCGGAGGACAATGCGACACCGACAGTGGTAGGTGTTCTGGTTGCGCACGTTGATCATAATGCTGCCATCCGGCATTTCAACTGGCTGCAGAAAAAAAAAAGGGTTAGATGAAGTGATGGTGATAAAAACAGAACAGTAATGCAGCAAAGAGAAAAATTATTAAATTAAATTAAAAACACAAAACTATTAATGCAACAGTTATATTTGTCCACTAGAGGGGGCAGATACCAATTCAAAGTAGAAATAAATAAGGTTTTCGGGTGTTCACGATAGGGAGCCTCGCCCATCTACTTCTGCAACATGGGTCCCCGAAAGAACGAAAAAATGAATGCAAGTCAATGGGGCTAAAAGCTCTATTTTCTAATTCCGCTTGTTTTGTGCCATGGATTTCACATATGATGTCCGTGAATTTTAAAGAAGCATTTTGATACCAAGAAAGCGCTTATTTTCGAACGGGGGAAATGCTATTTTAGGTTTTGTGTGAAAATAAGTCTACGACTACAAATGCGCTTCACAGAAGTGACATCATCGAACGAGACACGGAGAAAAAAAGAGGGAAATGGCTGTAAATTCAGCAAACTTCAAATCCTTCCCACAGGAGGAAATAACCACCATAAATTTGGCTATTTGGTAAGTTGCAGCTATGCTAGGGGAGAGGAGATTATGTGGTGATGTTACATGTGCGACGTGCCAGTGTAGTCATGTTAATTACGAACTTTTACAAGCTGATAAATCTCAAAGTATGTGACTGGTGTGGTCGAAACATCCATCGTTACTGTTAACAGATTCAGTGACTGATGATGGTGCTCCCAATTATTACTCATTCCTCATAGGTGTGTTTGTCATGTGATCATGCCATGTGCTCTCCTATTTAAGCTGCACCTGTACCAATAAACGATTGATTGAGTGTTCTCATTGCATCTAGACTCCAGTCATGTTTGTTCTCTCCAGACACAAGCAAGTTTAGGCCAGTATCTATTTGGGCTCTGTTTAACAAGTTATGGGCCCAGGCTCGTTTGTGTTTGTGCAAGTTTGTGTGAGTAGCCACTGCAAGCCAGTTTGTTTGCAAGTTTTGGAGTACTACCGCCATGAGCGAACGGACAAGCCACATTGGTCCCGCCTTGTGTTTGATGGAGATGAAAAAAACTACGAACTGTGGGAGACAAAGTTTTTGGGCCATCTGCGGTTGCAGAAATTGAAGGACACAATTTTAAATGGGCCTGATGAGGATGCGGATGCAGAAGCACAGGCTGAGGATGCAGGGAAGAATGCTGAAGCATATGCTGAATTGATTCAGTTCCTTGATGATAAAAGTCTGTCCCTGGTCATGCGAGAGGCTGCAGATGATGGGCGTGGTGCACTCAAGATTTTGCAGGACTATTATGCTGGCAAGGGGAAGCCCCGCATTGTTAGTCTGTACACAGAGTTGACTGCCTTGCAAAAGATGAGCAGCGAGAGTGTGATTGCCTTTGTCATACGGGCTCACAGCGCTGCAGAATGCTGGAGAAGTATTGAGTGATTGGCTATTAGTTGCAATGGTTTTGAAGGGCCTTCCAGAATCATTTAATCCTTTTTCCCTTTTTATCACTCAAAGTGAAGAGACTCTCTCTTTTGCAGACTTTAAGACAAAGTTGCAAAGTTATGAGAGTACTGAGAGTATCCACACAAATGTGGCTGATGACAATGTCTTAGGGGCCTGGGCATCACCAAGGAAGGCCTGCATTCCAGCAGAAGCAAGGGCACGGGGTACTGAAAGCAAGGAAATTGAATGTTTCCGTTGTGGCCAGAAAGGGCACAAGGCAAGACGGTGTCATCGTGGTCAACAGCGGTACAGCCAAGGAAAGAATACTGCATGGCAGGGAGGACGGAAACAGCAGCATCAAGATAATGCATGTGGGGTGTATGGAGAGACGGACGACACCTTTATCTTCAAGCTGGTGACCAGTGATCGTCGATCGAAGGGTGGTGTCACCAGAAAAGGGTTGATGGTTGACACCGGTGCAACATTGCATATCATCACAGACCTGACCAAGTTCAAGAGCTTCGACGACTCATTCCAGGCTGAGACGCACTGCGTAGAGCTGGCAGATGGTACGAGGTGCAAGGGGGTTGCCGAGCAGAGAGGGGAAGCAGAGGTGTGCCTGGCCGGCAACAAGGGGCGGCACCTCGTAGCTAGACTGAAACAAGCGCTGTATATCCCCACTTATCCCCAAGATATCTTCTCTGTGAGAGCTGCAACTTCCAACAGGGCAACGGTGATCTTCAAGGAGGGTGAAGACATCCTGCAGTACAAAGACGGTACATGTTTTGTCATTCATGAATATAACATACTGATTTATTTGCCTACTAAGCCACCGAACAATGACTGTGATGATACATGTATGGGTTGTCATAATATCCAGACGTGGCATGAGATTTTGGGACACTGCAATTTTGACGATGTCCAGAAGTTAGAGAGCGTTGTAGTTGGTATGTCAATAAAGGGCAAAGTATCCAAGCCTATGCAATGTGATGTGTGTGTTAAAGGCAAGTTCACTCAGAGCAGGAACAGGAAACCTGATGTGAGGGCCAAGTCAGCTTTAGAGTTGGTACATGCAGATTTGGCACGCCCCATTGATCCTAAGTCCAGAGAAGGCTATAGGTATGCTCTGTCCTTTATCGATGACTATTCAAGTGCAGTGTTTGTGTACTTTCTGAAAAACAAAAGTGACACAGTGGAAGCCACAGAGCGGTTCATAGCCGACACAGCCCCATATGGTAAAGTAACATGTATCAGATCTGACAATGGTACTGAGTTTACTGGGCAGGGTTATCGAGCACTACTTCGTAAGAACAGAATCAGACATGAGACATTAGCACCATACTCACCACATCAGAATGGTACTGCTAAGCGGTACTGGAGAACTCTTTTTGACATGGCTAAATGTATGCTCTTGGAAAGCCAGTTAGCAAAGGAGCTATGGCCATATGCAGTACAGACAGCAGCAGTGGTGAGAAATAGATGTTTCAATAATCGTACCAGACAAACACCTTACTTTATGCTGTCAGGAAGGAGACCCAATTAGTCCAGGATGTAGAAGTTTGGTACTGTATGCTATGCCTATAGACAGGACAGGAAAAAGCCAGACCCAACGTCTGACAAAGGTATTTTTGTTGGCTATGACAAAAACAGTCCAGCCTATATGGTCTATTATCCTGACAGTAGAGAGGTGATGAAACACAGACTGGTGAGGCTCATCTCAAATGATGGAAAGGAGACTGTTGACATGTCTGATGATAATGAAGTTTGTGTATAGTACAACCAGACCTGACCCTGATGAACATAAGCAGTTCAACATCCCAGAGACTAGGCAAGACCTAGATAAGATAAGCCTGCAGCCGGCTGAGGTCAAGCCAGAATCAGTTTCCCCACAGAGATACCCTAGAAGAGAGAGAAGGAGAACAGACTTCTATGGGGTGGAGAGGGATCAGGCTCAGATCAACATTGATTACTGCTACAAGATAAATTTCCAATATACCTCAAACTTTCAGAGAAGCCGTAGCTCCATCCAACTCAAGAGAGTGGGTAGATGCAATGGATGAGGAGATTAAATCATTGAGGGATAACCACACATTTACTCTGACCACCCTACCTGAGGGAAATAAAGCAGTGGGGGGTAGATGGGTGAATTCTATCAAAAACAATGCTGATGGATCTGACAAGTACAAAGTCCGTTATGTCGCCAAGGGGTATAGTCAGGAGAAGGGTATAGATTATGGAGAAACCTTTTCTCCTACCGCTAACCTTACCGGTGTTAGAGTGTTAATGCAGAGAGCTGCTCAAGAGGATCTGATTCTCCGTCAGATGGACGTTAAAACAGCTTTCCTACATGCACCGATTGTGAGATTTACATGAAGCAGCCAGAAGGATGATGTAGTCTCAGACAAATGAAAAACTTGTGTGCAAACTTGAGAAATCATTGTATGGACTAAAGCAATCAGGTCGAAACTGGAATAAAATGTTACATGACTATCTGTGTGAACACACCTTTGTACAGAATCCAGCAGACCAACGTGTTTACAAGAGAGAAACAGAACATGAAAAAGTAGTAATATTCATATGGGTGGATGACTTGATTATTGCTGCTAGTGATGAGAGCCTTAAAAGCTGTCAAAGAAATGCTTGCTGAGGAGTTCCACATGAAAGATTTGGGAAGACTGAAAACTTTTCTAGGTATCTCTTTTTACCAGTGTGATGGAAGTGTGACTATGTCACAGCACAGTTATGGTGGCAAACTGCTTCAAAAGTTTGACATGCAGGATTGTAAAACCTAGGTCGACACCTTGTGAACTGAAATTAAATTACACTGATGGTGATGAAAAACTGAATGATCCCAGGAAATATAGAGAGGCAGTGGGAAGCCTGATCTACCTGACCACATGCACTAGAGCTGATCTGTTGTTAGCAAGTTGTCTCAGTATTTTAGTGAGCCAACAGAAAAGCAATGGACAACTGTAAAGCATGTACTGAAATATCTGAAAGGCACAAAAGACAAGATCCTCTGTTACAGGAAATGTGGTGAAGGGTTAAGCTTGTTAGCTTACAGTGAAGCAGACTGGGCCGGTGATGCGAATGACAGACGGAGTACATCTGGTTATTGTGTTAGCCTATGTAGGAATGGTCCTCTGATTTCTTGGAAGACCAAAAAGTAGCCAACTGTTGCATTGTCAACATGTGAGGCTGAGTACATGGCATTGGCTTACACCATGCAAGAGTGTTTGTATTCGACTCAACTGCTTGAACATTTAAACGATTATCGGTGTGATTTGCCTGTTATCTTTGAAGATAACCTGGGCACAAATATGCTAGCAAAGAATCCTGTTCAAAGACAGAGGTGCAAGCACATAGATATCAAATACCAGTTTGTGAGATCAACTGTTAACAATGGTGAAGTGTTTTTGGAGTATTGCCCAACAGATCAGATGGTAGCTGACCTTATGACTGAACCAGCCACAAAAGGGAAACTACTTACCTTTTCCATGTTTCTGTTTGGGGAGCAGCCAAGCAAAGATGATGTTCCTGTGTTTGTTTTTGCTTTGTTGATTGTGAATAATGTGTGAGCAAGCGGGGGTGTCAACGGATTCAGTGACTGATGATGGTGCTCCCAATATTCATTCCTCATAGGTGTGTTTGTCATGTGATCATGCCATGTGCTCTCCTATTTAAGCTGCACCCGTACCAATAAACGATTGATTGAGTGTTCTCATTGCATCCAGACTCCAGTCATGTTTGTTCTCTCCAGACACAAGCAAGTTTAGGCCAGTATCTATTTGGGCTCTGCTTAACAATTACTTTTGATTTAAACTGCAGTATAACATACGTGTGATCCAGGGCGTAAGGCTGAGCGGATTAGAAAATAGCTCTTTTAGCCCCTCATTTTTTCGTTCTTCCAGGAACCCATGAGCCAACCGGAAAGGGAGGAGACTTGGGCTCCGTATGGTATGAACCAAAAAGAAGCATGAAGGATGATAATAAATAAATAAATAAATAAATAAATAAATAAATAAATAAATAAATAATTAATCCCGGGGGGGGTGGGGGTGGGGGCGGGTGGGGGGGGGGGGGGGGGGGGGGGCAGGATTAAACTGGCCAGAATAAGATGTTTCTTTGAGTGTTTACATAAAACCAGCAGAGTAGCATCATACTTGGCACTCATCAGGGTTAAAGTCCAGAGCTTTCTTAGGCTGGTTGTAAGGGATGCTCTTCATCGCTGCTCCATTATACCAGTTCTCTCCGTGGTCGTCACTCAGGATGCAAAAAACACCGTCTCCCTCTATCGTCCCATGTCCACAAACTACCAACCTCCCCTTGGCTGGGTGGTGTTTCTTCTGTAGAGGAAAAAAACACAAATAGGGTTCAAATTTTAAATTAGACATGAGCTCACTGCTGAGATGAAAATTGTGTTTTATTCAACATCCTAATTTGTAAATTATCTTGTGAATACTTTTAGTTGTGTCGTATTTTAATAGTCACAACAAAAATTTTGATGAATAGTTTGTTTTATCAACTAAGACATTACATACAGTTATTTCTGCCACACTATATTACTTTGTAGATTTATGACATCATTAAGAAAATCAAGGTCATGTGGTTTACATTTGAACTAATTATAATACAATACAAAATAAGCTCCTGTCCATGTAGTTCACTGCCTTGGTATCAAACCATTTTCCCACCTGGATCCCAAAGCCCGGTCCAGCAAGGAAAGCTTTAACTCCAAGCTGGACCGACAGGTTTCTGGGCATGCTCCAGCTGAGGCCGTCATCCAGGCTCTCCACCATCATGGTGCTGGCTGGGCTGCAGTGGTAAAGGTGGAAGCAGTGGGAGTAGATCAGGATTATTGAACCAACTTCTTCGTCCACCACCACAGAGCCCAGGTTCAGCCCATCACTGAGGTAGTCATCGTCCACTATGAAGGCAGTTGGGGACCAGGTGTTCCCTAAGGAAATGATGGAAAACGCCAGCTTGATCCTTACCTTATTAATAAAATAGGTCACAGATCAGGTGTTTCTGCTACATTTCATCCAGATAAAAGATGTTTTTAAAGAGACAATGTGTAATTTCCCTGTTACTCTCTGGAAATATCCATCAAAATGTTGTTGAAATTGAATTAAGTGATGCCTTGTAACATATAACCATACAAATCAGGTCTAAAATACATAGGAGCAGGTCTAATGGCACCAGAAGGTATCAAACTGCACCAGAATTTGGTTTCACACACAGGTCAGATTTGCATTTTCGGTGCCGTGACGGCTCATTTTTTCAGACCTTCCCCCAGCGGCCAGACTGGGACCAAGGCGACACTACGGACTGACTGGCCGGCTGAAATTACGCCTACCGCCTCTGATTTGCGAGAAGAATGAGCCAGTGGGGGTGGGTGGGGGTGGGGGGGGGGTTCCCGCATGCGCGATTCATTTTCATGCTAGATGCTGTTGAGTAAACTTCTGTCTGTAGCACGGAGCTGCCATCCCGGAGCTGCCTATCAGTGTGGGAACGGGAGAATAGCATAGCTGTCTTTGTTTACCTTATAAGGGACGACACCACAGACTTTCCCGCGTGTATTACATGCCGCCCACAGGCTCGGGGATTTCTGCATTCCTGAGAAGTCCCTCGGATTTATATGTGAACACTACACCACCCGTTCGAGACCGAACTCACGCCATCCAGTCCGACCAAACCTTGATCTTGCCGACGCTAGATTGTACGCGCCATAAGTCTCTGGGCGACACCATATTGAACGCCATGTTTTCTTCTACGGGAGCCTGTGAGGACAAAATGCATTTACTGATTTGTAACAAATGGTTACAAAACTTTCACCATTCATAAACATTGTTGTTTTACACATTTACTGCTTCACTCGTTGCCAGTGATGAAAGGGAGTCTGATGTGCTTGTCCTTTTGCTGGAGGTTGTGCTCTCAGGGATTTTTGACCCTAATGGCCCTCCGTTGGTAAGGCACTTATGTACTTTTTTTAAATGTTCTTTAATGCTCATTTATTTGGCAGACGCTTTTATCCAAAGCAATGTACAATTGTTAACCTACAGGGGATGTTGTGATCTGTGGGGGAAACCAAAGTACCCGGAGGAAACCCATGCATGCATGGGGAGAACATGCAACTCCACACAGAAAGGCCACAGCCAAGTTTTGAACCTGCAATCTTCTTGCTGCGAGGCAACAGTGCTAACAACTGTGCCACCACGCAGCCTCCTTTCGCCAGGGAAAATACACACAATCACTTTAAAGACTCAGGTAAATAAACTACCTTTATTGGTGGACCGTCTCATGGCGATAAACTTTGCTCCAATGTCATCGAAAGACAACTTCCTGGCTTCACTAAAGGCCAGCAAGCTTCCATCCCGGGTGAAGGTGATGAGTGGGATCCTGAAGGTGTTCACTTCCCCCTGAACTCCACTCACCCACAGAAGCTGCTCCTCGTACACCAGGGGATCAATCTGAACAACACGAGACAGGTAATCCCAGGTAAAATAACAAGGCTAACAGATGATGTACCTGGATTACCACATGTAGCAGTAACCAGTTTGGGCTGGTGTGTTACCTTTACCTGTAGCATTACAAACACAGAGGCAGTCTGGTGGGCAAATTGAAACATGTAGGAGTCTTTAATTTTTCAAATCCTACTGAATATGAAGTCAAATCAAATTATTTTAAGAAATGTATCAAGATGCTTCACAGCAAAGCCTGAAACCATGATTATGCCTCCACCATGTTGTGCAATGAGCTGCAGACACATTTCCCCCCCCTGTTCAGTAATACAAATTTTATAAACAATCATATTAAGATTAACCACTGCATAATTCCATGTTACCTTCGATCCAGTTTTTCCATTTATTGCTAAAATGAAACAATCCCATGTAAAATCTATTTTTTAGCGGATTATTTGTCTTTTAACTGCAGATCCGACCAACTTCTCGTGTCTTTAATGTATTACATAGCTTCTTCCAACCTAAATGAAACCTTTTATTCGCCTCGACTAACTTTGTTGCTTGGCTGTATTATCTGTCTCTTACCTGAGACTTGTTGGTACAGACACACAACAGTACCGAGAGAAAAACAACCTGACTTCCGGTTCCAAAGAAGAAAAAATGCTCAAACTTCATTTTGAACTTGACTATCAAACGAAAAAGAGCTGAACGTCAAACTACGGCGGAAAAAGCAGAAAAGAAAGTAAAGTGACCCGTACACATGGACAAAGAACTAAATAATGCGGTGTCAAGTGACCAACGTGTGTGGTCACGTGACTGCAGTCACCTGCCAAAATAAAAGCAGAGGTATTATAGTAGAAATTTTGCAGATGTTCATGTCATAAGGTTTGACATTTCTTGCCGTTTTAAACTAATGTGTTGTAATAAATCATTATTTACATTATTAGTAAACTTTATTTAAAAAATATAAATATATTTTCCCCCCAGATGTATGTAGAGATTTGAAAAACTGGTCTTTTTTATGTGTGTACATAAATATTTATGGAAAATGTGAAATAGAGCAGTTTATGGATTTGTGTTAAAAAATAAACTTTCATTCATTCATTCATTCAAATGTAATTTTCTACAGTACTGTACACTTTTAATGGGAGTAGTGATGTAAAAACTTTTGGTATTTATTGTTATGATTGATATTTATTAAACCTTAATAATACGCCTTTTTCACATGTACATATCATTGTGGGGTGTAATGATCACTGAAATAACATTTAAATAGACAACTTTGAGTATCCTGTTTTTAATTTCTATATTTGCATGACTTTTCAGATATAAATGTTTTATTTTGAGGGAAATATTATGCAGTTTGCACAAATAATGAATAATTGCTGCATGGCCTTAGTTGGTGCTTTTATAATTAGTATTTGCTTTATTCTTTTTAAATTCACAGCCAAGTTCATGTTATTTTCTTGTAGTGGCACCATGTTTCTGTATTAGCAGGTTTGGATATTTAACATTCATGTGTTCAGCAAAAGTAACATGTTTGTGGTCTTGGCATTGGTCTCGCTGAACTTCTGGATTAATGTGTGACAGTTCCAGTAAAGGTGCAGCTTGATGCCAAAGATAATAAAGAGTCATCCTAAAAGTTAATGAAAACCCAACATGCCATGTGTCAAAATGACAAAAACATGTATTCTTACAAAAAACACAGAGATTAGAAATAGGAATTAATAAGTTTAATTTTAAAAATTGCTCTTCCTCGAAGAGATGACTATACAGTTTGCACTTCCTGTGTTTAAGAGATGATCTGAAACCACATTCCTGCAGTCATGAGGCCCAGCTGATCTGAGTCACAAGCTAGAGAGAGAGAGGGAGAGAGAGAGAACGAGCTGAACACGTTTTGATGTGAGGATAACTTCTGTAGCGTTGGCTCCTCAGCCCTTTAGGAAGAATGTTTCAGGAAAATGAAAAACGCTCCAGCTTGTTCTGTTGATGGGATGAACTCTCATCTAAATTACAGGTAGGACAAGACCACTCCTGTCAAAACTTCTCGCTTCATTTATGCAGGTTTTCTTGTTTGATCTTATTTATAGGTAAGTAGCTTGAAAATCTAACAGGAAGAACATTTTTTGCATTATTATATGACTTAGTTTTATATAAAATCACCCCCAATTAAGGTGCTTTTGCTGCAGAAAGATCTTCATAGGTTTGTTGAAATAGCATGTTTATCCATTAGAGTTCTGCTGTACTTAAAGAGGAAGTGACGTACTGAAAAAGCCTATTTACAGCAGTTGCAGCAGGGGATGTTAAAGTATGCTGTTTTAAGGTGTCGTGTTTACAAGCTGTGTGGCAACAAAGCGTTGAAGATGTAGCTTTAGATAGTTTGCAGACTTCTGCTTGTTTTTGTGCAAAAGAAACAAAATAACTGCGTGTCAGTGAGGCGTGACAGGCAAGGAAGTGAAAATGAAAGAAAAAAAACTCACAGGGTGGAGTTTGTCACACTTCACTGTCAAAATGCATCTCCTTCAGAGGTGACGGGGCAAGAGCGTGTGATAGAACCAGATGCACAGTTGGACTGAGTTTGGTTTATCTTTTCTGACACGATTGTATTTAACATACACAAATCAGGGGACTGACCTCCGAAGCTGTGGCTGAACATTGATGCAGCACTCTTTCTGTGCATTTACAGCTCAGATTTAAAATCCTAATTGATAAAAGAGCTCAGTGTGGTACACTAACCCTAATAATGTAGGGTTTGGTAAATTGAGTGCTTTAAGAGCTCTATATCAGGGGTGTCAAATATGTGGCCCGCGGGCCGGATCCGGCCCGCAAGCGGGTTAAATCCGGCCCGCGAGATGGCTGTGTAAACTATATTTTCATACTTTACAATGTAGAGTGAAAATAAATGCATCTTTGTGAGCAAGTTTTCTCTGTAATGAGTATAAATAAAACAAAGCTGCTCTCAAGGCTCACACAAGAACTTGAATCACATCCTGAAGTTGGCCGCCACTCAGGATGTGACTTCTGATATTGATGTGCTGGTGAAAGCTAAAAGATGTAAAGTAAAATGAGTCAAATATACTTTAAGTGCTGCATGAAACTGATCTAGCCATGTGATCTGTAAGCTCTGAATCACTAAGGAATGTTTTTTAATTGATTTATTAATTTTTATTTTTTTCAAATTTTCAAGTACACTTCAGGTGTTGTACTTGTACTATTTTGAATACACTGTCCTCAGGCTCCAGCCTTGTTTTATATTGATTGTATTAAAACAAAGAAAACAATCTGAAGTTTTTTTTAATTTACCGGTCCGGCCCACTTGGGACTAGATTTCCCTCAATGTGGCCCCTGAGCTAAAATGAGTTTGACACCCCTGCTCTATATATACTACCTCTACTTATGACCAGTAAGCTGTGATACTCCATCTAAATATAGAATATCAACCCAGCTTGGTCTTTACTGTGTTTATCAATCAGAAGATTCTAGGTTTCTTTATTTACTAAGGGATTGATTCAGAAAAGAGTCAGGTTTATGAAAGTAAGAATTTATTTTACCAACAATTAAAACGTGACAAGTTAACCAAGCATTTACTGTGATGTATGAAACCTATGTGTGAATGCGATGTTATCAGAACTTCCGTATCTAGGAGAGCGTTAAGCCATGAAGTTGACGCTATCTGCGTGTCTACTTCACCCATTTTCGGAGACCCTCTTGGTGGATCCGAAGGTCAGAGAGGTGGGATGACCTCTGGCACTGGAGGGCTGTAGAATACCGTGGCACCGACCCTTCAGTCCAGAGACGTCTCGGGTCACGACAGATGGATGGAACCGCGTGTCTGGGACTCTGAAGGAGTCTAAACAATATCAGCTTGTTCTGCAGGAACTGTTGCTGTATCAGCTTTGCAGGTGCAAAATAGGTTTTGACGACGTGTCAAAAGCTTTGATGGTTAAAGAGGGTTTTGCTTCAGATGGCCGGTCTGAAGCTTTCTCTAGAACTGAGGAACCACCAGAGTAATCTGGTTTTAATGTTCTCATGTTATAATTTGTGTAGCCAACCAGAGGTTGACAAGTTTGAGGAATATTACCAAGTTTCTCAGAAACACGCCTTCTTTGATACCGGACGCTCTGATCTGGGTAAAGGACTATTTATGTGTCACGAGTTTAGCCTTACTTTGTCCTTGTGTGAGTGCAAATGGTTATGGCCTTGTCACATCAACGTGCTGAAACATATTTCAATCACTGTAATCATAACATAACGTTCATTTATTTCAGATCACAACATGCCCTATAGGTTATAAATTGTAAGTCGCTTTGGATAAAAGCGTCTGCCAAATAAATAAACATAAATAAATAAACAAACATTTCAAACATCAATCATTGAGCACAGATTAATGAAACATTTCATTATATTATAATTATTATAAGTAGCAATAAACAAACGTTTATTTAATGATTATCTAGCTTATAAGTTGTAGAAGTTCATACCTGATTTAGGAAATCATTCTTTGACTTAGCAACTAATCCGGGCTGCGAGTGTTCCTTATATGGAGGCATGAAGAATCCTGAAAGATTGGATCTTGAGGAGAGAATGTTATTGTTGACATTTCGTTATCTGTGTTCAGAGCTGCAGGCTCTGAGCTCCAGCTGGTGGGATGGAAGCAGGCTGATTTAGAGAGGACACATGCAGTCTCATGTCTCCTTGTTGACCAGATGTTGAAACAAACAGTACCTAACACTGACCATTGCAATGTTACAATAAATTTAAGACCTCTGTGGTGGTGGTACCCTAACCCTAATAAATTTAAGAATTCAGTGGCAGTGGTAGCCTAACCCTAACTAATAAAGTGACAGCCTTTGTGAAAAGCCCTGCTCTCTGAAAGCAGAAGTAATCTTGTTTCCTGGTGTTTGTCATGCTTCTTTCATGCTAAGGGAACAGTGAGCCAGCTTATCAGACAGGTAACCGCTGGCCTTTTTCTAAAAGTTATCTGGCACAAACCCGATTCTTGAACTGTGGAAAAGTTCAACCTTTTTCATGCAAACAAGAGCTCAGCAGCTTGGATGTTTCTACTTTGAGTTTTTGCATTCTTTAGAATAACCATCATGGTTTGAAATAAAGAGGTTTCATACTGGGATATCTGGTGTTGCCATGCATGCATGCATGATCTGAAATAATCAGCAAATAATGAACCTTTGCAAGATATCTGGCTGTTTTGTTGTTGCACAAACTAAAAAAAACTACAAGTGTTTGATCTATTAGAACATCACAATTCAAGGCCTAAAACTCATTTGCCGAACATAAAAGCTTCTTCTAATATGTGGGCGGCAAAACCCAGTGGAAATGCAAACCTGTGCAGGTTTGTGCTTGCTATAAAATAATAAAAAATACATAAATAAACCCCAAACCACATCCAACAAGTTTCTTCTGTTCTAGCCTGGAGATGTGATTCAGCCGCATTAATGCACGTTGAACTGAGGACAGAAATTAAAAGGAAATTTAACAACGCTGATCAACAAGACAATTCAGAGAGCTCTTTGGGACTGTGTGAGTGTGGATGGAGAAAATAAAATAAACCAAGAAAACACCAAACCACAGAAGAGGCCCTGTTCAGTTATGAACAGCATTAAAAGTATTAAATCAATGATTTGATCTGAATAATACCATCATAATTTATGGTTAATTGTGCTTCACAGTATCCAGGCTTGAAATCAACGTCTTAGGTTTTACTGGAGATAAATAAAAACACATTAAACTGCTTTAAACTGGGAAAACCTTAAAATACCACTATTATTAATTAACGACTAGTTAATGTAACCATTAAGATGAATATTTTACTGTTAACTCTTGCTTTCTTGTAAAGATTTTAACTAATACTATTATTTTTAGAGATTGAAAAGCATTTATTTCCTTGTTTATTTAAGAGGCTTCATGCCAATGGTGATGTTTTTCTTCTCCTTCAGCACATGGTGACATCGGGGATGATGGAGGCCTGGGACGGGGATCACCAGGTGATGGAGGAGACAAAGGTGGATGTCAGACAAACCAGAAGAGACCAATCAGCCAACAACAATACATCCAACTGGTCAAATGGTAACTAAAACTTGTTGCTTTTTCGTACATTTGAAGAAGAAAATAAAAAAAAAACGTTTATTTTAGTAATTTTTTGTTATTTTATATTTTATTCTAGTGTTTGCGTTTATCTTATGGCCTTTATACTAAATAATTGCACTTTTCTTGCTATCTTTTAGACTCAAAAAATCTGAAGAAACAGGCATGACATAATTTTATGATGAAAGGCTTCTTCTGTATGTTTAAAAATATATTTTGGGTTAGCTTTATAACTCCTACTTTCCCAGCATTTAGAGGATGCGTTTTTTTGTTTCTTTACTCTTTTGAAACCTAAGAGCACCAAATATGGCCTCATCCAGTAGTTTTATTTCATCTTCTCCGTCCTCTGTGTGGTCATAAGGTCAGTGTGTCGTGGCGATGCCGAGCAGCTCCATCCTAAACCCCAGGTTCGATCTGTCTCAGTGTCGAGGGAAGCTCCAGCAGGATGGTTTTGAGGTTGGTTCAAACTCTGACCAGAGAGGCCTTTCTGGCTGTTTTCACTGGCTGTTTGTATGCTCTGTGTGGTTTTATCACGGTAGATTCCTGTCACTGACATGGAGGAGCCTCTGAAAACAGCCCTGGATGTTTCCTCCATCAGGAGATACATGGTTTTCAATTCGGGGTTTTTCCACTTCCTACTGGCACCGGTAGGAACTGCCTTTATCTTTTCTATTTTTCAAGGGTTTTTAAAAAAAACTTCCTTCAAAATTTTGGCAGGTTTCTTGTTTTAAAGGGGACATATAACATTTTTCTTAGGTTTTAATAGTTCTATGATTGATTCAAAAGATGTTCAAGAAGTTCTTTTCACAAAATCTCCCCCGTATTAACCACTTTCAGCAGTTTTAGTCTTGACATTTTCCATACCTTCCAGAATGAGCCATTTCAGGGCTGTGTTGCTTTAAGAAAACAAGCAGAAGTTAGCCACGCCCACCCATACTCTGACTGGCTGCTATAAACCGTGTAGCTCCCATATCTGGTAACTGGTTCATGCTTCTCCGTCAGCTCCGCAAGGGACAGACACGCACGGATTGACGGAAGTGTTTTGTTCTCATACTTCTCCGTCTCCTGGAGAGTGTTGCAAAGCAATTGCCCGGCAGGACAGCAGGGGGCGTAGCACTGTTCTGTGGTATCCTGTCATGTATCGGTCCAAGATCGTGTGTTTATATTGTGTTTTTTTGTATAGAAGAGACTTTTTAACACGAACATATTTGTCTCTCATTCTCCTCCATCTCTTCATGCGCTCGCCACTTCTAAACCCACGTTTCCTGTCATTTCCGTCCACAAATAAAACGCTTGCTGCCCATCTTTTCACTCCTCCAGTCATGGGGGAATTAAACGTTCATATTTTTAGAGTTTTTTCGCGAGGTATTCTTCAAGCTTCTCCGTGTCTGCCGCTTGTTATCCTCGGCTCTCTTTGTGTTTTTGAGGGCGCAATGGCGGCGCTGTAAACAACAGAGGCGTCCTGACCAATCACAAGCTTGCGTTGTCCGTCTCGACTGACGGATGTTTAGAAAAGAGAGCTCGACTCCGTCTGTCCTTGCGGAGCCCTCCAGCAGGTCCGCAAGGACGGATAATGGTGTTGCGTGTCTCCGCACTGACGCAGACGGAGAAGCATGAATCAGCCCTAAGAGGGGCTTGGAGTAGAGCCGCTGCTGCTCCACCCGTAGCGACACTTTTTTCCACAAGATAAGTGGTTGTATTCTTATTTCCCCGTTTGTGACATCACAAATGGGACCTTTTGAACATGGCTCATTTTAGCCACATAATTCCTAGAAAAGGAATGAAGTTTTTACAGACAGTAGAATCCCATGTGGCAGCACAAAAGTATGCAAAAGATAATTTTGCATAATATGTCTCCTTTAATGACCTAAAACATTCATTGGCTAAATGAAAAATGTTACATAGTGCAATTTAGATGCTTGATGATGATCAATGATCTAGCAGTGAAAAGTTTTTTAGACACTTTTATTTAGACAATCAAAATTTTCAATGACTTTGCTTCACCAGGTGATGTATGTGGTGGTGTGGTGTGCCGTCTTCTCCACTCTCCACCTCTACATAAGTGTCAGTGATTACTGGGTCCTCTGTCTCTCCGTCAGCCTCGTCTCTATCCTCCTCACCACCGCCATTATCTACATCCTCCATCAAAATAACAAGGAGGTAATAGGCGTGTTTGTGACGGCGGTGTGACATTTGGAGCTGGAGGATGTTACAGCTAGGATGTTCTCATGAATCATGAATGTCCAACTGTTTCTGTGTCAGATCAACATCAACATAGATGTTCGGTTGGTCCAGGTGAATGAGAGGATGATCAAATACAAGCTGCTGGTTGGTGTGGCTGACTGGGTGCAGAACTGCACTGGAAAAATGCAGGTTTGTCTTCTGAAATTAGAAATTGTTTTGTGGATAATTTTAGAACAAATGTAAAAGAGTTTAAGGTTTCCTTGAATATTATAAACAATATTTACTTACACATTAACTCCTTTCTAATTACGTTTTCCTGCTGATCCAGAGACAAAGTCAACTTTTTAAGTTGAATCTGGCTTTTTTTTTTGCCAAATTAAATGAGTGAAGCCTAAAATGAATTAAATTTAATTTTGAAGAAAATTAAGAGATTTCTAACAAAAGTAACTCACCACTGAATGTGATCAGTGTGAGAGTGAGATCTACAGCTGCTGTCCTCACCTTTTTGTGTCTCTGTAGTTGTTCTTTGTGTACTGGGACATGTCCCTCTGTTTGAGGACACTGACTGAAGCTTTAGATGAGAGCTGCTTTGTGGCTCTCGAGACTCAGGTGAGTTGATGATTCCAGATGTTTTAGAGATTAAACTCATTTGTTAACTTAGGTAAAGGTTTGACAGAATGACTGAGTCCATCACGTCCTGTAGAACAAACTGGAGAGCAGGATGTCACATCTGGTCTTGGTGGCCAAGGAACCTCCTGTTGACCCTGAGGTCGGGGGCTCAGATGAGGAGCAGGACTCAGACGAAAACAGGCCTCTGCTGAGGAATGGGGACACGAGATGCAGTGCCTCATCCAGCCCTAGAGGAGGCGCTATACTCCCCTCTAACTTCAGTTTGGTCCCTGAGGCTTCTTTACCTGCTCAGGTGAGAATCATTTGGGTTCCTTTCAGTCAAAGGAGCTTCTGTACAGCAACATAAATGACACATCTGTGTCAAGTCTTTGTTCACAATCCTTCCCGCATCCATGCTTCCTGGTTCTTGAGCCAATCATATGTGAAAGAGGGGGTTGCACCATGCTGCATAGACATTTGTAATTCAACACCTGCAAGTCGGGCATCTTTTTAGTTTTCCTCTAATATCAGTTAAACGAGGCTAGAGGCTAATGATGAGTTATCAATGCTAACGGTGAATTAGAAAAAGATAGTCGGCTCTGAAAAAATCTCAAGCTTCTTTTCTGTTTTTTGTTTTTGTATTTCTAGTGCACATGAAGAAATCGACAATAAAAGCTTTCTTATCTCTTCAATTACCCAATCTCAGGGTGAAATGTATTTACCTGACAACTTACGACTCGTCTTCACTTGTTATCTAGAATCTGCTGGCCCTGATCCGTAACTAAAACAGTTAGAGTGGGCTTGTTTATTTTGACACGTGAGCTGCAGTACCCAAATTTGACCACCAGATGTCATTCTTACCTCAAGCACCTTTAAATGGCATGTCTAAAGTAAAGATGATGTGCTTGGTTTGTAATGAAAGGAGAAGAGATGAGGACAAAAGCTGAGATGATAAAGATAGGTATGATAATACAAGTTGTGTCTGTTTAGAGCAAAGCGCAGCAGCTGCTGGTGACGTACAGCGCCGCTTACGTGAAGCTGCTGATGTCGGACAGGCTGTCGGGGCCGTCCCACCACCGCCTGCGGCCCCGGAGGAACCACTGCACCACCGCGCCCCTGTGCCTCTGCCAGTTCATCATGAACAAAATCATTCGGTGACAAAACCTCAGCGACCTGGAGAACAAACTGACTTTCCTTAATGTGAGAAAATAATCGCATTCATGATGAACTTCTGACTCTTTGGTTGTTTACATGCAGACACCAGCTCTGTGTTTGACCCTCCTGGATGTTTGTTTGTTTGTTTGCTTCCTGCCAAACATTGTTAGCGGAGAGAACAGCGCTTGGTTCAACTGCTGGGAAACAATGTTTGTACCCGACAATCACAGACAGTTAAATTATTTGTATAAATAATAGATTTTTGGGGATTTTTTATCTACAGGATACTAAAGCTGTATACGAGTGTTTTTATCCATGCTTATGCTTCTATATTCACTACACCTACTAGAAACTAATTATATTTATTTGGCAGCTGCAACTTTTCAGATTATAAATTTTATGTAGATGAGCATAAATTGTACGTATAAAAGTTTATAAAATAAAAGGTTTACAAGAAGCTGTTGGTCCGACTTTTTAAAAACTCCTCATTAATTCAAATGCAGGCGATAGTGAAGTTTTATGAAAAACATCATAAAAAATAACTCCTAGACTTTTGTCACAAATTCACATCAAACCACTTCTGGCCTTAAAGCCAGATGCCTTCCAGTGTCGGCTTGTCCATAGGGGGCGCTAGGGTTTCACTATCCCCAACATGATGGAAGAAGAACAATATACAAAGTTAAAAAAAAAAGTCTACAATATGTATCGACCTTATAGCCCCCATGAGCCCTTGTGTGAATTATGGATCTGACCTCCGGTCCAACATTTGTTTACATGCCATCTGTTTGTGCTAATCCACTTTTTATGGGCTTTCTAGATTTAGGTTTAACAGCAAAAACCTGTCAAATTCAACACCTCTACTGCCCTCTGGTGGAGGACCTAGAGGTGGTAAGGGCCAATTTTATTAACATTAGCCAATAAACAGATCAACTTTGCTGACTAGTTTTGATTTTTTCTCATCTTTTCACAATTCATGCTTTACATACCAATATTTCCTATTTTAAATACTGCTTTTGGTGTATTTAATGGCTGAAAGTGTTTTCAACCACTCATATTTTGTGAACCACTGAGAAAATAAACATTTTTAATAAATAAATGCATTTAATGAAATATAAATAAATTAAAGAAAAACAAATAGATAAATATTGAAAATTAAAAATAAGAAATGTATTAAATGAAATTTTTCTCCTGATTTGAAAATAAAGAGCAACTTGTTTTATTCCTTAATAAAAATAGCTTTTTAAGCTGCAGTTATGAATCTAAAGGGACTGTTTCCTGCTAAAAAAATAAATATTGTTTTACAGATTATTAACACCCTCAAACAGGAAAATGTCAAATAAACCATTAATCTCATAGACAATTTCTCCTCCTTCCACCATGTAATGAAATGAAATGACTGTTTTCCACCTAAAAGTCATTTTCCCCCTCTCCTCTGACACAGAACTAATCTGCATGACATATTGCCTCAAGATCTCATGCATTTGCTCTAAACTGCTTCTTTTCAAGCCCAAGAGAACAATGAAGATAAGGACTCTCTCCTTTTAATAAATCAAAGAACTCTATTTTTAATAAAGCTAATCAAACAAAGTGTTAGTCAATAATAAGATGTGACCAATCTGTGAATCAAAATATTAATTACTTTATTATAATCCTTTAGAATATAATAAGTAATATGACTTTAAATGTTTCCACTAGGACTGATTTCACGTACCGTTAAGAGACGACACATTGCTTTTACTGATCCAATCAGAATCTGCCAGATCTGACGGAGGCGTGGTTTTGGTGGTGCTTGGTAAACCTGTCATCTTTTCATTCGACCATAAACCAAAACACCCAAAGTATAAAACTATGCCCACGTCATCTTTAAGGCCAGTTCAAAGCGGTCAAGAGAAGTTGACGGAGTGGCCAATCAGTAACTTTCCTCTTCAGCCGAAAGAACCAACGACAGGCTGGATAAACCTATTGCCGTTCCACCTGCTGCAACGGTTCCTTTCAGAATAAAAGCTGAACTCACTGACCTTCTGGGTCCATCTGACGCAGTCAACCAACTGTCGCTTTTTACCTGGAGACAGTCCAAAGACTAGTCTGTTGTACTGCTGACGCTGTTTCATCGGCTTCCGGAACCGAAAGAGGGGTTCGAGGACCTGGCATTCTGGATCTGTACGGAGGTCTCATTCTAAGGGTATGTGTGGAGCGACAACATGGCATTGAATGTGTTTTTGAGTCTCCTAATCAAAGCTCAGCTCAAGACATCACCTTCATTCCCACCAGAACTAATCTTTTCTTCAGATTTGCTGGTTCTGAACACCATTCTCCGTCTCATTTCACCTTAGCAACACCATACATTTAGTGTTAAAGTTAGTCTGGTTTTAATTTGTTTAGTAATAAATCTTTAACCTTTTAAAACCTGAATCTCTCTTCTGTTGTCTCTGAGTTAATATGAAGTGGTTACATAATCCCTGCAATAAAAAGTTCCAATCTTCTGGTTAAAAAGTACCCACAGATCCATAAGGTTGATTTCATATTTACCATGGAATCTCATGTCTTATGGCTCATGAAATAACATGTAAATTAATTCATTACAACCACCACCAGAGAACTCTGAAATGAGCCTTTATGCAATAAAAACACAATATGAAAGGTTTAGAAACCCGCCTGCTTGATGCAGAAGTGCAGGTGTTTTCATCCAGTCATCTTAAACCATCCCTTCACCCATTATTAGCCAGCAGGGGAGCAGCAGGATCACACAAACACAGCAGACCGTGTGATGGAAGAGTCCTGCAGCGTGAGGCCAAATTAAACGATCCCAGAGACACAGACTCACCTCAGGAAGCTAAACGGCTATCTGTGATCTTCAAGGAGCAGGTTGGCTCTTCTTCCCAACCTCCTTTCTGTCAGAGGTTTGATGATTTTAATTTAAAAATTACCATTTTAATCAATATTTATTTATTTTGAGCTCTAATTCAAGTAAAAACTAGTTCAGTTCACATTCAAACACAAGCCAAGTCCAGTTTAGATAAAAGATTCATGGATCTCCTCGAAGCATGATAATAGCTAAACTCATTTCAAAATCTTTTTGTTGCAGACTTGGTTTGAGATCTTCGTTTTATGAGGTGGAAAAACCAGCAGCTGCAACACAAATACCCACAAGAGCTCTTGTAATTAGACACAAGATTGTGAGAGCTTCTGTGGATCATGCTCTGACATAGAGGAAAAGAGAATGGAGAGGCAAAAAAGCGGGGCAACTATAAATAGCATCCTGGTGATGAGGGAGTGAAGAGAAGCCATCGAGACGGAGAGGATGGAGAGCTGGAAACCAGATGAGGAAATGAAGCAAACCCTTTACCAAAAGTATCGCTCACAAATCTGAATTATTATTTTATTTACTCAAACAACTCAATTCAGAAGCAACCAATGCATGTTCAATACAGCCAAGAATATGAGAATAATAAACCCCACGGGTACACAGGTTTAGCTGCTTGAATGACCAACCCTTCAGATTGACAAGCTGGAAATAAACTCTGAACAGAAAAAAAATAAATAAATAATATATATATAAACAACACTGTCCCTCATTTACATTTTTAACACCGATTTTCATTTAGTTGAGACTCTAGAGGTACTTTATTTGGCTTTTTAAAGAGAGATAAAAAAAATTAAATGTTTACTTTCACGTAAACGTGTAGCTGCAGCTCTGAGTTAAACAGCTGCTAGCCTGACTCTAAAAATACATGAAACACACCTGGTACTCCTGTACACCTCAATAATGAACATTTTATATTATATTTTAAATATTTACAAAGCAAATAATAGAGGTGCTAAAAGGCAGACTTAAAAAACATTTGACAATAGTCAGGATCGCAGCTTCCTGCATTTCTTTCGCTAGCATAAATTTCTTTTGTTAGCTACGCTTCATTTAGCACAGCTATCTGAGACGTTAGCATTGCTACGCGTCTCAACTTGATAGTATATATGTGGTTTTTGTGTTTGGAAAATAAAAAAGCTTTAAGAAATCACCATAAAAATTTGAAAACAAAAAACATGTGCAAAGATTTCCTCTGTTACATATTTCCCAAATTTCTTTTTAATGGTCTTCCAAGGATTTATTTGAGTTTGTAAATTGAGATGCTTTTGCTGATTAACAATTCAACATGTGTTTTTTTAAGCACCTAGCAGCCATTTTATAGACTATAAATGTTTTAATTTATATTTCTTCACAACATTGAGCATTTTGATATACAAACAGCTAGATGGAAATACAAGCAACTCAAATGTGAAGAAAAAAAAAGTTTACAAATTTATGTTTACAAATTTAGGTTTATGCTGGTTTACTCTAACAGTTTATTGCACCACATTCTACAGGGTGCTATTTGTAAGGTCACAAACAGTCATAACCTAACAGCATTATTTTGGGTTATTTAGCCCATCTTAAGAGAAAAAATGGAAGTTATTTTCAAAGTTATATTTTCACCATGTTATTCATACATTTATAAATGTTAATGATCCCAAATAAATATTTAGTTAGCAAGCTAAATACTTAATTTAGAGTTAAATAATTATTTTCTAAGCTATTTGGGTCAGACCTAAATAGTTAGTAGGTAAAATAAATAATGAATTTAGAGGTTATTATTTATTTTACAAACTAAGTAGGTCAGACCAAAATATTTAATTTGTAAAATAAATATAAATAATTTCCTGACTAAATATTGAATTTGGAACTAAATATTTAGATCCCAGCTAAATATTTAGTTTGGAAAATAAATATTTAATGTGGAGCAAATTAAAACTTTAGTAAGTAAATGAAATATTTATTTAACAAACTCTGACCTAAATATTTAGTTTGTAAAATAAATATTTCACTCCAAATTAAAGATTTTGCTTGCTAACTAAATATTTAGTTGGGATCTTTAATATTCATGAATGCATGAATTGCACGGTGAAAATCTGATTTTGACAAATGAACTCCCATTATTCTTTTGCTCTTGTGATGTGCTAAATAACCCAAAATACTGCTTTTAAATGAGGACTCATTTGACTTTACAAATGGCACCCCATATTTCTCCCACAACAACCCAATTTTAAATGTCATTTCTAATAAAGCAGCAGAAAATATACTTTAAAATGTTTTAACAAATTAGTCTGATTAGTTAAACCTTGTCTGATGTTGTGCCAGATATATATATATTTTTGGTTTTGAATATAAACACATGAGGATTTATAATATTGGTAATAAACTGTGCCATAAATCTGTTTTTTCTGTCTCCATTTATGTTTAGTGCCAACAAACATAATTTTCATAAAAAATTCTACAGTCTTTAAATAATATTTTCACTATAGAGACCAGTGGATGATAGAATGAAGAAATCTAGGTCCAATAATACAGAGATCAAGGAAGGGAGACTGTTTGTGCCACAATAGAGTAGAGGCATTTATCATATTTTTCTTTGCAACTGGAAACAAATATTAATTTCATAACCCCAGAAACTTCAGATTATTGTTAAGACTATAGCCGCCATATTTAGTCTCAGAGACAACAGCAACACTGCTGTTCAGCTCTACATTATAGAAACCAGATGTACACATCGAGTCTTAATACGTAAAATTAACAGAGACAAACAGAGGATGACATGCGGGGCTATGTTGCCTCATACAGCTAATGTTGCACTACTAACAGTGTCCGAGAGAGTAAATAGAAAGAGGTGTGCCACACAAAAAGGCTAATACTCTCTAAAATACTTGCAAAAACAATTTCTGCAGACCTAATATTTAAAAATGCAACACTTAAATCTCCCCATCTTAGTTTTGATGATACCTTGTTTGACATTTGGAAAAATACCGTAGCACGAACTTCAAATTTACGAAACACTCATTTGTGAGAGCATCTACCTTTTTTTGCACTGAAAGCCCATCAGCATGGATTTATGTTCATCATGCACTATAATACCTGTAAATGTAAACAGCTGTGTCATTTTATCCGATCACTACAAAGTGCAACGTCATCATCACGAGATACTAAGCCAATTCAGAGTATCGGATAGCTGCAATGAATCACTCCAAGTTACAGCAGACCAAGTCGATGCAAGGGTATATATAGAATAATAAATAACAGAATATAAATAAATAAACACATGATTTATAAATTATGAGACATTGCAGGTAAAGGAGCAGCAAGGGGAAATGGTGCACTTCTATTTCCCCATTAAACTTTAGCTAGCTAGATAATATATATGTATACGCTGTGATTTTCCATAGAGAGTTCAGGCCTGGTTAGGGTTCCCAGTCATCGTCGTTGTTCTTCGAGGCTATGATGACCACCACGATGAGGATAGTGCACAGCACAATGGAGGCAATGCCAACGGCCAAGCTGATGAAGGAGAAGTTGCGCGCCTCACGAGAGGCTATTTCCGCCGTCACCATGTCCCCTCTAGCTATCGCCATGCGCACCTGAGTGATGACAGAGAGAAGAGATGAGAGAGTGTTGCATAAAGAGAAGATGCATGAGTGGGAGCAGGAGCGAGAGAAAGACTGCAACACTGTGTGGATCAATTTCACTGCATCACAGGCTGCATGTGCAGGAAGAGGCCGCTGCACGCAACAGCAACACGGCAACATGCAGTGCAGAGCTCAGACCGGCACGTCTATGCCTCGTCAGCTCGGCTCAACTCACAGCCAGCTAAGCCCGGAGGGCAAAATCCATTCTGTCCTGTCCACAGACAGCGGTGTCGTTACGTAACGCAACATGTTGCTCAGCAGTGTATCATCACACAGATAAACAACAGGAATCATGACGCACGAGAGGCTGCCATTACTTGTAACCGTGTGTTTTATCTAAACATAAATCTTGTTCAGTCTGTTTAACTCATTGTTGTTAATTAAAATGTCTGAATATGTTTATCAGTCAGGTTTAAATCAGCAGAGTTTGGATATCTTGGAATCTTTTTTGTAAGATTGTTGATGCTAGCACCTCCATCCCTAGACTGGTCTCAGGTTTAGAGACAAGGAGAGGAGTTCTGTCCTCCAGGGGGGGCTTGGAGTAGAGCTGCTGCTCTTCCTCATCAATGGCAGTGAGCCGAGGTGGTTCCGACATTCTGGTACTTTATTTTATTTTAGGAGACAAATTGATTTGTTCTTTAATCTTGTAAGTTTTAAGTAAATGTGTCTAAAGAAGGTATGAATATCCATCCATCCATCTCTGATTCTATTCATCCATCTGTCCATCAATCCATCCATTTGCTTATCCATCTGTTCATTCATCTCTAATTCTATCCATTCATCCATCCATCTACCCATCCATCCATTCATCCATCTGATTCTATCCATCCATCCATCCATCTGTTCATTCATCTATAATTCTATCCATTCATTCATCCATCTATCCATCGATCCATCCATTCATCCATCTGATTCTAGCCATCCATCCATTCATTTATCCATCCATCCATCCATCTGTTCATTCATCTCTAATTCTATCCATTCACTCATCCATCTATCCATCCATCTGATTCTATCCATTCATCCATCCATCTGATTCTACCCATCCATCCATTCATTCATCCATCTGATTCCATCCATCCATCCATCTCTGATTCTATTCATCCATCTGTCCATCAATCCATCCATTTGCTTATCCATCTGTTCATTCATCTCTAATTCTATCCATTCATCCATCCATCTACCCATCCATCCATCCATTCATCCATCTGATTCTATCCATCCATCCATCCATCCATCTGTTCATTCATCTATAATTCTATCCATTCATTCATCCATCTATCCATCGATCCATCCATTCATCCATCTGATTCTAGCCATCCATCCATTCATTTATCCATCTATCCATCCATCTGTTCATTCATCTCTAATTCTATCCATTCACTCATCCATCTATCCATCCATCTGATTCTATCCATTCATCCATCCATCTGATTCTACCCATCCATCCATTCATTCATCCATCTGATTCCATCCATCCATCCATCTGTTCATTCATCTCTAATTCTATCTATCCATCCATCCATCCATCCATCTGTTCATTCATCTCTAATTCTATCCATTCATTCATCTGTCTATCCATCCATTCATCCATCTGATTCTATCCATCCATCCATTCATTCATCCATCTGATTCCATCCATCCATCCATCCATCCATCCATCTGTTCATTCATCTCTAATTCTATATATCCAACCATCCATCTGATTCTATCCATCCATCCATTCATTTATCCATCTATCCATCCATCAATCCATCCATCTGTTCATTCATCTCTAATTCTATCCATTCACTCATCCATCTATCCATCCATCTGATTCTATCCATTCATCCATCCATCTGATTCTACCCATCCATCCATTCATTCATCCATCTGATTCCATCCATCCATCCATCTGTTCATTCATCTCTAATTCTATCTATCCATCCATCCATCCATCTGTTCATTCATCTCCAATTCTATCCATTCATTCATCCGTCTATCCATCCATTCATCCATCTGATTCTATCCATCCATCCATCTGTTCATTCATCTCTAATTCTATCTATCCAACCATCCATCTGATTCTATCCATCCATCCATTCATTTATCCATCTATCCATCCATCAATCCATCCATCTGTTCATTCATCTCTAATTCTATCCATTCATTCATCCATCTATCCATCGATCCATCCATCTGATTCTATCCATTCATCCATCCTTCTGATTCTACCCATCCATTCATTCATCCATCTGATTCCATCCAACCATCTGTTCATTCATCTCTAATTCTATCTATCATCCTTCCATCCATCTGTTCATTCATCTCTAATTCTATCTATCCATCCATCCATCCATCCATCCATCCATCTGTTCATTCATCTCTAATTCTATCCATTCATTCATCCATCTATCCATCCATCCATTCATTCGTCCATCTGATTCCATCCATCCATCCATCCATCCATCTGTTCATTCATCTCTAATTCTATCCATCCATCCATCCATCTATCCATCCATCCATCCATTTGTTCATTCATCTCTAATTCTATCTATCCATCCATCCATCCATCCATCCATCCATCCATCCATCTGTTCATTCATCTCTAATTCTATCCATTCATTCATCCGTCTATCCATCCATTCATCCATCTGATTCTATCCATCCATCCATTCATTCATCCATCTGATTCCATCCATCCATCCATCCATCTGTTCATTCATCTCTAATTCTATCTATCCATCCATCCATCTCATTCTATCCATCCATCCATTCATTTATCCATCTATCTATCCATCTATCCATCCATCTGTTCATTCATCTCTAATTCTATCCATTCATTCATTCATCTATCCATCGATCTATCCATCTGATTCTATCCATTCATCCATCCATCTGACTCTATCCATTCTTCCATTCATTCATCCATCTGATTCCATCCATCCATCTGTTCATTCATCTCTAATTCTATCTATCCATCCATCCATCCATCTCTGACTATCCATCTATCTGTCCATACATCCATCATCTCTGATTTTATTCATCAATCTATCTGTCCATTCATCTATTCATCCATCTCTGATTCTATCCATGCATCTTTCTGTCTCTCATTCTACCATTTCATCCATCCCTCATGTACATCAATCTGTTCATGTATCAATCCATCCATTCATTTATCCATCCCTCCATATGCCCGTCCATCTTTCTATACATTAATTCATCCATCCATCCAACCCTGCATCCATTCATCTCTCCATCAGCCCATCCTTTTGTCCATTAATTCATCCATCCCTCCATTTTCCCGCCCATCCAACCATAAACAGCCACCACCATGCATGCAGGCTTTGGCTGAGGAGGTAATAGTTCTGGGGGGAAAGCACAAACATCTCTCTCCTCAGCACCTCCTCCAGCTCCTCTTGTGGGATACTAAGGCATTCACAGATAACAGATGAAATATAATTTTTGCAGCAAGTTCTGGGTCTGGTACAAACTCATAAACTTTCTGGAAGGAGGCATATAGGAGGCATCCGTACCAGCTGTCCCAACCACCTCAGCTGATTCTTCTGAATAAGGAGCAGCAGCTCTGTGCTGATCTCCTCTCAGCTGACAGAGAACGTCAAAGTAAACCATTTTCATGCAACAATTCTACATGAAAAAAACCTGACAGATCATTTCAAGAAGAAAATTCTTCTTCAAGGTCATTTTTTACTGATGCAAACCAAAAATAAAGCGGCATTAACCTGCGCTGCTTTGCAGATAGCAATGATGCCTGTTGGAAAGAAGCAGCAGACAGTGGTGAGCACGGCGATGGGCAGGTAGTCGTGTGGCGGCAGGCGGTCCATCAGGGTAATGCAGGGTGGCATTTGCATTGGGTGAATCTGACCTGGGGGCATCCCCGGATGAGTTCCTCCTGCTGGCATGTAGGGCTGACCCTGAGGCAAACAAAATTATTTTAAATTGCAGAAATATGGCAGAGTGTGTGAAGGATCAGTGTTGTCACAAATGGAGGAAAAAGAAAGAAAAATGTTAATATTTTATCAGAATTCTCACAGCGGTCTGTCAGATTGACTCCGATGGATTTTAACAGTCTGGTGGTTGAATAACTTAATTACAATTCATGCAAAAAAAATTTCAACTTCTGCTTCTTACACAGCCATTTTCGCATTTTACTGATTTAATTGTCATTAGCAGAGAGATGTGGGAGGAAGCATCAATCCTCCCAGTCTTAATCATATCTAACTTTAAGCCTTTTGATGCTAAAATTTACCAATGAACATTTAAATAGCTAAAGATTATTTCATTGTGGTTGCAGCAAGATGCTGCGGTGCAGATGTTTTCTGCGATCTTGTTCATGATTAAAAATCCCCTTTGTGTAGCTTGATGCTTTTATTTTGTAATCTTTAGATCTGATATAAAACAGAGTTACAGCAAAAGTGAGGAATTGGTGAAGGCTCGTGTTGAAAGCACGTAGATCAATAAACAAATGCACATTTTTCTCCAGAGTCTACATCAAGGAAACCTCCTCCTCTGATGTGTGTTACTAATGCAGATCACCTCTCAGAGCCCTGACAGGGATGCTGAGTGATGAAACTGGGTGTAATGCCAAAAATCACTCATTTCCACACCATAATTATCTCATTATTTTCTAATTTAAAAAAAGACTTTTGTTTTCTTGAGATGATGAAATAAGTTGAAAAAAAAAACACATCAAAACGGAAACACCAGCAGCTTCTGAACTGGGCTTTAAAAATAAAATGTCACGTGCAAACATAGATGCAAAAACCTGATTGGATTATAAGGGAAATTGGCTCAAGTTAACTTGACTTAAAGTAAAGAAAACTATTTAAAAGGGAATTTTTCCACAACTGCATCCAGTTTAATCACTAGTTCATCAGTGGACCAGCCGGTTCCACAAAGCAGCAAATGAGAGATGAAATCATTAACTCAGTAAAGCTTTTTCTCAGAAAATAAACCAAACCCATGGAGAAAAGAACATCAAGTAAAAACTAAAGAAATGAAAACCAACAGAACTATTGGAGTCTGACTCACTGACGCCATGGGGTAAACGGGTACGTAGGCTGTGCAGGGCTGCAGTTGCAGGGGGTAGCTCGGTTGGATGTATCCCACAGGAGGGTGAGGCATGGCACCTCCAGGACCCTGGGTCTGGACTATGTAGCCCTGTGATGCCCCAGGTGGGCCCAGAGAACCACAGTGGAACTGAGTGTCCTGGAGGTATCCCTCAGAGCCAGGTGGAGGTGGAGGAGGAGGGTAACTGGGCTGGGTACCCGGGGCAGCAGGGACGCTTGGATGCTGAGGCACGCTGGGGTCCTGAGGGCCCGGCAGGTACGGAGGAGGCTGCATGGTCTGACGGCCAGAGTCATCAAGTCCTGAGAGATTAATCAGACGGGATGGAGGAAGTGAATTAAAATGAAGACATGTTACGACTATAATCTGGTTGCTACAAAATATGTTTATGAAGTTCTGTGCATTAAATCCCTCTCACATAAAGCCATTGTTTTCTTGATAGTTTCAGTACCTTCCAGAAAGAGCTGTAAAACAAGCTGTTGCTGGTCACGCCCACTGCTTCCCTGACTGGCTGCTACAAGCTGAGAAGCTCCGCTATCTGGAAGGAGCTCGGAGTAGAGTCACTGCTTGTTTTGCACGAGAGGCATTTCTAATCTAATTTGCCTGTTTGTGCATCACAAACAAGAACTTTTTGAAAAGATCTGTTTGAGGCACACAATTCCTAAAACCAGACACGACAGAAAACGCACATTTTTTTCACATTTGGAGTGTTTATAGAGACCCACATGGCAGCACCACAGGATGCAAAAGGTGAGTTTTGCATGACATGACTTCTTTAAATGAGAGCTCTTGTTATCCAACAAAAGCAGCTGCACCATGAATCTTACATCTCATTATGACAAAAAGACTTCAAAGCAAAAAAAAAAAAAAAAAAGCCTGACATTTTCCATCCTGCTTTGTATCTGTGTTAATGATGACATTTTTATTCAGAAAACTAAAGAAATAAAAAGCAGTGGAGAGCCTCATCCCGACGCTTTCACACACCTGCATGTTCCCTTTGTGTTCATCAAACACTGAAAATGACTGATGGGTGTTTGTGTGTGGGTTTCTGCAGCAGTGATGGGTGGGGTTGGGGGGGGGGGGGGGTTGTTGAGAAAACACACTCTGACAGGGACATGAAGAAGGGAGAAAAGCAAAACCAGAGGTGGATGTTGGAGGAGATGTGACAAAAAAGGAGCCGAGCAGCTGAGTGATGACGATGTGAGCTCGGGGATTGGTTTTACGTAACGTTCCTTGGTCCTGCAAGCAGTAAGTGGACTAGAAACAAGACAGAGGGGATGGGAACAAAGCTTTAACAGGGATATATATATATATATATATATATATATATATATATATATATATATATATATATATATATATATATATATATATATATATAATATGAATATTAAATCTCTGACTAAATCTTCTCAAAGTGCCACAAAGCATTATTTAAATCTCATTTGAAAGTATTACTCAACTATTGGTTTAATTGTTTTTTTTTCTGCTTGGAAATTTTTTTAATTTATGCAAAAACGAAGACAAAAAAATCACATTAATTTCTCAGATGAGAAATGTAGGTAAATTAATTGCTTCTGGTTTCTTTTCATGAAATATTTGACTTTTATTTTGAATCTCATGCTGCAATAAAAACAAATAGCTGATAAATCTAAGTTTCTACAAAGCACAAACACTTGATTTTAAATCTGTTTAAACTTACATGCAAAGGCTTTTGTTGCAGCTAAAACTAAATAGTGTTACTAACATCTTTCATTTAATAATCGATTATTTTTCATTATGAAATAGTATCTCTGCAGATGTTTGCAAGTCCTTTATAAATGAATTTTTGTGCTTGCATGATCGAGTGTATTATCTGTTTTATCCTCCTTTGTTTGGCTGGATCTGATTAGACGCCTTTGCAGTTTAAACTGCAGCCTCCTCTTCCTCCTCCACCTCATCTTCATCCTCACATCAGCTCAAGTGATCATTTCAGATTTAAATAACACAATATAAATCTGATTAATTTGCATTATTTGTATATATTTTTAATTAATAAGTAAATGCACGCGCGCAAAAGGACACCCACATCAAACCGTCTGGAGAGATATACGACGTAAGCGCGTGCGTAATGATAGTGAGGAGAAAACTGGATATTTAACAGTTATTTTGGGTTAGTGTGCCATAAAATCTAAATTGATTGTTCTATTTTTGCTCAAATTAAGTCTCAAATAGTGCGATAGTGTCACTTTTATCGGTCTGTGGGGCTCAGGAGGCCCTGCGGAGATTTTCTCCCCCTCATGCTGCACCCACACAGCGGCGCGTCCTCCTTTAGAAACGGTGCGCACAAAGCAGCGGAGGGAGATAGCAGCAGGGAGGGAATAATGGAGAAATTACTAATTGTAATATTAATAATAATAATCTTAGTCAAAACGCCTCACCGTGTTTTTCGGATGACATGCCTCCCGATCTGCACGCCTCCTTCTTAGATGGGTTGCTTGGTTCACTCCAGCTGCTGCTGAAAGAGCCTCTCGGTGACTTCTTTAATCCAAACCCATCATCAGGATGTCTTCATCTTAAAAACAAACCACGTTTGAACTCAGCTCGGTCGGAGCGCACAGGATGATCAGTCCTCTCCTCTCTGTGCGCATCTGATGAAAAAGGCTTTTTCACTTCGCTCCAGACTGAATTAATGAGACGCAAAAAGCTGCGCTCCTCTCGGCTCCTCTTAAAGAGACAGACGCGTCACAGGGACCGCGCCATGGAAAGCCAGGTGTGACAAAAAACGCGCGACGTTACGAGTGTCTCTCACACGAAAAGTACACAAGCCAAGCCAAGCCAAGTCGTGTACTTTACGAGTTGTTTGTGTTAACTTTTTTTTTTTTTACAAATTGAACTCTCGCTAATTTTTCACCATAAAGAATGTGTTGCTGAAGCATTGAATGTGCGTTTGTTAACAAACACTTTGAGAAACACTTAATGTTGCGCATTTGTGGCACACCTGTATTTGCGTACATTTCCACCCTCTGACACGTCACAATTTTTATTCTACAAAGGCATCTGGAGTTCAATTATCATCTCAGCAACAAACATTTGATTGATTTTAATAAAAACTCATTAGATATTGTAGCCTAGTGAATTAGACCAAATTCTTGCTTTGCAAAGTTTGGTCTCGGCATGCTCCATTGGAACCTCCGCAGCTCCTACCAGGACTCTGGCTAGCCAATCACAGCTCTCTAGAGGGGTTTCAAACACATAAAGAGCTGTGATTGGTCCATAATGGTGGGCCAATCATGCTCTATCTGCTTAGTGAACAAATCACAGAGCTTTATCCGCTTTGTGGGCCAATCAGGGCACTCTATATGCCTGGTGGGTGGGATGATGCAACAGAGTGAAACAAGAGTATGTCACATTCTTTGTCCAGTGGAATGCGGAGATCATTTGAAAGACAACGGTAGAACCCGCCCCACAACCGAGAGCCGTCAATGGAGCGTTGCCAGACTAAATAATAGATTTATTTAGTCTGGCTTGCCAGGCTATAGATATTGTACACCTGATCAACTGAGTCAGCCCTGTTCAAGATGGCCTCCACAGATCAGCATTAGCAAACACAAAAATCTTTACAACTCAAATTTACAGTTAAAATGTACCGTTATAGTCAATGAGTCATTCTCAATATATGCCACATGCAAACTTGAACAAGAATAAAGGTAGCCATCCAATCCAATGGATCGCAATAATTCGCTAAATAACACACAAGTTTTTCTTGTGATCGCCATCAGCTACACCAAATTGTAGCTGAATATTTGTGTAAATGTTTATTTGTGTTTGCTAAGGCTGATCAGCTGTGAATTGGAATGAATTACAATCAAAGGTTAATCCGTTCTAGATGCGGGTTAGAAATCAAATATGGCAAGCAGTGCGCTTCAAAAACACAAACAAAACTATTTTATTTTGTAACATGAAACTTTAATTTTGTAACTTGCAGAAAAAAAATCAATGTACAAGTTTCAAATCGCAACTTTCAAAACACAAATCTCAGTCTACAGTTACAAAACTCAAATCTACAAGTACAAAACATTTTGTCCCAATTCTGGTTCGCTTCCAAAAGAACCAATGAAAGGCTTTGTCTTATAAGCCAATCATAAGTCTCAGATTTCTGTTCAATCATAGCGGGTGTAGAGGTGGGCAGAGGTCAGTGGGTGTTGGCTACTGGTCTGCTCACAACAACCTAACTTAGGCCGTGTTCGAGTTGAGCAGCGCCTCGCCTGGAAAACAGACGAGAGCAGATGGAAGCAGCAGGGGGAGTGGCTGAATGCCGGCGTTTAAGTCGGACACAATTTCCTGCATGTGTAGCTCGCGGGTGACGATGGATGAAGATATCGCGTTAGCGTTCACGACTGTAATAATAAGTGAAGGTTATCAGCTGTAGGTTTAGTGTGCTCATAGGAAACGTGACAAAAGAAAACTAAACACATTTCTCTTTATAGCCTATATAAAATGATAAATGACCCGCACTTGTACAGCGCCTCTCAGAGTAAGGACTCCAAAGCGCTTTACACTACAGTGTATCATTCATCCATTCACAGACACACATTCACACACTGATGGTGAGGAGCTACGATGTAGCCACAGCTGCCCTGGGGCGCACTGACAGAGGCGAGGCTGCCGAGCACAGGCGCCACCGGTCCCTCCGACCACCACCAGCAGGCAAGGTGGGTTAAATGTCTTGACCAAGGACACAACAGGAGAATTCTCTGTCCGGAGCCGGGATCGAACCTGCAACCTTCCAATTACTGGACAACCCACTCTACCTGTTGAGCTACTGCTGCCCCTAATATAGTTGTCATCATCAACGTAACATGATTTACAGAATACATGTGACCAACTAGCATTTCATGTTCTACCACCGGATGTTTGGATCAAAATATGAACCAAACAGATCTTAGATCAGGTGAGAGCCAGGCGTTTCCCGTCATCCCCTATGGTTCTGCAGCTGGTGGAGAGCAACTGCAGCGCCTTGATCCAAAATCTGCGGCCGCCTTGATCTCACGAGGTTATCGTTGCCTACGTATGCATGGCGTCAGAGCAAGTCGGCGTCGAGTCGGACACAAATCTAACCGGCATGCACTGCCCGCCGATCACCGGTGATCTAATCTGCGCAGAACTGGCTCATCTTGAACACGGCCGCTGTCAAGTTCTCACAAAGCTGAAGTTGGTTCCAATTTCTGGTTCCTGCTTTGCAAAGGGCAATTCCACTCAAAATTTCCTCGCCCAAAGCCTCTTTAGTTTACAACTATTATAAAACTACAACACCTAGATTCTTCAAACCTGGACTAGATTATTCTAGACTAATATCAGGTTCCATAAAACTTTGTTTGTGATTTACTGTTAAAGAGGGAAATCTTAAGCAAGTCTGGATGTGACAGCACAACAGACCTCTGCCCTCTTGCCATGACTGGACAGGAATCCAAGACTCTTGATTGGCTGATCAGACAAAGCCTGTCATTGGTTCTTTGGGAAGGAAGCTAGAATTGGGACAATATATTTTGTACCGGTACTTGTAGTTTTGTAACTATAGAGTGAGATGTGTGTTTTTTGAGAGCTGTGATTTGAAATGTGTACATTGATTTTTTTTCTGCAAGATACAAAATTAAAGTTACGTACCAACAGTTAGGTGTTACAAAACAAAAGTTGTGTTACAAAGCAAGAATTACATGTTACAAAATGAGATTAACATGCTACAAAACAAAAACATGTTACAAGTAACAAAACTTACTACAAGTTACATGTAATATTGTCCCAATCCTAGATCCATAAACAACAGCCTTCCTCATCACAAGCCAAGATGGGTGAGTCCATGAATTTTATTTTACAATGTGACTTGTATTTGGCTGGCTTTTCTAAACCAAGCATTTCCTCGTCTATCTTCTATCGGCGGCTAATTTAGGAAATTAGGTAGAAGAACATTTTCACGTTAAGCCTGCACGTTAAACTTTGGCCCTGTCCAAACGTAGCCGGGGATCTGCCAAAACGTAGATATTTTTCTACGTTTTGGCCTGTCATCCACACGAAAACGGAGTTTTTTTAAAACTCCGGCCAAAGTGAAGATCTGCGTTTTCTCCGTTTTGGGTGTCTGCGTGTGGACAGACAAAACCGGAGTTTTAAGGTCCGCATCGTCACTTTCCGCGACAAATAAATGCTGACATCACGTGTGCGACCTGTGTTTACACTAGCCGACAGCATGGATGCCCTCAGAGCTGCGCTCGCTTTATCAATCGTCCGAGCGCTTTTTGCTTGTTTGTTGTTGCAAGCGGAATTACTGCTCCTTGCGGAAGACCACAGACGAAGGACGAGGTTAAGAACGGGGGAAGTACTGCCGCCTACAGGTCTGGCATGTCCTTAACAACGTATTTATCCGGGTACGTGTGGACAGTTTTTTTTTAAACGAGGTGGTGTGGATGCAAGTTTTTGGAGGGGCGGATATCCGTTTAAAAAAAAAAACGGCTACGTGTGGACTAGGCCTTAGAGTGGCTGATCTTATTTAAAAAATAACAACAGTGAACTTGGCCTTTAACCCTAACTCTGATTTGAGGGGTTTACCGTTACTGTAATAGAGAAAGTGGGTGGGCTCATCATAGCAGGGCGGCCCCAGAATCCGAAAAGTAGAGAAACGTGATGTGTACACAGAAACACACACCTCTAAGCTAGCAATGGAAGACATGCTAGCGATGCTGAACATTTTGCTCGGTCTCATCTTCAACCACCAAGCACAAAAACACCGGAACCCTGATGATTGGTCCACGTTGTCATTTTCGGTGTAACCACTACTGTTCTTTTGGAGTCGGGAGTTTATTATCGTACAATAAATTACAGTTTAAATCTGTTTTTCACAGTCTGTACTTTGGTCTGTTGGTTAAACTCAAGAATGCTCATGTAAACACATTTCTCAGTAGGCACATACAGAACTGAACATCCACCTCCCTCGTGTGCATTACTCTTCACACCTCTCACACACAGAGGCACTTTCACGTCCACCAGCATCTTCATCGTTGCTGTGGAAAGCCCTCAGTGGGTGTAGAGCGAGGCAGTGAAGACGATGTCCCTGCGGATGGACAGCGAGGCCTGCTCCATCTTGCTCCCCAGGACGGAGTCTCCCACGATGCGGGCGGCCTGTCGCACTTCCTTCAGCACCTCGTCCAGCCTCTGGATGCAGCGGACCACCGTCCCCTCCTGGACGTCTGTCAGCAGGGCGATCTCAGCAAACGGCTGACGCAAGACAAGAAAGGGACGCTTTAATGGGGGGGCATTTCATTTTCTTTTAATCAAAAAGAGAAAAATAAAGTTTTGGAATGGATGCAGGATTTTTATTTATTAAAGACAGAGCAGCATGATTCAACACGGGCTTGTTTTTACATGCAACACCTTTTTTCAGAACAAATGTTTGTACAGAGTCAGGCGTAAAGGCGTCTGGTTTTCTCACCATGCCCCGGGCCCAGCAGTACACCACCTCCGTCAGGCCGAACTTGAACTGTGCGATGAACTCCTCCGCTGTCTGCGGTATCCCACAGTCCCTCTGCAGCTCTCCGATCCGCTGAGCCACTGACAGCACGCGATCGATGCCCTGCAACGGAAAACACAGAACGGATGTCACACAACCAGGCGGCACACGGGACTCGGCCCTGACGGCGAACATGGTGTCATTCGGGAAATCTGCTTCAGCGTTTCTGTTCTTTAGCTGCTTTTAGTTCATTACTAATTTAAGCTCCAGGAGAGCCGTTTTATGTTCCCAGCGATTTATTAAGTGGCCTCGCTGTTCTTCCAGCAGGATGTTGTTCTACAGTGCGAGACAGCAACGTAGGAGCACCGCCACCCTCCTCACCTCCTTCAGCGTGCTGGTGATGTGCGGCTCCACCTGCGTGTTCTGGGTGAAGACCAGGCAGGACAGCAGGGCGGCGCTCTCCTCTGGCGCCAGCGGGCTCAGGACGTTCTCGAACAGCAGCTCGGTCAGCAGCAGCTCGTGGCTGCTGATCTGACAGGCCACGCGGCCCTTCAGCTGCACCGCGCCGCTGCCGTCCACGTACTGCAGCGACTGCAGGACCTGAGGTGCAACGACAGGGAAGCTTTTATCTATTTTAGAGCAAAGAGAAACTCTTAAATAACAAAATGAGGAGAGAATCATTTGGGACCAAATCTACGAGCATTTTGTAGTTTTTAACTAAATTTTTGTGATTAAACGTTAAAAATTGAAATAATTCAAAAGAATGAAAGATTTCATCTTCATAACCATTATTACTTTGATAAAAAACAGATAATTAAATGAATAAAGTTCTCAATTTAGGAGAAAAAAGCTTTGAAAAAAGGATTTAAATTAATTTCATAGTTTTTTAATGGGTATAAATCTAAAAGTTGTGATTATTTAGATTGCATATTTAAATATTAAAATGCACAAAATAAAAAATAAATTAATTAAGTGGAAATTTCCATCAATCTTGCAAAAAAAAAAAAGTTTGTATTTTTCTCACAGAAGCTGAAAAGAGAACAGCTCATGTGTAAATCTGTCTGATAAAGTCACAAAGGTCTGATCCAAACCTGGATCCTCTGGTGGTACTCGGGCAGCAGAGTCAGGGACTGATCCGACACCAGGAACAGGAGCCGGTCCAACTCCTCCTGCACACTCATCCTCTCTCTTATACGAGCAAACTGAGAATACAATACAAAAACAAATCAGCGACCAGTATAGCCACCTTTCTTTGCAAGGACACTCAAAAGCCTGCCATCCATGGATTCTGTCAGTGTTTTGATCTGTTCACCATCAACATTGCGTGCAGCAGCAACCACAGCCTCCCAGACACTGTTCAGAGAGGTGTACTGTTTTCCCTCCTTGTAAATCTCACATTTGATGATAGACCACAGGTTCTCAATGTGGTTCAGATCAGGGGAACAAGGAGGTCATGTCATTAGTTTTTCTTCTTTTATACCCTTTCCTGCCAGCCACGCTGTGGAGTACTTGAACGCGTGTGATGGAGCATTGTCCTGCATGAAAATCATGTTTTTCTTGAAGGATGCAGACTTCTTCCTGTACCACTGCTTGAAGAAGGTGTCTTCCAGAAACTGGCAGTAGGACTGGGAGTTGAGCTCGACTCCATCCTCAACCTGAAAAGGCCCCACAAGCTCATCTTTGATGATACCAGCCCAAACCAGTACTCCTCCTCCACCTTGCTGGCGTCTGAGTGGGACCGGAGCTCTCTGCCCTTTACCAATCCAGCCACGGGCCCATCCATCTGGCCCATCAAGACTCACTCTCATTTCTTCAGTCCATAAAACCTTAGAAAAATCAGTCTTGAGATGTTTCTTGGCCCAGTCTTGACGTTTCAGCTTGTGTGTCTTGTTCAGTGGTGGTCGTCTTTCAGCCTTTCTTACCTTGGCCATGTCTCGGAGTATTGCACACCTTGTGCTTTTGGGCACTCCAGTGATGTTGCAGCTCTGAAATATGGCCAAACTGCTGGCAAGTGGCATCTTGGCAGCTGCACGCTTGACTTTTCTCAGTTCATGGGCAGTTATTTTGCGTCTTGGTTTGTCCACACGCTTCTTGCGACCCTGTTGACTATTTTGAATGAAACGCTTGATTGTTCGATGATCACGCTTCAGAAGCTTTGCGATTTTAAGACTGCTGCATCCCTCTGCAAGATATCTCACTATTTTTGACTTTTCTGAGCCTGTCAAGTCCTGCTTGTGACCCATTTTGCCAAAGGAAAGGAAGTTGCTTAATAATTATGCACACCTGATATGGGGTGTTGATGTCATTAGACCACACCCCTTCTCATTACAGAGATGCACATCACCTAATATGCTTAACTGGTAGTAGGCTTTCGAGCCTATACAGCTTGGAGTAAGACAACATGCATGAAGAGGATGATGTGGACAAAATACTCATTTGCCTAATAATTCTGCACTCCCTGTACTTTGATCTGACTTTAACCAAACAAGGAGGAAAAACCCTCAATTCAACAGCTGGTCTTTCTCCCAATTCCCACCCTCAGTAGAGAGCTCTAGAGAACGATTGAAAGAACAATCATGAGAACAAGCAGGCGAGAGGAGTTTTCTCCGTAGGATGGTGTGAGGAGCTCAGACATGCGGTAGAAACTCGGATTAAAGCTGCTGCTCCGTCACGTCAAGAGGAAACAGTTAAGGTGGTTCAGGCATTTGGTCAGGACGCCTCCCAGGGGAGGTGTTTGTACTTCCAGGGTCCACCCAGGACACGCTAGTAGAACATATCACACACACACAAGCATCCACACACACAAACACACACACCTGCTCTGCAAAGGTGGGCGAGTGGGTGCAGCTGAAATCCTTCAGGCTCGCCTGCAGCACTCGGAGCCTCATGCAGTCCTCCACCACCTCCACGCTCTTCAGCTGGAGGTCGTTAACGGGGTCAAGGGTCGCTATTCCTCCAGGGTTTGCCTCAGCCAATTGTAGCAGCTCCTGCGTCGCCGTGGAGATGGCCTGGCCAGGAGGGTCACTCCTGAAGGACGAGACAAGATGATGCAGAAAGATGGTGGAAAAGATGTTTTCTGTCTGACTGTTGAACGAGTTCTGCTTCAGCATCATTTCACAAAGGATTAATTATAGGATCACTTAAACTAATCTACCATTTTAACTCATTTTTAATCTTTGTTTCCTCATTAGTTAGTTGCTTTTGTAGGTTGTGACACATCAAGTGAAGACCCATACTCAGACTAATGCTTCACCCCTTCAAGAGAAGGCTTTAGAAGCAGAGAGAAGAGAAGCAGAAGTCTCAGTTTGTAAAGCAGTCGCTGAGAAACAGCAGCTAGCATTTATGATGAAGACTGACCCCGGCTTTCCACGGGAGCCGTCAGCAGCACGTTACTGCAGCAGCACGTCTTTTTTTTTTTTTCAGCAGCAGCACGTCTTGCTCGCGTAAGCTGCTGCTTGGTCCTTCCCACGAGACGCGAAGCAGCAGGGGAGCAGCTGTCACCGACCGAGCACGAAGTCACACGAGTGACTTCGTCAGTAAACACAACAACAAGCAGGAGAAAACTACAACATGGCTCCAAAAGGTTTGTGTTTTATGTTCTGTCCGTTTTATAATCGCCAATACGGACCTGAAAAACAAAGGAGACCGCTAGCTAGGTGATAACTTCTCACGGGGACGCACAGTTAGTAACTATTTTTAAAAGTAAAGCAACCGGAAGGCAGTACGTTCTTTATTCTGAAAATATCGGGAGCTTCTCTCCATTTCCGCGTCCGATTTCCTGTCTTTCCTTCCCCAAAAATGTCGAACTTGACCCGTTTCAGAGGCGTCGCGCGTAGAAAATAGAACCGGCGCGTAAAGGCCGCGACATGCTGCTCCTGAGACACGGCCGACTCGCGCTGCTGACGGCTCCAGTGGAAAAGGTTCTGTTGACCACAGTGGTTCCTATCAGCAGCTATGACGTGCTGCTGCAGTAACGTGCTGCTGACGGCTCCTGTGGAAAGCCGGGGTAAACCTGAGGCCAGAGAGGCCCAGGGAATTCCTGGGGAAGCTTTTAACTTCAGCTACTCAGCCTTTTTTCTGTCGTTCTGAAACAAAAATGTTAAAATACAAAGTAAAGTTGAGGAAAAAGTACACGTGTGGTCCAGTCCAGACTGGAGGAATGATGCAGGCGACAGCTAAAGTCCTAAATAATGAACACCTGAATCGTGGTTGCTGCCGTTTGCTGAAGTTGTCGATGATCCTGTCAGGAATCACTTTGAGGGTTTTCACAGTGATGCCGGAAATGTCCTGCAGCTTTAACTTCTGCACCGTGTGGCTGCACGGACCTGAGAACAGAACCACCGTGAGCGATGCACGAGTTTTCAAGAGGAGGAGCTTCACCCGACCTTACCTTCAGGTATGAACAGAGCCGTGCTGTAGCGGTGCGGGAAGGCTGTGCCGCCGCTGCCTTTCCCTTCTCCTTCCTCGTTGCCCTTCTCACAGATGATGAGAGCTGTGAAGGAGCGGTTCACTGCGTCGTTGGACACCTGGGAAGCAGCAGACGGGGTTTGGAGTTAAAGATCATCACAAGGGGAGCATCTGGGCTGAATTTCTGCACGTTTTCCTCTTTTATGAGTCTCTTCTTGGCTAGGTAGCACCCACCTGCAGAATGACTCCCAGCGCGTTGAGATGCTGTTTGTTGTTGACGATTACGACTCGACCTACAGACAGAGCTTTCAGTCCGTTCACAGAGTCCAGGATGGCTCGCTGAGAGAGAAACGAAGAGATTCAGGCTTTGAAGCGATAAAACAGTAACGAAACAAACTCAGTAACACATGAACTCCATCCTGAGTGGACAGTTTTTGAGTGGCATGAAACCTGGATGGCTTCTGTAGTGGTCCTCAGCTCCGTCACCGTGTGGTAATACGGCAAAATGTCCGACAGCTGTCCCTCTGCGTCCTGAGGAGGCAGAGACGCCAACGACTTCTTCAGCTGGCTGATCTTCTTCTCGTGAGCCTGCAGATGAGACATTCATGTCATGAAGGATTGAACTTCAGATAATTATTCAGTAATTGAGAGTTTTGATCAGAACTGAAGTTAAATTAAAAGATTTAAAGAATACATGGGAGCGGGTCTGAGTCTCTGGGCGACACCATATTAGATGCCATGTTTCCTTCTACGGGAGCCCATGAGGACAAACTGCATTTACTGATTTGCAACAAACGGTTCCAAAACTTTCGTCATTCTTAAATGTTGTTGTTTTAAACATTTAACACTTCACTTGTTGCCAGTAATGAAAGGGAGTCTGATGTGCTCATCATTTAGCTAAAGTGTGCACTCCCCAGGTTTTTTTTATCCTAATGGGGATCTGTTGGTAAAGTCTTACTCCAACACAAAAATTCTGCTTGCTTGCAACAATTTACCGGTAGGTATCTACTGCCCCTATCGCCATGGAACGTCATGAAGGAGCTGTTCCACCGAAGGTTGTTTACCCTCTCTCTCCTCAGGAAGAACTAATCTGCATGAGACTGCCTCAAGGTCATGCATTTGCTTCTAAACTGTTTCTTCCTTTCCAGCTCGAGAAGAATGAAGACAAAGGACTCTTTCTTTCTAATAAATCAGAAGAACTCTATTTTTAATAAAGCTAATCAAACAAAGTGTTAGTCAATAATAAAATGTGAACCAATCTGTGAAATGACAATGTTTATGATCAGTAGTTTTTAATAAGTAATTTAACTTTAAACTAGCTGCACTAGACATTCTCATCCACGTAATGTTAAGAATCACATGACACATTCTTCTTCTGATCCAATCGGAACCTTCCAGATCTGATGCGAGGCGTGGTTTTGTTGGTGTTTGGTAAATCCCCTTTTGTGTCCTTTTTTGATTTGGCCGTAAACCAAAACATCCAAATTATAAAACTATGCCCACGTCATCTTAACTTCAGTTCAAAGCGTTCTAGAGAAGTTATCGCAGTGGCCAATCCGTAACTTTCCTCTTCAGCCGAAAGAACCTAACGACAAGCTGGATTAAATCTGTTGCATGTTCCACCTGCTGCAACGGTTCCTTTCAGAATAAAAGCTGAACCATCGTGACCCCTCTTTTGGGTCTCGCTAGATGCCAATAAAACTGTCGTGACCTGGAAGTATCTCACGACTGGTCTGGTCGGCAACCGCTGCATATCTACAGGCGTCGGTTCCAAGAGGGTCTAAAGCTGGACTCCCGACATTCCGGATCTAAACGGGGACTTCCGTTGGGGTACGTAGACCAACAGATGGCGTCTCAATGTGTGTTGTCGTCGTCGTCGTCGTCTTCCTCCGCTTATCCGGGTCCGGGGGGCAGCATCCCAACTAGGGAGCTCCAGACCGTCCTCTCCCCGGCCACCTCCACCAGCTCCTCCGGCAGGACCCCAAGGCGTTCCCAGACCAGATTGGAGATGTAACCTCTCCAACGTGTCCTGGGTCGACCCGGGGGCCTCCTACCGGCAGGACATGCCCGAAACACCTCCCCAGGGAGGCGTCCAGGAGGCATGCTGACCAGAAGGCCATACCACCTCAACTGGCTCCTTTCGATCCGGAGGAGCAGCGGTTCTACTCCGAGTTCCTCCCGAATGTCAGAGCTCCTCACCCTATCTCTACAGAGGAAACTCATTTCGGCCGCTTGTATCCGCGATCTCGTTCTTTCAGTCATTACCCAAAGCTCATGACCATAGGTGAGGATTGGGACATAGATGGACCGGTAAATCGAGGGCCTGGCTTTCTGGCTCAGCTCCCTCTTCACCACGACAGATCGGCTCAGCGTCCGCATCACTGCAGACGCCGAACCAATCCGCCTGTCGATCTCCCGATCCCTCCTACCCTCACTCGTGAACAAAACCCCGAGATACTTAAACTCCTCCACTTGAGGTAGGACCTCTCCCCCGACCCGGAGTTGGCAAGCCACCGTTTTCCAGTCGAGAACCATGGTCTCAGATTTGGAGGTGCTGATCCTCATCCCAGCAGCTTCACACTCGGCCGCGAACCTACCCAGCAAGAGCTGAAGGTCAGAGCTGGATGAAGCTAGGAGGACCACATCATCCGCATAAAGCAGAGACGAGATTCTCCTGCCACCAAACTCGACACACTCCACACCACGGCTGCTCCTAGAAATTCTGTCCGTAAAGGTAATGAACAGAACCGGTGACAAAGGGCAGCCCTGGCGGAGTCCAACCCTCACCGGGAACAGGTCCGACTTACTACCGGCTATGCGGACCAAACTCACGCTCCTCTGGTAAAGGGACTGAATGGCCCTTAACAGAAAGCCACCCACCCCATACTCCTGGAGCGTCCCCCACAGGGTGCCCCTGGGGACACGGTCATAAGCCTTCTCCAAATCCACAAAACACATGTGGATTGGTTGGGCAAACTCCCATGCCCCCTCCATCACCCTTGCAAGGGTATAGAGCTGGTCCACAGTTCCACGGCCAGGACGAAAACCACATTACTCCTCCTCAATCTGAGATTGAACGTGTGTTATAATCTCCAAACCAAAGCTTAGAGCGAAACATCACCTTCACTCCCATCAGAACTAATCGTTTCTCCGGATTTGTTGGTTCTGAACAACATTCCACACTACACCATCCATCTCGCCTCATTCACCCCTAGATCCATAAATCACACAGAGTGTTGAGTGTTTAAAGTTAGTCTAGTTTTAATTTGTTTAGTAATAAATCTTTAAACTTTTAAAACTTGACTCTCTTTCTGTTGTCTCTGAGTTAATATGAAGTGGTTACATAATCCCTGCAATAAAAAGTTCCAATCTTCTGGTTTAAATTATCCAAAGATCCAAAAGATTGATTTCATATTTCCGATGGAATCTCACATTTTATGGTTCATTAAATAACATGTAAATTTAATCGTTGCAGCCAGGAAAAATACACACTGTCACTTTATGCCTAAAAAGCAGAAATAAATCTTATTCTGTACTATTTTTAAAGCAATATTTTAGAAGTGGACATTTATGTCTCCAATGACTCCAGAGGATAATAAATGTTTACATTTGTTGCGACTCAAAGCCAATAATGCATCAAAGTAAATACTTTAGTTATTTCCTGACATAACCAAGACTTATTTGTTAAAAAATGCCCTAATTGCACAAAAAAATATTATTTGATTATCTTTAACTCATTTTTTGAGTTTGTTCCATAAATTACATCAGTGATATTAAGTAATCAAACTGGCATAAAAGCCTCATAATAATTGAATGCCTATAGTTTTGAGATCAAAAAGCAACAAAAATAATTTGTTCATTCATTTTTATGAGCGGACATTTTTGTCCTCTAATGACTCAAGTGTAAAGTCATGTTTCCACAGTGTTCAATTGATCTATTTAAAGGGAATTTTGAATTTTTATGCTCGTGATTGCCCCCTCAGGCCAAAAGCGTAACAGCAGCTTCAATAGTAGGCTCGTGCACGAGGCGCGCATGCTGTACGTGCACACTCCTTAACGAAAATAACAGCTGAGACAGTCCCGTGTGTGTGTGTGTGGCCCGGAGGACAGAGGACAGGAGAATGCGCAGCTAATTAATTAAATAATTTGGTTCTGTACCTTTCTCTTCAGCACAGCCGACAAAGGTTTAAGATGGGTCAGTCCTCCTGCATGCTCAGATCATTCCCTTCCCTTGCTTGAAAAATTGTTCCAAAATGAAAGTTGAACCCACATCTTTTTTATCTGTGAATTCAATGCCGTTCGGCGAGTCTCAAATAAAAATTTGGGCATCTTACTGTAAAAAAATATACCATTAATGTAAAAAAGAAACTCTAAATAAATGAGGTTCACATCCAGAATCGAACCCGAGCCTTCTGCATGGGAGTCCAACATTTTACTAGGTGAGCTAAAGCACCAGTGACATCTTTTGTATCTGTAACATTTATATCCTTGATGACAGCTGAAACTACGTACAAAGAACAGTTCGGAGCAAAAATGGCTATTTTGTTGCTAATTTGTAGGAAATATCAAGAAGAAAGTTCTACAGAAAGTAGCTAAGGTCCTCAGAAATGTAGCTAGGTTCATCACTAGGCGTTAGGAACAGCGACAAAGTCGCTGAGTTGGCACTGCCTCTCTCTCTGCTGCTAAAGCTACTGATAGAAAATTCTACGGGCGATGCCTGAGTGTGAACGCGCATGAAGCAGCCTGCTCGACCCGAGCAGCTCTCTTTTTCTGTGATTTTACAGAAAAACAGGCAATCACGGTAAAAATGCCAGGGCTCATTCTACAGGACCAGGGCATTGCAGGAGAATGTATGAAGAAGACATTTATTATTTCTGTACATGTTTTGGCTGTCAAACTTCCATAATGCACCTTTAAAGATAATATTTGAATATTCACATTGCCATATTCACAAACACAGTTTAAGTGGTGATTAGATGACAAGTGAAAACCGTCCAAATGGACAAAAATGTCCCTAATAATGAAGAAGACATTTTTAATGAGGAGGCGGGATCATCAGGCGTCACCTGAGTGTCTCTGTGGCTTTCTGAGAAGCTCCTCCTCATCATGTCCGTCACGCGGAGAGCTTCGACTCGCAGCAGGTTCAGGATCATGGTGTAGGTCAGCCGGAACTGGGACTGGAGGATGGTTGGTTTACCCTGAGCCACGACAGGGAAAACAAAGATCACATTCCTTCACAGTTCTTTTAGCTAAAATAAAAAAAGCTGCACAAAACTGATCTGGAGAAACCTTTAAGATTGGTGCCAAATTCAGATTTTTCTTCTAAAAGGGGACGTGTCATGGTAGTTTATTGGTCAATAAAAAAACATTTTTAATAGGTTCTTTGCACTAAAACCCTCTCACATGAAGCGATTTCTTCAGTTTTATTCTCAACATTTTCAGTACCTTCCAGAATGAGCGATTTCAGGGCTCTGTCACTTTAAGAAAACAAGTTGTTTCTGGCCACGCCCACCCTCTCTAGCTCAGGCTGCTATATGCTGAGAAACACCGAAGTTTTGACGCTGCTCCTCTAGCAGCCTGACTCAGATTTTAGGGTAAATACTTCTTTAGCCAATTTCAAACCTTTTTCTTGTTTTTAAAAAAGCCAGGATAACTTTGTTACATGAAGGAATCAGTCTGAGGGACTCACCATCATCATGGCGTGGAGCTCAGCCATGTCATGAACACCTGATTTACACAGAATGATCACCGTTCCTGTGGCGTCAAGACCTCTCCTACCTGCTCTGCCCGCCATCTGAATATATTCACCTTAAAACAAAATAAAAACGCTGCGTTTTTATTCAAATCTGATCTTTTTAGTCCAATTATAAAACAAGGATTATTGTTTCAGAATAAACAGGAAGAGAATCTAACCCGGCAGCAGGTTTCTGAAGCCGGTGCCGTCGTGTTTCCTGATGCTGTCGAACACCACGGTCCTGGCGGGCATGTTCACTCCCATCGCAAACGTCTCGGTGGCGAACAGCACCTGGGAGAGCGACAGGTGAGGATTACAGGTGATCTGATCTGAGGCTTTAAAAAAAAAACCTGCTCTGGCTCACCTTAACGAGACCGCGTGAGAAGAGCATCTCGATGACCTCCTTCAGGATGGGCAGAATTCCACTGTGATGAACGGCGACGCCTCTCTTTAGGAGGTCCCTCATGAGCAAAATCTGAAACAACAGGTCAGAACACGATTAACACATTTGCACCCAAGTAGTTTTTTCTGAAAGCGGCTGCTGCTCACCTGCGGCAGCTGCCTGTCGCCTCCTCGAAGACGGCTCAGGCTCTTCTGGAAGAAGGAGTGGATCTCCGCCTTCTCTACAGACGTGGTGAGGTCCATGGACTCCAGCGAGCGGGCGTTCTCATCACACCGGGTCCTAGAGAAGGTGAAGGCCACCACTGGGGTCTGCTGCCGCTGGGACAGGAAGTGCAGGAGGGTGAGCCACACCGCTCTGTCCTGGAGGAAGATGTGAGGAAATGTGAGGCTGGATTCAAACCAGGGAGAGGTGGTGATGGAGGCGGACTACCTGACTGGCCGACGTGGCTTTAGAAGAACTTTTTGCACCAAAAGACTGAGCGTGTTTGCTGGTGCGCTCCTTCTTTGCATCCACAGCTGAGTAGTACCTGAGCAAGAAGAACAGCTGATTTTAACAGGAAGCTGATTTAAAAGTGAAGCACCACCATGGACGTAATTTTTTGGGGGGGGGACAGGGGGGACATGCCCCCCCCCCCCCACTTTTTCCAAAGTCAAGTTTTGACCCCTGCACTTTTTACCATCCAAAAACAATATTACGCTATTTTAAATTGACACTGGTTGAGCTCTAGGACCAAGTGGAAAACAACCGTTTGTGTTGAAGCCTGTTTCCCATTAGAGCATACTGTAAAGATCTCACCCCCCCCCCCCACCCCCCACCCCGTGTCCCCCCCACTTCTAAAGTGAAAATTACGTCCATGAGCACCACACACGCTGAGGCTTCACCCCTTAGTGAGGAAGTTCCCAGCAGCGTCCAGCAGCAGGAACAGCTCCTTCTGCGTCTTGGTGCTGTTCCCAGTGTACAGGTAGTGCTCCAAAGGAACGGGCCTCTTCATGGTGCTGATCACGTAAATATGTCTCTTCTTGATGCGACTGGGGAGGAAGAACACACACAGAACATACACCTTGTGTTGGACGAATCAGGAGATTTTCAGGGGAACAATAATACACAAACTTATGTTTACCCAATCCACTCGCTGAACTCCAGCGCGTTGGGCACCGTGGCGCTCAGGAGAATGATGCTGACGTGGTCGGGGAGCATGATCAGCACCTCCTCCCACACGACTCCTCGCTGAGGAAAGCAAACAGAGGGCGAAACAGAAATAATCTCTCGTGCCGTCCGTAAAACAGATGATTAGGAAAAAAATGAACAGCAGGAAGGTTTTCCAGACATCAGCGTCGTTGATGTAGTGAACCTCATCGAAGATCACCCACTCCAAATCTCTGATGACCTCTGAGCCGTTGTAAAGCATCGACCTGAGAGTCAGAGAATCATAACGACAGTAAAAGCACCACACTGATATATATAAACTATATCATGCACGGCAAGATGGGATAAAAGTACCGGAGGATCTCGGTGGTCATGATGAGACAAGAGGACTCAGGACTGAGCTGGACGTCCCCCGTCAGGAGTCCGACATCACCAAAGGTGGTTTTAAAGTCTCTGAACTTCTGATTGGACAGAGCCTTGATGGGAGACGTGTAGATGGTTCTATTGAAAAAAAAAATCTTAATGTAAATCTGCAGAACAGGGAGTAAATAAAAATGAAAGAAAGCTACAGCTAATCTGAACATTAGCAGTTTAATGAACAATTACAGGATTCCTTCTGAGAGTTGTAATGTCCAGAAACGGCCAGTTTTCACCTACAGGTTGACCTACATGCCACCGGTCATCTGCAGACCTGATTCTATTCTCCGAGGTGGATTTTACACTCCATCTTCCTAAATGCCCAGAAGGATACTGCAACCTTGTTGACATTTCAGGAGGAACACGTTGTCAGCCTGTGTTCCCAAACAAATCCTTCTTCGATAACACAGCAGGAGTGCCCACTCTCTCAATAAAGTGAACGTTCATAAAATGAAATTAACAAATGTTATATGGATAATAATAGTGTTTGATTGATCTGTGCTTGAATTACTGAAAGTATGAAATGAATTATTACATGGAATGATATATATATATATATATATATATATATATATATATATATGTATATATATATATATATATATATATATATATATATATATATATATACATATATATATAGTAATGTTTGATATAACAAGGCAATCTTCACCCGCACTCAGACACAAGGACAAATTAAAGTTAAGTTAAACTCATGACACGTAGAAATTTCTTTCAAAGCATCCGGTATCTCAAGAAGGCGTGATGTCTGAGGTTTTCTTGAGGTTTTCTTGGTAATATCCCTTAACATGGCACGCTCCGATTGGCCAAGAATTAATAATATGAGAATATGAAAACAGAATCACTCAGGTGATTCAGCAGTCGCATTCCAGCTTTCCATCATTCAGCATTCAGTTCTAGAGAGCGCTACGGAACGGCCGTCCGGAGCGACACCTCTTTAACCATGAGCATTTTTGGCAAGCTGCCAAAACCCTGCTAAAAGCTGCCTGTCGTGACCTGGAGGCGACTCTGGATTGACCTGGTCGTACTGCGGTTTTCCTATGGACTTCGGTACCTTGGGGTCACCCGACCCCCTGACATCTCGGATCCAAAAGAGAGTCTCCACTTGGGGTACGTAGACATGACAGATGGCGTCTGATGCCTTTTTGATAAGAATCAACTTTATAGCTTAAAACAAACCAAATTCTTTCCTTTTAAACCCAGAACTCAGTTCTTCTAGATACGAAAGTTCTGGTATCATATTCACACATAGGCACCATGCATCGCATTCCATCCACCTAGATCCACCCATCACAGTAAATATTAGTTAACTTGTCATGTTTTTAATTGTTTGGAAAATAAATTCTTACTTTTTATAAACCTGACTCTCTTCTTGAATCAACACAAAGTGTTCTACAATCCCTGAATAAACAAAGAATCCTAGAATCTTCTGATTAAACATCCAAAGACCAAGCAGGTTAATATTCTATATTTATATTGAGTATCACAGCTTACTGGTCATAAGTAAGGATAACATATTAAGCTCTTAAAGCACACAATTTACCAACTCTGCAGAGTTCTGCAAGATTTTTATTCTGTAATTAACATTTTAAACCGGCAAACTACACCAAACAACGCTGCACCTGTAACAAGTGTTGGGTATTTTTATAATTGTACCTTTTTGAGGCCTAAAAGATGCCCTTCTCTGTGTTTGCCAAACCGTGGCTGTTCATGAAAAGGTTGAGCAAGGATGTTGATTGAGAAAACTCTGTACCTCTGTAACCTGAGAAGGCCCGCCTTCTCCCCCATCCTTGGTGAATAAAGCCCCTGACGAGCTAGGAGCACACGGGAGTGACATGGGGAAGCCTCGGAGGAGGTTTCTCTGTGTTAACTCTTCATGTTTTGGGGACTCAGGGTAAAATGTCTTCCTTGTTGTCATGTGTGTTTATTTCAGGTTCCAGGGCTATGGAGATTAAATATTACTTAACATTTAATTACCAAACATAATGGTGGAGGGTATGCAGAGCTGGTAAGAGCAGAAGGCTGAGGCTGGAGCAGAGTGGGGGCTGGTTGAGCCACACACATGGACATTACAAATAATCAATTTACTCTCTCTCTATCAAAGGGTGTGTCGTCCTTTAAGGTAATATGGGATAAAATCAAATTACCTATCAACAAGTGTGAGGGAAAGTAAATAAATTTTAAAAAATGCAAAAGCAAACATACCCTACTCAAATTTAATCAGTTTACACAATTAAACCGAAAACTAAACAACTTCTGAGAATTGTTTTTTTTAAAAATAATTTTAGTATTAGGTTAAAACAAAAAAAAGCAAAAACAAACAGTAGAACATTTTAAACATCAATACAGAAAAATGACAAATAATTTTTTTAAATTAGGAGTAATTGGAAATTAAGTTTTAACTAAACTAAAGATAATATGAAAGAATAAAAACTTCAATAACATTTTTAAAAGCCAAATATATAGCAATTTTTATTGTTGTTTTTTTTTTAATCTTCCCCAAGAAGATTTTTTTTACAGTTAACAAATAAAATGTATTTTCCTCTAGAGCCATCTAGCGGTGGAGTTTAAAAATGCCACTCAGACGCCATCTGTATTAAATGAAAAGGCGGCCAAACCAGGAGTGGAACCCCATTGGGAGGCAGGTGATAATTCATCTGCAGTGACAGAAACCCACCTTGTCATATGCTTCTGTGACAGAGCGATAGCGTACTCGGCCACCACGGTTTTGCCAGCTGACGTGTGCGCCGCTACAAACACAGACTCGTGAGCCTCCAGCTTCAGCACGGCCTGTTTCTGGAAAGTGTCCAGCTCAAAGGGCCACTGGAGCAGAAACAGATCAGAAACCAGCTCAGCCAGAGCCGCTCATCACATTCAGACAGGAGACGATAAATTATGGAGAAGGTGGGAGACAAAGTGGATGAAGACAAGGAGTTCCCACCTTGAACGCTGGGCTGGGGATGCGTTTGTAGAAATCCTGGCAGGGGGATGTTATGTCCACGGGAATGGCCCACTTCTTCTTCTCCTCTGGGTTCTGTTTGTCCTTATTTCCTGCTTCTGAGGGGATTGAGGACGGTGTAGCATCCTGAATACAGAAGAACAGGGTTTTAGAACAGGGTAATTCTAAATGAATAAACTAACTGGAGTTATGTTTTCCTTTTATCATATATATTATTTGAAATTTTTCTCTATTTTCTCTAGTTAAGGGCAATCATGCACCCAGTTTGCCTTTGCTTCCAGAAAGGGGTGGCCAGGAGGGCCATGCCCCCCCCCCCCCCCCCCCCATCCCTGGCCACCCCTTTCTGGGAGCACCACTGGTCAAAGATAAAACCAGAGCTTGATATATTTTAGGGGTTTCCAAAAACAAAAACTGACAAAACAAGACAAATAAAAGCCTAATTATCAATAGATATTACTCAGTTAATACTGAGCTTTCGAATGTGATTTAATAAATAAATACCTTGATGCCCAAGTCTTCAAGACTGTTAGTTCTGGGTAATTTAACGGCTTCTTCTGTTTGTTTGTCTCCCTCTTTCTCCTCTGTGTCTGGCTGCAGATTAGAAATTTCATCCAAAGTCGACAGCAGAGACATGAGGTTCACCTCGGACTTTGCTACTTTTGCATCTTTGGGGTAAAAAACCAAAACAACAACATGTACATGAATTTCTTTTCTTTTCTTCTTTTAACGGTAGAAAATACAGTGCCTAACCTTTGTTTGTGAAATCCATTCCAGCTTTAAATCCAGGAGGGACTTTCAGTAAATCTGTGAGGTAAAAATAAAAAAAATATATAATTTTTTTGTGTTTTTTTTGTCAAATTGAAAGTAACATAAGCTACCGTTCTCAAAGTCTATCTCCTCCTCCAGCTCAGAATTCTTCTTAATCTGCTCCAGAGTCAGCTCCTCCATCCCTCCTGTGAAAAAGAAATAAAATCATCTCACTAATAAAGATCTGAAATAAACGTCTATTAGGAAAGAGGGGATGATTTAGAATGATAAATCTCACCAGGGAGGAAGGGGTAGTTAGTGTTGCTTCCTCTGAGGCTCTCTGATGGAGGCCCAGGCTGGCGCTGAAGTGACAGAGAGTTTTTTGCTGAAAGGCCCATGTTTTCCTGTAAAACCTACCAGTGCAAAAAATAAAATAAAATAAAAATCAAAGAGAAAAGGCAAAATACTTACTTTTGTTCAATTTAGAGCAACACGGAAGAGTTTTAACACTTCAAGCTATTGCTTTCAAACTGGTTTCAGTGACTCTTCAACCATAATTTAGCAACTTCTGCTGACCAGAAAATGCACTAGACCGTTTTGTTGTTCGTGTAGGAACACTAGTGTGAGGCCTCTACCTACTTTACGGCAATAGCTGTTTACTGTGCCAGCAGCTAAGGCTAGCAGTTAGCCTTTTCAGTTCGCCAAACACCAATAAAAAGCACAAGAAGAAGAATTTTTCAATGTTTGAAGGCATCAAGTTGGAACCGGGAGGTAAAAGTAAAAGAGTAATGTATTTTTAGGCAAAGCAAAGAGCTAAAGCCAGAGAGAATCTTGTTGAAACCTACACTCATTTAAGGGAGCTAGAGGCTATGAAATCACGAACTGATGATGACCTGTCTTTGTTGTCACTGGACTTGTAAGTAATATATTTTTTGTCCAACGATGTGGATCGTTTCACTTTGTGTATTACTTTCTATCAGTTGGCTTGTGTTAGCATTAGCAAGGTTGTTTGCGATAGTTGTAATTCTGCTTTCAACCAGTAGGAAGGAAAAACAGGAAATGTATTAAGTGTTGCAAATTGGTAACAAATTTGCTACTCAGCAATTCTTTTTGGACAATCAATTGAGGCAAAAAATTGTAGAATTATTAGACAAGTTTGCATTGTTTAGTTTAATGAAAATGCCAGACAAGAAATTTGAAAGCTGCAGTGCAGTGATTAAGAAGTATTTAAGGAGTTTAAAGGGCAACACCACCTCTGTGAAATCCAGCAGCATCCCAGTGGTTGGGTCTCTGATGACAGAGATCCCAGAGTGAAGAGGAGACGGAGTACAGTTGAGCAAAGAGTCCACATCAGGCTTCCTTTGACTCACTCTGATGAAGAAAACAAAGCAGAAATGTACTTAAGTCATTCCATTTTTTAATCATTATACATACAAAATGTTTAAGAAATGGCTTTTCAGGAAAGAACACAACATGATAAACAGATTTATGTACTTCATGAACTTCTGAAACGCAAAGTCTGTGTCATGAAGGGGAAGCCAGGAAGGGTCGCGTAGAAAACGTTTCTCTACTTCGGTCTCCAGGTTCAGGCTGGTGGGAGGAAGCCCATGGGGAAGCTGCAGAGAAAACAAAATAAGATCAGAAATGTTTTCACCATTTATCAGTCCCTGGAATCAGGAGTCAGTAGTTTGAGAAGTCTGATGAGTGAAAAGTAAAGGTTTCCTGTACCACAGGGGTGCCCCAAATTTGAGATATTTTTTCATAATCATAACAATCCCAATAAAAAAAGATTTGTTTTATTGTTATTATAAAAAATTATCATATTAACCTGCTAAACAATACATGAACCATTTAACTTCTTACTAACTGTGCTCTGGGGAGGTAAAGGTTGGCCAGGAACTGGGTATGTGATGAGTTCAAACCTGCCAGAGCATCCCATCTCCAGCAGAGACAGAGGAAGGTCCATAGGGCCCACAGGGGGCACATCTACAAACAAAACCACAGAGAACACAAGTCAAGTCAAAACTAATCCTAAAGCACTTTACCACTCAGCATGACTTAGTATGAGGATTGCTGTAAAGACTCTCACTAGTCAGTGACTTGATGCAGTCTGCTGGGTTCCTTGTATAGGAAACGTTTTACTAACTGGCTTAATGAACTAACCTGTATTGGAATGTTTACTGTGGGAAGTGCCTTGAGACGACTCTTGTCGTGATTTGGTGCTATATAAATAAACTTGAATTGAACCGAATGACAGCTGATCAAAGTGCAGTTCAAAACAAAACTGAAAATTTCATAAAAGAGTACAAACAGGAAATAAAACAGTGGCAGTACAACATAGAGCAGAATTACTGTCTCACAGTCAAAGGTTAAATGAAAAAAGTGAGTTTATGGATATGGAGTTGACATAATCAAATCAAATCAAATCAAATCGCTTTTATTGTCACGTCACATGTGCAGGTACACTGGTACAGTACATGCGAGTGAAATTCTTGTGTGTGAGCTTCACAGCAACAGTTGTGCAAAATACAATAACGTAAAAACAAGCAAAATATAAAAATGGCTAATCTAATAAACATTCCTAAATGTGTGTGCTAAGTATTTTATTTTTTATTTTTCTACGTGTGTGCATCATCATAGATATGGTCATTTACCACATGCTTTTTCCTCCCTAAAGGGGAGGATGCAGATAGAAAAAAGGTTTCCGAGTACTGAACCCTGAAGAAAGATTTTATTCACACACACACACACACACACACACACACACACACACACACACACACACACACACACACACACACACACACACACACACACACACACACAAGCTTCTAGATGCAAGCTCAACAAGTACAGGCTGTCCCTTCGAGCCCAGTCCATGATTCAAGGCGTTCAACTGGGGTGGAGAGATCAACAGTGAAGAGGAGTGAAAAGAGCACGACAAGATGAGTCAGTAGCTGTCAGAACACAAGAACACTGCAGACTTGTTCTAAACTTTAAATCAAGTGCCAGTGATTTCAAGTGGTCAAATGCAGTCGAACTAAGAATTAAACACGGTCACTGGTAGATTAAAAACGTTAAAACTACATATCAGATGCAGGTGTTGATGAGCCTGATCAAAGAAAAAAGCGGAGTCACATCCCCTCAAGCTTGTTAGTAGACAGAAACATATGCTAGTTGTTTATTAATGTTGAGGGAGCATATAGTACCTGTAACCACATTTAACTTACGTATTCTGTCCATAATTTAGTGGCTGTAAACTGAAAGTTGGCACTATGAAGCTCCTGCTGTCGCTCCGGAAGTTGACATCGTAAAGCGGAAGTAGGTAGCAACATCAGCTAGCATCAACGGAGGAAAAATGTCAAACGTAAAAATAAATAGTTGTGAATAATTTAAAATGTGTTTAATATGAGTTAACAAATTATTCCTGTATTATTAGTTTTAAAATTTTCGTTTTATAAAATGTATTATTTACAACAAAAGATGCTTACGTCAAATCTACGCGCCGGTGTTTGGGCTGTTGTATTTAGAAGACACTTGTAAGTACATTCAACACACATTTAATATAAAATAACTGCGGTTTAGATGGGCATTCAAAATAAAAGCTTATTCCTAATTAATGCCCGTCTGGTTTGAATAAGTTATTAATGTATTTTCATGAACATACGTTGTGTTATCGTTTCTGGCTAACAAGCTAGTTAGCAACAATGATACACTTGTAAAATAAAAACTTAACTTTATTGTATTTCAAACCTTCGTTTTATTGTTGTCATTTGTTGTAGCTGTTTCTGCCATGGTGGCATTTCCAAGTTCACTGACGGAGGAAGAGGAGGCTTTGCAAAAAAAATATGCTAAACTGAAGAAAAAGGTAGCTAACCTCAATGACTGTGTCAGTTTTTCATTACTCTGTAGGTTTAAAAAAGCTTTTAGATAAACATTTACATTGGATTCAACTGACTTTCATTGCTAAAATAATCATACACTTTAGCCACACTCAGAATCACTGATTTTGTTATTTCAGAAAAAGGCTCTGCTTGCCTTGAAAAAGCAGAGTTCAACTAGTCAGACAAGTCAGAGTGGCTTGAAACGAAGTAAGTACAAAGTTTAAAAAAATGTATTTACTTATATTAAACCATGTATCATGTAGACTACTTGGGTATGTTGTAGTTGATGTTTGATTCAGCCACTTTTGACTCAGAGTTTTGATTTTTCCCAAACATTGCTTGTCATCATCATTTTTTTTCTCCTTTAAACATTTGAAATTCTTTTATTCACCTTCTGGCTTTTCTTTGTTTCAGCTCTGTCGGACCAGCCTGTTGTTGACACAGCAACGGCGACTGAACAAGCAAAAATGCTCATCAAGTCGGGGGCCATCAGTGCCATTAAATCAGAAAACAAGAACTCTGGTTTCAAACGTTCTCGAATGCTGGAAATCAAACTGAAGGTAAGCTGTTTCTAAACACACAGAGAGAATGTCATAATTTCTTTTTTACTACAGATTACAACACAGTCGGGTAAGAAAAATCTGTTTTCTTTTAATCATGGTTTATTTTTTTTGGGATCCTTTTTCTTTTTTTGTTATGTTTAATTTTTTTGACTTCACCAGGACCCTGAAAAAGGTCCGGCTCCTGCTTTTTTACCATTTCAAAGGAGCGTGTCAGCAGATGATGACCAACCAGAGGTACGTAAGAGAAAAGAAAACAGCAAAATCACAATGTTTCATCTAATTTTTATCACTTTATTGATCATGCACCCACACAATCTCATTTTCCTGACGTTTCCTCCTAGTCTGGAAAGAGAGCCCAAAGGAAATCCCTGTACGAGAGGTAATGTTTAACATCATGAAATGCTTTTGACGCTGAAACCGTTCATCTGGGGGTTTATCATCATATTACTGTTTTCTTCTGCAGCTTTGTCAGTTCAAGTGATCGATACCGAGATGAGGATGAAGGAGGCAGCGTGTCAGCCAGCTGCGATGTGGACAGAGACAGGGAACGAGATCGAGACTTGGACAGAGAGTGGGAAAGAGATCGAGAACGGGACAGGGACAGGGAAAGAGGCAGAGACAGAGAGAGGGAGAGAGAGGACAGAGAAAGAGACCGGAGCAGAGAGAGAGAACGAGATCGGGACAGGGAGCGAGACAGAGACAGGGATGGACCTTTCAGACGTGAGTGCTGTTTACGTGGTTTAAGTCTCACATATGTAGTTTCCTTTAGAAAACTTGTATCAGAAAAATCTTAAGCAATGTTTAGCTTTAATAACAATCCAGATCTTTAGGTTCTGTTGTAATCAGCTGAACTATGGATGCGAGAATTTTCATCCTACGTGGGAAGACTTTTCTGAATTTTATCTCAAAATGTCTCCTCGGTGGGCTGCAAAGTTAGCTCCACTTAAGATAAAGTCTTATTTTTAACCCTTGGTTTATTTAGGTCCCTAAAAAGTGTCTGAAACGGAAAAAAATGGACAAAAGTTTTTTGTATAAATAAATAAAGGATTTAAATTTTGGACATAAAATTGAACCCAAAAAATTCTGAAAGATAGAAAAATGCCTAAAATAACCTTTTTTTATGTTAATTATGAAAATTATGCAAATAAGAGCTTTTTTTTTTTTTACCCTCTGAACTCAGGATCGGACTCGTACCCTGAGCGGAGAGGTGTGCGGAAGGGGAATACATTATACGTCTACGGCTCCGGACTGGTTGAGGACAACCTGCGCTCCGCCTTCTCTCAACACGGGAACATCATCGACCTCTCAATGGACAACCCACGCAAGTATGGGACCTTTAAAGCTTTGAATTGTCTGCTTAATTTTGCTCTGGTCTTATGTTATGATCATCAAAAGGATGCACCGGTCTATTTTCTGCTGCTGTTTGTTTACAGTTGTGCATTTATCACATTTGAGAAGATGGAGTCGGCAGACCAGGCTGTAGTTGAAGTTAGTCATTTCTGAAAACCTGGATGTATCAAGTAAAATCCCAGATGCAACTTTGACCAACGCATTTCATCTTGCCTCTCTGCTTTCCTCTCCCAGTTAAACGGTGCCGTGGTGGGAGATGTTCCGATTAGGGTCAGCATTGCCAGGAAGCAGCCCATGCTGGACGCAGCCACTGGCAAATCCGTGTGGGCTTCTCTGGGTAACAGCAGCTCTGATCTCATCATACAACGCAGATCACTCTCCTGTGTTCGAGGATTGGCTCTCATCCTGGTTTGTTTCTGTTACAGCTGTTCAGAACAGCACCAAAGGCTCCTACAGGGACAAGAGGAACCAGGTGGTGTACAGTGAAGATTTCCTGGGCTGAGACGTTTGATGCTCCTCTTTTCTTTACTAGCAGGTTAAGCCGGGTTGTAGGATCGTTAAATTTTTTTGTTGTCTGTAAACTTCTTTTGCTCAATAAATCACACTTTTTGGAAATTTCTAAGATGAACACTTTTTATGTGTTTTATGTCCAAACACACATCAGATGTCTTTGTGTTACCTATTAAACAAAAAGCTGTGTGTAAAATTGGACTCTCACTGTGATCCAACAGTTGGTAAAACCTAATTGAATTATTATTATTATTATTTTGCAGCAGAAATCTGAAGTGGCTTTGTATTTGACTTTTATCTGCCTCTCATGGTTCTAGAGGAGCTCTGTCCCGGCTTTTTTTATAACGTTGCTTCAGTTCATCGAGGTTTGCAGGTGTTTGTTTCTGCATATTTTTGACTTGTCTGGATTTTGATTGCGGTGGCAGCCCCAAGGGGGGGCACAGCCACTGCTGGAAATGCCCACCCCCCGGGGGGGAAAAAAAAGCCACCCACCCTCCTTCATAAGTAAACTCGTGTTCAAACAAACCCTACATTCACTTTCTTTTCTTTCAATTTGATTGGACTGTTGCAACATTTCGATTTTTTTTTTAGCCCCTCAAGATTTCCAGGTGTGTTCTGGGGTAGTTCCTCTGTTACATGACCCAGTTTGGTCCGAGCTTCAGCGGTCAGATAGATACTCACATTTAATTCTGAAATATCTACAGGCTGCAAGGAACTCAAAACCATACCCCCCCCCCCCACCCCCACTGCAGTGACAGGTCGTAAGTACGGAAGAGGGACGCTGTAAAGAAACCACTGGACTTCTAAGACTGAAGTCAGATCTCTTTTTCTATCTCTTCCGTTAGTTTGAGATATCTATGTTCTTTTTACCAAACATGAAGCTGTGCACTATGGGTAAACATCTCTGTGTCTTTTATTTACAGAACATTGTTCCAAAAAAACTTGGGGTTTATTAAGATGCAAGCAAACCTAAACCATGCAGAACTATTTGTCAAACCAGACCTGTTGAGACTTCCTGTGAGTCGCAGTCTTACCTCTGACCTAGGAATGACTTTAATGGAACTTTTACTCCTGGGAGTAAATGTCTCGTATTCGTATAGTGCCTTCTTAGGGTTCTACAACCCCTCAAGGTGCTTCACAACACAATCAGTCAGCCACCCATTCACACACGGACGATGAGCCACAGCTGCCCTGGGGCACACGGACAGAGGCGAGGCCTGCTGAACACTGGTGCCATCGGCCCCTCCGACAACCACCAGCAGGCAAGGCGGGTTAAGTGTCTCGCCCAAGGAATATTGAAAACGAACCAACTTTTCCTCAGACTGACAGGCAGCAAATTACTGATGACTTTTTTTCCTTGTCTGGGTTTCTTGTATTTCTACAGTAATTATTCTAGATGTTCTAAATGGTGCAAACTTCCACGTAAATGTTTAGATCTGATAAATCTCACCACCAAAAACTGAAAAAATTTGCACGCACGATTCAACTTGTGCAACTCTCAACTGATGCAGCGTTGTGCAGCAGATCAGTCTCATGTTTGATAGAATGGTTCAAAAACATTTTGCACCATTTTTGCACCACATCTATTTTATGTTAGTAACACTTGACAATATTTTTGTAGATGTGCTCATTTATTATACAAAAACATGTTAAAAATGTATAATTCAAAATAAAATCCATTGAACTACATGACATTTAAAAACATTCAAATACCTTAAAATGATAAATGTAAAAAATTCTGACTTATCCACTTTGGTTTCGGAGTCTTCCTATTATTCATGTTCACAGCTCAAACACACAAACAGCCAACAGGCTAAAAAATGACCTAAAATATATAGATTCACTTTGTTTTTATCTTTTCACATCAACTTTTATTTTCTACCACTTTGAACTCCGCAGGGAGGGACTGCATCTAATTTAGCTGAACGTGTTTCCTTGACAGTAAAGATTCATTCATTCATCGTTGTTATGATGTACAAATGAGTTTTAAATATTTAAAGGCTTCTGAATGAATTTAGCACTTTAACACCGTGACTCTGCCAACAGCAGGTGTGACCGCAGCGAGCTGAAGAGCTTTGGACCTAGGACACTTGTTCAGCAACCCGGCATTCCTGATCCTCCTCCCGTACCATCTCAACGACTCCTCTCGCCCTCTCCCTTTCCTCCTGCTCGTGCAGCGAGTTCTGCCCTGTGGTTTTACCATGCTGCTCCTTCAGGTGGCGCCGTAGAGCAGGCTTGTGAGCAAAGCGGGCATGGCAGTAGGCGCAGTGGTGTGGCCGCTCCCCGCTGTGGAGGTTCATGTGGTCTATCAGCGTGGACTTCTGGGTGAAAGTCTTGTAGCAGAGGGGGCACTGGTGGGCCTTGCCAGCCCCTCGGTGCACGGCCATGTGTCTGGTCAGGTTGGTGGCGTGGTGGAAGTGTTTGCCACAGCAGGGGCAGATGTACAGCAGGTGAGTGGAGCGGGAGTGGATGGCCAGGGAGTGAGCCGAGGGGAAAGTCAGGCCACAGTGCTCGCAAATGATGGGGCCGGACGCGCTGGAGGTAGACTCCACCACAGCAACAGACTCATCCTCTCCCTCGTTCCCTCCAACAGCCGTCAAACCTGAACTTCCCTCACCAGCACCGGAATCCTCGAGAGAAAACTGATTCACACCGTTGGCAGTGACGGGCGAGAGCCTCTCACCGTGAGCGTTGCTCAAACTCAAGTCTAACCGGGGAAATTCCGCTGAAACTAAACTTCCTGCGGCCTTCAGCTCCTCCTGGCTGTAGTCCAGACCTAAATTAGCTCCCAGTCCACCAGCTGCAAGGAACCACAAGTCCTGATGGTGAGCTATACTGGGCAGCCTCTTCTCCGGAGACAACGCCCACCGTCTCCTCTTCAAACCCCGACCTCGACCCCTCCCTCTGCCACGACCAATTTTAGGGTCGTACAACCTGCGCCGGATCACACGAAGGCCCTCAGCCGAAAGACCCGCCAAACTAAGATCTTCTGCTGCATTTAAGTCGTATTCCCGCCCATCTGCAGCAATAACAAGTCCACCCGTCTCTGGGAAACAAACGTCCCCAGGGACATCAAAGGAGCCTCCGTTCTCAGCCTCCCGCTCTCGGTTCGCCTGCTCCTCTTCAGAGACGCACATTCTGAATGAGTTGTAGTCTTCCTGCCTGGCCTCCTCCTCCTCATCCGATGCGTTAATCTGCAACATAATAAAGATCTGATCATTATATGTAAAAGCAAGAACAAATGCCCATAAACCAAGTTAATAAAAGATAAACACCAAATTTAACTTAAAAGAGCAAAAACAAAGTACCCTAATAAAATTGTCCTCTAGGACAGGACTGTCATGGTGTTGAGTGCTGTCCTGAGCAGAGGCTTCGCTGTTGTCCCCCACCGAGAGGACAGCAGGGCTGTGCTGCTGCATGGGGGAGAGTCGAGAGGGGGGAGGTGATGCAACAGAATGAACATTCCCGCTGATGACAACCGGTCGCGTCTGACATTCCTCCTCAGCCAGCTGGAGTTAAAAAAAAAAAAGTAGACAAATAGATACAGGAAGTTGAGCTAAAACAGAGTTAAAAAAGAAGAAAATAAACATTTGGAACAGCTGCTGCAACACTGACCTTTGTTGGGCTGAGGTCCTTTAGCTGAACGTACTTCTCCAGCGCCCCTCTGCAGCGCTCCACGATGTGCTCCATTTGAAAGTAGCTAGCAGCAGTTAAATAGTTGACTATCTCCTCTGGATTGAACTGCAGGAAACCAGTGTAGCACGACAGCAGCAAATCACACACCACCGAGGAGCTGTATAGCATCGAGACCTGGATTAAAGAGGAACATAAAAACACATTATTAATTTGCAAAAGAGAGTTTAACATGTACCTATATGTACCCACGTGGAGCCTGCGTGACGGGTTCAGGAGGAACTGATCCCTCAGGAAGGGCGAACAGGCAGCGAGCACCACCTTATGTCCTTTGAATGTCTGATTGTTGCTGGCCACGATGGTGATGTCACAGAAATGTTGGCGAGACCTGAGTAAGTTCATGTGCTTCAGGGTCACGTCCCCGTGTCCGGGCAACCGGAACAACACCATCTCCATCTTTTCTAAAAGGCGAAACAACAGAAATGTTTCTAGACTCTTGTAACAAACTAGCAAAAATAAACACAAAAGCGCAGTTTTCAAAGGGTGAGGTTAAAGGGAAAAGAGCTTTTCTAAACAAGACTTACAGTAGGTTTTAGTAGGATTTCACATGAAGATCCTAAAAACCACACATCGTTCCTAGTTCAAGAACAAAACATCCGCTTGTCTCGCATCCTGATATCCAACAAAACTTTTGGGGGAATATTTTGTGAGATTAAGAAACAAAAAGAGGACAATTTCTGGAAAATGTCTGAAAACTGGTGTTAAAAACAAACGCTTCACCATAAGGACAAACACGGTGGTGGTAGTGTGATGGTCTGGCACCGCCTCAGGATCTGGATAATTTAAACCCAGGAATTCTGCTCTCTACCAGTAAAGCCATAAAGAACATAGCTGACCATTGACCTGAAACAGGTCGTTCGTGATGGAAAATCCTCCACATGTGGCTGAAATGAAACTATTCTGTAAAGAAGAGGGTCAAAGTTCCTTTAAAGTGATGGAAGAGACTCAGTATACAAATGCTTGACTGCAATCGCAAAGGGTGGCCAGGGGTCAGTTACTTTTCCCATATGAGGACCAGTTTGTTTTGGATCACTTTATTTCTCTTTAACAAATTAGATCAACATTTAAAACTGTTACTCAGCTTATCATTTTCCAACATAAACCATTAAAATCACTAAGAATATGTATAGAAGAAAAAAATATTTACTGTACTCTAATGTTATAAAGCATAAAAACAACAGGTATCAAGTAGTTATAATTTTTTTTAACATAAAACAATAGTTTTCCTTACACAGTGCTAATGCTAATTAAATTTTGAACAGGTGTTTGTGAAACTGTTTATTACACTGCTATTTATCACAAACCCTTCCTGACTATAGATACATTTGATACCTACATAAAGAAACTTAAATAGAAATGTTATGGCCATACCAGAGAGCTAGCTAGTGCTGTTTTCATTCAGGAAAAGTAAAGTAACATTACTTCTTTCAGCAACAGATTACTTTATAGTCCAACATATTACAGCTCTGTAATCCAGCGATGATGGTATCTTCTCTCACAGCTGTGACCATAAGTGGAAGGTGAAAAAGTAGCCTCCCTTCCATGACTGGGCGTTTAAAAAGGCCGAAAAAAACACACATGAATGGTTTAACTTGTCATATATTTTATAACCTTTTGTTGACTAGCGTTATTATACTAACTGGCTTAGATAGATGGCAATTTTGAACTCCTTTGTTTTAGCCCAGCTAGCTGAACCAACTGAGCGTTAGCTCCTGTTAGCTACTATAAAACAGATGGCTATATTTATCCACTATTGTATCATCTGGAAACCAGGTGCCGAAACTCCACAATTATCCTCAAACTTCGCCGAAACTCACCTTGGTCGTTCATCTTTTCCCGCGAATTCCGGGTTTATTTCAGCAGCACGGCCGTTAAAATACGCTAACTGACCAACACATTCGACACATTTCTCAGCCACAACCTCGATTTCTGTTTACTTTTGGGCCCTTTTTTTTAGCAGGAAGTACTTCTCGTGACGACAAACTACAAACCGCTAGCGGTTCGCCACTAAACTGACTTTGAATCGGTTTACGTCTTGGACCCACTCCCTCAGAAAACCGTAAATTTAGAGCACGCCAGCTGATTTCTGATCAGCGATTTAAAATCAATGGACTCCGAAAGGGGCGGAACTCGAATTGTGACGTAGCACGTTCAAAAATGTGCCTTACGTTCATTGGGAAACATGTCGGCATCCCAGACAACGACAAAGGTAGCAAACGTACTGGAACTCAAAGGGCTTGTTATTGAAATATTGCTCATTTATTATCTTGTAGATGCATCGTGTTATTTAGCAAATCTGTGCTAATGATACTGTCATTTGCAACAAGCATACGTTTGTACTTGTCGGGTTTTATACATTTTTTATTACAAGCTAATGCTAGCCAATGTTAGCCTTTTTAGTGTTATGTTAACTAAATTAACGAGTAGTTATGGTGCTTTTTTATGGTCGTTTGACTTCTTACATAATCTGCAAATTATTTTCTTGAGTTGCAATGTTACTTTAAAAAGCGAATGAAAGTCTATTTTAGGAAGCTAGCTAGCTGTTTTGTTGTATCATTTAAATAATAACTTGGTTTTAAGCTAGTTTATTAATCCTTGTAGTGTATGGACTACTTTTTATGCTAGAACGTTATTTTAAATCATGTAGATTTCCAGAAAGTTTGCTGTAAATTACATCTTGTTAGCTGTTTATAGTTTATTTGTATTTTCAAATCAATAATAATAGTTTATTAAACCTCCTGTGTTATTCATTTGAATGGGCTCTAATTATTAGGCTTAGTTAGAGTTGGATATGTGGCATTTACCTGGAATTAAGATCACAATCAATCAAGAAATCACTTAAATATGAGCTGCCTGACACAGAGAAGTAGACCAAAAGCACCTCAAAAGCTAGACATCATGCCAAGATCCAAAGAAATTCAAGAACAAATGAGAACAAAAGTTATTGAGATCTATCAGTCTGGTAAAGGTTATAAAGCCATTTCTAAAGCTTTGGGACTCCAGCGAACCACAGTGAGAGCCATTATCCACAAATGGCAACAACATGGAACAGTGGTGAACCTAACCAGGAGCGGGCGGCCGACCAAAATTACCCCAAGAGCGCAGAGACAACTCATCCGAGAGGTCACAAAAGACCCCAGGACAACTTCTAAAGAACTGCAGGCCTCACTTGCCTCATTTAAGGTCAGTGTTCACGACTCCACCATAAGAAAGAGACTGGGCAAAAATGGCCTGCATGGCAGATTTCCAAGATGCAAACCACTGTTAAGCAAAAAGAACATTAGGGCTCGTCTCAATTTTGCTAAGAAACATCTCAATGATTGTCAAGACTTTTGGGAAAATACCTCGTGGACTGATGAGACAAAAGTTGAACTTTTTGGAAGGCAAATGTCCCGTTACATCTGGCGTAGAAGTAACAGCATTTCAGACAAAGAACATCATACCAACAGTAAAATATGGCGGTGGTAGTGTGATGGTCTGGGATTGTTTTGCTGCTTCAGGAACTGGAAGGCTTGCTGTGATAAATGGAACCATGAATTCTACTGTCTACCAAAACGTCCTGAAGGAGAATGTCCGGCCATCTGTTCGTCAACTAAAGCTGAAGCGATCTTGGGTGCTGCAGCAGGACAATGACCCAAAACACACCAGCAAATCCACCTCTGAATGGCTGAAGAACAACAAAATGAAGACTTTGGAGTGGCCTAGTCAAAGTCATGACCTGAATCCTATTGAGATGCTATGGCATGACCTTAAAAAGGCGGTTCATGCTAGAAAACCCTCAAATAAAGCTGAATTACAACAATTCTGCAAAGATGAGTGGGCCAAAATTCATCCAGAGCGCTGTAAAAGACTCGTAGCAAGTTATCGCAAACGCCTGATTGCTATTGTTATTGCTGCTAAGGGAGACCCAACCAGTTATTAGGTTCAGGGGGCAATTACTTTTTCACACAGGGCAATGTAGGTTTGGATTTTGTTCTCTCCCTTAATAATAAAAAACCATCATTTCAAAACTGCATTTTGTGTTTACTTGTGTTATCTTTGACTAACGGTTAAATGTGTTTGATGATCAGAAACATTTTGTGTGACAAACACGCAAAAGAATAAGAAATCAGGAAGGGGGCAAATAGTTTTTCACACCACTGTATGTTCAAGAATCAACATCTAAACATGGTCTCCTGTAGTAAAGAAGTGGTCAACAAGAATGTACAGTATGTGCTTATGAGGCATTCATACTGACAAAAAGACAAATACATAGAAATCCCAGACTGGTTCTTTCTGTTTGACGTGTTTATTTTCTGAAATTGGAGCTTTTTTTTTAACTGTTTTTGTTTATTTTAAAGCCACAAATAGCTTCCAGCAATGCTGATGGGTGGTTTAGTTTCAAGAGCTTTAAATCTACGTAATGCAATTGGAATGTAAAAAAAAAAAAAAGCAATTACTGGTGAAAACAAATAAGACGAATAAGGAAGGTGTTTTTCCACTAAATTATTTTAGTCGGCCGAAATAATTGCAGTTTTTAAAGGAATTGTTAGGAAGCAAAATCTGTTTTAGAGGTAGCTCAAAGTTTGACAGGATGAAATACTAGAGATAAATAGTTTTAATCTTTATAAATCGAAGTACACACGTTTTTCTTCACTTCCAGGATTTTCTTGAAGAAGATGAGACAAAAACACTAACCGAGTCAACGGCAGGTTCAGGGGAGGTAAAAGAAGCTGCTGATGAAGGTACAATTTATTTCATTTAATCACAAATGTAATTCATTAATGTGTCTCTTTGTGTTTCACTTCCTGTCACTAAAAATAACTTGTTTTGAATGTTTTTTAGATGATGCTGCCAGCATTACAGATCCAGTGGATGGTGTGTCGTTGGAGTTGATGACCAGTCATCCTGAGAAGGAGACTTCCAGCGCTGCTGAGGATGGAAGTCAGCGCTCTCCTGCTTCCTCCCCACCTAACAAACCTGCTGCAGGTGAAACTCAAAACCAGTCTTTGACTAAGCTCCTGACTTAATCAGGTTCTGAAGAGAATTATTAAAATTTGACTTTGTTTTTTTAACGTAGTGATCGCTTAGTTTAATCTTTAGTAACATGTTTTTTCATCTTCAGTAACAGTTTGTATCTCTTCTTAACAGGTCATGCAGCAAAGTCCATTTCCTCAATGTCATCTTATCCTTCCACCTCTTCATTTTTTTCCCCTGGTCGGGCAAAGATGAGCGTTTCCGGGCCGTCTTCTTGTAAATCCGTCCTCCCACCTGGCCCTTCCTCCTCTTCCTCTTCTTCATCCTCCTCCTCCTCCTCCTCCTCCTCTTCTTCCTCCTCCTCTTCCTCTTCATCTGGCTCAGCTTCGTTGACACCTTCTGTCTCCCCGAGTCCACACAAGATCCACCGGGCCCGTAAGACCATGAACAGGCCTTCACCCGGCCAAGTAATGACTTCTGTTACACATTTTTATTCCCACAATTGTTTGTTGTTTTACTTTTTCTGAAAGGTTAGCATTTTTTTATTCGACAGGTGAGTTACGCTGAGACTCCTGCTACGTCGGGTTCCTCCACCTGCTTCTCTACTGACTCTGAAACAGGTAAGTTCTAAACTTCGATCATATTTACTCCTCCGATTGTTCTCCAGCACTCGTAATTACAGGTCCTCTTCTACTGTGTGGTTTTTAAATTAATTCAATGTACGCCGATCACTTCAGCTGGTTTTTGGATTGTTCGTACCGACCTGCAGCTTTTGGTTGAATCAGAAAACTAGTTTTCATGCAGAAGTCTCAGTTGGCACCACTCTGCTCAGGTGTTGCATGGCAGAATGAGCCAATCTTTGCCTCCTGATTCGGCTATATCTCTTAAACACATCGTTGCAACACCAACATGTCTTTTAAAACTCAGAAAATGCTCCTGAAATCTTGTTTTCCATGTAAGTTTGACTGTTTAAAAAACTAAAAAGGCTTTTTTTTCTCTTATAACTGTCACGCTTTGTGTTGTTTTTCTGTTTCCACCAGCTGCTAGAAAGAGAAAACTGGGTCATGTATCAGAGAGTAAATCTGAGAAGGGCGACAGCGTTTCAGAAAAAGGCCAAACTGTGGTAAGTTGATGTCTTCGTGTTTGATTTACTGGGGGGGCCGTAAGCATTTGAACACCTGAGGAATCGGCAGAATTCTGGCTCAAAGACATTTTACTCTAACTTCAAAGTCCACCTCTACTCCACATATTAATCTAAACTGGCATCACCTGTCTAAGCTTCTTAAGCACATCTGTCCACCTCACAGTCAGTCAGTCAGACTCCCAACTACTAACCATGGGCAAGACCAAAGAGCTGTCAAAAGACACCAGAGACAAAGTTGTGGACCTCCATAAGGCTGGAAAGAGGTACGGGGCAATTGCTGGGCAGGTTGGTGAAAATAGATCAACTGTTGGAGCAATTGTTAGAAAATTCAATTCAAGTTTATTTATACAGCGCCAAATCACAAGAGTTGTCTCAAGGCACTTCACATAATAAAGCATTCCAACACAGGCCAGGGGCCTCATTTATCAAGCTTGCTTACGCACAAAACGGGGTCGGAAAACTGCGTAAGCAACTTTCCACGCAAACTTTGGGATTTATGAAGGAAAACTTAGCGGAAAAATGTGCGCAACTTTAAGTTGACTAAGGACCTGGCTTACGCACATGTTGGACATGGAGAGCACCTGCAGTGCTGCTGCTGAGAAGGATAAAATTATGAAATCCTGCATTATTATCACTTGTACTGCTTCGTTTTCACACAGAACAAGACACCCCACATGCACACACGAGCTCGCGCACACACACAGCCTGAAGTGCAGAATACGGAATGCAGAATATCAGCAGAGGGACAGATTGAGGCAGAATGTCGTGCGTCTGTGACAGTGTGTGTGTCTCGTCACTGTGATAAGATTGATCATGTGCCCTGGCTACTTGGACAAGAGAGATTACTGTTTGGCTGTCTGGTTAGCGCGTGTGACTTTCACTCGGGAGTCGGGATCGACTCCTGTTTGGATCATTTTTTTATATCCGCCACAGGAACTCATCATTAAGCTCCTCGTGATTTTTATCTTGAAAGGCGCTATAGAAATGATATTTTCTCCTTCTTCTTGACGGCTTCAGCAACGCTGTGCCACTCCGTGGATTTTCTCTTATTTGTTTTGCAAAAGCACTTCCTTTCATTTCGCCACCTCAACTTCTACTTGTGAAATTGGGCTTCCTTGGTCTGCCTTGATCTACGGTCGCCATGTCATTGGCGGAGCACTGCAACAAGCCGGCTTATGTATATGCATGAGATCCACAAGGCACTTTGCATTGAATATTTATGGCAGTAAGTGGGTGTGATGAGGGCGGGATGTGACCAAAAAGCAGCTGAGAACATTTGTAGATAGTTTCCGATTTATGGAGCAGAGATTGCGTGCAGCTGTGCGTACTCCATGTTTGATAGATCACAAACCTACTTGGTGTAAGTACTTTTTTTTTTTTGCTGAGCTTAAGTACGGTTTTAGTAAGTATTCTACTCAATGTTTGATAAATGAGTCCCCAGTTCATTAAGCCAATCAGAAAAAAGTTTCCTATATAAGGAACCCAGCTAATTGCATTGAGTCACTGACGCTACAGCGATCCTCATACTAAGCAAGCATGCAGCGACAGTGGAGAAGAAAACTCCCTTTTAACAGGAAGAAACCTCCAGAGGATCCTGGCTCAGTATAAGCAGCCATCCTCCACGACTCACTGGGGATCAAGAAGATAGAGCAGACACACACACACACACACACACACACACACACACACACACACACACCAAGTAATGTTTCCATGGTTACATTGTGATCCTAGTGATTCTATAATTAAACGGGTAAACTAGTAGTAGCACATTCTATGTCAAAGAAAGTAAAATGTTATTATCAGGAGAGGGAGAATGTTTAAGTGGTTATCGGCAGTGTGCTAGACGATGGCCCCCTCCATGAGGGCACCACAGCTCAGCAGAACATCGATGTAGCTTCTTCTGGGGAGAAAAACACTTAGAGAGAAAATAAAGTTAACAGCTGAAACAGCAGGAAATAATACAGTTAAAGAGCAGATTGTAGAAGAAAGTAGTCGAGTGTGGAAAGTGGTCAGTGTGTCCTCCAGCAGTCTAAGCCTATAGCAGCATAACTACAGAGATAACTCTGGATAACCTAGCCTTTTACCCCCAAATTCCACTACCTCCGCTCCGCTCCGGTCCGCCCCCGCCTTCCGCAGCCGCTCGCTTCCAAACTCAATTTTTACTGGTAACCGCTCTACAACGGCTCCGCTCCGGTGCGGAGACCTGAGGTGGGCAAACAAGCATGCGCAGGATTTTCGAGATCTTGCGATACAGTCCGAGCAATAAACGCGGAAGTTAGATCCAAACACCCGTTGTGTGGGAGAAGCATCAAAATGAACTGTTTAATCTGCCCATCATTTGTGTTGAGAGATCAGCAGTGTTTGGATCAACAAAGTGTGACTACTTTGAGAGTAGAAACTGTATTTATGGCTTACTTTTGTGCATTTAAACTTCAGCTGCCACTGATAGTTGTTAAAAGTTGTTAAACCTGTGCATATGAAACAAAAAACGCCTTTTGTTTATCAATTTATTGTGAAAAACGGAAATTGCGCTCGCTCCTTTTCCTGTTGGGCGTTTGTGATTTCTGTCCATTGACTGCGGAGGTGCTCCGGCGTCCGGCAAAAATAGGATCGATTCTATTTTTGCCGGACGCCGGAACAGAGGGCGCCGCACGGCCGGAGCACGGCCGCAGTAGTGGAATTGCTCTGATTGACTAGAACGGGACCGATTTTGCTCCGGCGTTCGTGTCGGAGCAGAGCGGAGGTAGTGGAATTTGGGGGTTAGATGGAGGCATGTTGGAGGCAGGGCAAGGGAGAGCCGTCTTTACCGACTGTACACTCCACCTCCCTCTACTCCCCCACTTGTCCGGATCTAGGCTAACAAGATCTGGACAAGGATCAAGCCTAGAAAAGGGGAGAGGCTGTCAATCTCCTTCGGTCTAGGGCTCCAGGCAATATCTCACCTAGTGGGGTATCACTAATGATGAGAAAGGTGAAGAATCAGCCCAGAACTACACAGGAGGAGCTGCTCAATGATGTGAAGAGAGCTTGGACCATAGGTTCAAAGATCACTGTCTGTAGAATGCTGCACCATCATGGTTTAAGATCATGCATTGCACGGAAGGTACTCAAGTCATCACACGTCCTGGCCTGTCTGAAGTTTGCCAGTGACCACCCGCATGATCCAGAGGGGGCGTGGGAGAAAGTCGTGTGATCAGCTGAGACCGAAGTAGAACTTTTTGTCTTGTTTTTTTTTGGAAAAATGTTGAGTTGTATCCCAAGAACACCATCCCTACTGTGAAGCATGGGGGTGGAAAAATCATTATTTGGGGGTTATTTTCTGTAAAGGGGAAAGGACACTGGAATATTAAGGAGTGGACGAATGGGGCCATTTGCCTCCCTCCCTCAGTCAGAGCATTGGTCAAGCCTAATAAGTCTGGTTCTGGAGCGGCCTAGCCAGTCTCCAGACTTAAATCCTGTAGAAAATCTTTGGAGGGAGCTGAAACTTGGCAACAGCCCCAAAACCTGACAACCTGCAAAATTGCAGGGTGCTCAGATACTTATGTTGCTCACTGTAATGGAATTTTCTATCATTTCTGACATTAATCTTGTTTTATTTTGTTTTTCCTTCATTTCTGTAAATCTTAGGAGGAAAAGTTCTTTCAGAAAAAAGTGGAGTCAGTTACAGAAAATAATTCAGTGAAAACCGCTTGGGGGAAATCGGAGAATGACAGAGGCAAAAGATTGAAACTATCCTGTCCGTCCACGCGGGATTCTGACCAGGTGTGAGACTTTGATTTGATAAAAATGTATTTTTTGTTGTTCATGATTCTAAAAACTGCTTGTTTTCCTGTATTAAAATGCAAACGTCATGATTTGGTTGCTGTTTTCTGTTGTAGCTGGAAAATGAGGGCGGAGACAGGCAGCAAACGACAGACACAGAAGATCACGTGAGTTTTTCTGTTAAGCAAGTAAAAATTTAAAAATTCCCTTAAAGAGCAAGTCACCCCCAAATAAACTTTTTTTTGCTGATAAACTAAATAAACGAGTGTCTAATCGTGCTGCAGACACGTGTCGTCAATAATTTGGCACTTCAGTGCATCTTAGTTAAAATTTAAATATTCTGCCTAAAACTGGCAGTGTTGTGCCGTTGTCAGGTAAAAACTCTGTACTGTATTTTAATTTAAATCTGCCACCGCTATTTGCTAAGAGGTATGCTATGATGTAAACTGGTACATTATGATGTCACAATGCTGTCGCGAGCCTGTGTGTGTGTGTATTTGTTAGTGGCTCCGCCTTCTCGGTCTGCCAGGCAACAGCATGTGTTGCATTTTTCAAACATGAAGTGGGAGTGGAGTTAGACTCTGGTAGGGGGTGACTTGCTCTTTAAATAAAATCCACAGCAGCCAGTCGCCTTCAGAAGTCCCCTAATTAGATAATCGAGTTCACCTGTGTGGGGTTCAGTCTCGTTATAAACACACCTGCTCTGTGAAGGCCTCAGTGGTTTGTTAGAGAACAGTATGGAACAAACGGCACCATGAAGACCAAGGAGCTCAGCAGACAGCTCAGGGACAAAGTTGTAGGTAGGTTTAAAGCAGGGTGGGGTTACAAAAAAATATCCCATGCTTTGAACATCTCAAGGAGCACCGTTCAGGCTATCATCCAAAAATGGAAGAAGTACGCTACCACTGCAAACCTACCGAGATGTGGCCGCCCACCTAAACTGGCAGACCAAGAAAGGAGCGCACTGGTCAGAGAAACCTCCATGAAGCCTGTGGTCGCTCTGGTGGAGCTGCAGAAGTCCACAGCTCAGGTGGGAGAACCTGACCACAGCTACTCCACATATGTGGCCTACAGTGGGTCTAGAAAAGAACCACCCCCTACAGGGTGTCTGCAGGTCCTTAAAAAGTCTTAAATGTGCTTTTCCAAATTTAAGGCCTTAAAAATCCTTAAAAATGACAAATAATCCTTAAATAGTTTCCAAAAGTCTTAAATTACCAAAGACCCAATAAACAAGATTGTTTTATTTCTATAAAATTTTCGTGAATTTCTAGTTAGTCTTCAGCATTTTTTGTGTATGGTATTGGCGTAAGCAGAACCGTACACGTTCGGTTGGTTGTGAAAGGGGGCTATTTTTAGATGAGCACGTTAAGCTAGTGGGAGTTTGCGCCATGGGGAAGTGCAACATTAATGGTAACTGGATGGCTAATCCCACGTTCACTGCATGGTTAGCACCGGTTCCAGGCAATAGCTGGAAATTATAGCTTAAATTTAATTTAAAAAAATTGCTTAAATTTGGTCCAAGTGGCCTTAAAAAAGGTCTTAAAAAGTCTTAAATTTGGCTCCCTTAAACCTGCAGATACCCTGCCCTAGCTTTACACCCTTGCACAAATCTTTTACCAGCTTTACTTATCCAACGCAACCTAGAACCTTCCTTGAAAAATATCAGTTAGAGGTCAAAAAGAACGTTGGAAAAACAAAACAATGCTGCGATTATTAAAGGGGACTGGGGCTCTCATTGGGGTAGAAGGAGAAATGGATGAGGATGAATACCGTTCATTTCTAGAGGAAAAACCTGCTACCCTCTGCCAGAAAGCCGAAGATTCCCCTTTCAACACGAAAGTGATCCAAAGCACACAGCTGAACTAAATCAGGAAAAGGTGAACATCCTCCCAAACCCCTGCACCAATCTGTGGAGAGGTTTGAAGATTTCAGTCCGCCAACACCAACCATCCAAGCATCCCAACAGACTCGAGGCTGAGCAAAAGGTGCTTCAACAAAATATTTACATGGATGGGGGGGGGGGGGGGGTCGATCCTTTATTTATCATTAGCTCTTACTTTAGATTTTGGGAATTTTCTGATGTGTAATTGTGATGTTCAGTTTGTTACAGGTCGCATTGGATAAGCAAATCTGGTAAAACAGATTTAGTTCATGTCATTTAAAGATGTAAAGGAAACAAAATTAGTCCTCCAAAGGGGCTGATTCTGTTCTTCACCCACCGTGTGGAAGAGTGGAAAGATTAAAGCCGTTGTTGGCAAAAATGTAAAAAAAATTCCCGTTTGCCAGGATTTGTTTTGGGAAGTAATTCCCAAATCTGGAGTTGGGACCTCACTGAGAATCACCAGGAGCTTCACCGGGAGATAACTTCCAGAAATCAAAGTTAAATTGAAAAACATTTGTTGAAGCTATACTTGGAAAAACTCAACTAAATAGTCAGATTTAGTTTTTTTTTTTATATAAAATGTTGAGTGTGTCGGTAAGATTCTACTTTGTGTTGGTCTATTGCAGAAAACATCAATAAAAAACGTAGTTTGTGGCTAGAAGGTGTCAAAACGTGTTCAGTTTCTTTGCAATAAATCCTAGTTTCAGGCATAAATACAAAGTTTCTGCTTTGCAGAGTTTGGAGTCTGAAACGCTGAGAATCATCCGGAGTAGGAACGAGACGGAAGAATCTTCTTGGCTGCTATCGGATCAAGACCGAGACGGAAACTCTGCTGATTTAGTGGAAATAGAAGAAGGCAAGTGATCGACGTTACATTTAGTCCTTTTAAAAAAATATTTCATTTTATTATAACGAAAATTTGGCCGTCACATCTGGATCTACATGTGTTTAACTGGTGTGTGTGAGACGTCATCGTAGTGCTCTTCATGTCTGTAAACTCTGATAAATGACCTGTAGGGTTAGAGGCGACACGTTTTTTTTACAGTAAAGTCCTTAAGTATGTTTCAGAAATAGAATCTATTATCCAGACAGAGTTGTAAGAAAATGACTACTGCCTACATTTTAGGCCTTTATGATGTTCCACCCATTCAGCTGGTAACACCTTAAAACCGTTGAGGCGCTTGCACAGATTATGTTGCATCTGCAGCTTTCCTCGCCAGTTTTATAATTTAGTTCCTCCTCAGCAGAAAGGTCTGGAGAGTACACGGAGGTTCCTTTGGGTGCTTTGGACATTGCTGCAGCTGACAGTCTGACTCTTTCTCCTACCGGTAACTAAGTCTCATCTCGTTGTTCCTTTTAAGAAAAGTGGTAAATGGCCTATATTTGTATAGCAGGGTATCCGCGGGTCCTTAAAAAGTCTTAAATTTGCTTTTCCAAATTTAAGGCCTTGAAAATCCTTAAAAATGACAAATAATCCTTAAATCCAGTTTCCAAAAGTCTTAAATTACCAAAGACCCAATAAACAAGATTATTTTATTTCTATAAAAATTTTCGTGAATTTCTAGTTGGTGTTCAGCATTTTTTGTGTACGATGTTGGCGTAAGCGGAACCGTACACATTCAGTTGGTTGTGAAAGGGGGCTATTTTTAGATGAGCACATCAGCTGGTTAAGCTAGTGGGAGCTTGCGCCATGGGAAGTGCAAGTTTAATGGTAACTGGATGGTTAATCCCACGTTCACAACCGGTTCCAAGCAATAGTTGGAAATTATAGCTTAAATTTAATTTTAAAAATAGCTTAAATTTGGTCAAAGTGGTCTTAAAAAAGGTCTTAAAAGTCTTAAATTTGGCTCCCTTAAACCTGCAGATATCCTGTATAGCACCTTCTTAGGGTTCTACAACCCCCCCCAAGGCACTTCACAACACAGTCATTCACCCATTCACACGCACTTTCACACACTGGTGGGATGAGCTACAATGTAGCTACAGCTGCCCCGATAGAGGCAAGGCTGCTGAGCACTGGCACCAGCGGTCCCTCCGACCACCACCAGCAGGCAAGAAAAGATGCTTCAGTGTGATTAAGCTGTTTGAAGCTAACGTCCGTCGCCTTCCTGTCCAGCAGAGGGAAGCGATGCCGGCGACCTGGAGCGTCTGGAGGAGCTCCCCTTGTGCAGCTGCAGGATGGAGGCTCCCCGTGTGGACAGCACCAGCCAGCGGGGCAGCAGACAGTGCATGGCCACAGAGAGCATCAACGGAGAGGTTGGTCTGTGTTTACCCGTTTGCGTTAACTAGCAGCTCCCTGGATGTCCAGTCTTCCGTGTGAGGGTGTAAAGGCAAAACCAGTGAGAATCTGCCTAAAATTCCAGATAAACTGCTACCTGTGCTACAATCGTAGAGAAGCTAGAAGTCTCAGATTTTGTCTAAAGAGTTTAAAACGTATTCATATTTCTGCTTGTTAGCTGCAAGCGTGCACCAGCTGGACCATTAAATGGGAAACCATGAGGCCGTCCAGTCGGGTCCCACTCATGGTGCTCTGTGATGTCCATCGCTCTCACATGGTCAAACACCACTGCTGCCCCGGCTGTGGATACTTCTGCATCGCTGTCAGTGTTCTCGCTTGATGTTTGCTCTCTTTCTATTTCTCCAAGTTTTCTCTTTCATATGTTACTTCCTTTTTGTTTTCAGGGCACTTTTCTGGAATGCTGCCCAGACCAGCGCATTGCTCACCGTTTCCACCGCGGCTGCGTGACGGTGCTGAGCGGTGGGCGCAGCAGAGCGAATGGCGGCGGCATGCTTTTCTGTCCTCACTGTGGCGAAGATGCCTCTGAGGCGCAGGAGATCACCATCCCCTCCTCGGCTTCCGCGACCACCGTCGTCACCATGTCGGCCTCCTCCACCACGACTCCCTCTCTTCCTCCGTCGGTCCCGATGGCTCCCTCTCTCTCTGCCTCAACAGGAGGAGCGAAGGATGGAAAGATCCCTGAACGACCTATTAGGTAAGATCAGATCATTGGACGGTTGTTCATTTAGCAAAACTCACATTTTGATTCCATTTGTGCTGCCATGCGGGTCTATTGACTTAAACACTCCAAACATGAAAAAAACATCCATCAGTTTTCTGTCCGCGTTTGGTTTAAGGAGGTTTGTGCCGAAACTAGGGTTGTCACGATACTAAAATTTCAAACTCGATTCGATACTGGGGGGGGGGGGGGGGACTCGATACTCGATACACAGTAGGACAAAGGCACATCTACCGGTAATCTTAATAAAAACAGATTGGCGCACGGCAGTGACGTCATTAAAAGCGCCGGTTAGATTAGCCGCGGCTAGTCTGTTCACGCCTAGAAATCCCAGACCCGCTCCAAACGAACAGGGGAATCACGTTAATTATTCCTAAAAAAAACTTTCGACATTGAGACGTTTGGTGCAGATAATGTCTTATTTCGAGGCTGCACCATGGGTGCCCGTCCGCACCCGTTATATGGATATACACTGATGGCGATTCGCCGATGGATCTAAATACCCCGGGGAATCCAAGTAGCACCAAAGTTGTCAGCGTGAGTAAACAAACGTACTGCATGCTAGAAATGAAGTCTGGGTTGCAATAAACGGGAGTTTCCTTTAAGCACATAAGCGTGAATATACAACTACGTGTCGGACTTGGTATGCTAATTAAGTTGGGCTGTGAAACGCCTCCCAAATTCGCTGTTTATGTTTTTGTTTATTTATTTGGCAGACAAAACTTGGATCGGAGACAACTCGTGTGGGAAATTGCAATGTAGCCATGCGGCGTCTTCTTCTTCTGTTTGTCTGGGAGGCGGAGGCTGCTTTACGGCATCTGGCCGTCGTGCGTGTCGGTGTACTTGAAGAAGGCTGTGTACAATAGTCCATAATATCGATACCACAGGGATGGAATATCTAATTTAGATACCACTTTTAGCATCGATTTATATCTAGGTATCAATTTTTTTGACAACACTAGCCGAAAGCGAGCAGTTTCAAAAAGCCCCCATTTGTGATGTCACGAATAACGTAGAACAGAACCACCTCTCACCTCCCCAGGCTGGAGGAGCGGCTCTACTCTGAGCCCCCCGCAGATATCAAAGCTCCTCACCTCATTGCAGCCAATCAGTGAAGGGGTGGGCGTGGCCAGCTCCACATTGTGCCACATGGTCTTTTTAAAGGATTTTACATAAATTGTGTAAATCTTTTTTGCCTTTTCAGTGCTCGTATGCGCAGCCACGGCTTAGTGACCCCAGCAGTGGAGCAGCAACAGCCTCCGCAGACTGTAGCCTCAGCAGCAACCGTAGCTGCCGTCCCTCCAGCTGAGGAGGGTGTGGACAGCGTGGGACCGTCGGTCTGCATGCCTAACGGGAAACCAGTCAACCCAAGTGCACTTCCACCTGGACCCAGCAGGGCGGCGCTGCAGAAAGCAATTCTCACACAAGACACAGAGAGGTCAGAGTTCGATTTACAACTCGTTTCGGCGCAGAACAGCTTTATATTTTCTGTTCAGATGTTGTGACTTGTAAAGACGTCAGTAAAAGTAGAACTTCCTGATTGTGTCACTTTGAATTTACCAGGAGGAAGAAACTGCGGTTCCACCCTCGCCAGCTTTATCCTGCTGCCAAGCAAGGAGAGGTTCAGCGGGTGCTGCTGATGCTGCGTGAGTGGCAGGAAGGAGACCTAAAAATCATATATTCAAGATGTCCCACAGAGCTGTAGAGTGTGTATGTGTGTGTGTGTTCCAGTGGAGGGCATTGATCCGACATACCAACCCGAGTCTCAGAACCGACGCTCTGCTCTTCACGCCGCAGCTCAGAGAGGGCTGCTGGAGGTCTGCTACATGCTGGTTCAGGTAAAATGGATCAACTAACCACGTCTGCGTCTTTACACGCTGGGTGTACATCGTTGACCCTCATTCACCTCGACAGGCCGGCGCTAATGTGGACGCTAAGGACAAAGACATGAGGACTCCTCTGTTGGAAGCCGTCATCAATAATCACATAGATGTGGCTCGTTACCTGATCCAGAACGGTGCCTGCGTTTATCACATTGTGAGTTTGCGTTAAAACTAAATGTAAAACATCAATATGTTTGTTTTCTGTGGGACTTTAGTGTTTGTTTCCCTCAGGAGGACGACGGCTACACTGGCCTCCACCACGCAGCCAAGCTGGGGAACCTGGAAATCGTTAACATGCTTCTGGAGACCGGGCAAGTGGATGTGAACGCACAGGTGAGACAAAGTTCCAGGCGCTTCTTCTCCTTGCTTCTGGTGTTGACTTGGAGAAGATCAAGTGAGAAATACAGTGGGGCAAAAAAGTATTTAGTCAGCCACCGATTGTGCAAGTTCTCCCACTTAAATGATGACAGAGGTCAGTAATTTTCATCATAGGTACACTTCAACTGTGAGAGACAGAATGAAAAAAAATCCATGAATTCACATGGCAGGATTTTTAAAGAATTTATTTGTAAATCAGGGTGGAAAATAAGTATTTGGTCAATAACAAAAATTCAACTCAATACTTTGTAACATAACCTTTGTTGGCAATAACAGAGGTCAAACGATTACTATAGGTCTTTACCAGGTTTGCACACACAGTAGCTGGTATTTTGGCCCATTCCTCCATGCAGATCTTCTCGAGAGCAGTCATGTTTTGGGGCTGTCGCCGAGCAACACGGACTTTCAACTCCCTCCACAGATTTTCTATGGGGTTGAGGTCTGGAGACTGGCTAGGCCACTCCAGGACTTTCAAATGCTTCTTACGGAGCCACTCCTTTGTTGCCCGGGCGGTGTGTTTGGGATCATTGTCGTGTTGGAAGACCCAGCCACGTTTCATCTTCAAAGCTCTCACTGATGGAAGGAGGTTTTGGCTCAGAATCTCACGATACATGGCCCCATTCATTCTGTCCTTAACACGGATCAGTCGTCCTGTCCCCTTAGCAGAAAAACAGCCCCAAAGCATGATGTTTCCACCCCCATGCTTCACAGTAGGTATGGTGTTCTTGGGATGCAACTCAGTATTCTTCTTCCTCCAAACACGACGAGTTGAGTTTATACCAAAAAGTTCTACTTTGGTTTCATCTGACCACATGACATTCTCCCAACCCTCTGCTGTATCATCCATGTGCTCTCTGGCAGACTTCAGACGGGCCTGGACATGCACTGGCTTCAGCAGCGGAACACGTCTGGCACTGCAGGATTTGATTCCCTGCCGTTGTAGTGTGTTACTGATGGTGACCTTTGTTACTGTGGTCCCAGCTCTCTGCAGGTCATTCACCAGGTCCCCCCGTGTGGTTCTGGGATTCTTGCTCACCGTTCTCATGATCATTTTAACCCCACGGGATGAGATCTTGCGTGGAGCCCCAGATCGAGGGAGATTATCAGTGGTCTTGTATGTCTTCCATTTTCTGATAATTGCTCCCACAGTTGATTTTTTCACACCAAGCTGCTTGCCTATTGTAGATTCACTCTTCCCAGTCTGGTGCAGGTCTACAATTCTTTTCCTGGTGTCCTTCGAAAGCTCTTTGGTCTTGGCCATAGTGGAGTTTGGAGTCTAACTGTTTGAGGCTGTGGACAGGTGTCTTTTATACAGATATTGAGTTCAAACAGGTGCCATTAATACAGGTGACGAGTGGAGGACAGAAAAGCTTCTTAAAGAAGACGTTACAGGTCTGTGAGAGCCAGAGATTTTCCTTGTTTGAAGTGACCAAATACTTATTTTCCACCCTGATTTACAAATAAATTCTTTAAAAATCCTGCCATGTGAATTCATGGATTTTTTTTCACATTCTGTCTCTCACAGTTGAAGTGTACCTATGATGTAAATTACAGACCTCTGTCATCATTTTAAGTGGGAGAACTTGCACAATCGGTGGCTGACTAAATACTTTTTTGCCCCACTGTATAAGCTGACATGAAATCCACTGATAATCAGAGCTGACAAACATTTGCTGTTGTAGGACACCGGTGGCTGGACGCCAATCATCTGGGCAGCAGAGCACAAACATGTTAAGGTGATCAAATCGCTGCTGAACCGAGGAGCTGATGTCACCATCAAAGATAAGGCAAGTGTAGTGGTTTAAAAACCTGCAAACGAAGCCAAGAGAACCAACATTTCTTCTCATTTTCTTGTACTTTCACACATTTGGCATCATTCAGGGTCGTAAATTACCCAGAATAAAAGAAGCAAACAGTGATGGTTGGGGAGCAGAATAACAAACTAGAGCAGTTTTATGTTGGATTTATAAAACCATGACAGAATTTAATCAGCAAAGTAAGGGAAGGTTTTTATTGCAACATATTTATAAAGTGCTTTACGATAAATCAATCAATCAATAAATAAATGATAGAAGCACAATCCCAATGTTGGAATAAAAGCCAAACATAGAAAAGCATTACAATAATGTTTCAGTGAATCCGACTTCCTGCAGGAGCTGAACGTTTGTCTCCACTGGGCGGCGTACGCTGGGAACGTAGACATAGCAGAGCTGGTGCTGAACGCCGGCTGTTCGCTCTCCTCGGTTAACGTGCACGGAGACACGCCGCTGCACATCGCCGCCAGAGAAGGGTTCCTAGAATGTGTCACGTGAGTTCATTACAAAAGTTGGAATGCACTTTACCGCCCTGATGATCATGAAGGTTTCGTTTCTACAGATTGTTTCTGTCCAGAGGAGCAGACATTGACGTTGTGAACAGAGAAGGAGACACACCGCTCACCCTGGCGAAGGTCGACACGCCGGTGTGGGTTTCGCTTCAGATCAACAGGAAGCTGCGACGAGGAATAACCAACCGACCGATTCGGACAGAAAGGATCATCTGCAGGTAGGTGGAACGATTCCGTTTCCTCCGCCAGGTTTGATCTGTTTTTACTCGACTACACATGGTGGTTTGTGCTTCAGCGATGTCGCCCAGGGCTACGAGAACATCCCCATTCCCTGTGTGAACGCCGTAGACGATGAAGGCTGTCCTTCAGATTACAAATACGTCTCAGAGAACTGTGAGACTTCAGCCATGAACATCGACCGTAACTTCACACACTTACAGGTAACATCGTATTTAAATGAGTGTTTATTTCTGTTTTAGCTGCTTTTATTTTGAAACCTGGAGCATCCTTTTCCTGTTTCTCTCTTTAGCACTGTAACTGCACTGACGACTGCTCGTCTAGTAACTGTCTCTGTGGACAGCTGAGCATCCGCTGCTGGTACGACAAGGTAACATCCTAAAGAGCCCTACAAATGAAAAAAAAAAGATTCTTATTTAACGATAAACACATTTTTAGGGAACAATCATTTAGAAGCAAACACCCAATTTCAAATATGGTGCGTATTTTTTGATCTATCAGTCATTTTAAGAAATTTTTTTTTCCTGTTTGCAGGACCAACGGCTCCTTCAGGAGTTCAACAAAATCGAACCCCCCCTCATCTTTGAATGCAACATGGCATGTTCTTGTTATCGAACATGCAAGAACAGGGTGGTCCAAGCTGGCATCAAGTAAGTCTCGCTTATCTGACTGGACGGAACCGTCCTGCAGTACAAAATACAAAATACTTATTATCATTTTTAACACAAAGTCTCCACTTGAGCCGTGTTTTGGTGTCCTCACCTGACTCATTGTTGACTTTCTCCTGCTTAGGGTTCGCCTGCAGCTCTACAGGACAGAGAAGATGGGGTGGGGAGTTCGAGCCATGCAGGATATTCCTCAGGGAAGCTTCATCTGCGAGTATGAATGTGTTCTTATATCCTACATGCCTTTTTTATTGGGTAGGAAATACTGAAAATCAAAGTTCTTTCCATGCAGATATGTTGGGGAGCTGATCTCTGATGCTGAAGCTGACGTTAGAGAAGATGACTCGTACCTGTTTGACCTGGACAACAAGGTCAGTGTTTAACAAATGAATAAATAAATGATGCACAATGTTAGATTTGTAAGCTTGATTTTAAAAACATGGAGCAGTGCAATGAATCTGTTTCCTGTCAAGGATGGGGAAGTGTACTGCATCGACGCTCGTTACTACGGCAACATCAGCCGCTTCATCAACCACCTGTGTGACCCAAACCTCATCCCAGTCCGAGTATTCATGCTGCACCAGGACCTGCGGTTCCCCCGCATCGCCTTCTTCAGCTCCAGGGACATCCTGAGTGGACAAGAGCTAGGGTGACACTTTCGTATTTCTGTTTCGTATTTCTGTTTCGGTTAGCTTGATTTGGACGACCCAGAACAAAGTTTAACCTCCAGATTCTTGTCTTCAGGTTTGATTACGGAGACCGCTTTTGGGACATTAAAAGCAAGTATTTCACTTGTCAGTGCGGATCAGAGAAATGTAAGCACTCGGCCGAGGCCATCGCCTTGGAGCAGAGCAGGCTGGCCCGGATGGAGGCCTGCTCCGACTCGGGAGCGGACTGTGGGGTGACCGTGCTGGGAAACTCCTAAAACACCTACCCATGGGGCCTTAGGAAGAAGACGCACACATGAAAATGTTGGAAGGGAGTTTGTTTATTCTGTTTGCCATTTATGGTGCTGTTTTGGTTGTCTTTGTTTATTTCTAAAACCTGCCACTTTATCATTTTCACTCTATTAGAAGTTACAACTTTTACATTTACTTGTCCTGATGTGTTTGCAAGAGGTCACATGGTTTCTGTGTGTTGACTAATTTTACTGGTGTCTCTTAATATGCTGTGCTCCATATCAAACATGTAAACATTTTAATGTTTTTTTCTGTTGTGCCAACTGAAGTGGTGCCTCTTGGCATGGATCATAAAGGATCATATTGAAGCCTGTGTGGGACCCAATTAAGGATGTTTGTTTTTATTTTTATACATTTTTCTGTCACTTGTAGAGAAATAAAATAACAAGTTTATTTTTGTCTCGTATATATGTGAAAATAATGTACACACTTGAAAGGGCACATGTTAGAATTTCCTATTTGCATCTTTGGGCTGCTCTACTGCCTCTACAAACACTAAACTTGGAAAAAAATTCATCCAGTTTTCTGTCAGTGTGATTTTTAGGAATTATGTGCCACTCTAATAAATCATATTCAAGTTGACATTAATCTTCAAGACAAAAGTGTCAGTCTATAAATACATTTATTTGAATTGAATATAAAAATGTATTTTAATGAATATGTCACTGAGGCTACCCTCTTTCAAAAAAATTAGTTTGTAGATATTTTTGACACAATTAATTTTAAAATGATAAAACTTCAATAACTCTAAAGATAACAGCAACGTGATACACAGCTAACTGGCCAATGACAGCTTGTATGAGTGACAGACAAGCCCCCACAATGCGGCTCAAAAATTGCAGTTCCAACCTCATCCGCTGGGGGCTGGTGTCAAGCATGGTGACTCCCATGTTAAAAATACCAATTTCACAGCAGAAATAAACATGTTTACAGCCTGGTACCAACACATGTTTTTGGTTTAAATGATCTAGTTTACACTCATGACAACTCTGAGGGGGGTGAATTTTTTTCTCACTCTTCTTTTTAAGTGTATTAAAAGCCTACAATGCTGTCTAATTAATGAGCCTCAGACCCACGTGACCGCCGCCTCAGACCCGCGTGGCCTCAGTAGAGCCTCGGTCTGGCCTGGAAACTGTTTTGGGATTTTGAGTCTCTGTGTTCATGTAATCTGTTTTGGATATTTTTTGTGCAATTGTTGGACAAAATGACTTGCTGGAGTGCAGAGGCGGAGCTGGCCTAAATGGCGCCCTGTGCGAGATCCCCCGTGACACCCCCCCCCCCCCCCACACACACACACAAGAAAAAAAAATTACACCTACAACTTTGTTTCAAATGGCGTGGAGTGTATTATATATAACAAAGTTTGCTAACTGAATACAACATCCAGCTCCTGGCCACCTTCTCACCACTTGTCAAAGTTCTACTGAAATAGTGATGATGACAACACCTGCCATCGCCTTCATTCCTGGGAAATATGAAAGTAGTTGGCACCTTGGTAGGTCCTCTTCGAACTAGCTCTGTGCGTATGCTGTCGGTAATTGGTGATGGCCACTTGGCTGGGTCTGAAGAAAGAGGCTCATCATCACCTTCAATGGGACTCATTGGTTGATCGTTCAGGCTTCTCTATTGACAGAAAACAGAAGCGTAACTCAACACATTGCTATGTGGACCATTTCACATATTCTATTCAAATGCAATATGTGACATTCAAATTTCTCTAATGTTTGCAGGACACACACACACACTTGTGCAAAACTTACCTGACGTATCTTGTTGGGGAGACGTGGTAGCTGGCTGTCCCTCATCAAGTTCACATAGACTGGTAGGTCTCTCTATTGACAGAAAATGGAAGCATAACTCACCACATTGCTATATGGAACAATTCCCATATTCTGTGAAAATACTATTTAAATGTCTATAGCTAAATGTTTGCTGGACACACACACGTGTGCAAAACCCACCTAAAGTATCTTCCTGGGGAGATGTGGTGCCAGCAGACTCTCCCTCCTCGAGTTCAAATACTGGCCTATGAGCAGTGGAGGTAGATGGCTGTTCCTCAGTGGCAGCTGATGTCATCCCAAAATAACTGCGTAGGGCTCCTGATGTTGCATAAAACAAACAATACAATCTTCATGTCACGTCTGTTGCTTCAGCATTTTAATTAACATGTTACAATGAGCATTTACAGTTTTCAGCAGTAGTGGAAAGAATTCTGAAAATCTGTACTCAAGTACAAGTACTGTTACATTGCTAAAATATTACTCATTTACAAGTAAAAGTACTGCTGTTAGAGAAATACTGAAGTAAAAGTAGAAATTATTAATAAAAACCTCAGAGTATTATTTATTTTTAACGGCTGATGTCACCATCACTTCTCCAGACTGGGGCTGCCTGGAAATTGTGTTTTCCTTTACCAAAAGTTAAAACACCAACAATCTATTAATCATTAATAATTGATAAAATACAAAACAAGTGTTTTTCCCTAATTTTTTTTGTCATTTTAAGTTTTTATTTCCTTATTCAGCAAATGTCTCCGGCACACAAAAAACTAAATGACAAGAGGAGCCACAACTATTGATTAAATATCCATGAATCCATTTTAACTGGTTAAATTCTTCCACTCTCCCACGCTGCTTCAAGGTCACTGTGAGTTAACATAGCCGCGGTGTGCTGTGCAGCACACTTAACGCAACACGATGACATCATCGACTTGTACAGTGCTGAAAGGCGAGACAGTCTCAACTTTCAGCTAAAAAAAGACCGCTCTAGCTATTATAGTTTTTATGTTATGGCAGTTTACAGTATAAACGGGATCTTACTAGCAGGGCACCTCCAGCGGCCCGCTGCCGCTCCGTTTTTCGTGGGGTAAATAATACGTAGCTCATTTCCCGAGTCCAAATAGAAAGGCGAATGGCGCCGGCGCGAGACCTGCCGCCCGCCGTCAATGTATTTCAGCAAAATACTCAAAGACTAATTTTAATTTGATAGCGTTTGGTTATCAGCCTTTCGGTTTTCCACTCTTAGCTTTTCATAAAAGCTCATGTGACAAAGAAAAAGCTAGCGGTTGGAAGTAGTTCTAAATGCATGCAACATAAGAAGCTAGCAAAAGACATTTGAAGGGATCATCATAGCACCATGCAAAACGTTCAGATTAGAGAGGTTAGGTAATCAATAAGTTGGGGGACAGGCGGGAAAAATACCAACTAAATAATAAAGAGATGCATACCTGCATCTTTTCCTCGTTTCTCCTCCTCTTCTTTTCTTTTTTTCCAAAATTGGGCACCAGATGGCTTCGACCGCTTCTTCTCCATTATGTTTGTGAGCAGTGATATGTGAAACGGTACCTGTATCCCTCCATCATCACTCTCCGAGATCCCTCCGCCCCCCACCTGATAAAGGGCGCTATAGAGCGCACTACAGAGGCGCGGCGGACACAAGGGGGCGCAATAAAATCCCAATATAAACGCAAACAATGACTTTGTTGTGCTTTTATTACAGAAATATTATTATTATCATCACTAATCACTATTATTATTATGAAGAACATGTGATTTCTATGTTTTGTTGATGTATCGGTTGATGGAAGAAAAAAAAAAAAGAAAAAAAATTAAATGCCGCCCCCTACAGACTGCCGCCCTGTTCGGCCGCACATGTTGCACATATCAAGCTCCGCCACTGCTGGAGTGTTAATTGCACTAATAGAGCGCCCAAGGAGTCTCCACTTCATTTTTTTCGGTAAGTAAAATTATATTTATGTATTTTAGGTCACTGCCGCCTTTTTACTAGCTGAGTTAATCAAAGTAGCTAGCTAACTATCATTTTAACATGTAGCATGTACTGTTTAGACATGAAATTTAGATGTAAAATACAGTACAATAATTAATAGGGCATATGTCGATGGGTAAAAGGGTAAAACCCAGTGCATTTAACATAAAAATGGGTTGAAATATGACAAGGAGCTCTTGGAGGGACACTTCTGTGTTCCATTCTTCCACCCGGTTCTCCCCAGCGGTCAGCCCGGTGCATGTCTGACCAATGCGGCGCCTAGCTATGGCTTCCACCCCTGCCCCGACAGACGGGTCGGAACCGAAGGCTAAAGAGGCTGCATCCCGCCTATGCCCGGCGTCATGTGGAGCTCTCTGACTCGGAGAGAGACCTGTCCGCAGAAATACTGCAGCTCGGTGAGTTGGTTGATAGTGCTTGATGTTAGTCTCCAGAAGTCTGTATGCCAGGGGCGGATTTAGGACTGAAGAATATCCGGGGCTTAAGACACACGCGCGCGCACTCACTCACGAGCGCGCACACACACGTGACACGCACTAGTCAACATCATATATGTCTTGTACCACATAATTTCTAATCTGAAGCTACATATTAAGCATTTTCAGTGCAGAGTATTGTTCCTGTTAGTGTTTAGTGTGAGATGATAGTAAATATTCCCTTTCTTTCTCCATCAACTTTACCTGATAAGCACTTTAGGCAAACCAGCAGCACAACAAATATTTTCAAATAAGACTCACAAACCTGAGTCAACACCAGTCTCATCATAGCTGGGGTTCTGTTGCGGTACTTTTTGTCTAAAAAACGTTCTTATGTCCATCTTCACTCATGCGTTTCAGGCAGAGAGTGTAGAAGAAGCCGGCTGCTGAAGGGCTTCTTCTTCAGTGGTGGAGGCTCAGGCAGGCTGTATACAAACTACTGCCAGCTGCTCCCTCTCTGTTGGACTTTGGTACTGCATGTTACTTCCGCGATTCAGATCTGGGGCTTTCCATGAAACATCCGGGGCTTCAGCCCAAGTAACCGGGCCTAACGCCACCCCTGCTGTATGCCATCAGATAAACTCACTCTTTTTTTTCTGGTGCGGCTTATATTGGGGTGCGCTCGAGTCCGTAAATTACGGTAAGTATTTTAAACCCATATGCTTAAGTAGCTCTTTGTATGAAGTTTTCCTCTAGGTGATCCAGAGAGGCTTGACCTTTGGGTAAGCAACCAAAGAAGAGAGTGCTGGACTCCCAATTCATACTCCCGCTTGTGCAGTGAACACTTTGAGAGTCATCACTTCACCACGGACTCCAGGGTACAAACACATTACTTCATATTTTGGTTAAGATTGAAAAAATTGAAGCAGCTGTATAATATACAGATGTTACATTGCTGTGTAACTAGAAGAAAATCTTCCCCACCCTTGAATTGTCTGTGACTAGGGCTGTTTAGATGGGAAACAATCACGTTATTAATTTCCATCTAATTCTATGGTTAATTACTCTAATAAACAAATTAATTTTTTGTCAGTCTTTAATGTGTAACTTTATGTATTTGGACGAATGACAAATATTCATGTTAAACTAAAACATTAGGCATTTAAGTAGAAATAACCAAATAATAAACATTCGACTGGTGTCGAATAAATCAAACTGTAATTAAACTATATATTTTCAAAGTCTCGATTCTGGATAAAATCCAACAACAAATGCTTTATAAATAACAAACACTCCACATGGCTTTTACACACACACCCACACACACATGCATGCACGCAAGCACACGCACATACACACACACACAGTGCTCTGGTGTACCAGTGTGTTTTTGAGATACAGAAATTGACCTTGTCTGATGTGTGTGTGTATGTGAATCTCTTTTTTTTATTAATTCATTTTTTTATTTAATTTTATTTTAGGGGAGACTTTGCCTGAAGGACACAGCTGTACCTACAATCTTCTCGTCCTTTAAGGTAAAAAAATCTCTTCCAAGCAGGAAAGAACTGGTAAGTAGGAATGACAAGGTAAGTTTTGAGAAGGTTGCAGATGTAGATGCAGGTGTAGACAGTGCCATAAAAGTTGCTGTTGATCTGAGCAATATAATGATGTGTGAAGACTCACCTCAAGAGGTCTTTGTTGCTCAAAATGTAACACATGATGACATTCCTCTGCAAGCAATTGAGATACTGCTCATTTTGGTCACAGTGTTCAACACCAGAATGACTCAGACTCTGGTCAGTTTAACGCTGTGCCATTACAGCCAAACAGCATCCTGAGTGACCATTGCTATCAAATCACAGTCTCCCAAAACGCTTAAAAGTAGAGTTCTATCAGCAAATGAAAAGGTAAGCGTAGTTCAGAAAAAGCTTAGATTGCAATCCCGGAAGACAAGGAGACTGAAGGCAAGAATTTCTTCTTTGAAAAGTGTCACCAAAATTCTTCAGAAGAAACTTTTAATATCAACTGAATGTGCCTCTCTTCTTGATGGTTTGGATGGTGTTCCAAAAGAGTTGTTTCAGAAAATGAATCAGAAGAAAAGATCGCCTTTTTCTGAAAACTTGAAGCAATTTGCAACTACACTGCATTTTTACTCTCCTAAGTTTTATGACTATGCTAGAAAACACTCAGTCGGCTTTGCCTCATCCGCAGACCATTCGCAACTGGTACAGTAGTGTCTGCAGATCCTGGTTTTACTCTTTCTTCATTTACAGCTTTAAAAAGACATGTTCTTGAGAAAAAGAAGGAAGGAAAAGAAACTGTTTGCTAATTGATGTTAGATGAAATTTATATTCATAAGCAAACTGAGTTTGATGGGAACCAGATTCATGGCTATGTTGACATTGGAGCTGGTGAGATTGAAAATGTTGTTGCAACACAAGCATTGGTCATCATGGTTGTTGCCATCAACGAGTCTTGGGAGCTCCCGATTACCTACTTTCTTATCAACAGCATGAATGGGAAAGAAAGAGCTAGCCTCATTCAAGAGAGTCTGTGTAGGCTTCATGACATCAGAGTTAGGGCTGTATCCTTGACATGTGATGGCCCCTCCCAAAACACGGCCATGATCAGGGAGCTTGGTGCCAATCTGGACATAATGGACATGAGATCATACTATGTCCATCCAGCAGATCACACACAGAAAATCCATGTTCTTTTTCTAACTTCGTTCGGTGTTTCACTATGGGAATCGCCCTGGCGTGACCAACTACGGAAGCTCCAATGACATCACGTCTGTCCCTGACAGACTGGTTGCGCCGTGCCCAGGCTCCGCCCACCCAGTATATACACAGCCAACCAACCCCTCCTACTCATTCTCGCTTTCTTCCCGTGAGAAACTACAATTTGCTCCCTCAGCGATTTTCAGACTATCTTTGGTTAGTTGCTTAACTGTTCCCAGGCGTAACGTCAGGATACGTCGCCGAACGCAGTACCAACACAGTCTGGATTTGAGCTTAGTAAGTTCTTCTAGTCACTTGTCACACTTCACTAGGAACAGTCAACGCGTCACGGCGAACTGCTCCTACTGCTACTCGGTTGTCATTGACGGAGTAGTATTAGCGAGTGTGGCTCAAGCTAATGCGTTGAGGCGAGCTTGTCCTGTGCTTATTTAGCATTTATTTGCTAATGAGCTACTTTGGTGCAGCTAACGTGTCACGACGAGTTGCCCTACATATGTAATATAGCTTTAGTTGCAGACTTACACCTGCTAACTAGCTTGCTATGCTTTTTCAGACTAACGTGTCATGATGAGTCAGATTGTCAGCTATGGCTTCCATCCCTGCCCCGACGGACGGGTCGGAACTGAAGGCTAAAGAGGCTGCATCCCGCCTGTGCCCGGCGTCATGTGGGGCTTCCATTTCAGGCAGGGACCGTCATCCTATGTGCATAGCTTGCATGGGTGCTGCTCACGCCCAGGCATTGCTGGCTAACCCGCAGACATGCCCTCACTGCTCCTCCATGCCGGAGAAGATAAGGGAAAGGAGGCTAAGAGTGGCAGTGGCTAACGGCCGGGACCCAGGCCTTGGCTCGGGCACGCCTGTTGATACAGGTGACAACCATCAGCCACGAGCCTCCACTAACTGGGCAGATATGATGGAAGAGGAGCCCCCGCTACCTCCTCTGTTCGAGGGGCTGGTGGACAGCGGGCTGCTCGAGGCGGGTGATGACGAGGCTGGAGGTGATGCAAACTCAGACCTCCTCGACTTGGACATGGAAGAGGAGGAAGAGGATTCCACCTTCCCAGTTCAACGCTCTAGGCCGTCTAGCAGCACTGGGGAGGCATCACAGGGGGACGCCGATCTGTACGAGGTTTGCAGACGAGCGGCGGCAAAGCTCAACATTCAGTGGCCTGCAGCCCAAGGGGCAGAAGGGGTGGAACGAGACCTGTATGATGGTAAGAGGCTCCCATTATCCTCCGCTCCCCCCAAGCAGCTCTCCAACAGGGAGGGACACGCATGGACGGAGACGTTTTGCCCTCATGCTTCTCCGTCTCCTGGGGAGTGTTGCAAAACAATTCCCGGCCAGGACAGCAGAGGGCGTAGAGCTGTTCTGTGGTATCCTGTCATGTATCGGTCCAAGATAGTGTGTTTATATTGTGTTTTTTCGTACATAAGAGACTTTTTAACAGACAAATTTGTCTCATTTTCCTCCACCTCTTCATGGGCTCGCCACCTCTAAACCCACGTTTCCTGTCATTTCCGTCCACTAATAAAACGCTTGCTGTGCATCTTTTCACTCCTCCAGTCACGGGGAAAAAAAAACTTTCATGTTTTTAGAGTTTTTTTGCGAGGTATTCTTCAAGCGTCTCCGTGTCTGCAGCTAGTTATCCTCGGCTCTTTGTTTTTGAGGGCGCAATGGCGGCGGTGTAGACGACAGCGGCATTCTGACCAATCACAAGCTTGCGAGAAGCATGAATCAGGCTTAAGATCAACCCTCCTATATTCATGAAACCAAAGTCCAATTGCCTTCTTTAAAATTCCATTTGATGTCATACTGAACAACAGTTGTATTTGATTCTAATTTTAATGATTCTGTTTCAGGTGGAACTCCTGTGTGATTCCTGTGTCCTGTTACCCATGACCTGTTTCCGCCCGGGTCTGGATGTGGCCTTGCTGAGTTCTCTGTAGCAAGGTTTTCTGGTGCTTGGGGCCGTTCCAGAGTGCACCTGATCCTTGGAGGTCTAAAACTTCACATCCCAGCACACGCACGGACACATGCTTGTTGATGTTTGTTGTTCATGATGTTTGTGGTTCATGGTTTACATGTTTATAGTTGTTCATCCCACGTTTTCTTGATGATTCTTGGAAATGTTTCTTTACAGGTGCAGCAGCTAGTTGCTGTTTTTATGTTGGTTTCCTAGTTGCTTTTATTTTTCTCTTATTTACTTGTTTATCCTCTATCAACCCTCTTTATTCCAGATTGGTTCAGCATTTACATGCTGATGTGGCGATGTATAACCCAAACCAATATTACAATAACATTAATTTTTATTCAAGGGGAACCTCGTACACATTAAGGCTCCTCTTGATAGAGCAAATCTGATCAGCACATTCTGACAGACAGACCACCATTCATCTGTCATGTTGCTGTACAGGACATTTCTAGAGTATTTCTTTTTAAAGATAAATAGTATTACATTTAAAGAGCAATACTTTCACATTATCATTTTCTCACACTTTCTGTATACCAGTATTTTGTTGTTTATTCAATAAAGAATGGCAAATTATTTAAGTTTGTGTTTTTTTTGCACACAAATATATATCTGTAAAAAATATCTACAAATATCTACAAAGCTAATATTTACATAACAAGTATGATTGGGTTTTGCAATACGGCACTCTGTTTATTTTAGAAATATTTTTAAACCAAGTAAAGTTAGTAAAGAACACATTTCTATTGGCTGCTAAGAAACTGTTGGGATTTAAAATGGGCCTGTTGTAAAAATAACTTGGAATAAATGATTCTTCCTTTTTTGTCTTAACCAAAGAAATTCCAGCAATTGAGCAAAAACATTTATTTTTTACACTAGATTTTATAAAACAACAGGACACAAAGTGTCGGTACATTAAAAAAAACTTAAAATAATAAAATGGGCCCAGAGAGCTGCAGAGTGAGTGCAACATTGGGGTTTGAAGGAAGAACAGAGTGGTCAACAGTGTAATGGCTACAGATAAATTACATCATCAACACATTAGCTATAACAGTCTGGGATATGTTTATCCTGTTTGCCTGAAAATAAATCTGTCCGAAAGGCCAAATTCAAAAGCAGCGAGACTCCCACCTGGAAGTCTTTCACTGCTTTTGGAGCTGGCCTTTAAGACAATTGGCAATATTAGTTAAAAATATATCATTTCCCCTATTGTGAAATGAACTTTGTCTGACAAAAATATCCCTGGACTGTCATGTCTGATGTGAGAATGCACAACAATGGCACCATTTAAACTAGAAAGAAATGTAGCCATTACATTGTTGACGAACCTCCTGGCCTTCTCAATTTTAGCAGGTTTTACACCTGCCCTCCATCTACACCTTTGGGTGATGGACGACATGATGATCGTCAAATGAGGATGGAGAAGGTGAAGCTGGTGCAGGTCCTCCATCTTGTTCACCAGCTTCACACTGCTGACCACCCCCGTGTCATTGCCGCCGCAGTGGATGATGAGGACATCAGGAGCTGCTCTTCCATGCAGGGAGTGGAAAAAGAAGGGGAGAAGGTCTTTCCACCTCAGTCCGCCCCAATCGAACCAGGAGACATGGACGTCAGGGAGGCCAAGGTTGTCTCCGAGGGTCTCTGCAGCTCTCTGCGCACCACGCCTCACGTAGCGGTCTCCAATGATCCAAATGGCTATGGAGAAAAAAATTACAGGTTTGGCCTAGCTGTTTAAAGTACAAAACCATACATGAAGTGGTCAAGACAGGTACTTGCTGCTTTGTGTGGCTGACGTTGAAGACACAGGCTGCCATGGTGACCTTTAAACAGATCCACGAAAAAAATGTAATGAATGAAACTTAAAAACTCTCAGACCTCATTTCATGATTGATAATCAGCTATGGCTGATTTGTTGTTTGGATCACAGTGAGTTACACTAATTCTAATATATTTTTATTTCTATTATAAATACATACTTTTTAATTGTTATTTTCACATGACTGTTATCAGGCTGTCTTGTTCTGGTTCTCATGATAATTCCGTTTCTTCCAGTAAGTTATCTTGTGCTTACTTCATCTGTATAATGTCTCTTTACTTTTGGTGAATTGTACTGAGTCCAGAATAAAGGCTACTTGGCTGTGCAAGATACAAACAAGTATTACATTTTGGAAATATATGAAATGTATTTATCTCAAATACTAATAACTACCGTATTTTCCGGACTATAAATCACACTTTTTTTCATAGTCTGGCCGGTCCTGCTACTTATACTCCGGAGCAACTTATATAACAAAATATGTAGGCTACACCGCACTGCTGTGGGCCGACGCCGACCCAAGAATGAGTTCCCCTGTCCCGCTGGGAGGGTTTCAAACACCGCCATCCTCTACTGGAGACCGTGGCGCGCTGCTGCGCCCGCGTTGTTTATTCTGTTATTGTTAGCGGTGCTTGTCTTCAATGTGAAACGCTTGGTCTCAGATTCTGTAAGAAAAATAATAAAATGTCCCCCCAAAATACGACTTATATGTTTTTTCTTCTTCATTATACATTTTATGGCTGGTGCAACTCCGGAGCGACTTATAGTCCGGAAAATACGGTACGTTAAAAATATTGAAAACTTGCTCAAAGCAAAATATATTTTCATTATGGAAATAAATTATAAACTTACAGATTTAATACTTTTTAAGTCACAGAAAGGTACTTTTCACGAAAAAGCACCGCAAACCTCCACCTTAACTTCGTGTGAGCTTCAGGTCGATGGGTGTTCCACAGAGTTAGCTCCGGTTGAAGCTAGGTAGCTACATCCGTTAGCTTAGCTCCCACCTCCGCGTTAGCTTTGGGTTAGCCAGGGTTAGCTTCAGGTTAGCTTGTAGCTAGTTCGACCGGGTGTCGTCATTTGATCCCAGCCTTACAGCCCCACCCTCAGCTCCTCCTCTCTTCCCTTTTGTGGAATTGTCTGGGCTTGACGGAACCTGTGACACGGTCAAACTGGCGGTGGTGGCCACCTCCCATTTACCCTCAAAAACGTGTTATTGGAGGCTATGGAAACCCATTGTCCAATATTTATATGTCGATGGTGACAGAGCTCTAAAATGGCTCATTCTGGAAGGTACTGAAACTGTCCTTACTAAAACTGCTGAAATCACCTCATGAGAAAGGGATTTTGCACAAAGAACGTCTGAAAAGTGTTTTTATAGACCATAGATCTAAAACAGTCAACAGGATTCTTTTTTTTTTTAAGTTTAGTTTTGCTCCACCAAATCATCAGGGAGCGTAAAGGCTACATTTCAAAGATTAACAGGGAACTAGGCCGTTTGGGCTTGCTTTTAGCGCCCTCTAGTGTCTGTTTGTAGAACCAAAATCTATTTCCTTGATGTGCGTTCGTCTTTTGAACACCATCTAGCAAGCTTAGTATCTACATGAGTCAAAGCTGAATTAAACAAATCAGCTGTGTTCATGATCTAAAGCACGCTGGAACCAGACTGCAGCACCAGGCACGTCAGCTCAATTTTTGAGCGCCAGCCCACCAGTCTGAAGTTGCAGGTGGAACATTCTGGCCACAGGGGGCAATAGGGGCAGGGTGGCCTTTCATTAACCCTGTAAACTATTTTAGCACGTACTGTCTCAAGAAAATGATTTGATAATATGAAAAATTTGCTAAGTACCCCTTTACATTATGTTTACATTATGAGAGATGTCTCACTCCACTTTTAGTTACACACCTGTTGCACTTTTGTGTATCTTTTGTGTTTATTAAAGCTGATTTGATATGTAGTTTAACTGTTACCGTAGTTAAAACGATGCACGTTTGAAAAAAGATATGCTGCTTTAATTAGTTGTCTCATAAGGATGTGAGTCTTGCAGCATCTTCGGTTTTCATCAGAAATGGGGAGTGACGCATCTTACCTCAGAAACAACCTTTGGTCGTGCCCACGTAGGTGCGCATCCCTCAGCAGGTGCGCTCGTGCCGTCACTTTAGAAACAACTGCCAGGAAGAGACAGATTTCCACATCTAGCGCTTGTTTAGACGCGGTTTTAAATCGATTTTAGTCGGTTGTTTTATGGTGTTTATGGTCGGTTTTAGCAGCGAGGGTTGATTTTAGGAGTTACGGGGTGAAACGGGTGGAGGTCGAGGCGGGAACATGGGCAAAAAACAGGAGGAGAGTCCGGACTCCGAGTACGGTGAGTAGAGAGACCAGTTGTTTCCTTGGAGGAACCAAAACACTCTAGCTAGCTAACTGCACTTCAAAAACTTACTTTTGATAAACGTGATAGTAAAGTCTTGTTTTGTTAAAAAAAATTACATGGAAAGTTTTCCAGTTTTATTTTTTTCCTCAAATAATTTCATATATTTGAGTTTTAACGAGGACAGTATTTATTATAGCATTAGCATGTAAATTTAACAGATAGCAAATGTGAAAATGTATAAAATGTAAAATTTATCTTTAGGTTTGATGTAGTTTTATAGTTTTTTTTTTTTACATAATGCAAAACAAGACTGAAAGGTTATTGTCCACGTTATTAAACCTGGTTCTTTTTACGGCCACACAATAAATGTAATAGTTTCTTAATGTTAAATGGCTCGCTTTTGACAAAAAAACTGTTATAAGTGCTTAAAGTAGATGCAAAGCTTTAGTTAATTTTAAATAATCAACAAAAAATTGGCAAATAACTGTTTCAGAAAATCAACTATGATAATTCTCAAAATTATATCACTTATATTTTGTATTTTTTAATAATAACATAGTATTACAATTGTACACTTAATGGGAATTTTAAAATCAGCATTTATGATTGATCTGACTTGTCTTTTTGACAAATTATTATTGAAGCTTTGAAGAAAGAAAGTTGCAAGCGTCATCCTTCTCTTTGCTGGACTGTGGTGACATTATCTATGCGCCTACTTCCTTATTTTAGTGTCTTGCAGACTGCCTGTTGTAACAAACTCATTTCATCCTGTCTGAATGTTTGCACGATTTCTCCAAATCAGAGAAGAAAGGTCTGTATTACTATAATTTTGAAGTGTGCATAATAAGATAAAGCAATGCTGACCACTGGCCATATATTATAAATCAAACATTAAGGAGCATGGAGCAGAGCTGATGCTGTAAAATCTCTGTAATGTCTAAGCTTGCATCTTGTCACATGGGTGCAGCAGTTAAGATAGTTTAAAGGGGGGCAGAAATGTTTGTGTTAGTGGTGGTCAGAGGGGCCGACGGCACCAAATGGCAACCTCGCCTCTGTCAGACCTCCCCAGGGCGACTGTGGCTACAAGTAGCTTACCATCACTAGCAGTGTGTGAATGTGAGAGTGTGAAAGCGTCTTTGGGTGTCTAGAAAAGCGCTATATAAGTTCAATGCATTATTATTATTATTATTATTATTATTATTATTATTATTATTATTATTATTATTAATAAATAAAATCTAGATTAAATAGATTTCACGAGAGAGCTGGGCTGGATTTCAAATTAGATGCAAAGATGGACTAATTCCTCGGATATTATATCTGTTTGAAGTTTTGTGTGGGTGACGGTGGCACAGGAGTTAAGTGCTCGCCCCGTAATTGGAAGGTTGCAGGTTCGAGCCCCACTCAGTCTGTCGCTGTTGTTGTGTCCTTGGGCAAAACACTTAACCCGCGTTGCCTGCTGGTGGTGGTCGGAGGGACCGGTGGTACCAGTGCTCGGCAAACTCGCCTCTGTCAGTGCGCCCCAGGGCAGCTGTGGCTACATTGTAGCTCATCCCCACCAGTGTGTGAATGTGTGTGTGAATGGGTGAATGACTGATTGTGTTGTAAAGCGCCTTGGGGGGTTCCAGGACTCTAGAAGGCGCTATGTCAAATACAGGCCATTTACCATTTTGTTTTAAAAAGAATGGTGTTTGATTTTACCATTAAATTGACACAACAGTTCACTTTTAAGCTTTTACTTTTTCATTGTTTGGTTAAACTGTTAACTTTATTTAAATCTTACCACCTTAAAAGTCCTGTTAGGAGAAGCCACTCAAATGCGTTCAAGTATCTGGTAAAACGACCCGCTTTTCTTCAGATCTGCATCATTTGCCGTGTTTCCACTGCAGGAGTCTGGGAAATCTCTGGGAGGGGGGAAGGTGACAGGGAAATGACGCTAGCTTGGTCCTCTCAGCTGTTGTGTCTCCATACAACAACGTCCCTCCCAGGGCTTTGCCAAGATGTCAGCAACAGTTTCAGCAGTGAATGCCGTCACTAATAAGTACCAAAAGATGTTCACGAACATTAATAACATTAAAAGTTTTGTTCCGTCAAAGTATGTCATAATTTAATCCAGTCAAGGAGAGAGGCTTTGTGGTTTAAAAGGGGTGATTGATGACCAGCCAAACAAGACCAAAAAGTGTTTTGGAGGAATTTCTGCTTCAACTTTTGTTGGGCGTCAAGAAACAGCGATTTTAAAACAATATCAACGTTACTTATTTTCCTTTCCTACCAATCGGCTTCACCAGCAACTCATCCAGCTTTACAGATGCTGGTTTTTGGTAACGTCTGCTGATCTCATTTCCTTCTAACAACCAATCAGCTTGAGTTAACCACAGGTCCCGCCCAAAAACCTGGCCAAGCCATTTCTGAGTACACACCCCAGTTCAGATGCTCACTTGGTCTCTGAAAAGTATCAGACAGCGGTCCTTTTGGGCCAGCCCGGTGAAATGGAGACACATGCATGCTGTGAAGGTCTGGTAAAATTACCCAGAAGCTCCAATAGTGGAAACACCTGAGACACTAAAGTAAAAAAAAAGCTCTTCAAGCACTAAAAACAGCAAAGTAATGAGTGTTTTTTTTAGGTTAGTTGAAACCTTTGTCTTATGAGAGAAAACTTAAGGAAGTTTACTGAAGCTGGAGCACACAAACCCCTCCCTCCCAGCTGGATCTCATGTCAGTTCAAATACCTTAAAACACCAACTATCCAGGTGACGGGTTCACACTCTGCTGAAACTTTAATTCAGAACACCTTTTGCACTTAAATCCATTATGTTCCCACTTCACGAGGAAGTGGATCTACCATGCGTAAAACATCCTGATTCATCATAAAAACGGAGCATGTATTGTTTGCTGCTCAGTAAAGTCGGGTTGATGAATGATTTCACTTTTCTTTTTCGGAGCTGTTTTCTGATTAAAACGTAGGAAGGGTTAGAAAATACGTGACTTTTTAGAGGTTGTTGCTACAAATCATTTACCAGAAAAATTAGCTAAAACACGTGGCAACAAGGAAACTGTAAAGACAAAAACATTTTAGTTAATGTTTGAATTAAGAAAACCACAAAAGAGTTTGTTTTAAATGAGTTTTTAAAATGGCCTTTTCACATTTCCAAATGTTTGTGTTGGTGACATGAAAATTACATCCTTAAATTTCCTGAGTGAGTGAATGATTGTAGTGTAAAGCTTTGGAGTCCTCTGACTCAGAATGACACCACGTAAGTACGGGTCATTTATCAAATTAGGCTGAATAAAGAAATATTTAAATAGAGAGCTGATCTGTTGTAACACAAGAATATGTCAAACGTTTCATATAAAACAAAATCCACTTTATTCCTGGGCCGGCTCGTGTCGAAATGATGACCGAGCAACACCTGGTGAGGCAACGGAAGCAGCACACAGCTATTGGTTTGCATGGTGAGGTTCGTTTAAACATTCAGGATTTAAAAACAATTTGCCCTTGAAAAATAAACTTGTGCAGCTCTGGGTTGTCCTGTAATCGGAAGGTTGCAGGTTCGATCCCGGCTCCGGACAGAGAATTCTGCTGTTGTGTTCTTGGGCAAGACACTTAACCCACCTTGCCTGCTGGTGGTGGTCGGAGGGACCGGTGGCGCCTGTGCTCTGCAGCCTCGCCTCTGTCAGTGCGCCCCAGGGCAGCTGTGGCTGCATCGTAGCTCATCACCATCAGTGTGTGAATGAGTGTGTGAATGGATGAATGATACACTGTAGCGTAAAGCGCTTTGGAGTCCTTACTCTGAGAGGCGCTATACAAGTGCGGGTCATTTATCATGTTTCGCTGTTCACGGTTGTACTAACAACCAAAGTCAAATTTGTGGCTACGAGAGCGACCTTTAGGACAAGCGTGCACGAGGACCCGATCTGCTTTCTCAGCCTGAAATAAACATAATTCAAAATTATGTGCACACACATTAAGCCCTAAAGGTAATTTATGGTTTTAACAAGCAGACAAAAGCTCAATGTTAAACATTATACATGATCAAATGCATTGAAAATGATCACTGAACCTATCGTTAAGCATGAACAACCCACTGCTGGTATTGGACCTGATGTAGAAGCTAAAACCAAGGCTTGGTGATGAGGGATAGGCTCTGATGAGGCTCTACATCTGCTTTTAACTCATTCACTGCCATTGACGACTAAAGTCGTCATTTTAGATCCAACCGTTCACTGCCAATGACGACTAAAGTCGTCATTTGCATTTTTTTACTGTTTGAGAATCGGAACGAGCGCCCACGCTGTGAGAACAAACATCTCAGCCCTGAAGCCGATCTTCATCCGCATATGTCACACGTCACGTGATCAGGAAGCAGAACATCAATGTGTTAGGAGATCGTTTTGGGCCGTTCCTGTAAAAAAGTGAGGCGCGAACCGGAAAAGCATCTGCCGATCACAATTCGACAACGGATTATGAAAGAACGGATAATGCTGAAAACATGCAGATTCTTCCTGATGTAAGAGGTGAGTCTCTGCTTTGTTTTGGTTGTTTTGGCGTCAACATCATCCTAGCACGCAACGTTCTGTGACTCTTAAAAAAACAGTAAAAATGGTGAGAAACGCTGGCAGCAAAGGCCGTTAGCGATCAGGAAACGGCTGGCAGTGAATGAGTTAAGCAAGTACGACCGTGCTCCACCTCTTTTGACAAAACAGGACCAACCTTATCACTATAGGTACCGAAAAGCCTCTGAGACTTTAAGATTGTCCTTCGCTTCCGCATCAGATGCGACAGAGTATGTTAGCTTTGACCAGATTTTCATATCATCCTCCATGTCTCTATAGGGTCTCTGTGGGATAACTGGTGTTCACACATAGTTTAAATCTCTAAAAAGACCTTAAAAGTGGATTAGCGTGAACAGATTGGATCCTCAGCTATGGTTGCAATGTAAGCAAACGCCGGACCCCGGAAGTAGGTTGCAGATTTTTTGCAAAGGATCTTGGGGGGTTAGGAATAAGGTGGATGGGTCAAAATAAGAAACAGCATGTGAGTCATAATGAATTATTTGGTTAATGGAAAACCACTGGTTTGTTTTTGTAGCAGTGTAATAAATCAATAACAGTAAATAACCATCAAATATAATCTTGATCAAAGCAAATGTGATGAATTATTGTCCATAATGGTGCAACTTTATTAGAACTCCAGTGTTTGTGATTTTCTAAATATTCGATTTTCCTGATTTATGTATGACCTGAGTTGTGGTCCCGTTTCTCACGTAGAGTTTATTTATTTATCTCTTCTGCCGTTTTTAAGCTGTCTGTTTACAGGTCAGCGTGTCATTCAGAAAATGTTTGATGTTGATAAGAAATGATTATCAACCTGATTTAAAAAAATTGCCATCCAAGTCTGATGAAGTACGTAGTTGCAAAAGTTTAACATGTTCAGCTTATCAGATGAATCTGGAACAAGGAAACTATTTTTGCTCTCTTTAACTCCTCCAAGGCCAGCTGGTGAAGCCTTGACTTCCAGTTTAGCAAACTAAAGCCATAAACTGTCCTGCAGCTTGTCTGAGGTACAAAGTTTACTAGTTTTAAACATTTTCTCCGGTTTAACTGGGCCGTAAAAACTGTGTCACACAGAGACGTCGCCTTGTTTACTGGAAACTCAGACCTGTGTGTTAGCAGAGCTGAAATATGACGCTCGTGAACCAGAAAAAGAAAAAAAAAAAACCTCTGTTGAATTATCCGTCCTCGTGTTTTCACCAACAGGTAAAATGGATATGAGTTTTATCTGACATGGTGTAAACTCACCAGAACTTCATCTACACGTTACTTTAAGATACGACTTCTCTGATTTTGCTTCCTTATGAGGTTAGGAATCTGGGAATGTTCCAGTCTAGCTCCTGATTGATTGGCTTGGACTTCCTGTATCCTGGTTTAGGATTTGCATCCTACCTGCGACTTGCTGCAGCTGGGCGAATGCAGTGTTCACACGCTGTACATTCAAACGACTCCCAGTGGAGATAATTAAAGTCGGCCACAGAAGAACATAAATAAAAAAAGAAAAGGATTGTTGTTTTCTAGCTGCTTAGCAGCATTTAGAATCGTCAGAATGACACAATTTATTGGTATTTGCAGCATCGGAGGGAATAGTAAACAAATAAATGTAGGTAAATCTATTGTTTACAAACCACAATATTCCTAAATGGGTTAAAATCTTTCCATGATCCTGAAATAAGGAATTTCTTTATGACTAAATGTGAAATTTATGATGCCGATATTCAATGTTGTGTAAATATACAAGAACCTGTCTGGTTTTTCCTGATGAACTGGATTATCCAGCCTCTCGAACCTGACGTTCGGAGTACAAAGGGTGGAGGCGAGAGACAACAAACGTCCTTCATGGCTCCCGTTAAAATGACTCAGCGTTTCTGGAAACTTAAAGCTGAATTCAAATTCTAGTCAAATGACGACATTGATGCCGTGCTGCAGCTGTGGAGCTGTTTTTCTTTCTCTGATGTATTTTTACTCCTTTCTAATGTTTGGTAAAGAGGAAGGAGGACACCTTTTGATCGAACTGTTCAGAGTTTTTCTGTTGAAGGGAATTATAGGAGTCATATGGATGTGTTTTTGGTGGGTTTATTTGTTGTAAATGGAGATTAATGTCAGGTCAGGTGATCATGGGTGGGGATTTAGCATCATCTCCAGCACCTGCTCAGATAATATGGGAAAAGGAGGAATGGGTGAGCGGGTTGCCGCATATTTTTGTTGATCGCTGTGATAATTGTACTGTTTTAATTTTGAGCTTGTTATGTTTCGAGTTAATTGGAGTTACTTTAATGAGGTTTTTGGAAACGCAAGTTTGGAATCGCAGCTGATGTTTGTAAAGAGCGCGTCACGCCGGCCCGACTCAGCCTCTCAAGAGGCTTTTAGTTTGCCTCTGAAGTCGCGGAAATAGGAATAACGTAACTTTCCAGGAAGTAAGACGTGACACATTTCTTCAGTGTTTTTCCATCTCTATGGTTAAAACACAATGAAGCAACAAAGGCTTGAAAACCAAAAGAGTCTTGCATCAATCACAGTTCTGCGACATTGTAATTTATGAACTCACAGAACACCAACACATTCAAATCAACCCCAAAACACTTTAATAATCCCAGAGTGTACCGTCGTTATTTCAGTTTATTCAGTTTATTATTGCCTCTGTGGGCAGAAACCACACTGAAGACATTATGGTGTCGAGTCAGGGTTATGTAAACGGCCTGTATGTGATATAGCGCCTTCTAGAGTCCTAGCTGTTAAAAACTCCTTAGTGTTGCTTTATTATTAAAGAGCAAGTCACCCCTTACAAGAAGCGTACTTCACTCCCACTTCATGTTTGAAAAATGCAACAAATGCTGTTGCCTAGCAGACCGAGAGGGTGGAGCCGCTAACAAATTCACACACTCACGACATTGTGACATCATAATGTACCAGTTTACATCATAGCATACCTCTTAGCCAATAGCGGTGGCAGATTTAAACTCCAATGCAGTGAAGAGTTTTTACCTGACAACGGCACAACACTGACAGTTTCAGGAAGAAATTTTAATTTTAACTAAAATGCACTAAAGTGCAAAACTATTGACTGCACGTGTCCGCAGCACGATTAGACACGCATTTATATAGTTTACCAGAAAAAAATAGTTGATTTGGGGGTGACTTGCTCTTTAAGTTATTACACAGATACATCTGCTGGTAAAATCTGTACTGCACCTTCTTTATAGAATTATGGAGTTCAGTTGCTGTTAAAATAACACAAATAAACTACTAATGTGTTCTTGATAATCTGACCATCTGCTTGTTTCATTTTTTTCTTTGTATAGGAGAACCTGCTCAGTTTGACCCAACCTTCAATGGACCCATAAAGAAAAGGTGAATCTCTCTTCTTGTCTACACGTTTGGATTAAACCTAAAGCTTCTGATGCAGCAGATAAATTCTCAGAGAAGACGTCATAACAGAGCTGACTTGCTTATGTTTTCCAACAGAGGGTGTACAGATATAATCTGCTGCGCTCTGTTTATGGCCGTCATCCTCGGCTACATAGGGGTTGGAGTTTTAGGTGAGCGAAGACAAAAACTTTATTACTTTGTACTTCTGCACGTCTGTATCATCAAGGACAGATTTACACACACCTTGGTATAGTTTTATGTCTTCATCTGAGTGTGACTGGTGAGTAAAGTTCCCAGTCGTGGCGTCACTGGGAACATCCGGTCCTCTAGACGTTTATTGCCCCATCATCAAACCCATTCCAGCACACAGGTCGCACTCTCTTATCTTGAGTCGACGATATGTTTGCCAACAAGTAGTTTGGCTCTATTGGTTCATCATTTCCCCAGAAGCAGTTAAAAAGTAGATTAGTCTTGGTTTAGCAGATGGATAAAAAGCTCAATCATTACAGATTAAAGAGGAAATTAGTTAAAGTCGCTGATTTCTTAATATTTTTAACAGTTTTTATATGTTTTCTGGTTTGATCACTGACCTCATCTACAAAAGTAAATTTGAACATAAATGATCATTTTAAGCTCAAGATTATAAAGTGACATGACTGTGAAAGGGTTTTATTAATGGTTACACGATCTGATGGGTAACAGGGTTGGATGCAACACCCTACGTTCATTTCATACTTATAATGCGGTTGTTTGTTTGTTTTTATCAGCTTGGGTTTACGGTGATCCGAGACACGTTCTTTATCCCAGAAACTCCACCGGGTGGTTCTGCGGCATCGGACAAAATAAGTAAGAGAAGTTGTATTTTATCATCGTTTCAGACTGTTTCAACTATGCGTTTGTTTATTTATGAGAATATTTTTGTTTGTTTTTTCTCCCTCAGAGACAAACCCAACCTTTTCTACTTTGATTTTCTAAAATGTGCCACATCCATAAATATAATGGCAACAGCTCTGAACGGGCTGCAGTGCCCGACCACACAGGTAGAGCCGTAAGTTTTACCTCTGAGCCGGACGTTCTGCTCTTTTCTAACTGGATCGCTCTTTCCCGCCTCCTGCAGATCTGTGTCCAACAGTGCCCAACTCGGTTCTGGGCTGTCCCGGTACAGGACTACATCTCAGGTTCACCCCAGCGCGTGTTTGACTCTAACCTGTGTATCCCCTCTTTTGACCTGGCAACAACTCGTTTGGTTAGTTTGATCTATTTTTGTTGACGCCGTTTAAAATAAACAGTTGATTAAAAAAAAAACGACGTATTTTTCTTTTTTTTTAGAGCGTTCGAGATATAGTGAACCAAGAACTGTGTCCTTTCTTCTACACCCCTACGATCTCAGGTGGATATTCTAACTTTTTTCAGTAGTTTTGTTCCTTTGAGCTGCAGCTTATTTATGTTCTGTAAAATATACCAAGACTTTGTTGTAAAAGTGGTTATTTCCTTTCTCTTAGTGTTGGGCAGATGTTTGCCGGATGCCTCGAAACTTGGCAGTATCCCTGGGAATTTTTCCAACGTTCCTGGATTACCCTCCTCTGTCAACGAGACAGTCAACCTCCTCAAAAACGGCACAGGGTAAGAAACAAGATGGCAGATTTAAGTTATAATCATAACTAATATAAGCGATCAGGTCTAACACCCCGTTTCTCCTCCTCACCAGCTCAGGGTCGGTGAAGTTGTGAGTTTTACAGCTAGTTTTGCCGCTGGGTCTTGGTTAGCTTCAGCAGCCGCACGCGCGTGGTCCAGCACTGTCTCTTTAAATAAATGTGAAGCTTTATTAGTTTGTTCCTCTGAGACAACGATCCCTGTTTTATGATCACTTTCTGCTGCTTGGGGCCTGTTCTTTACTTCAGCTGTAGTTTAGGTAAAGTTCTGTAGAAAACTGCATGGTTTTATTATCTGGGTTTATTTTTAATATTATTGGACTTTACTGGAGCAGCACCTGCTAACAAGCGTTTTTTTTTTTTTTTTTACCCATCAGAGACGTCGTGAACGGCTTCAACGCCAGAGACGTTGGTGTTCGGATCTTTGAGGACTTTGCCTCATCGTGGCCGTGGATCATCGTGTGAGTCTTTGCTGCTGAGTGCATCTCTGATAAACCGTCACAATTCTGTGTGATGAATGAGTGAATGGAGACTTGCAGAGCCGTGTCCAGGACTTTTAAAATGGGGTGGCCCGTGTGGGGCACTTGTTTATGCATGGGTGGCACCAATGGTTATGCTTATTTATTTATTTACTTACACAAATCATTTATTTATTTATTTATTTTACTTTCTAGTGAGTTTTTGAGTTTCACATTGCACAATCACCATTTTTTCCTCTTCATCTTCTAGTTTTGTGGTGGTTAGCAAGTCACTTGTTGTTGCATTACTGCCACCAACTGGAGTTGAGTGGGACTCTAAATACTATTTATGTAAATATGAAAAAATAATAAATAATATTAATACTACAGAAATGTTCTGTAGGCCTGGGCTAGTAAACAGTGTTAAAGGTGCGCGCTACCACACTATTTTGGAGTTTACAACTCAAGCCTTTTGTCGCCAATGTAAAGTCAATTTAAACTGGAACTTGGTAGGGTGGCACCTGGAGTGGCCAATCAGATTCTAAGGGTGGCATGTGCTACCCCAGGCCACTCCCTGGACACGCCCCTGGAGACTTCGCTGTAAGCTAACCTTCGGGACTAATGAGACTGTAGATTTAACTCGATTTTATCAGCGCCAACAAAACCTGATGAATGGAAATAACTAAAGTTAAAGGTAGTTGCGTCAGGATATTTATGGGTAACAGCTTATAATTCTGTCTGGTTCCAGTGGGCTGGTGATAGCCATGCTGGTCAGTTTGTTGTTCCTGCTGCTGCTGAGGTTCACGGCTCCTATAATGATCTGGGTGCTCATCGTCGGGCTCCTGGGGGCCGGCGCTTACGGTAAACACTCACCTGGACCCAAGCCCTCTGCTTTTCCTGACTTTGTTACAAATTTAGTTTTTAATTATGTTCAAAAACTGAATCATGGCAGAGGTTTGGACTAGGATTGAACTAAAAAAAAGAAATGACCTTTAGATATTTTGTGTCGTGATTATAAAAGTCTAGAAGATTCTGCTGTAATTCAAAAGTCAGATTAGAGCCATTATAATATTTCTGTGTGTGCTTTCTCCTCCCAGGGATTTATCACTGCTACTGGGAATATGCTAACTACAAACAGCAGAATGCTTCCATCAGCACGGTCGGCCTCACCACAAACCTCCAGGTCTATCTGCAAGTCCAGGAGACCTGGCTGGCCTTTTGTAAGAACTAATTACATTTATTATGTCTCTTAGCCTGCCTAAGTACCGTAGTATCCATTACTACATAGTTTTTACTGCAATGTTTATTTGCTTTATGTGAAACATGGAAATTGTCTCTTTTTCAATAATCGGTCAGAACAACGATGGAAGGAAATCGTATTTTTCCTGTTTTTCCATCTTAAAGATGTGACGAGAGCCTTGCTGGTGTTCGAAAGTCACTTTAAATAAAGGTTTCTTATCCTGGTAGAAGAAGAAGAAGAAGAAGAAGAAGAAGAAAATATCATTTCTATAGCGCCTCTCAAGATAAAAATCACCAGGCGCTTCACAAAAACAAAAAAATATATATAAAGATTGTAAAAATATAAAAAAGCATTTCGAAAATGTTTAAAAATATATTTAAAATGAGCAAGAATAAGCAATTGCGATTTAAAAGAAAAAATGTTAAGAAAGAGAGAGAGAGTGAACAGGAAAGAGGGAAATCAGTGGATCACGAGGAAGGTGGAATAGGTGGGGAGAGCAGAATAAAGAGAGAGGGTGAAGAAGGTCATACAAAAGCCAGCTTGAACAAGTGAGTCTTCAGCTGCTTTTTAAAGGAGACCACTGAGTCCACTGATCTCAGGCTCAGGGGGAGAGAGTTCCAGAGTCTGGGGGCCACAGCAGCAAATGATCTGTCACCTTTGACCTTTAGCCTGGTGCGTTGCACAACCAGTAGGGTTTGATCACTGGACCTCAGGGACCTGCTGGGGGTGTAGGGACTAAGAAGATCACCAATGTAAGATGGTGCTTGTCCATGTAAGGCCCTATAGACCAGAACCAGGATCTTGAAATGAACTCTGAAGTTAACTGGCAGCCAGTGAAGCTGGAGGAGAAGCGGGGTGATGTGGGTGTGTTTGGAGGACTTGGTCAGAAGCCGAGCACAGGCATTCTGAACCACCTGTAGACGGTTCAGGGAGGTTCTGCTCAGACACGTGAAAAGAGAGTTACAGTAGTCTAAGCGTGAGGAGATGAAGGTGTGGAGAACTGTCTCAAGTTCAGAGCGGGACAGAATGGGACTCAGCTTAGCAATGTTCCTGAGATGGAAGAAGGAAGAGCGAACAAGAGAACTGACATGAGAATCCATGACATGGTACGTAGTGATGTTTTCATTTCTCGTGTTCCTCAGTGATAATCATATCTGTGGCAGAGGCCATCATCCTCCTGACCCTCATCTTCCTCAGAACCAGGATCCTGATAGCCATCGCTCTCATTCAGGAGTCCAGCAAGTCAGTGACGTGTCGTAACAGCAGTGATCCTAACAGACTAACTCAATAGGTTAGCTTGTATGAGCTTGTCGTGTTTCTGTCTGCAGAGCGATTGGTTACATGATGTCAGCGCTCTTCTACCCTCTGATCACCTTTGTTCTGCTGCTGGTGTGTGTGACCTACTGGGGAGCCACAGCTCTGTATCCTGTGCTTTTAAACATCCTCTGACGTTCATCGCTTGATTTCACCAAGTTTAACTTAACTGATGCGTTCAGATATTTGGCCACTTCAGGAGCTCCCATCTATAAGGTGGTTGCTCTCAATTCCACCTTAAGCGGCTGTAAGGCGATTAACGGCACCGCTGACTGTGACCCCCAGGTGAGCGTCGCAGCGGTGAGGACGCTAAAGACTTGAATATGAAATCACAATTAGCTTTTTTTCTGTCTCAGAACTTCAACTCATCGAGCTACGCAGACTGTCCATCTGCCAGCTGCATCTTCATCAAATACAACAACCAAGGTCTCTTCCAGAGGAACATCTTCAACCTGCAGATCTACAACGCCATCGCTTTTCTCTGGTGTGCCAACTTTGTCATCGCCCTCGGTCAGTGCACGCTGGCGGGGGCCTTCGCCTCCTACTACTGGGCCTTCTCCAAACCAGGCGACATCCCCATGTTTCCTGTGTGTGCCAGCTTCATGCGCTCCATCAGGTGAGTTAACAAGCTGCTGATGGCGGGTACGTTTCTGCTGTTGTGCTGCTGAATTCTAATTATTTATTAGCTTTACACACAAACTCGCTTTATAGAAGCTGAATGTCCCTGTAGGTGTACAAACTGAGATTCATCACTAAGATGTTTATGTTTTCTACCAAAAAAATAAAATGAGAAAATCAGAAATGTATTCAAACTGTGGTTCTACTTCTGGCCTCTAGAGGGTGCATTGGGTTAACAAAGCGGACAGTGCTGACAGTTGTTGATGATGTTTACCCGTAAAATCTTTATTCCCATGTAAAGTTATGGTTAATGTAAACATTTGCTTCAGGTTCCATGTAGGATCGCTGGCGTTTGGGGCTTTAATCCTGACTGTGGTGCAGATAGTCAGGATCATCCTGGAGTACATTGATCACAAGACCAGATGTAAGACCAAAGTGTGTGTGTGTGTGTGTGAGTGCGTGTGTGAGTGCGTGTGTGTGAGTGAGTGAGTGAGTGAGTGAGTGAGTGAGTGAGTGAGTGAGTGTGTGTGAGTGTGTGTGTGTGTGTGTGTGTGTGTGTGTGTGTGAGTGTGTGTGTGAGTGAGTGAGTGTGTGTGTGAGTGAATGAGTGTGTGAGAGTGTGAGTGAGTGAGTGTGTGTGAGTGAGTGTGTGTGAGTGTGTGTGAGTGAGTGTGAGTGTGTGTGTGTGTGTGAGTGAGTGAGTGAGTGTGAGTGAGTGAGTGTGTGAGTGAGCGTGTGAGTGTGTGTGAGTGAGTGAGTGTGTGTGTGTGTGTGTGAGAGTGTGTGTGAGTGAGTGAGTGAGTGTGTGTGAGAGTGAGTGTGTGTGAGAGTGAGTGAGTGAGTGAGTGAGTGAATCATGCGTTGATGGGATGTTTCGTGGTCTTCAGCGGCGCAGAACCCATGTGCACGATTCCTGATCTGCTGCCTTAAGTGCTGCTTCTGGTGTCTGGAGAAGTTCATCAAGTTCATCAACCGGAACGCTTACATCATGGTGAGTGTGGAAATCACACATTTTACTGAAATCAGAACCGTTTGCAGAAATATGAACTTCATGTTTTGTGTTTTATTTTACCTGGTTTTCTTGTCAGATTGCCATTTATGGGAAAAACTTCTGCGTTTCGGCCAAGAACGCGTTCAAGCTGTTGATGAGGAACGTGATCAGGTTTGCAATGATGCTGTTCTCCAATCAGAGCGGCTCTACAGACCAAACGTAAACACGTGTGTTTGTGATGCGACCCGTAGGGTGGTGGTGCTGGATAAAGTCACCGACCTGCTGCTGTTCTTCGGGAAGCTCCTGGTGGTTGGAGGAGTCGGTGAGTAAAATGCTTTTATGCTAAACATTTCGACTGACGCAACTTAATTCAGATTTGTTATTTAAATAAATCTACAGAGACGGGAAGTGTCACCGCTTAATTCTGTTTCTTCTTCTCAGGCGTTTTGTCATTTTTCTTCTTCTCTGGTCGGATAGTGCTTCCAGGGAACACGTTCCACACTGAAACCCTAAACTACTACTGGATGCCCATTATTGTAACGACTCCGAGTATTGAGCTGATTTCTGAATCGCTTACCCAGCACTGTCCTGACTTCTCTGTGTTGTTGTAGACGGTGGTGTTCGGCAGCTACTTCATCGCCCACGCCTTCTTCAGCGTATACAACATGTGTGTGGACACACTCTTTCTTTGCTTCTGTAAGTAAACACACACACACACACACACACACACACACACACACACACACACACAGAGGTCATTTAGCATGATTCATGAGTGTGTTTGACTTGTTGCTTCGTGTCTGTCCTCACAGTGGAGGACTTGGAGCGTAACGACGGATCAGCGGAGAAGCCGTACTTCATGTCCAAAAACCTGATGAAGATCCTCAACAAATCCAACAAGTCCTCAAAATAGAGCCAAGGTCAAAGGTTAAGCACGGAGAGCTTGTTCCGGTTTTTAAATCCCACAGCAGAGAATCCGTAACAGTTTTAGGATGTTGACTTTTTCTCCTTTTAATGACATAGTTCATCTTTGTTTTCCTTCTAAAGATGTTTACCTAAACAAATGTTGCTTTTTTGCACTTTTTACTGTTCTGTTTGTGTATTTATGGTATTGAACGTACACAAATCTATTCAGGAAATCCTTTCTGAGTTTTCTTTTAGGAAGATTTACTAACAGTTAAACATCGAATAGTTCAGCTCTGAATGTCAAAGAATCTGACGAAACTTCTTAATGTGCCGTTTCACATCTTTTGTATGAAACCAAAGGAAATGTTAAAGTCATGCTTGATTTTTTAGACACCATTTGTAAAAATTAGATTTTAAGAGTATAATTTTATATATATTGTCAATTTTAATAAAGTTGTAAATATGATAGAACAATGTGTGTTTAGTCAAACTTTGTAGAACAGTAGCTCTGTGCCCACCCACTGGTCAGTCACAGGTTTTATCTCCTGGGGCCACGCGTGTTTGATCTGATCCATCCAGAACTGGAACCTCCTACAAAACCGGCTAAAACCTAAAAATGTTTCCTCATGTTCAAGAAACGGAGTTTAAATCGTGTCCAGAACCTGCAGCCACAATGGTTCTGTACTCGGACTAAAATTATTTCACATTTTTAAATATATTAAAAATGCAGGTAAAAGCAGATTTTTCACCTGGGTTGTTTTTACTCAGTTTAAAAAGGCTGAAGAGTGACTTACGGTAGTCTTTGTTTACAATCTGTGCTGCCTCCATACTTCCTGGTTCCAGAGTCATTCCTTTTTGAGCCGTGGGGTTGCCAGGTCTGCGCCAGCACCGTCCAGCTAAAAGCAGCAGTGCCATGGACAGAACGTTGCAGTAACGGGATCGTCCCAGATGAGTGTTTTTTGCACCCCTTTGAAGCCACGGCATCGGTTTCCCTCTAATCAGGTGAAGAAGGCTAGAGTCTCATTTACAGTTTTAATCAACTTTTAATCTCCAACAACATTTTGGTTTTGAACAAGATCTGACCAATCCAATTACGTGGTTTAGTGTTAATCAGCCCCTAAATACAAAAAGTAACGATCAGACAGACGGACACAAGTCCCAGCAGACCAGGAGATGTCTGACCTTTGACCCCAGTGTGACCATCAAACTCAGATTAAAGAGGAACTGTCGAGACGCATTGTGGACGATGGGAACACTGACATCACCAGGAGCTCATTCACATTAATGGGCAAGGAAGCTTTTAATTTGATCCTGCATCGTTGGAGTCTAGGTTTGGAAAACCCGGATCGGGATCGCTTCCAGCTTCACACACACTTATCTCCCATCTCCAGCTCTCCACGGCCGCTCATCAGGTCAGAAACACATAAAAACAGCACTTACAACATTCATATGTACAAATATATAACGTTTACACGCTCACACCGACACAATTATCTGTGACCAAAGTGCTTTCTGAGGATTTTCGCCGCCTCACTTTATTCATCTTGCACGTTGTGTAGTAAAACCAGCTGCTAAACTTCCTGAAACGTGAATCCAGTCTCTCAGGACTGATGCACTCTGGGAATGGCAGAAATAAAAAGCGACTGAAGGACAGCGCCGTCTGCAGACGGCCTCACAGTGTCACGGCTGCTTTTGTGAAGACAAAACGTTACGTTTAAAAACACAACCGGCTGTGCCGTTCCATCACCAGGAGCTCCTGGAACACGCATTCGCAGGAAAGCTGTAAACATCCATGTCTGACTCCCCCCCCCCCCCTTACACAGATCACCCCGATCACGTAATACTGACTCTGTAGACGAAGAACGAGACTCTTAAACTCCAGTGTCCATAGGTGTGGTGAGAGAGGGAGGACAAACTATCATGGTGTGTGTGTGTGTGTCAGGGCAGTGATCGGTTTCTGAAAGGAGAAAACCTGAATTTCTTGTTATTAGGAAACAAAACACTTTGCCCGCTCTCTGGTTATGTAACGCAGCCTGTTTGTGTGTGTGTGTCCGTCCTGGCCACCATCACACGCTCAGCAGCCAGAAGAAAAAGATGATGGCCACAAAGAGGAAGAGAGAGTCCTGCCAGTTGTTGTTATTGCCGTTGTTGAGGTTACCGTTGCCCTGGTGATCCCCTGCATACTGGTCTGAGGAGGCAGAAGGATGGAAAGGGTCGTTAACGTCAGAAAATCTCACGACTAAAACAAAAATGGCGGTTTTCTTAGAACATTCACCGGCTCTGTGAAAAGGATCGTTGGTGTTGAAGACTGTGGTGAAGAACCCGAAGGGGAACGCTCCGATGCCAAACGACATGTGGAAGCCCGTCTCCCCGAAGCCCGGGAACATCTGAGCAGAGGGAAAACCAGCAGTGAAGCCTGGAAACGGGCTCAGAAAACAGCCAGTAACACACACACACACACTCACCCCGCCTCTGCCCTCCGGCTCCGCCCTCTGCCCCTGAGGTCGGGGGGGAGTTTTCAACCTGAACGACAGAACCAGAAAGGTCATTCAGGAAAGCAGTCGGACACCAAAATGGAACCAGAGGGGACCTGGAGTACCTGGGGTCTTCCTGGCTGGAGCTCCCTCTGCCGTACAGCGGGATGACTTTCTCTCTGCTGATTCCTGCCTTACAGACGGGACACTGCTGCCGGCTGGGACGCGTCTCCAACCACTGGGGGCAGCAGACAGACACGTTACAACACTTAAGATAAAAAAACAAAACAACAGACATTATTTAATGTGGATTAAAGGAGATTGGGTGAGCCTGATCTGATTAAATCAGCCTGTAAAAAGATGAGAGAGAGGAAGTACTTACTTGGTGAAGACAGGGCCAGCTGTAGAGAGAGAGAGACGGGATTATTTTACATTTTCACAGCAGCTCAGATCTGTGACATTTCCTGAGCAGATTCATTTTTTTGGGATTAGATTAGTCTTGAAAAACCTCCTAAAACCAGTACTGCTCCCATTCGTTTGTTTTAATTGGCTCCATCTGTCATCAAAGGTTGGAGAGGCCAACCTGCTAATGCGATGTGGGAATAATGTTGGTGCTCCATGATTTTGGAAGAAATTCCCAACACACACACACACACATACACACCCACACCCACAGATGTGTTGAAGAGCATGTCCACAAAGTCCCCAGGTAGCATAACGCTCCCTCCTAAGGAAGGTGTTTTACTCAATCCTCCCGCCATCAATCCTGCTCTATGGTCAACTTTCCTCGCAGGGTCACCCGTTAGGACAGTGGGAGGGTTAAAAAGTCCTTGGTTTGTTTACTGACTTTTATCATTTCCAAATAAGGCAGGGATTTGGATTAGTTAATCCTGTATTCACGACTGCGAAGTACTCAAACCGAGTTATTTAAATGACGTCATGTGAAAACAACAGAAACCAGCTGAGTCACATGACCTGATGGGTGTGTGTGTGTGTGCTCCTGTAAACACAAAACAGCTGATCAAAGTCCAAAGGCAACAGACACAGAAACGGGTTAAATCGACCAGAAAAAGTGAATAAAGATGTGATTTCTGCAACCTGAATTGACATTTTAGTCGACACAAACTAACATTATCTGCTAAACTCATTTGTTTTATGATTTCAGAACCATTTGAACACAAAGACCAATTAAGAGCAACAATTACAGGGACTTCTAACACATTTGAACTTTAACCCCCTGTGTGTTTTAATTAACTGTACTAATGCGCTGCTGTAAGATTAATCTGAAGTTGCAGCAGATTAACTGATGTCAGCTCTTGTCCTTCTTGCTGAAAAGTTTCATCACACTGCACTTGAGTCCCAGGAGCAGAAGGACCGACGTAACATAGCAACTGCATCGCTCACAAATGTGCAGCAGGAAATTATCCCAATGACCAAAAAATGATCAACATAATACAGAACATCTAAATTCCAGATGTCCAGAGTCCAGAAACGGGTTTTCTAGCCAAAGACTTAGAAACATTAACATTTAGATAAACATGAGGGAATTTACGGCTCAACTATTCCCCCCCCCCCCCCCCTAGACAAAGTCCAAAGTCAAAGAGTGCATGAAATTATGCATAAATAAGACGTGTGCATAAAATAGTTGCCAGATTTTTAGCTCTACAAGTCTCTACAAGTTTGTGGTTACTTCGGTTTGGAAAATGATTCAAACACAACTGTTGTGCACACGCTTTAGAGGCAAAACTGCAATGTCACCCAGAAAGGATGCTTAAAAGTCCAGATTTAGGAAAATGCATAATAATAACTGCAGTCAAACACACACACACTTCTGATCACAGTGACCCTACAGTTGACCTCAATCCTACTTGTTGGCTATAAACTCCCACTAGCCTTAGCTTAAGAGATCATTAGTGCACACAGTTCGTGAATCACGCGCGCGCGCGCGCACACACACACACACACACACACACACACACACCTGTGATTGTGTGTACATTTTCAACAAGTTTTCAAGGTCAGGTTTTGTGCAAGTTTCTGTGACACTGATAGAAGAAAGCACTAAAAGCAGCTTTTAGGTACAGAAAAGATGCATCCTAAAAAGTAACAATTTTATGAGATTTTTAGATTTGCTGGCATGTCAGATGTTCCAAAATAAAAAAAACAATGATCTCACCAAAAAAAGCCTGAATTTTTATTGTAAACGTGACATAATTAAGTGATTTTAGTCAAACTCAGAATGAACTGATGAAAAAGTGGTTTGTTTTTGTGTCTCGCAGAGCGGGGCGGAACTAAATCAGATAACATGATACATTCATCCTTTCACACCAGGAGTACATACATTCATCCTTTCACACCAGGAGTACATACATTCATCCTTTCACACCAGGAGTACATACATTCATCCTTTCACACCAGGAGCCACTAAAACCAGCTGGCAGTAAACGGACACCCAGCACAGGAACAGTGAGCCATTTTGGCCGCTGTCGCCTCGGATCAGACGGGACGTCGCGGGGCGTGTCTCTGCCATCGACTACATATCGGTAAACCGAGGCCAAACGCATGAAAACCGTCTCATACCAGAACAAGTGTCCGCACATGCTGATGACAGCGTCCCTGGCTGTGTCCAAACAAATGTTGCACTCGAACGAGGCTCGGTCCCGTTGGCTGTCGCCGTTGCCGCCTCCATCCGGTCCGTCTCGGTCGTTGCTGCTCTCTCCAGCCGGGAACCCTTCTTTGCTGGCCGGCCCACCGTCACTCGAGAAGCGGGGATTCGTGGCCGCCATGTTTACTGACCTGGTTTAAGAGCGTAACACACCGAGCCAACTCAACCCAACAGGGCCGGCCCGAGCTAACGTAAACCGCTAGTCAGAGGTAGCTGCTGCTGCTGCTACAAAGGACCTTTGGACGGAGCGGACCAGCCCCGGTGGCGCTCCCGTTAAAAGCGCCCGACTCCGTTTCCCCTGACTCCGTAGGCCGGGGGCGGGCATTAGACATGAGGAAAGGGGCGTGGCCATAACAAAAGTAAGTTCATATTTTAATAGTACATTCGACACCATTATTTTGAAAGAACGTAAAACAATCTAATATGTAATGACTCTTGTTTTATTTTTGTGCAGACAGATTTTTTTTCTTACAGCTTTTTATAAAGAAGTTTTTTTTTCTTTCTGCCTCTTCCTTCTTTCCTATTCATTTTCTCTCTCCCTTTCCTCATATTTTTTTTTCTAATTTAAACATAATTTTTAAAAAAATCTTTATATCTTAATTATTTGTTTTTGTGAAGCGCCTTATGATTTTTATTTTGAGAGGTGCTACATAAAAGATGTTTTCTTTCTTCCTTCTTTTAGTAATTGTTCCCTACCAACACAGGTCTGTTGCAACAACGTAGTCACAACGTATTTTCTGACACCTTGTCATGCGAGTCCAGTATTGTAGCTTGGCTGTCTGGTAATAGACCCTTTTACTACCTACGTCATCAAAAGTTGCGCGTGCAGCCTGGCAACGAGAGTGAAGGCTTCCTCATTCATACTCGATACTAAAACAGCGTTTTAAACCCTTTGTTTTGAAGTTCTGAGCACATAAAAATGTCGGGTTGTTGCGTGTATGGATGCCAGAATCGCTTCTCTTCAAGCACTGGACTGAAACTTTACAGAATTCCGAAGGGAGCACATCCATTTCAACAAAATCAGAGGCGTCTGTGGCTAGGAAGGACTTCTGCCTTCAAGATGCAAAACTCAGAGTCTATGTGGTGATATTTTACTTTCTGTACGTGGCCACAGACAACATAGTTGTATGCATCTAACGATTTGTATGCCCGTAGCTTCTCACGTGTGTACTTACTGGGCCTCTCCACTAAAAACGTATATATATCGGGCCACTGGATATCTGGCCACGCACCTACATCTTCCACCCATTCCGTAATGCCACAGGGATCTGGGAGTCTGTTGCCATTCGTAAAAGTGAGTTTAATAATATAACAATCAAGATTTGCCGGTGATAACCCCGCAGCGTAGCTTGATAAAGCCTGACACAACGCCATTCTCTGTTGCCAAGCTGCGCGCGCATTCTCGCTCACTTCATATTGTTTACAAACAGTAAAAGGGTCTATTTAGGAAGTGTTATCCTGTCAAGGAATTAATTGAGCTCGGCATCTGATGGGTTTGTCTGTGGTGAGTACAAAGTTTGGTAAAAGTTTTTGAAAGTGTTGTTTATTCTTTCAGGATCATAAACTATATTCGATGTTGCAGGAACGTCGTATGTTACGTAGTAGCGACTTCCAAAGTGAAGTTCCGCTACGACGTTGCCAGAACGTCACATAGAGCATTGCTGGAAGGTTGTCGCGACATATCCACAACTTCACTGCGATATTGTGACAACATTGCTATTGTAACGTTGTGACAAAATAACAACTAAATGTTTGTGGCATGTTGCAGAGACGTTTTCAGGTTAACTTTTTTTTTCTCACCTTTACTCATTATGTAGACACCACAGGAAATTATATTGCAAAACTAATGGCAGATTAACAGCAAAAACAACCAGAATTGCAAAACAAATGTATAAAAAACTTAAAAACAAGTAATATAGGACAGCTGTGTCTTGATTTCATTTAAAAAATAAGCTCTACTGCATGTGTTTAGTAGTAGGCAGCAGGATCAGATGTAATTTCACAAAGGATGGACAATAAACTGACTTCAGCTTTTTCTTACATAAAGGTTTGACATTTTCATACACAATTTAAACAAAACATTTTTATAGCGCCTCTCAAAATAAAAATCACAAGGCGCTTAAAAAAATAAAAATAAATGTCGTTGTCATCGTCATCCTCCGCTTATCCAGGTCCGGGTCGCGGGGGCAGCATCCCAACTAGGGAGCTCCAGATCGTCCTCTCCCAGGCCACCTCCACCAGCTCCTCCGGCAGGACCCCAAGGCGTTCCCGGACCAGATTGGAGATGTAACCTCTCCAACGTGTCCTGGGTCGACCTGGGGGCCTCCTGCCGGCAGGACATGCCCGAAACACCTCCCCAGGGAGGCTTTCAGGTGGCATCCTGACCAGATTCCCAAACCACCTCAACTGACTCCTTTCGATCCGGAGGAGCAGCGGGTCTATTCCGAGCCCCTCCCGAATGTCTGAGCTCCTCACCCTATCTCTAAGGCTGAGCCCGGCCACCCTACGGAGGAAACTCAATTTGGCCGATTGTATCTGCGATCTCGTTCTTTCGGTCATTACCCAAAGCTCATGACCATAGGTGAGGATTGGGACGTAGATCAACCGGTAAATCAAGAGCCTGGCTTTCTGGCTAAGCTCCCTCTTCACCACGACAGATCGGCTCAGCGTCCGCATCACTGCAGACGCCGAACCAATCCGCCTGTCGATCTCCCGATCCCTCCTACCCTCACTCGTGAACAAGACCCCGAGATACTTAAACTCCTCCACTTGAGGTAGGACCTCTCCCCCGACCCGGGGTTGGCAAGCCACCCTTTTCCGGTCAAGAACCATGGTCTCAGACTTGGAGGTGGTGATCCTCATCCCAGCCGCGAACCTACCCAGCAAGAGCTGAAGGTCATAGCTGGATGAAGCTAGGAGGACCACATCATCCGCATAAAGCAGAGATGAGATTCTCCTGCCACCAAACTCGACACACTCCACACCACGGCTGCGCCTAGAAATTCTGTCCGTAAAGGTAATGAACAGAACCGGTGACAAAGGGCAGCCCTGGCGGAGTCCAACCCTCACCGGGAACAGGTCTGACTTACTACCGGCTATGCGGACCAAACTCACGCTCCTCTGGTAAAGGGACTGAATGGCCCTTAACAGAAAGCCACCCACCCCATACTCCTGGAGCGTCCCCCACAGGGTGCCCCTGGGGACACGGTCATAAGCCTTCTCCAAATCCACAAAACACATGTGGATTGGTTGGGCAAACTCCCATGCCCCCTCCATCACCCTTGCAAGGGTATAGAGCTGGTCCACAGTTCCACGGCCAGGACGAAAACCACATTGCTCCTCCTCTATCTGAGATTCAACTATCAATAGGACCCTCCTCTCCAGTACCTTGGAGTAGACCTTTCCAGGTAGGCTGAGGAGTGTGATCCCCCTATATGTAACCGGGTCACCTTAGTTCCCGGAAGTAATTCTGGTTGTACGTGTCATGCCGCTGACACAGGAGAGGCCAGGTGTGTAACTAGAGGGCTGCTATAATTAGGGCAGCTGGGGTCTAGCCGCAAGCGCCGAATGCCTCGCTTTGGGTGCAGACGTGGGTGCAGCTAAGTGGTGAGTGACCTGGCTTTGCTTTAGTTTAGTTAAATAAAGGTTATATTCTTAATCGGTTTCTCTTTGTGAAGTGTGAGCAGGACTGAGGGGTGAACAACCGGGAATTTACATTGGCAAGCGGTCAGCCGATGAGATACTAGTTTAGAACATTCATAGCATTTTTGTGCTTCGTTAGAATAGGACTAACAATGCGTGTTTGTTCACAGATCTTAGCCTGCTACTGTTTTTTCAGTTCTTTTTATTAAACCTTTTCCAGTTCTTTTATTAAATCCTTTTTCCGGTTCTATTTTATCAATAGTCGTCTTCTCTAGAGGGGGAAGGAAGGAACACTTTTATGAGACTGGTGGTCAACATTGAGGACAGTGCTGTCTCTGGGAGGGTAGTAGTTTCTTTTAGAGTATCCGCTGTAGGGGTTTGTCGGGGGTTTTACTCACTTCTGGGGGCGTGTGTTGGGAGCACTGGGTGTTTCTTTATATTATTGTCTTTTGTGTCGGTTCCCTGCAGCGGCCTTGTGCTTTTAAATAGTAGTTGGATGGCGTTGTGTGTGTAGTCCCAGGGCCAGCATTGTCGTCGCTCCTCCCTCTCGTGTTTAGTTTTAGTCTATTTCTTTTATTCCAACCTGGGTTGTTTTTAGTAAATCTTCTGTGCTGTGTCTTATAAATAAAATTGTTAAACTTGTGAATGCCTCTGCTGTTTTCATCAAGGGTTATTATTACCTACGGGTTTTAGGATCTAAGCATCCAATCCTCTAGGTCACATATAGTTGGAACACACCCCTCAGGTTACCCTTCTTAAAGATGGGGACCACCACCCCGGTCTGCTACTCCACAGGAACTGCCCCCGAAATGTTGCAGAGACATGTCAACCACGACAGCCCTGCAACATCCATAGCCTTGAGATACCCAGGACGAATCTCATCCGCCCCCGGTGCTCCACCTGTGTAGATGTTTGACTACCTCAGCAACTTCTGCCCCCGAGATTGGACAGTCCATCCCCAGGTCTCCCGGCTCTGGTTCCTTCTCGGAATGCGCGTAGGTGGGATTGAGGAGCTCCTCAAAGTATTCCTTCCCCCGTCCGACTATAGCCTCAGTTGATGTCAGCAGCTCCCCATCCCCACTGTAAACTGTGTGAGCGAGTTGCTGCCTTCCTCTCCTGAGGCACCGGACAGTTTACCAGAACCTCTTTGTTGCTGATCGATAGTCTATCTCCATGGCCTCACCAAACTCCTCCCACGCCTGAGATTTTGCCTCGGCAACTACCACTGCTGCACCCCGCTTGGCTATCCGGCACCTGTCTGCTGCCTCTGGAGACCCACAGATTAAAAATAAATGATCAAAAATTATATATATATATATAAAATAGAAAAAGCAAAAATTGTGAACAAAAGAAAGAAAAAAGAAAGAAGGGGTGCATATATATAACAAAATATGTAGGCTACACCGCGCTGCTGAGGGCCAACTCTGACCCAAGAGTTCACCTGTCTGCTTGGGAGGGTTTCAAACACCGCCTTCCTCTGCTGGAGACTGTGGCGCGCTGCTGCGGCGCATTATTCGGTTATTGTTATCGGTCTTGCAATGTGAAACGCTGTCTCAGATTTTGTAAGAAACATAAATTTCCCCCCAAAATACAACTTATGTTTTTTTCTTCTTCATTATACATTTAATGGCTGGTGCGACTCAGGAGCGACTTAATAGTCCTGAAAATACGATGCGTGATAAATAGTGAAAACTTGCTCAAAGCAAAATATATTTTCATTACGGAAATAACTTATAAACTTACCGATTTAATATTTTTTATTCACAGAAAGGTACTTCTCATGAAAAAGCGCTGCAAACCTCCACCTGAACTCCATGCGGTCGATGGGTGTTCCACAGTTAGCTCCAGTTGTAGCTAGGTGGCTACATCCGTTAGCTCTGCTCCCACCTCCGCGTTAGCTTTGGTTTAGCTTGTAGCTAGTTCGACCGGGTGTCGTCAGTGGATCCCAGCCATACAGCTCCACCCTGAGCTCCTCTTCTCTTTTATGGAATTGTCTGGGCTTGACGGAACCTGTGACACGGTCAAAATGGCGGTGGTGACCACCTCCCATTTGGCCTCAAAAAAGTGATATTGGAGCCTATGGAAAGAAGATGTCCACGCATATTATGTCGATGGGTGCAGGTGGCACCTATGTTTTGCGGATTTTGTCCATATGACCCTCTGCTGGATGTCAGTTCAGATTGTTTTCCATACATTGCACATCTCCCTGTGACTTGGATGACAGAGATAAACCAGATCCAATGTCTATGAATTTGGCCATTTAAAAAAATATTCACATTGATAGAAAAAACTTTGAAATTCAATAATAATCACTGACAAATCATTTTATGAGTTAAAAGGGTACACAGTAAGTTGATTACTATAATGTAAGTAAAAAATATACAGTCAATATTTTAGTCAAGAGTAGATGTGGTTGATCAGTAAATGGCTTGTATTTATGGTACCTTCTAGGTTCTACAACCCCCTAAGGCACTTTACAATACAACCGGTCATTCACCCAAGCACACACATTGGCACTACAATGTAGCCTTGGTGCACACTGACAGACGTGAGGCTGTCCAACACTGGCACCAACAATCCCTCCAACCACCAACAGGCAACCGCGCAGGGGCCTGTACGTTAGGGTTTACCCCGGTGAATGAGAGGGTAGCCTCCCTCCACCTGTGTGGACAACAGGTCTTGACTATAGTTTGTGCGGATCAGACTACCCACACTTTTTGGAGTCCCTAAAGGTGCGTGTAGGAGATTGCTTCTTCTGGTGACTCCTCCTTCTCCTAGGGAACTTCACAGCTCATGTGGGCAACGACAGAGACCTGGAGAGGTGTGGTTGGGAGGAATGGCCCTCCTGATCTGAACCAGATTGGTGTTTTGTTATTGGGCTTCTGTGCTCGTCACGGATTGTCCATAATGAACACCATATCCAGGCATACTGACAGAAGTGGGCAGCCAAACACCGACACTACAGTACAGTCCCCCTGACCACCACCAACAGGTAAAACTGACTTTTCTTACCCAAGGACAAAAGGACTGACAGACCAAAAAAATTTACAGTTCTTTAAGAAGAACAACACATCATAAAGTCCTAAAATGACCATAAATAAACAACAAAAATAGAATAAAAGGTATATGAAAATTAAAATAAAGAGGAATGCTAATTAAACTCAGAAAACAAAATATTTAGAAGTTTTAAATAAAAGAGTAAAGCAATACATACAAAAATATCAAAACAACCAGTAGACGATAAAAATGTCATTGTACAGATGAAAAAACTGAAACACAAGAAGTGCAATTCAACTATATGACAGCAGCTTTTACTGTGTTCTTTCTGAAGGAACCAGATCTTGTGATAACACCCATGTGTCTTGGAAGGGTCTACACTGAGTTTTCCCAAATAAACTCGGTCTTAAAAATTGCAAATATTGCTTTTAGTATTGCAAATATCATCTATCATTGTATACCCTCTCCCCTGTACTGTGATATGTATCACAATGCCGGATTCTTGCCAATACACACCCCTAGTTTTGAAATAGTCGAAAACTGACATTTAATAAACACATTTACATTTTTTGTATCTTTTAAGTGCAAGTTCAAAAGTTAAAGCATTGCAATATTTACATAATGTAGCCTAGTTTTCCTCCATTTCATAGAAAACTTGGTGTTAGTCAGGGGCATTGGTGCCATGCTGCTGAGATAGTCACCAGAACAAATGCGATGACACATGCTGTGAGACAGTCCACTATGTTGAAAAAGCAAGTGATGTTGGCAACAGACCTTCATTTCAGATTTTGTGTGATGTTGTAGACTCCATGCCTTAGGCTGCACACTCAGACCATGAGATGCTTTACTATCTTTGCTTTGGTCAGTACACGAGCTTTTTAACTGGGATTTTTCTGCAATGTCTTCAAGTTTGCTATGTTTTCTTTTGATGTGTACTGCCAAATTCTGCCTGTATAAAACTAGTGGGCAGTGAGGACACTTCACATGGGCTTTTGGCACAGTTACTTCTTCCTCTTCAATCATGGGTTGGTCTGTGGAGGTAGCAGGAGCTCTCTGGTCAAACTCTGTGGCAAATGTGGGGGTCTCGAGTGGTGCTGTTTGTGAGTAAGAATAGTCTGCAGTTTGTGAGGACGTATAGTGGTCTTCGTTCACTGATGGTTCCAGAATATCTTTGAAGGGCTGGGTCTCTGGTAAAGATGGCTTACAAGAAACCAGCAGTTTGCGAAGGTCCAAAGGACTATTTTCATGACACTCTTTAAGATGTAATGGCACATTGTCCTTACGAATGATAGTGCTGTCACAAAAAGGACAATGGAAGTGGCTTTTAACTCTGCAGGACAAATTGCACCTGCAGACTATAATTTCTGTAAAAACAGGAGAAAAGTGGTTAATTAAAAGGTGAATAGTCCAAACTATTTAAATATTGCCAAATAGGACTGAAGAAAGAAGGTCTTCAATCCAAACTTGTAAAAGTATACAATCTGTAAAGATACTAGTCGCCAACATACCCTGGAAATGCACTCCATTTTCATTGTGGTTTCTCAGATGCCTCTCGATTACGTCATCATTTACAGTGTTGAAATACGGGCAGAGAGGACACCCAAACCCAGATGGTAACAGGGTTCGCTCCAGGTATGTATCTTTCCAAGTAATTGATTTATGCACCTGAACCAGAAAAAAACAGATCACTTAGTAAACATTGGTTTGTTATAAAAACTGACAGGCTGAACATTGATAATCCTTTATCTACCTAAAAGTCAAATATAGTAAGATGAACTACAGCTCTCAACTTGTATCCACATGCTTATAAAACAGACTAAAACATTTTTATTCAATCCCTCTATAATGTTGTCATTTCTAAGTTGGCTATGTCTCATATTGATATATTCTCCCAAATTCTGCTTGTATAGAAGAAAAGAGCAGTGAGGACACTTTGCGTGTGTCAATGGCAGAGTTACCTCTACATCTTGAACCATGAGTTGGTCTGAGGTGGTAGCAGGAGTTGTCTGATCAAAAGCTGTGATGAGTGTGGGAGTTTGTGTGAAAGCATGATCTGCAGTTTGTGAGGACACCGAGTGGTCTTCACTCCCTGATGGTTCCAGAGGGTCTATTAAAGGCTGCGTCTCTGGTGGAGGTTCCACCAGTGCGGGTTGGACCACTGTACTTTTGTTTTGACATCTGATCAGATGTAATGCCATACTGTCCTTGTTAGTTAGTGTCTTGTCACAAAAAAGACAATGAAAGTGGCCTCCAGCTCTACAAGGCAAATTGCACCTGCAGATTACGTTTTCTGTAAATAAAAGAAAAAGTGATTTTTTTAAAGGCATAATTATATAAAATTTACAGTGATATGATCACAAAACAGTCTAATGTCTCAGTCTTGCTGAAAGGAAGGTTACATTGAAACAAATTTCCTTTAAAAGCAAAAAAAAAAAAAGCAGAAGAGAGACGCCTTTTTTACAATCTGAGCCGACGGGGTTACCCAGTCTGCACCAGGCTTCGAAAACGGACAACGAAAAGCAGCAGCAAACCAAAGCTAGTAAGAGGAACATACCAGAACTTACCATGTAAGACTGTCTTTTGTTTGTTATCTAGAACATTCTGGCACTGATTCGTAACTGGCAACAGCCGTGAAACTCACAGAACGGGAAAGAGAGAGTCACTCAGAGAAGACTTGGATGTTTTAAAACATGAATGGTGTAACCAAATTTGACCACAAGAGGTCATTTTTACTTCATGCTTCTTTAAAGTGACTGTGTGTATTTTCCCTGGCGATACGGGGCGGTACACTGCAAGCAAGCAGTATTTATGTGTTTAAGTAAGACCTCACCAACAGATGGCCATTAGGGTAAAAAATGGTCAGATCATCAACCTCCAGCAAAATGACAAGCAAATCAGACTCTTTCATCACTGACGAGTGAAGAGGTAAATGTGTAAAGCAATGTTTATGAATGGCAAACGTTTTGTAATCACTTGTTACAAATCAGTAAATGTGTTTTGTCCTCACAGGTTCCCATAGAAGGAAACATGGCGTAACCCAGAGACTTAGACGCGCTCCCATGTATTTTATGCCCGATTTTTATGGTTACGTTACGAAGCCGCCAATAGTTTTCTACAACTGGGCATCATTCAATTAGTCTTCAACATTTCAATGGATATTTCCAGAGATTAATGGTAAAAACTACACATTGTTACTTTAAGACTGCTATTTCAAAAAATGAACTTAAGAAATTCATTTATTTATTTGTTCATTCCAACAAAATAAGAAAGTCTTGTACACACAATAACACAAATAATCATACAACTTTGCAGTGATGTGTAAAAGTATAAGATCTGAAAGAGACATTTCTCAATGACATACCCTGGAAATGCACTCCATTTGCAATGTGGTTGCTCAAATGCGTCTGGATCACTCGATCACTTTGAGTCTTGAAATTGGGGCAGAGAGGACACTCAAACCCAGATGTTAGCAGGCTTTGCTTCAGGTCCGTATCATTCCTAATAACTGATTCATGCACCTAAACCAGAAGACAACAGATCACTTGGTAAATATGGGATTGAAATACAAGCTGACAGGCTGTACATTGATAATCCTTTATCTTTCTAAAGGTCAAAACTGTAGGAGGAACTTCAACATCCTGCGTCCAGATATTCATTAAACAGCCTAAAACATATTTTATTCAACCAATCTATATTCCTGTAATGTCTAAGTTGGCTGTTTTCTCTTGATATGTGCTGCCAAATTCTGCTTGTATAGAATAATATAGCAGTGAGGACACTTTACGTTGGTCAGTGGCACAGTCACTTCCTCCTCCTGAATCATGAGTTGGTCTGAGGTAGTAGCAGGAGTTGTCTGATCAAAATCTGTGACAGGTGTGGGGGTCTTGGGTAAAGCTGCTTTTGCATAAGAGTGGTCTGCTGTTTGCAAAGAAAAAGGATGCAAGTTAGTATGAGTGGTCTGTACTGACTGATAATACCACATGGGTCTCTGGTGTAGATGACTCACCAGATTCCACCAATGTGGATTGGGTTGACTGATTTTCATTTGGACACACATTCAGATGTAATATCATATCTTCCTTACGAATGATTGTGTCGTCACAAAAAGGACAATGGAAGTGGTCTGCAGAAGAGTTGCACCTGCAGACGCAGAATTTGTCTGTAAAAGAAAAGTGACTTTTGTTAAACTGTTGCAATAGTTCAAAAATGACAAACGACAATACATTTAATACAAACAAAATATGAAGGAGGCCTTACACAATTAACTCATTCACTGCCATTGACGACTAAAGTCGTCATCTGCATTTTTTTACTGTTTGAGCGTCGGAACGAGCCCCCGCGCTGAGAGAACAAACATCTCAGCCCTGAAACCGATCTTCATCCGCATACATCACAGATCACATGATCAGGAAGCAACACATCCATGTGTTAGGAGATCGTTTTGGGCCGTTCCTGTAAAAAAAAGTGAGGCGCGAACCGGAAAAGCGTCTGCCGATCACAATTCGACAACGGATTATGAAAGAACGGATAACGCTCGAAACACACGGACTCTTCCTGATGTAAGAGGCGAGTCTCCTCTTTGTTTTGGTTGTTTTGGCATCGACATCATGCTAGCGCACAACGTTCTGGGACTCTTAAAAAAACAGTAAAAACGGTGAGAAACGCTGGCAGTGAAGGCCGTTAGTGATCAGGAAACGGCTGGCAGTGAATGAGTTAAAAACTGCAGCTTTTTCATCAACATACCCTCAAAAATAACAGCATTTGCACTGTGGTTGCTCAAGTGGCTCTGGATCACTTCATCACTTTCCGTCTTGAAATGGGGGCAGAGAGGACACCCAAACCCAGATGGTAACAGGGTTCGCTCCAGGTATGTATCTTCCCTAATAACTGATTTATGCACCTGAACCAGAAGAAACCAGATCACTTGGTGAACATGGGTTTGTAATAAAAACTGACAATCCTTTACCTAACGGTCCAATATAGTAGGAGGAACTACAGCGCTCATCCTGTGTCCAGATATTCATTAAACATGCTAAAACATCTCGATTCAATCCCTCCTCTATATTGCTGTAATGTCTTGAAGTTGGACATGCTTTCTCTTGTAAAGAATGAAGGGGAAGTGACTTTACGTTGGTCAGTGGCGGAGTTCCTTCTCCCTCTTGAATGGTGGGTTGTTCTGAGGTGGTAGCAAGAGTTGTCTGATCAAAATCTGTGGCAGGTGTGGGGGTCTTGCATGAAGCTGTTTTTGTGTAGGAATGGTCTCCAGCTTGAGAAGACAGAGGATGCAAGTTAGTACGAGAGGTCTTCACTCACTGATATGTCATATAAGCTGCTTTCATAAGACACACACCGAGCCAACAAATCTTGCCGCCACAGTGTGTCTTCTGAAAGCGTTGGGCGACACAGTGAAGCAGGAAGGATGCAGTTTTCATGCTGCTAAGTTTTGTAGTAATATTATGGCAACGCCAATCTTATGAAGATCATGCCTTGGCACAACAGAGGCTGGTGTCATGATGACACGTGGAATGTCTGCCGAGCCCTTGTCGGCAACTATGTAGAAAATAAAAGTAAACACAGGCTAAGTTTCACTTTTGTAAGCAGAATCAGCCCAGATTGCAAACTGAAACGATGAAGAGCTCCGGGAGTTTATCTCTGTTAGAGCTGAAGCTCAGATCACCAGACAGTTCACAGGGACTGTGAGGGAAAACCACCTTTAGGAGCAGCTTCTGGAAAAATCTTAAGGATCACGGCTTCAATCACAATAAAAAGCAAGTTGTGTCTAATCTAAAGAAAGGCTGTGACGGTGCAGAGAACGCCCCTGCAGGCACTTTATACAGCCATTGTGTAATCTTTTGTGAAAAGCACGTGATCACGCTACATTACCGGCACAGTCAGATCACTATGAATGATCAAAGGCTCCCTGATGTCGGCTTAGCTTTACGGCTAATTATCGGGATTGTTTAATGAAAGAAGCTATAGTCTTTTAAAGGATGGATCTCCGTTGTAGAGAACTTACAAGATTCCACCAGTGTGGGTTGGATCACATTACTCTTATCTGGACACGTGGTAAGATGGAACATCACGTCCTTGGTAGGTATTGTACTGTCACAAAAAGGACGATGGAAGTGGCCTCCAACTCTACTAGACAAGTCTGTAAACGAAAAGTGATTCATAAACAAATGCAAGAGTTAAAATGACTGAAGAAGGCCTCGTTAAACCAAATAAAATATGAAAGCTTTACAAAACTGCAATTTTATATGAATGTATAAGATCTGAAACAGGTATTTCTCATCAACATACCCTGGAATGGAACTGCATTTGCATTGTGGTTTCTCAAGACCTTCTGGATCACTTCATCACTTTCAGCCTTGAGCAGAGAGGACACCCAAACCCAGAGGAACCAGAAGACAACAGATCACTTAGTAAACATGAGCTTGTAATAAAAGCTGACAGGTTGTACATTGATGATCCTTTATCCAACCTTAAGGTCAAATATTGTAGGAGGAACTACATCTCTGTAGCCGAGCGACCTAGACCAAATTCTTGCTTTGCAAAGTTTGGTCTAGGAACGCTCCATTGGAACCACCTAGCAGCAGTCTGACTGGCCAATCGCAACTCTTTATAAGGGTTTCTAATCCATAGAGTGCTGTGATTGGTCCACAATGGTGAGCCAATCACAGCGCTCTATCCGCTTTGCGGTCTAATCAGGGCCCTCTAGTCATCTGGTGGGCGCAATGATGCAACAGAGTCAAACAAGATGGCGACAGCTCATTTGAAACAACTTTTACATCAATTTTGGACTATTTGGACTTGGGCTTTATTAGAATCAGGAGCAGAAATATGTATTTAAGTTCTTTTGTTACAAAAAAGGATTTCTCCTTCAACAGCGTGGATGCCTGGTTTACCGGCATCCGTTGTGGTTGAGTATGTCATGTTGTTCATTGTCCAGTAGCATTCGGAGATCATTTGAAACACAAGGGTAGAACCCACCCCACGACCAAGAGCCGTCAATGGAGCGTTGCCAGACTAAATAATATATATTTTTTAGTCTGGTTTGTCAGGCTAACAGCTCTGAACTTGTGTCCACATATTTATTAAACAGACTAAAACCCTTTTATTCAATCCCTCCTATATATCGTTTTAATGTATTTAAATTGTGTTTTATCTTGTCATAGTCTGCCAAATTCTGTATAAAATAAGTGAGGACACTTTACCTTGGACAATGGTAGAGTTATTTCCTCCTCTTGAATCATGAGTGCGTCTGAGGTGGTAGCAGGAGTTGTCTGATTTAAAGCTGTGATGAGTGTGGGAGTTTGTGTGTAGGCATGATCTGCAGTTTGTGAGGACACCGAGTGGTCTTCACTCCCTGATGGTTCCAGAGGATCTATTAAAGGCTGCGTGAAAGGCTCTGGTGAAGCTTCCACCAGTGGGAATTGGACCACTGTACTTTTGTTTTGACATCTGATCAGATGTAATGCCATACTGTCCTTGTTAATTAGTGTCTTGTCACAAAAAAGACAATGAAAGTGGCCTCCAGCTCTACAAGGCAAATTGCACCTGCAGACTACGTTTTCTGTAAATAAAAAGAAAAAGTGATTTTTGTTAAAGGCATAATAATATAAAACTTACAGTGATATGATCACAAAACAGTCTAATGTCTCAGTCTTGCTGAAAGGAAGGTTACATTGAAACAAATTTCCTTCACAGGCAAAAAAAAAAAGCAGAAGAGAGACGCCTTTTTTACAATCTGAGCCGACGGGGTTACCCAGTCTGCACCAGGCTTCGAAAACGGACAACGAAAAGCAGCAGCAAACCAAAGCTAGTAAGAGGAACATACCAGAACTTACCATGTAAGACTGTCTTTTGTTTGTTATCTAGAACATTCTGGCACTGATTCGTAACTGGCAACAGCCGTGAAACTCACAGAACGGGAAAGAGAGAGTCACTCAGAGAAGACTTGGATGTTTTAAAACATGAATGGTGTAACCAAATTTGACCACAAGAGGTCATTTTTACTTCATGCTTCTTTAAAGTGACTGTGTGTATTTTCCCTGGCGATACGGGGCGGTACACTGCAAGCAAGCAGTATTTATGAGTTTAAGTAAGACCTCACCATTAGGGCCATTAGGGTAAAAAATGGTCAGATCATCAACCTCCAGCAAAATGACAAGCAAATCAGACTCTTTCATCACTGACGAGTGAAGAGGTAAATGTGTAAAGCAATGTTTATGAATGGCAAACGTTTTGTAATCACTTGTTACAAATCAGTAAATGTGTTTTGTCCTCACAGGTTCCCATAGAAGGAAACATGGCGTAACCCAGAGACTTAGACGCGCTCCCATGTATTTTATGCCCGATTTTTATGGTTACGTCACGAAGCCGCCAATAGTTTTCTACAACTGGGCATCATTCAATTAGTCTTCAACATTTCAATGGATATTTCCAGAGATTAATGGTAAAAACTACACATTGTTACTTTAAGACTGCTATTTCAAAAAATGAACTTAAGGAATTCATTTACAGGGAGTGCAGAATTATTAGGCAAGTTGTATTTTTGAGGAATAATTTTATTACTGAACAACAACCATGTTCTCAATGAACCCAGAAAACTCATCAATATCAAAGCTGAATGTTTTTGGAAGTAGTTTCTAGTTTTAGCTATTTTAGGGGGATATCTGTGTGTGCAGGTGACTATTACTGTGCATAATTATTAGGCAACTTAACCAAAAACAAATATATACCCATTTCAATTATTTATTTTTACCAGTGAAACCAATATAACATCTCCACATTCACAAATATACATTTCTGACATTCATAAACAATACAAAAACAAATCAGCGACCAATATAGCCACCTTTCTTTGCAAGGACACTCAAAAGCCTGCCATCCATGGATTCTGTCAGTGTTTTGATCTGTTCACCATCAACATTGCGTGCAGCAGCAACCACAGCGTCCCAGACACTGTTCAGAGAGGTGTACTGTTTTCCCTCCTTGTAAATATCACATTTGATGATGGACCACAGGTTCTCAATGTGGTTCAGATCAGGGGAACAAGGAGGCCATGCCATTAGTTTTTCTTCTTTTATACCCTTTCTTGCCAGCCACGCTGTGGAGTACTTGGACGCGTGTGATGGAGCATTGTCCTGCATGAAAATCATGTTTTTCTTGAAGGATGCAGACTTCTTCCTGTACCACTGCTTGAAGAAGGTGTCTTCCAGAAACTGGCAGTAGGACTGGGAGTTGAGCTTGACTCCATCCTCAACCCGAAAAGGCCCCACAAGCTCATCTTTGATGATACCAGCCCAAACCAGTACTCCACCTCCACCTTGCTGGCGTCTGAGTGGGACTGGAGCTCTCTGCCCTTTACCAATCCAGCCACGGGCCCATCCATCTGGCCCATCAAGACTCACTCTCATTTCATCAGTCCATAAAACCTTAGAAAATTCAGTCTGGGGATATTTCTTGGCCCAGTCTTGACATTTCAGCTTGTGCGTCTTGTTCAGTGGTGGTCGTCTTTCAGCCTTTCTTACCTTGGCCATGTCTCGGAGTATTGCACACCTTGTGCTTTTGGGCACTCCAGTGATGTTGCAGCTCTGAAATATGGCCAAACTGCTGGCAAGTGGCATCTTGGCAGCTGCACGCTTGACTTTTCTCAGTTCATGAGCAGTTATTTTGCGTCTTGGTTTGTCCACACGCTTCTTGCGGCCCTGTTGACTATTTTGAATGAAACGCTTGATTGTTCGATGATCACGCTTCAGAAGCTTTGCAATTTTCGGACTGCTGCATCCCTCTGCAAGATATCTCACTATTTTTGACCTTTCTGAGCCTGTCAAGTCCTTCTTTTGACCATTTTGCCAAAGGAAAGGAAGTTGCCTAATAATTATGCACACCTGATATAGGGTGTTGATGTCATTAGACCACACCCCTTCTCATTACAGAGATGCACATCACCTAATATGCTTCATTGGTAGTAGGCTTTCGAGCCTATACAGCTTGGAGTAAGACGACATGCAGGAAGAGGATTTAAAGCCAAAGTTGTGTAAGGTATTTCACTGCATTTCGTACTGTGTATGTGACAAATAAGAATTTGAAGAGGATGATGTGGACAAAATACCCATTTGCCTAATAATTCTGCACTCCCTGTGTTTATTCATTCATTCCAACACAATAAGAAAGTCTTGTACACACAATAACACAAATAATCATACAACTTTGCAGTGATGTGTAAAAGTATAAGATCTGAAAGAGACATTTCTCAATGACATACCCTGGAAATGCACTCCATTTGCAATGTGGTTGCTCAAATGCGTCTGGATCACTCGATCACTTTGAGTCTTGAAATCGGGGCAGAGAGGACACTCAAACCCAGATGTTAGCAGGCTTTGCTTCAGGTCCGTATCATTCCTAATAACTGATTCATGCACCTAAACCAGAAGACAACAGATCACTTGGTAAATATGGGATTGAAATACAAGCTGACAGGCTGTACATTGATAATCCTTTATCTTTCTAAAGGTCAAAACTGTAGGAGGAACTTCAACATCCTGTGTCCAGACATTCATTAAACAGCCTAAAACATATTTTATTCAACCAATCTATATTCCTGTAATGTCTAAGTTGGCTGTTTTCTCTTGATATGTGCTGCCAAATTCTGCTTGTATAGAATAATATAGCAGTGAGGACACTTTACGTTGGTCAGTGGCACAGTCACTTCCTCCTCCTGAATCATGAGTTGGTCTGAGGTAGTAGCAGGAGTTGTCTGATCAAAATCTGTGACAGGTGTGGGGGTCTTGGGTAAAGCTGCTTTTGCATAAGAGTGGTCTGCTGTTTGCAAAGAAAAAGGATGCAAGTTAGTATGAGTGGTCTGTACTGACTGATAATACCACATGGGTCTCTGGTGTAGATGACTCACCAGATTCCACCAGTGTGGATTGGGTTGACTTATTTTTATTTGGACACACATTCAGATGTAATATCATATCTTCCTTACGAATGATTGTGTCGTCACAAAAAGGACAATGGAAGTGGTCTGCAGATGAGTTGCACCTGCAGACGCAGAATTTGTCTGTAAAAGAAAAGTGATTTTTGTTAACCCTTTAAGCGCCAAAGTGACAATATTGTGACAAGCGTCATTCCTGATTTTAACAAGCCACAGATATGATATGATCCTTCGTGAAGTTACTACTTTAAACTAGAAGATAGTGGAGATGTGTAACTTCAGGCTGAGCAACACTTATAGGTGTGTTAATATTGTAGTTTGAAAACCGCCTCCACGGCACAAAGAGGGTGAATATTAGAAGGATAAAACTTATTGCTGGCAGGTCTGGTGTGGTGGTGCTGCACGGGAGTAAGGTGTATGAAGCTTCAAACGTTGGGTTTGAATTTTGTTTCACCATGTGATGGTAAATGATGGTAAAAACACTGCTAATGTGACAAATGTAAAAAAAGGCAGTAAAAAGCAATAGATACATTACATATGGATGTCAAAGTGTACCACATAAACAAATAAATATTATTTTACTTGGATCAAATGATCATTACATTCAAGGGAAGGACATCCCTGACGCTGTACAAGCCTAAAAACCAGACAAAAACGGCTAAAAAGTCTTTGTCCTTGAGTGAGGCCAATATAAATATCAAAAAATACTAATATCAATTCTTGGTAGTAATAATACAGCAATGCCAAATTTGTAAATGAAGTTCATGCCTTGGCACAACAGAAGTTGGTGTCATGATGATGTGTGGAATGTCTGCCAAGCTCTTGTTGGCAACTATATGGAAAATAAAAGTAAACGCAGGATAAGTTTCACTTTTGTTAACAGAATCAGCCGAGATCGCAAACCGGAACGATGCAGAGCTCCGGGAGCTTCTCTCTGTTAGAGATGAAGCTCAGATCACTAGACAGATCACGGGAACTGTGATGGTCAACCACCTTTAGGAGCAGCTTCTGGAAAAAACTTGCAGCTTCAATTAAAATAAAAATCCAGTTGTGTCCAAGCTAAAGGGAGAAGTCCATCACCACGCAGAGAACGCTTCCACACCCACTTTATACAGCCATTGTGTATAAAGTGAAAAGCACATGATCACGCCACATTACCGGCACAGTCCGACCACTTATAAACAACTAAAGGCTCCCTGATGTCGGCTTAGCTTGGCGGCATTGTTTTATGAAAGAAGCTATAGTCTTTTAAAGGATGGATCTCTGGTGTAGAGAACTTACAAGATTCCACCAGTGTGGGTTGGATCACATTACTTTTATCTGGACACGTGGTAAGACGGAACATCAAGTCCTTGGTAGTTATTGTACTGTCACAAAAAGAAGGATGGAAGTGGCCTCCAACTCTACTAGACAAGTCTGTAAAAGAAAATCGATTCATGGTAAAACAACGGCAATAGTTCTAAAAAGACTGAAGAAGGCCTCTTTAATCCAAATAAAATTTGAAAGCCTAACACGATTTAAAACTGCAATTATATATGAATGTATAAGATCTGAAACAGGTATTTCTCATCAACATACCCTGGAAATGAACTGCATTTGCATTGTGGTTTCTCAAGAGCTTCTGGATCACTTCATCACTTTCAGCCTTGAGCAGAGAGGACACCCAAACCCAGATGATCCAGAAGACAACAGATCACTTAGTAAACATGGGCTTGTAATAAAAACTCGCAGGCATTAAAAATCCTTTATCTACTTAAAGGTCAAACATAGTAGGAGGAACTACAGCTCTCAACTTGTGTCCACATTTTATTAAACAGACTAAAACATTTTTTTAATAAATCCCTCCTCTATATCACTTTAATACCTTAAAATGGCCTGTTTTGTCTTGCTACAGTCTGCCAAATTCTGCTTGTATAAAGGACACTTTACCTTGGTCAGTGGCAGAATTACTTCTCTCTCTTGAATTGTGGGTTTTTTTGAGGTGGTAGCAGTTGTCTGATCAAAATCTGTGGCAGGTGTCGGGGTCTTTGGTGATGCTGCTTGCCGGTAGGAGTGGTCTGCAGCTTATGAAGACACCGGATGCAAGTATGAGTCTTCTTCGCTCACTGATAATACCACAGTCTTTTAAATGGAGGGTCTCTGGTATAGATGACTTACAAGAATTCTCCAGTGTGGGTTGGATCACGTTACTTTTGTTTGGACAAGTGGTAAGATGGAATGTCATATCTTTCTTTTTAGTTACTGTCCCACCACAAAAAGGACAATGGAAGTGGCCTTCAAAATGACAGAACAATTTGCACCGGCAGATGCAGAATTTGTCTGTAAAAGAAAAATTATTTGTTAAAATTATTGCAATAGTTACAAAAATGACTGAAGAAGGTATACTTAATCCAAACAAAACATAAAAGCCAAACACACAACAATACCTCACTTTATACTGCAGTTACATATAAAAGTATAAAATCAACATACCCTGGAAAATAATAGCATTTGTATTGTGGTTCCTCAAATGCCTCTGGATCACTTCATCACTTTCTGTCTGGAAATTGGGGCAGAGAGGACACCCAAACCCAGATGATAACAGGGTTCGCTTCAGGTATGCATCTTTCCTAATAATTGATTTATGCACCTGAACCAGAAGACAACAGATGAGTTACTCAACGTGGGTTTGTAATAAAACTGACAGGCTGTACATTGATAATCTTGTATCTATCTAAAGGACACATATACAGGTGCTGGTCATACAATTAGAATGACATGACAAAGTTTATTTATTTCAGTATTTCCACTCAAAAAGTGAAACGTATATAATATTTTCATCTATTACACACAGTTTGATACATTTCAAATGTTTATTTATTTTAATGTTGATGATTATAACTGACAACTACTGAAAGTCCCAAATTCAGTATCTCAGAAAATTAGAATATCAATTATACCAATTGTTGCAATACCAATGCAAAAAACAAACAAACAAAAAAAGGATTTTTAGAAATGTTGGCCAACTGAAAATTGTGAACATGAAAAGTATGAGCATGTACAGCACTTTACTGCAGAAGTGCGACGTGACATAGCATAGATCAGTCTGTGACACTGTTCAGATTTTGAACCCATGTGGCTCTGATAGTGGCTTTTAGCTCTTCTGGATTGCTAGGTCTGGCATAATGCATCTTCCTCTTCACAACACACCATAGATTCTCTATGGGGTTAAGGTCAGGAGAGTTTGCAGGCCAACCAAGAACAGGGATACCATGGTCCTTAAACCAGGAAGTGGTAGCTTTGGCATTGTGTGCAGGTGCCAAGTTCTGTTGGAAAATGAAATCTGCATCTTCATAAAGTTGGTCAGCAGAAGGAAGCATGAAGTGCTCTAAAACGTCCTGTTAAATGGCTGCATCAACCTTGGACCTTGGAAAGCACAATGGACCCACACCAGCAGATGGCATTTCTCCCCAAACCATCACTGACTGTGGAAACTTTGCACTAGACATCAACCTCTCTTCCTCCAGACTCTTATTTCCAAAGGAAATTCAACATTTACTTTCATCAGAAAACATAACTTTGGACCACTCAGCAACAGTTCACTTCTTTTTTTCTTTAACCCAGGTGAGACGCTTCTTAGTCAAGAGTGACTTGACACAAGGAATGCAACAGCTAAACCAATTTCTTGCATAAAACTGTGCGTAGTGGTTCTTGAAGCACTGACTCTAGCTGCAGTCCACTCTTTGTGAATCTCCCCCACATTTCTGAATGGGTTTTGTTTCATGGTTCTCTCCAGGGTGTGGTTATCCCTATTGCTTGTACACTTTTTTCTATCACATCTTGTTCTTCCCTTCATCTTTCAATTAATGTGCTTAGACATTGAGTTCTGTGAACAGCCACCCTCTTTAGCAATGACCTCTTCTGTCTCGTCTTCCTTGTGCAAGGTGTCAATGGTCGTCTTGTAGACAACTGTCAAGTCAGCAGTCTTCCCCATGCTTGTGTAGCCTACAGAACTAGACTGAGGCCCTGTCCACACGTAGCCGGGGATCTGCCAAAACGTAGATATTTTTCTACGTTTTGGCCTGTCATCCACACGAAAACTGAGTTTTTTCACACGAAAACTGATCTTTTTAAAAACTCCGGCCAAAGTGAAGATCTGCGTTTTCTCCGTTTTGGGTGTCTGCGTGTGGACAGACAAAACCGGAGTATTAAGGTCCGCAACGTCACTTTCCGCAACGAAAAATGCTGACATCACGTGTGCGACCTGTGTTTACGCTAGCCGACAGCATGGATGCCCTCAGAGCTGCGCTCGCTTTATCAATTGTCCAAGCGCTTTTTGCTTGTTTGTTTTTGCAAGCGGAATTACTGCTCCTTGCGGAAGACCACAGACGAAGGACGAGGTTAAGAACGGGGGAAGTACTGCCGCCTACAGGTCTGGCATGTCCTTAACAACGTATTTATCCGGGTACGTGTGGACAGTTTCTTTTTAAAACGAGGTGGTGTGGATGCAAGTTTTTGGAGGGGCGGATATTCGTTTTTAAAAAAAACCGGCTACGTGTGGACTAGGCCTGAGAGACCATTTAAACACTTTTGCAGGTGTTTTGGGTCAATTAGCTGATTAGGGTGTGGCACCACGTGTCTTCAGTATATAGAACCTCTTTACAATATTATTCTGAGACACTGAATTTGGGATTTCCATTAGTTGTCAGTTATAATCATCAAAATAATAGAAATAAACATTTGAAATATAGCAGTTTGTGTGTAATGAATAAACATAATATACAAGATTCACTTTTGAATAGAATTCCTGAAATAAATCAACTTTGTCATTGTTATTCTAATTTTATGACCAGCACCTGTAGCAGGATGAACTTCAGCTCTCAACTTGTATCCACATATTTATTAAACAGGCTAAAACTGTTAATCCGTCCTCTATCATGATGTAATGTCTATGTTAGCTTTGTTTTCTCTTGATATGTACTGCCAAATTCAGTTTCTATAAAATTGTTGGGCAGTGAGTATAGTTTACATGGGTCAATGGGGGAGTCTTCAGCCTGGTTTATGCTTCTCCGTCAGCTCCGCAAGGGACAGACATGCACGGATTGACGGAAGCATTTTGCTCTTTTACTTCTCCGTCTCCTGGAGAGTGTTGCAAAGCAATTGCCTGGCAGGACCACAGAGGGTGTAGCGCTGTTCTGTGGTATCCTGTCATGTATCGGCCCAAGATTGTTTGTTTATATTGTGTTTTTTGTGTATATAAGAGACTTTAAACAGGGACAAATTTGTCTCTCATTCTCCCACCTCTTCACGAGCTCCCCACCTCTAAACCCACGTTTCCTGTCATTTCCGTCCACAAATAAAATGCTTGCTGCGCATCTTTTCACTCCTCCAGTCACGGGAGGATGAAACTTTCATATTTTAAGAGTTTTTTCGCGAGGTATTCTTCAAGCTTCTCCGTGTCTGTCGCTAGTTAAACTCGACTCTCTTTGCAATGGCGGTGCTGTAAACAACAGTGGCGTTCTGACCAATCACAAGCTTGCGTAATCCGTTTCGTTTGACGGATGTTTAAAAAAGTGGGCTCGACTCCGTACGTACTTGCGTGCCTGCCGGGGCCCTACGCAAGGACGGATAATGGCGTTGCGTGTCTCCGCACTGACGCAGACGGAGAAGCATAAATCAGGCTTAAGTCACCCTCATCTACTTCTGGTCCATGGGGTTCCTACTGTCAAAAAACATGAATGAGAGTCTACGAATCAATACAAGTTACTTTCTGATCCTGTTTGATATGTGACGTGAAGTTCGCATATGATGTCTGCGATTTTTAAAAACACATTTTGATGCCAATAATGAGCTTACTTTTAATAGGTGGCAAAAGTGACTTTAGGGTTTGTGGATTAAAACTGTTCCTTTCACAAAATTGACTTCAAACTAGATAAGAAAATTGGCTGGGTTCAGCCAGGATGAAAGAAGGTGCATTAAATAGTTTAGAAAGCCACAATAAATCTGGTCAAGTGGAAGTGGCAGCTACGCTGGAGGAGAAGAAATTCTGCCGTGACATCATTTATGGGAATTCTGATTTGTAGTCTTTGTAATTACAAATTTTTATAAGCAAATAAATCTTTGGGTTACCCTTGTTACCACCATTCTGTGTGTAACAAAGTTAGACAATCACATTAGATCAGTTAAGCTGGGAAGAGTAGAGCACCCTGTCCCAGCAACATTTTGAAACAGTAATCCATGCCTTTGTTACGACGCGGCTGGACTACTGTAACGGCCTGTCTGCAGGAATAAGTGACACCTATATCTCTCAGCTACAGAGTACAGAATGCAGCTGCCTGCCTCTTAACAGGAACAAAAAGGTTTGATCACATCTCCCCCGTTCTGGCTAAATTGCACTGGCTGCCTGTGCCTTTTAGGATTAGGTTTAAAATCCTTTTATTTGCTTTTAAATCTCTTAATGGCCTTGCCCTGCCTCACCCGTGGAAGCTGCTACACCCATGCATCCCCTCACGTCCCCTCAGGTCAGCTGATCAGCTGCTCCTGACTGTTCCAAAAACAATACGGAAGCTCAGAGGAGGTGGGGCCTTTGCTGTAGCCGCTCATACACTGTGGAATTTGCTTCCTTTAAACATCAAACAGACCTCATCACTGTCTGATTTTAACCTCTTCTCTGGCCTTTGACACCTTCTGAGATGTTGACTTTGAAGTTTGGTACATGTGATTTAAGCGGACCAGATAACTTATATCCCGGTTCACTTACATTCTTTTTTTGACAGGGGACCCATGAGCTGACTGGAAGAGAAGGAGACTTGGGTTCTCTATGAATCAGTTTCTTCTTCCTTTTGAATCGTAGGTTGGTCTAAGGTGGTAGTGGAAGATGGCCCAATCTCAATATTCGCACTGCACCCTACAGTCCTCAGCAAAGCGCACTCAGAGGAAGTGCTCAGTAAGGCTTCTTCTCAAAATTCCCACACCGCAATGGATTGTGGGTTCACCCAAGCGCGCATCGATGCAGGCTTACAGTGAAATGCGGCGCAAGGGTGCAAAAGAGGCATGGTCAACTTCCCTGGATAAGATTGCGAAATTGAAGGGTGCAAGGGTGGAAATGCGAGTATTGGGATTGGGCTTAAGCCTGACCAAAATCTGTGGCAAGTGTTAGGTTCTTGGGTGACGATGTTTGTGGGTCAGAAGTTTGTAAGGACACAGATGGTGAAGTATGAGTGGTCTTCACTTACTGGTGATAGATCCTCTTTTAAAGACTGGGTTTCTGTTGAAGATGGCTCACATTTCTCCAGTGTGGGTTGGATCACATTACTTGATCCAAACAACATATAAAAACCTTATACACACACAATAACACATATATCAGTGTAAATTTGCAGTTACATGTTAAATTATAAGATCAGAAACAGATATGCGTCACCAACATACCCTTGAAAAGAACCTCATTTGCATTGTGGTTTCTCAAATGCCTCTGGTTCACTTCATGGGGCGAGGTCTCTGGTGAAGGTGACTTACAAGAGTCCACCAGAGAAGGCTGAATCATTTTACATTCATTTGGACACATATACAGATGTGACACCATATCGTCTTTACGCATAATAGTGCCGTCACAAAAAGGACAATGGAAGTGGCCTCCAGCCCTGCAGGATAAGTTGCACCTGCAGATGCAGAATTTGTCTAAAAGAAAGGTGATTCATTTTAAATTTATTGCAATATTTCAAAAATGACTTAAGATGCTATGTTTAATTGAAATAAAAGCCTTACACGATTTAAAAAAGAAGTTAAATATAAAAGTATAGGATCTGAAACAGATGTTTCTCATCAACATACCCTGGAAAATAACAGCATTTGCACTGTGGTTGCTCAAGTGCCTCTGGATCACTTCATCACTTTCTGTCTTGAAATTGGGGCAGAGAGGACACCCGAACCCAGACGACAATAAGGTTCGCTTCAGGTAAGCATCTTTCCTAATAATTGATTTATGCATCTGAACCAGAAGACAGCAGATCATTTAGTGAACATGGGTATGTAATATAAACCAACAGGCATTTCTAATCCTTTCCCCATCTAAAAGGTGAAATACAGTAGTAGGAACTACAGCTCTCATATGTATTTTCTTAACTTCATGTCAATCTGCACACCTTGTATGGAAAAAACAGACTCCTTGCGGAAACTTTCCGAACCCCTGCACCTGGATCTACACCAAAACACTTCCTCTAAAATTTTCCAAACATGTTCTCTTTTTTTTAAAGGCTGTTGCCTTTAAAAAAAAAGAGGCTAATTTGCACCCTCTGCTGGCAATAAAGAGAACAACACTTTGTTTCCCAACAGAAATTAAGGGAAGATGGGAAGTTGCTGCCCTCCAGTGTCTGAAAGGTGTTACTGCACTGGAGTTCGTTTTAGCCGTTAAAAATATATATATTTTAGCCTCCTTCTCTTAAAAGAGACAATCAGTAGTTTTTACCTTTAGTCTCTGGAAATATCCATCAAAACATTGGAAATGAATAAAATGATGACCAGTTGTTGAAAAATATCGGCGGCTTCTTAGCATATAACCATAAAATTCCGGTCTAAAGTACATAAGGTGTGGGTCTAGCCTCTTTGGGGAATGCCATGCTTCCTTCTGGCTAGCTTGAGGTCCTGCGCCTGTCGACGACGTCACACCAGATCACTGTTTGAACATACAACTTTTGGAAGTAATGTTACCTCGTTCAAAAACATGTAGTAAAGACAAATTTAATAACAAAACTGCTAAACTTTTTGCAAAACATACATAAAACTGATTTGAAAATGAGATGCAATATATTTTGGTCAAGCGGAATTGTTGTAGTATGATGACGTCATTGGCAGGTGCAAGCCCCCAAGAAGATCTGGAAAGTACAGCGCCTGAAAACAATAATTGGCATTGGAATACCTTTCCTTCTAATGGAATAATATGAAGAACCACCACAGTCTGAGGAGCCATGCTAAGGTTGCATTCTTTCTACTCCACAGGTAACATTTACTGTAATGTTTTTTTAAGGAGTGACAGTCAGGAATATGTGGTGTAAAACTAACCGAATTGCGCGTATGTACTGCCCTCTAGTGGCAGGAAATTACACACTGCAACTTTAATGAAGCTTTAAAAGAATATTAATCTTTCTGTTAATCCTCTTGGGAATATTAATATTATGGAGGAGAAAGAGGAGGAAAAGGATAAGAACTAACAGGATTTATGAAGTTAAAAAAACTGGATTTATAAAATAAATAAAAATATATATATTTGTAGAAAAACTTCCTCAAATAGTTTTCCAAACACTATATTTAGTTGCATTATTTGGTTCTTCTCTTAACACAGAAAAGGGTTGTTTGATCTTTTTTTTGCAAACTATGTTTAGTTGAATTTATATTTTGGGGGAACTTGCGCCCTCTGCTGGCTATAAACAGAACAACACCCTGGGTTCCAACAGCATTTAGAAAAAGAGAAGATGGGGGTTGCTGCCCTCCAGTGTCAGAAAGGTGTTACTGCACCATAATTCATTTTAGAAGACAATATTTTAGCCTCCTTCTCTTAATAATGAAATTCTTGATATTTCTATTATTCCTCGAGGGAATAATAATAATATGGAGGAGAAGGAAATGGATTTGTAAGGTAAAGGACTTCCTTAATAGAAAACAAATGTGCTACTCCAGCTTTAACTCTCCTAAAACGCCCCCCAAAGTCACAAGCACATTAAAATACGCGTGCGCTATCAATGGACAAATGTTTCAGCCATATTGAATAAAGCATTAACAACAAAAAAAACGCGCTAAGTTTCTGACTACAGTTACCTTCTTAAGCTAAGCTAACTTTAGCTCGAGCTTTTGAGAGAGGAACTCATGTCACCTCCAACTCTTTGATACGCCATATTTGCAAATTTCAAATGTTACGTTGAGAATAATTTAAACATTATTTCACTTACTTTTGAATGATTCGGATAACGGAAGAGAGCCCAAGAGGTCCTTGACGATGCAGATCGCGTAAACACTCTAATAACTCTTTCCCGGAAGCTACGTCTCATCCAAACAGGAAGCTCTTCAAAAGAGTTGACCTGGAAGCGTCGTTTGGAATTCTAGGATGTCCAAGGAAGATCCCGCCTTTCTCGTCTCTGATTGGCTAGAAAGGCTCTACGACGATTGGCTATTTCATTTAACAGCAAACTGGCTGTCCTCGCTAAGTGCTGGTGCTGACTGTCCATCTGCCACTAGCAGAAAGCTGCTTTGGGGAGTTTAGTAAAGAAAATGTGAACTTAGCGCTATAATAAACATTCGGTCCTGGTTTGCAAAATGTTTTATGTTTCATAAAAACATCTGAGAAACGTAAAATGTGAATTTTAAATCTTGTTGCATTTGTTGGATTTACTTTATATCTCTTGGCTCTGAAACATTAGAGTACATAGGATAAACATATGTGCATCACCTGGGTATGACATTTAATCAAACTGCCCTATTCTGCCAAGCTGTGTGCATCAGGTCTGTTTCTTCTCTAATGACAACTGGTGATAGGTCTAAATCATAATCAGCTTTAACTTAATATTTGATTAAGTGATATACATTTAATCTGATGATGAGAGATATGCTCTAACTTGTAAACAGCCTTAACCTATTAAAGCAGCCGGATAGCCTAATCATGAAGTAAGAAGATAACCCCAATAGAGCCAACAGACATAAAGTCAGTGATCCAAAAATTATTACAGGTTCACATTTGATGTTTTTCAGGTTCTTTAATGAAAGAAACTGAACCTGGTTTGTTGCTAAACAGCTCGATGTTTATTATAGCGATGAGTTCACATTTTCTTCAAAAAAATCCTTAAGATCTGGCTGTAAACATAAAAACCTGCAGCAAGTGAAAACTGTTTCCTCTTACGCCAATCGTAGTAGAGCCCTTCCAGCCAATCAGAGGCGAGAAAGGCGGGACCTTCCTTGGGCATCCTAGAATACCAATTGACATGGCACTGGTAAAAGATTTAGCACTAAAGAGGAATTAGGCAAGGGCGTGGAAGCTCTCCGCTGTTATTCATAATGTTTGTGGAGATGCTCGCAATTCTAATTAAAAACAGCAATGTTGCCGGAATTGAAATTGTGGATAATTCTTTAATAATTAGTCAACTTGCAGATGACACTACTCTTTTCTTAAAAAATGAACATCAGATTCCCCTGGTAAAACAAATAATCACTACATTCTCAAAAGCCTCAGGCTTAAAATTAAATTTAAATAAATGTGAATTATTGGCGTTAAAGGAATGTCATTCACAATTTTTTGTACGATATACAGGCGAAGAAGGAGGTAAAATATTTGGGCATCACAATTTCAAAAGATCACAAAGTCTTAGAAAAAGTAAATATTTCAGATAATGTTGACAAATGTAAGACAATCTTAAATAAGTGGTTACAAAGAGACATCACAATTTTTGGAAGAATATTATTAACCAAAATGTTAGATTTATGTATCCAGTTTATTCTTTATCAATATCAAATACAGTTATTAAAACAATTAATAGCTTAAACTTGAATTTTATTTGGAGGAATAAATGCCATTATATATCTAAAGATTATTTGGTTAAACCATACATTGAAGGTGGTGGAAACGCAATTGACTTTGATGTAATGAATGGTGTTTTGAAACTTAAATGGTTAAAATCCTTCTTAAATAATCCACACTCCATCTGTTTTTTTATACCAAGTAGGGTCTTTAACACACTGGGGGGTATCGATTTTCTTCTAAAATGTGACTTTGAAATGACTAGTCTACCTATTAAACTCTCTGCTTTTCATAAACAGGTCCTTCTTTATTGGGAAATGTTATTTAGACATAACTTCACTCCACATAATAGCCCAATTTGGAACAATAGATGTATGCTAATGAACAGAAAATCTATTTTTATCCAAGATTGGTTATCAAAAGGTGTTTGGGCAATTGCCCATTTTGTAGATAAAGAAGGACATGTTCTAGAACATCAAGATTTTTGCCAAAAGTTTAATATCCAATGTTCTAAAAATAAATTTAATCGGGTTATAAGATCAATTCCACTGTCACTTAAAAACATAGTTGTAAATGATATAATATATTCTGACATCTCCCCCAGGTTAAGACAACTATATATAGATGCTATTCGATTTTGTGATGTTAAATGCAATAATACGTTTCTAAGATCTTCATTAAGGAGTCTTTATTATCCAAATTTACTTAGATGTAATTACATATTAAAAGATTTCCAAAGGGAAGAAACTGAAAAAATAAGAAGTGATTATATCTTCCCTATCCCTCCTAAAGGGAAAAAAAAATCCAATTTAAAATTTTGAATAAAATTTACCCAACAAATAGACTCCTTGGGGATAGATTCAATATAGAAGCGGGTAATTGTGTATTTTGCGAAACAGAAGAGGAGGACTTAGACCATCTATTTATTTTTTTGTGTGCAATTTTATACAAATATTTTGGTTAGATTTTCATGCCTGGCTTTGTTCCAGTGGGATTCAAATTACCCCATTTACCTTAAATATGATCATGTTTGAAGTGTTTTTGAAAGAAAAGAAAGTTAATTATGGTGTTAATGTGTTATTAATTTTGTGCAAACAATTTATACATAAATGTCGATTTTTTTAGACCAAACCAACACTATCTTATTGGAAAAACGACTTAAAATTATTGCTTAAATCTTTGATTTTAGTTAAAAAGAAAAAGGCTGATTTTTTTATTTCCTTTGTAGAAGATTTTGAGTTAGTAAGTTAATAATAATAATAATAATCTGTTAATTATGACCCCACCTTTAGATTTTCTTTTTTTCCCTATACATGAAAGTGTTTAATATGTAAGGAATTATTGTTCTCTGAATATGTAATGTAAGGTGCATTTTGATTGCATGTTATCTTTTCTAAAAAAAAAAAAAAAAAAAAAAAAAAAAAAGAATACGACGTGACCCGGAACTCTTTGCAGGTTGTTTGTTTCAACCCGGAGTCATTAGGCGCCGTACCTAAAACGTGTGTGTTGACAATCATCGTGGAAATTGACAGTTATTTTTTTCCCCCACGAATATAAACTATTTTAACGTTGTAACCTGTTATTTAAAAGGAGCAAACCCGCTCTGACGTTACCGACGCTCCACCATGAAGATTAAACGACAGAAACAAGCCAAGAAAACGATTAGCTTCTACAAATACAACTTCAACTTCAGGGAGCCGTTTCAGCTCCTGATCGACGGAACCTTCTGTCAGGCGGCGCTGAAGAACAAGATTCAGATTAAAGAGCAGATGCCGAAGTACCTGATGGGGGAGGTGCAGCTGTGCACCACAAAGTGAGTACGAAGACGGAGTGATTATGCGTCAACACGTTTAATCAAATCACTTTTATTGTCATGTCACATGTGCAGGTACACTGGTACAGTACATGCGAGTGAAATTCTTGTGTGCGAGCTTCACAGCAACAGAGTTGTGCAAAAATACAGTAACGTAAAAACAAGCAAAATATAAAAATGGCTAATCTAAGTAATAATATGTATAGTATGTAAGGTATACACGTTACTGAATGTGTGTACTAAGTATGTTTTCCTACGTGTGTGCGTGTGAGTGTGTGTATATACATGTTTTACAAATGAACAAAGTAAACAATAAGATAAGAGATATAAAATGTACAGAGGTTGGTATGTGCAAAACAGTGGCATTAATGTACAGTATGGAGTGTGTAATGCTGGAGTTTCAGTAGTGAGGGTGAGGTGTCTGTGAAGTGTTCAGCAGTCTGATGGCCTGATGGAAAAAGCTGTCTCTCAGTCTGCTGGGATGGTCTCCTTCCTGATGGAAGTAGTCTGAACAGTTTATGGCTGGGGTGACTTGAGTCCTTGATGATCCTCGCCGCTTTTCTCTCTTTATTAATCTAATCCCAACATCCGCCCATCCTCAGCTGTGCCCTGAAGGAACTGGAGACTCTCGGTCAACAGCTGTACGGAGCCAAACTCATCCTGCAGAGATTTCAGGTCAGGAAATGTGCCCATTTCAAGAACCCCGTTCCTGCTTCAGAGTGTCTTCTGTCCATGCTGGGGGACACAAATCCACACCACTACTTTGTGGCCACGCAGGTAAACACCGTCTTTATCTGTAGCCGTTGCACTAAGGGGTTGCCAGTTAAAATTCAAAAAAATTTTTTTTACACCCGTGTCTCTGTGAAGGACCGCACAGTGACAGCCAGTGTGAAGAAGATCCCCGGTGTCCCTCTCCTCTACATCATCCTCAACACGATTGTGCTGGACAAACCCAGCCAGGCGTCTCTCGACCACATCCAGGCCGTCCAGCTGGGAGAGCTGGTGACCCCCACCCAGCAGCAGAGCATCCGCAATTTAAAGGAGGAGCAGGGCATCAGCCGCAAGGACGGAGAGAGACGGGGAAAGAAGAGGAAGAGGAAGCAGAGCCACCCCAACCCTCTGAGCTGCTTAAAGAAGAAAAAGAAAGGACTGCCAACACCGCCGCTGAAGAAGGCCGAGCCCGGAGAAAAGAGGAAGAGAAGTAGACACAAGAGACGAAAGACAGAGGGAGGAGGCAATATGACGGCTCCTGCAGTTTCAACCTCTTAGTGACAAAAAAGACACGGACTAATCTAAATTCAAAACAACACATTTATTCCTGATTTATTTTCCAGTTTCAATTCAGACAATAAGAGTTTGCTGTTTGAAACACTGTTTATAGTTTGTTTTATTTTGAAAAATCTTTTCACTTACAAGACTTAAAGTGCTCCGAGGCGTCCGCTTCAGCATGGAGAGGATCTGTCTTTGCTTTTATACAAAACAAAACTTCAGGTTTATGGTTAAAACACACGATGGATGCTGCAGCCCTGCCGTTGTGCTTAATGGTTCAAGTCGGCCTTCGCTTGATTTTCTTTAGAGTCAGCTGTTTCTGACGTTTGATATTACCGCACCTCACAACAACAAATGAACACGACTGCAATAAAATTAGCGTGACGACGTTTGTGTTGGATCTGAATTATTACCCATCTATCCAGTCTGGACAAAGTGCACTAGAAGGCATGCAAGGACGCTGGACAAGTCACGTCTACTGGGGGGAGAAATGCTGAAGCTCTGTTTCCAAATCAGTGTTTCACAATTTATTCAAACGTAATAGTTTGTTTTAAGCAGCCGCCCTTAATGCTGAGGATTTGGGGAGATCTGAATAACTAAAACAGACGGTCCTCCCACTCCTGCTGGACAGAAATAATCCGAAGTTCTGTGCTTAGATGACGTGGAATCGAGGACCGGGTGTAGCTTTGATGTCGCTGTAAGGCTCCTCCTGGACGAGCTCCACCGCCTGCTGCTTCTTCAGAACCAGGAAGCTGTAGAACTTGGCGGCTGCCTGCTTCCTGTTGTTGTTCCTGCACAAATCTAACAAGCTGACCGACTGGGTGCCTGTCTTGGCCATCACCCTCTGGAGAAACGAGAGATCAGGAAACAAATTGTTTACGTGTGTTGTGTGTTTTCATGAAGCTATCGCCTACTGTACCTGTAGACCGTGAAGCATCTGCTGGGTTCTTTTGTTCCACCTCCTTTCCTCCTGGTCCTGATCTCCCTGCGTCTCCTCCTCCTGACAGGAATAATCAAAACAAAACATCCATAAAATACATGAAAGCACTATTATAATTAGTGCAAATGACATTTATTTTTAGCTCACCTCTTCATCCGAGTCCTCGTCGGTCTTCTTCTTGTCCTTGTCAGCGAGTAGGTCCAACTCTATGAGCTGACTGATGCTAGTGGTGTCCTCTGGAGGCAGAGGCACAGCAGACTCCTCCAGCTGCTGGGACACTTGAGCTGCATCCTGCTGCTGCTCCTCCAGAGCGCCCATCTGAAGGCGGAAGGAGATCAGAGGACATGGTACAGAAGACAGGGTGGGACACGTTCTTCTGGACTTACAGGGAGGGCTGGTTCTGTGTCCTGAGACGTCTGGCCTCTTTGGGAGGACGGAGGCGGCATGACTGCTTCATCCAGCGTCGTCCTGCTCCCCTCCACTGCTGAAGTCTGCAGTGTCGCTGCCTCCTCCATGATGGTCTGGTCTGAAGGACAAAAACAAACAGAATCAGCATCAAAATTACACAAAAGCCTCGTAAACCACAAAAACAACTAAGTTCCAACCTAAGACGTCTCTCTGCTGCAGGCCTGTGGGTTCCTCTCTTGGCACCTCTGAGTTCTCCAGATCTTTGAGGAACTCATCCAAACTGTCAGCCTCTCCACCCTTCCTCCTCTTCCTCAGCTCATCTGGCACCAGGGGTGTCAGACATCTTGTAAACATCTAGAGTGAAGAAGGTGTGTGTGTGTGTGTCAGGTGTATTTATAATTAAGAAAGCGGAACAAATTGATTTATTCCTGATCCGTTGCTACCTTTAGCAGCCGAGCATTCCACAGAGGCTGAGCTGGGAGGGAGAAGAGCTTCTCCACTCCTCCGGTCTCCTTCCACATCATCAGTTTCTTTGTAGGCGGAGCCAAATCCAGGGTGGTGACGATGTCGGAGTAGTCGGAAAGCTGTGCGCGAATAGTTTTACTGTCGAGCTCCTTCACACTGTCTACGATCAGCTTCCTCTTGCGCTTTGCCTTGGTCTCCTTCACTGCAACAGTCACTCAGAGATTCAATAGAAACTCAGGAGGAAGTAAGAACAGCCCACATGCAGAAAAAAGGTCGTTTTTTAAAAATCAAATATCACAGTTTGACCTGTGATGTCGATGGGCTCCAGGGCGAAGGTTTCCTCCTCGTTGTGGACCAGAGCGGTTTGTTCCTGCTGGTCCGTCATGGCTGGCAGCTGCTCGGTTGGGCCTGAATCAGGACTATCTGGGGCTCCAGCTAACGACACAAACATAATCACACAGAGATCTTAACATCACGACAGCTGGTTTATCACTCCGGCGTACCGAAGACGAGGTCGGTGGGACTGACCCGAGAGAGCATCAAAGTCATCCTCATCGTCTCCGTGGTCCTGAGGCATCATCACGCTCTCAGTGATGGCAGGAGTGTCATCAAATATGCCACCGCCGTCCTCGTTACTCAGCAGCTTGTCCACTGTACACAATTAAAAATGTTGTTAATCCTTACAGAGGTACAACGATACAGCACACTGAAATGTCCGCTCTTACCCAGCATTCCTCCCTCGTTGCTCTCCGTGGGATTGTCTCCAAAGTCATCCTTGTACTGTTCATCGTACTCCAGGTGGTTGGACTTGTCGGCCATTTGATTAGCTCCGCCCTCCGCCTCCAGCAGGAGGTTGGAAGCCGATGATCCCATGATGTCCACCTCGAACGCGCTCTCCTCTCGCATCATCTCCCGCTCGTCCATCCCAAAATCCGCTGCACAACGCAGCAGTAAAGCAGCGTGAGTTAAATCTGGTGTTTTTGTGACTCTAACAGCAATAAGGCCTCACATGGGGGATATTTACACAGAAATAACGAGCAAAACCACGAAGAAATACAAACATCTAGCATGCCTACCAAAGTCATTGTCCTGCAGCAGGTTGAGGTTTCCCACCTCCTCCCTCATGGTGATTTCTTCCACTCTGCTCTGATTCAAGTTGAACTGCTGAGCCACATCGATGTCGCTGCTCAAAACACATCATCCAATCAGCTTTTACGATGAAAAATAAACATGTGCAGCAGAGAGCAGGTTCAGGAGCAATCTAGCCAATCAGAAATACACGTAGCTCTGGGATGCGACACTAGTAACTTTTTATGCCGAGGTCAGAGTTGTCAAACATTGCAGACGAAGGATGTTGAATCTAATTGTTTGCCTGCTTGTGAAAATGCATTTAACGCCTTCATAAAATCTCCTTTTACAAATTAAAGATACATTTGTGTTCATGGACACTATTAAAAATCAGTTAAAGCATCAATGAAGAGTTTGTAACACCTTAAGCTATCGCTATCAAGCTGGCTTCAGTGCTTCTTTAGGTCAAATCTTGTACGTTGGACAGCACTCTGTCGCCCTCTGCTGACCGAAAACTGCACTGAAACAGCAGGTTTTCTGACAAAATTGCGCATAGTTTTATTTTGCAACGTTTTGGTTCTAGTTTTAAACTTGTTACAAGCTCTACACCGTCAGAGGACTCACTCCAAGTCTGGCAGCGGCTGATCAAAATCGTGAAACTCTTCCGGTAGCGTGATGGCGTTGTACGCCGCTTCTCGGTTCTCCTCTGGAAGATCCACCACTCCTAAAACACAAACACAGGGAAAGAGTTTTATAATCTGACACGGAATATTACTGCGTGTCACTAAAAAGACTGAAAAAGAAATATAAAATAAAAGAATGAGTAAAAAGTGGTACTTTAAACTGACCTGGTCGAAAGGCCATCTTAATCTTAATGAAGGCCTCGTTACAATCTGCCAGCAGGTACTTGGCCTTCCTGTGGTAGATCCTCACCACGCCCAGCAGCAGGTGGCCTGATGTTCGTAGTGCCATCTTCACCTGAAAACCAACGTTTTAGTTACGGAGGTCAATAATAAACGGTCACCATGGCGACATCAAGAAGCTAGACATGTAAAATGACCTTCGGGGAGATGATGCTCTCTACGCTGCTCTCCAGGTTGCACTCAAACACATGGGCCTTGGTCAGCTTCTTGTCCCAGTGGGCCGCCAGCCAGATTTTGGCCAGCGGCCCTCGTTTGCTGAGGACAAAGTGGGCGTAAAACATCGTCTCGACGTCCTCTCAGCGCTAAGGGAAAGGGGGAGGGGAGACGGCGTTGCGCCTGCAGAGACGAAACAAAAATGTTTAAAGAGGTCCTTCACTAGCAAACCATTTTCTACTCCCTCGCTCACTCTGAGTTTAACCTGCAGGCTGAACACGAAAATACTCTCCTACGTCTACCTCCAGCATTAGCTTCTGACGGTGAAATGCTAGGATATGAGAAGCCTGACAGGTCTACCTCACCCTGTCACTTAACGTTCATGGACTCACCCATCTTGGTTCATGACAGGAAAAATTGTTGATGTTTTAGCGTCCAGGAAACAGCAGAGAACATCTCGACTAGCAGAAGCTAACCATTAGCATTAACAACTCCACCACACAGCAGAACTCCTCAAGGCTTGTGTTATTTGTGGTGATGAAACATTAACGTTGCAGAGCTAACAAAGTCAGTGAGTCGCATTGCTGATAGCCAATCATCTGTGGGATGCCCTAATATCAGGAAATAAGACTCCAGATCCTGTCATCTGAAGCCACATTATCATGGCTGATTTCACCGTGCTACAGCACGCATCCTTTTCTGTACTGTATCTTTACCTTTTCTTCTTTTTGTAACTTATTTTTATTTTATTTCTTTAATCATCTTTTAATGATCTATATTTAATTTAATGTCCTGTTTTATTGCTTTAGTATTCATTTTATTCTAAATAGTATTAATATTATTATGCCAAATATGATCTTGACTTTTGCTTAACAGCACTTGGTGCAGCTTTGACACTGACATCTAAAATAATTGACCAGATTTAAGACTCCCCACGCAGCAGGATCTCTTTTAAGGGCTTTTTATGGTTTAGTGCAAGTTTTATTTATGGTTACAAACCCGGTCGGTGTTATACTGTCCAGTCCTCCAACACAACATGAAAAAAAGACAATATGTAGGAAAAACGTACATGCTGCAACTGTAATTTTAAATATTTTAAACCTACATCTTCACATTTGAACAATAGGCACACATCTTAAGGATGTGATGGGCAAACAGGTCTCGACAGGCGAACATATAAAGACACAACACAATGTCTGAGGTGTGTTCCACCTGCGTTAAAATTATGTAATTGCTGTATTTTCTCTTTATCTTAAAAGACGCAACGTTTGACAGTAAATGTGTAAATACTGTTTAACAAACATTTACAACCAATTACCGTTTTTGACCGTCGGTGACGTTTAATTCAAATATTATATTTAAACCGCAGCAGCTGATGCTCTCAAACACTGGACAAAAAGCAACGCCAGTGCGTCGCTTTCCACACAATTAAACTGGTTTAAATTTCATTATCACGTTAATATAAAGCTGAATGACTCACCGAGTCTTCGTCCTACGTTTTACCCGATTTTGGGCGCCGTGATGAGGCCGCTGCGGGAACCAGCTCCCCTCTCCTCCACGAACGGAACAAACCAAGATGGCGTCGCCTTTCATGCGCAGCGGTGCTGATGAGAGGGAGGAAGGATGCTGAGCTGCTCCACACCTGAGTTAAAGTGTCTTAACTAGGTGAGGGGAGTCAGCTCAAACGGGACTTATTATTATATTTAAAAAAAGTAGAATACTTTTAAATTTGCGGTTGACATTTTTGTATTTTTGTAATTGTATTGGAATAAGTACAAATGTTTAGGAAAAATAAGGTTTTCTTTTGTGCAATAATAAAATGTGCCAACTGTTATTTTACAACTGATCCCTTTAAAAAATCGGCTGACAAGCAGATACATTTCATAGTTAATTTATTTAAAAAATAGTAATAAAAGTAAATGAATCAAAATTTTAACCAGATTTAAAAAAAGAAAGACTGCCACTAGAGGGCAGCAAAGCTTAAGAAGAAATGCACCAGTCAGCCAAGAACAGCACAAAAACCAGTGATTTCTCCACTTAAATCTATGAAATCACTGTAAATTAATCCAAACACATCAAATCAAATCAAACTTTATTTATATAGCACTTTTCACGCAAAGCAAGAACCACAAAGTGCTTAACAGATTAAAATGACCCATATGACCCACATTCCCTCCCTTTCCCACACTTAAAACAATTATGACAGTTTCACCCCCAATCCACAAACCATTCCTATGCACGCACACGCACGCGCACGCGCACACGCACACGCACACACACACACACACACACACACAAACACACACACACACAACACATTAAAAGACCACAGTAAACACCAGGCTGAGCTCAGATTGGACAGGTAATGAAAGACATGCCATCAAGGGAGCCATCTGCCTCAACAGCAGCAGATCCACAGCAGCAGCCAGGACACCAATCCAGGGCGGCCTGGGAGGGAGGGTGGTAACCCCCAACACTACCTGGGCACTACCCAAGGAGCGCCCCAGCCGCCGCCACCGACCACCGGTCCCGAGGCAGAGGGCTCCACAGAGTTTACACTGGAAGGATTAAAATGTGTTACATGTAAAATCACAAGAGCTAATATGGATAGTAAAATATCCAATAAAATGTGATTATATAAATAGAACAACATACACGTGTAAGACAACAGTAATTAAAACAAATAAATAAGTAAAACAAGCAATGCAATACATAGTAATCAGTTAAGAGCTAAACTAAAAAGCTGGGTCTTGAGCCTGTTCTTAAAAACATAGACACAAATCATCATTACCTAAATTCAGTTCTCATCCAACGGCTTTTAAAATGACCCCTCTATGTTCTTATTAGGAAAAACGTGATTTTTTGTTGCTGTTGTGACTTTTCATATAATTTCAAGTCACATCATGCATTAGTTTGCGTACTGTTTTGCTGTCAAAATAGTTTAAACTAATGCTAAATTAATCAAGCTACCTACTTGACAGCTATGGAGACCATTTCTTTGTATGGGATCCCATACAAAATAAGTAACATCTATTTTTGACCTTATTTAGATTAAAAACAAATTATAAGAGTGTATAAAATTACGTGAAAATATCTAATCAAACCAAAACGTAACGTTCAATCTAAATTTGTGATGAGATATATTCTGTAGTATTTAATGCTGCAAAATACAGACAGCCTATAAAAACACAAGCATGGTGAAGAGATCTCCGAACTGAGAGCCCATTTAACCACATATCCAGATTAATGATGTTTTTGCCTCTGTCGTTAGCAGCTTGTTTACTGTTGTCGTGCTTCACCCTGCTTCACCTTCTCCGACCAATGACCCACCGACATCAGCTCACGCTTCACAGAGTTTACATCTCAGGTCATTTTCCTGTTTGCTTGCACATCGATT